GCTGTAGAAGGCCGGCTGGCTTGGCTGGTTTTGCTGGCTTATTTGAAGATTTTGGCGTTGACACGGTCTTCGTTCGTGCGCTTGCCGGCTTTCTTCGCATTGGCCTCCTCTTCTTCAGCACGCTCCAGCACTTTTTCCCAACGACGAGACTCTTCGAGTCTGCGTGCATCTGGGTGTTGTTTTTCCTCATACATGGACAGTCCGATGGATCCCAGCAGCAACACAACGGTCACAGTCTGGGCATACATACGGGCCTGTACAGCTTTTTGCGTTTTGGTCATGATAGGGTCCCGGTCCACCAATTTCCAGGAACCGTACAGCGAAGCTGCCCATGCTGCAACGATGATTTTGTACTTGTTGCTGGACACACCTTCGATCAATTTTTCAGACCATGGCAGTTGTTTCCAGCGACGGTGGTCTTCCACAGCTGCGTTCGTTGTGGCATTGGAACCGTACATCTGTTGTTCGAACGCAGTCGACGCTTCTTCCGCACAAATCGAAGTCAGCAATGTGGGAGGCGTAATGAACATTGCAGTTTTTAGTGACCATGGCATCTTTGCTGGCCGGAAAGCTGGGAATCTCAAAGGTGCCAATTTGAAGATAAGTCCGGAGATGATCACTCCGGCCACGGCACCTTTCACACCACCGGAAAGTGTGTGGTAATGATGAGCTTCAATTTCTTCAGCTGTTAAGATCTTCATACTTATTTAAACACTATTCTAAGCTTCGCTTTAGCCACTTCAGAAGAATTTTGGATGATTTTTGACCAATTCGTTGATCAAATCGTTGATAACTTGTACTACCAGCTGCTGTAATCTATCGGTAAGTCCGTCTATTTATACAAATTTCTATAATATTATTCAAAATCTACACCGATGCCATTTAACACCGATCATATGCATTTTATGCCAATTCATACAACTTCGCAACTGGTTCAAATGTCTCTTGTATTATGTATGATTCACTGCAATTGTGTTGTACTTCGTATTCGTTTGTTCTGAGCTCTCTTACGCTTCTCTGCTGTAGCGATTTTTCATTGTCTTCGAGCGTCAAGTCCATCTCGTTCCGGTCTCTGTCGTTGTCTAACGCCGCATTAGACCACCCATACACACAAAGGAGTTCGTTTGACGATGAGTGAGTGAGTGAGTGATACTATCTTGCAAGAGGAATTTAAAAAGGGTCTGGGGCCTACATACTTCGATGTGTTGTCTGTATCGGTTGATGAATGGTAGAAATGGGTCAAAAACCGAAAAACCCCAGGTTTACTGGAACGCAAAGAAAAACAGAATAGTGGGAGCTTAGGGGACGGCTTATGGGGATGAATTGTTTTTACAAAGCTCAAATGGACTACCTGCAAGTCTCTTGGTGCGATAATAGTCACTGATTCTTGATAATGTTTTCCATACGAGAGGATGGAATATTCTTATTTTAAACACTGAATAAAACGTTTCAGTCCCCAATGCAGGTCCTGATTCCGGGGATTCACTGGGACTATATGCTCTTCTGGTATGTGCAGTGACGGAACACTGTAGGATGTTGACGTTCCTAGTAGTAGAATGTGGCATTGAGTGTGTGCGACACACACGTATGTAGTGACTTTTGACGGGACCCGGACTTAAGAGCCGTCGCGACGAACGAGACAAAAAAAAGAAAGAAAGAAGGAAAAAAAAAAGATTTAGTCACGTGCTTTAAAAGGTGTGATCAGCGTCAGATGGGAAAAAAGTGATGTGGGCTGTAAGGGACGTCATGTGATGCATGTTAATTTGGTGCACTTGAGCCTTTTTACTTGTCCATATTGTTGATACGTGTGAATTTTTGCGTACCGAAGTTAGACCAGATGCTTAACATACTTACGTGGAGCTTGAAGCGTCCAGGTACCACTTACATGATATTGTTGATTGTATCACGTGATCCTTTCCACTAGCTTCATTTCATGACCGCAACCGACAATGACGGGGCTGCCAGTGCTCAGCAGTTGATTAAGATAGTGTCCAAGTTTTCCGTTCCTTCCATTATTCCACCCATTGCAACATAGAGCTGTAATTTCCACTTAATTACCATCCTTCTACCCTACCACCCCTCCACCCAGACACCCGCGCCAGTAAATCTTGGTCTCGACAGTGTCAGCGTCACAGTGTTTCCCATGAATCTGTGGTCCTCCTATAAAAGCCAATGGCACACATAGAACGAATGTCTCTCCAAGCTTCTTACCATTTCTCCTCAAATACTCTTCTCAACCAGCCACGACATGAAAATCTCGCAACTGGTTACCGGTGTAACAGCAACCTTAACGCTCGTCGAAGCAGAGGAATTCCTCATTCGATTGAAAGCACCAAAGACTTTGGCCAAGATAATCGAGAATAAATTCAACGATGATTTCTTCAACGTGTTCACAGAAGGTAAAATTCTAAAGACTTTCTCGTTCGGTAAATTTGAAGGGTTCACCGTCGATTTCCCAACAACCTCCATTGCGAAACTCCGCAAGAATCCCCTGATCGCTGACATTGTGCCCAACGTCGAGTTCAATGTGTTTGACGGTGATTTGCCCGAAGAGGGCCCGGAGTTCGGTGATGATGAAAATGAGAAAGACGATGACAGCGAGGAGGACGATACAGAGGAAAATGAGGACGAAAACGATGATGAAGGTGAAGATGAGGACGAAGACGACGATGACTTCGATGAAGAAGATGACGATGAGCTGAGTGACATTAGGACTCAGAAATTTTCTCCCAGACATCTTGCCAGGATTTCTCGCAGATCTGCATTGCCGTACAATCCTAACGACCTTGACGTTGCCGCCTCCAATTTCAGCTACTACTTTGACAAAAACTATTTGGGAACTTGTGTCAACGCCTATGTCATTGACACTGGTATCCACAAGGAGCATAAGGAGTTTGGAGGTAGAGCCAAGTTTGGAGCAGATCTCGTGGGAGAAGGACCTGGAGATCTCAATGGCCATGGAACGCACGTTGCTGGTTTGATTGGATCAAAGACGTTTGGAGTTGCAAAGGACGTCACATTGATCGAGGTCAAAGCCTTGAATGCTAAAGGTCAAGGTAACTTGACTTCCGTCATTAGCGCCATTGAATTTGCAGTAAATCACTGTCGAGAAAGCAAACGAGGATGCGTAGCGAACTTGAGTCTGGGGTCGTTCAGAAATTCTGTTTTGAATCAAGCAGTGGAAGCAGCTCTAGAAGCAGGTGTGGTTATTGTTGTGGCAGCCGGTAATTCTAATGCCAATGCATGCTGGAGCAGTCCAGCTTCTTCCTTATCAGCCCTTACCGTTGGCGCATTTGATGACAGAACTGACACCATTGCCAGATTTTCAAATTGGGGCAATTGTGTAGATATTTTTGCACCAGGTGTCAAGGTTTATTCTCTGGCAAACAAATCACCTTTTGCTCCAGTGGCATACTCTGGCACTTCTATGGCTTCACCCATTGTTTCAGGAATGGCTGCTTTACTTTTGGATAGCGGAGTGCATCCACTCGATGTAAAATCAGGAATTATAGAATTGGCAACAGACTCTATTTTCCACAAGAGAAGCTTGCTTTTCAAACCTGGCACCCCAAATAGAGTTTTGTTTACTGGGGTCGACAAGCAAGACGATTTTTTCGAGGATGCAGTATATCCTGGAATTGACATTGACCAGTTGGTAAACGATTTGGCAAACTACAATAAAGATGGCCACGTAGCAGAGGACGATGCGACTTTGCCATTGGGTGAAATAAAGCTCAACAAGAGAGCCCACGTTACAACTTTAAAGCCATTCATGAAACCGATTTATGCCACAACTGCTGCTGAGGAACCTGCATGCACTACTTACAGTGCGGCGGACTAAGTCATTAATGTAACAGGCTTCAATTACTTTATGTACAAGTTAGTGCAGTTATAATCACAGAGATCGGAGGGTCAGACATGGAAAAGCCCAATACGGTTGATTTTTCGCGGAGGGGAAGTAATTCACTCCGGGCTTTTAGCCCACAGCCAGCATGCGTAGTGTACAATGACGTAAAAATCGTGCCCCGGTTTCTTTATGCAATGGGGAAGGCTTTGAGGGATGATAATAGAGTGGAAAACACATACACTGTTGGAAAATCACGAGCAGAAGCGTAAGGCTCGTTCCCAAGACAGCGGGTAAGGGCAATAATTATGCACGTTGGGGCCCAAAAGTCATTTTTGAAAAAAGATTGATTCCCTGGTGACGGATTCTTTTTTATGCCCTCTTGTCGTACAGGGCGGATGGGTAGCTCTTATCCTTCTTGTTCTTCTTCTTCTTTTTCTTCTTCTTCTTACAACAAGACAGACTTGAGGCCACACCAGCCGGCAGCGGCCACTGCCATCATACCAGAGGCATAACCCATGGGTTTGAGGCCCTTGGACGATTTGAAAATAGCGCCGGTTACAGCGCCGGCCACCACCGAGTTAGCCGAGTCGTGCTTGCCCCTCAACGCGTCGATTGACGAGTTGATGAGGTTGTATGTAAGAGTCAAGACACCGGCGTTGTTACCGATGAAAGGGCCTCTTCTAGTGATGTGGTTCAGCACCGTGTTGAGTTGCAATTTGCCCGGACTGTTTGGAGGGATGTTTTTCAGACCTTCAAAAAACCCGTACGAGCCACCGAGACCCAAACCCGTCAGATACACGGCACCGGTACCGTAACAAAGATCATCGGTCCATCCTCTGGATGGAATCAAGCTTTTGGATCCCTCCATCGTTGACAACTGTTCTTCTTCCAAGTCCAAATATTCCACGCCTCTCTCTAGCCCCGCCAACGGGTGCAATCTCGATGTGTCTAGAGCCCCTGGGGTCGAAATAATGCTCGAAACATTTGTTACCTGGCTGGGGTCGAACCCTAACGAGTTCTGCGAATCCTGCGATTTTGAATCGTTTGGAAAGCTCTCTTCGGCCCCAGACGTTTGTGATTTGCGTCCACCAAATAACCACGACATTCTTGGACTTTAAACGGATTGGTTTTATGGTTGAATCACCCGCTTCACCGCTTTCAAATTGACTATTCTGTCGTTAAAACGAGCTGAATTGATTGATGGATGAGAGTTGAGTTCGAGTCTAGTTTTCTCAATTACATTAAAATTTTTCCAGGACAGTAGTAAAAGTAGTACTGAAGTAATATACGGGAAAACTGGAAGTAACGTGATCGTGAGAGGTCACGTGTGTAAAGTGGGAAGTTGACATATGCAACGCCGTAGCTCAGAGGAGCGTTGTAGAAAGTGTAGTAGCTGAAGAATTGGCGATGTTTTCGGTTTTGAGTATGTGGAGATAAAGAGGGGAGGGAGAGGAAAAGAAAGAGGGATAGAAAAATGGGTTTCGTATGTAGTGATTTGGATCTTAGCAGCAAACTCATTGAAAAGCGAGCTACGTATGTGAGGCGTTGGGAGCGAGAAGTCGGACCTTTGTTTTGTGGATTTGGGATTCACGTAACTGGCTTCTACGTGGGGTAAATGTTTTGTCACGTGAATGGTGTCAGTAAATAAAACGGTGATTTGCAGATGGTCTAGTGAACTCATGGAATATGGTATATATTGAGGCTTGACTACGTCAGCAGTGTCTGAGTTATTGATCTGCTTAGTTTGCTCGGTCATAATTTGTTCTCTGTTGAATAGTAATGGTCTATAGGATCTATTTATCTCTCCGTAGTGTCTTTAGTATAAGCGGGATGATCTTATGGAGTGTATAAGACGTCCCTTCTTATACAAATTCCTGGAAATGTTCCGTCGTCAACGGATGAAAAAATCTTCAAGCATTCCGGGTGCAATTTGGTGGAAATGGTCTGATCCGGAAGCTATACGAGCGCTGTAAGTGGTGCCACTTGGTCCGATTGACCTCGTTCTTGTTAGATCGATGGTTGTTCTAGGTTCTTGTTATTTGTGACGCAGTCGTCTTGTCACGTGCTTGCGATCACTTTGTCACATTTCTGACGCTAGACGGACAGAGGTTCTTACACTCTCTGGTTACGCAATTGACACTATCCCATATAGTCCATCAATTCCAACAGTACAATGATCCAATCAACTTCCAAACTCAAGACCTGTGCACTTTCNTAAAGTTCCAAAAACACAGGAGTAGGTAGAAGATACCATGTTGGCCGGCTCTGAGATGTACGAAAGTATCGGGTTCTCACATTGACCACAAGATGATCAGAATTGACAAAATAATTCAGCAATTTCAGCAATTTCTAACAAAAAATGGGTCTTCGAACGCGTTGTCAGATTCCAATGCTGTGGCTCAAGAACTTGAAGTTGAGGGTCCCCAGTAAAGCTTACCTCGACACCGTTATGTTTTGGATTGAAAGCTACCAGATTATTGAATTCTTACTCCCTCACTCTGTACGGTAAAGACGTTTTCAAGAGTACTGAGGCGCAACCTTAGTCTCGCACGGACCATGAGATGAGGTTCTGATACTTGTGTGAGTCTTTGCAAGATAAACGTCCTATAGCTTGGTAATTCTATCCATTATTCTAAGATGCAGAGTGTTGTTTTATTGAGTTAGAGTCATCTCTCTATGGTGCATTTAGCATAAGCGATATGAGCTTGTAGGCTGGAAAAGTAATATACCTTTCTTGGAAATGTTCCTTCACAAGCGGGTGTTCCGGGTGCGATTACGTCAATGGATTGCTACCGGAGTGATAGTATCGCCACAAGTGGTGCTACTCAGTACAAAAAACGTCATTCCGGTAAGATCGGTAGCTATTCTAAACTCTTTGACTATTTCGTAAATTCTGTCGCTGTCATTGCGTCACGTGTATGTGATCGCTCTGTCATGGATCTGGCGCTAAGAAGACAGAGGTTTCGACAAAAAGTCCCCCCAGAAAACGAAGGCAAGTCGAGTCAGCAAAGAAGACAAATCATACTTTTCAGCACGGAGAGTCACTATTCCCCATAGCGCAAGACGAGAGCGCTTGTGACGAATCTGCCAAATCTGACTTTCAACACGGATCTATCACTGTATACGTGTGCTCAATGGTAGCTTCAAGCGTCCGGGTCTTCATTTTTACACGCTGATGTTCATATATCTTTGAGTTATTTGATAGATTGACTGGCTCATGTTACTCTGTGGCTTCTTATTTCAACTTCATTTTACTCGCCGGACGTAAGCTCTCCCATTAGTAGATTGGTCGCTATGTTTTCCCACTCTATGGGAATGCCGTCCATTAGCCGATGTTGAAACGCTTCACCTTCGTGCTATTCAAACGAGTGAGTTCGTGATTTGTCAAAGTGGTGGTCACGTGACTAATGATTTCCCAGTAGCAGTTCTAGCTATGGGGCTGCCACCTAGCAATTATGTTCAAGCACCAATCGAAATTTGGGTCCACAACAACTCATTTTGTAGCTGCTTAACACATCGGAGTTCGTAGCGGCCATATAAAAGTTTGCGTCCAGTGCTTGAGAATATAAATTTGACAATAAATTTGTGGAAAAATCAGGATCTCGATCCTGGGCTTTCCAAACCCATAGTCCCAGCCTCTTATTCTTCCTCATGATCCAAATGGCCTCAAATTACCAGCATCTTTGAGGGTAAAGAATGGTTTTGTACCTTTGTCACGTGATCATGTTTGTACACGCGATACCTGAGATCTCTAATGTACCTACGATGCAAACAAGCTCTGCATGATAATACTTGGCGCTCTGGAAATTGAACTACGACGAACAAGATATCTACAATGAAACAGACACCCAGGCTGAAATGGTTCACTTCTCACAAGGCTCAACCCGCTATTTACGATCCAGTAGCCATGAGATCTCCCGCTATGCCTCTTTCGATGCCAGCAAACACTCAATGTCGTGTAATTCCAATTTAAAGATTATGTCAATATACATGTCATTTCGTATCTTTCTGGCTCTAACGTCACGAACACACTACTCGGAAAGCACATTTAAGAACCGCGTCAAGACAAGTGACTACACACCATTAATGCTTCAAAAAAAAGCAGTCTACAAGCCCTCAAACCAGTAGAAATACCTTACATAGCTCTCTCACATGACTCACCAACCTGGCCTAGTGTACTGCTTGCAGTTTGGCAGTTACCGCCGGGCCAATCGGCCCGTTGAATAACTTACGATCTCTGCTTTCAATTGGCAGTTGTTGAGCTCTCGACCTTTGTGGGTTTGATGCCCTTGTCACTCTCAGAATGGTTGCTGTATGCTTTACTCTTTCCAATTGTTCACTAGTGTGTTCCTCGCTGTCCGGCGCTACCCAACATAGGTGACATCACCATAAGCTCTCTTTACCCTTCTCTTCCGTCACTTCTTAGAAACCCGCGCACAATTCGGCCCTGTCAAGGTATTTTCCCAACAAAAATTCCGATGTTGGAACGAAATACCAAATTTTGAGTGAGAGGCCCATCGAGCCTACGGTCACATGATCTTTCTGCCTGGAGTCACGTGTATCCTCCCATTTACGCACTCTCATAGGGTTTTCCAACAAAACGTCGTTTTTCTGTTCCAATTTATTTAGGGGGCAGGCCGAGCCCGAGACGAGCTGCCCAGAAACAGCCGCAGGACTCACGTGCCGATGGGCTTCTCAACGCCTAAAGTGATGTAGCCCCTGTTTTTGTGGCACACTATCCCGCGAGAGAGGGGAAAAAAAAACCTGGGTATATAAATAAGACGGGAGGGTGGGCCAATTCGACATGGGCGGCTTGTACTTTTTCCTTTCAGATCCTCGCAAAACTCAAGCCATTGAACTTCACAAACGCCTTCTCTGTAAGCTAGTCACGATCAAAAGAGCAGTGGTATACTCTTTTTTTCACCAGACACACGCGTTTTTTTTTTAACTCAGAAAGTTTAGTTTCAGTGAATATCAGTAACGACGCCATAGCAGGTCCTTGGCACGTTTGTTTAGGTATGTTCAGCGCAAGAGGAAAATGTGGGAATTGGTTTCGAGGAGTTTTGGGCAGTTCAATTGGAAGACAGACAGACGCACCAAATCACCTCGTACGTCGATCGGCGGCTGTTTCTTGTATCACGTTGCGTCCGTACACTGTGATCAATGTTTTTTTCAAAACACTTTAATTTTTTTTTTTTTTTTATTTTTTTGGGCCCCCCCTTCCTGTGTTCAATTTGTTGGTTTTGGGTAGGCAGTAGCGTTTCGCGGCGGTTCACTGCTCTGCGGGCCCAACAAAAATTACAAAATTTTGGTGGAATAATGATTATGCCATGCCACCTTAAAAAAAAAAAAAGGTACACCCTACAACGCGGTAAAGGTGGCCCTACCTCGACATTCGGGCAGTTCTCCAGCACTACACGCTTCCACAACTGTTTCGCTCTCTCTTTCTATCCCACAATTCGGTGGTTTTGTCATCTTTTACACGATTCCCCAGCCTTAAAGGACGCTTTACTAACTTCTTTCCTCGCAGCAGCAACTATAACATATACGGTAGAACCCACAGACTCGTGTCTGTTGTACTGAAAACTAGCCGTTTCCCATTCAATTTCGCTTTTCATCGCCGCTCCGTTTGCAATCCGTTCTTCGCAAGGCAATTCCCCCGTTATTTAACTATCCAGCGCACCATAATGAGCGAAGAAAGCCTGTCAGAAGTTGCCGCTTCCCAAAAGGAGCAATACGAGACCACAGATTACACTTCGCAGCATCGTAAACTCTCCCCAAATTTTTTGGGTCTAAACACCATCGATAAAGCTGAAGATTCGCCCTTAAAGGATCTTGTCAAATCTCATGGCGGTCACACCGTTATATCCAAAGTCCTCATAGCCAACAACGGTATCGCGGCCGTAAAAGAGATCCGTTCTGTACGCAAATGGGCCTACGAAACATTTGGAAATGAACGTGCAGTTCAGTTTGTCGCAATGGCCACCCCAGAAGATCTCGAGGCCAATGCAGAATATTTGCGTATGGCGGACCAATACGTCGAAGTTCCCGGCGGAACCAACAACAATAACTACGCCAATGTCGATCTAATTGTCGAAATCGCTGAAAGAGCAGATGTTGACGCTGTGTGGGCCGGATGGGGTCACGCATCTGAAAATCCATTGTTGCCTGAAAAATTGGCAAGTTCTCCCCGTAAAATCATCTTCATCGGTCCTCCTGGTAATGCGATGAGGTCCCTTGGAGACAAAATCTCATCCACTATTGTGGCTCAACACGCCAAAGTTCCATGTATCCCATGGTCTGGTACCGGTGTCGATGAAGTTTACTTGGACGAAGCTAGTGGGCTAGTTTCGGTTCAAGATGATGTTTATCAAAAGGGTTGCTGCGACTCTCCTGAGGATGGGTTAGCCAAGGCCAAAAAAATTGGTTTCCCTGTCATGGTTAAAGCTTCCGAAGGTGGTGGTGGTAAAGGTATTAGAAAAGTGGAGAGAGAACAAGACTTTATCGCTCTATACAAGCAAGCCGCCAATGAAATCCCCGGTTCTCCAATCTTTATCATGAAATTGGCCGGAAAAGCTCGTCACTTGGAAGTACAGCTGTTGGCCGATCAATACGGAACAAATATATCTTTATTTGGTCGTGATTGTTCGGTTCAAAGACGTCACCAAAAGATTATAGAAGAAGCTCCCGTTACCATCGCCAGACCTGATACTTTCACAGAAATGGAGAAATCTGCTGTGAGACTCGGTAAACTGGTTGGTTACGTATCTGCAGGTACCGTGGAATACTTGTACTCTCATGATGATGATAAATTTTACTTCTTGGAATTGAACCCAAGATTGCAAGTCGAGCATCCAACAACTGAAATGGTGACTGGTGTTAATCTTCCCGCTGCTCAACTTCAAATTGCTATGGGTATTCCAATGCATAGAATCAGAGACATTAGACTACTTTACGGAGTTGATCCACATACTGCCGGTGAAATTGACTTTGATTTCAGTTCGGAAGGGTCTCTCCAAACCCAAAGAAAGCCCATTCCAAAGGGTCACTGTACTGCGTGCCGTATCACATCTGAAGATCCAAATGAGGGGTTTAAACCTTCCGGTGGTTCATTGCATGAATTGAACTTCCGTTCCTCGTCTAATGTATGGGGTTATTTCTCCGTTTCTAGTAGCGGTGGTATACATTCCTTCTCGGATTCGCAGTTTGGGCATATTTTCGCATTTGGTGAGAATAGACAAGCATCAAGGAAACACATGGTTGTGGCCTTGAAAGAGCTTTCGATCAGAGGTGACTTTAGAACTACAGTTGAATACCTTATCAAGCTTTTAGAGACGGAAGATTTTGAAGGTAACTCCATTACTACAGGTTGGTTAGATGACCTCATTTCTCAGAAGATGACCGCTGAAAAGCCTGATTCTACGCTAGCTGTCATTTGTGGAGCTGCAACCAAGGTTTTCATCGCATCTGAAAATGGTCGTAAGGCTTTTGTTACCAGCCTCCAGAAAGGACAAATTCCTCACAAATCCCTCCTTCAGACCATGTACCCTGTTGAATTTATTCATGAAGGTAAAAGATACAAGTTTACCGTAGCCAAATCAGCCGACGATCGTTACACTTTATTTATCAACGGTTCCAAGTGTGAGGTTGGCGTTCGTAAGTTGTCTGATGGCGGACTGTTGATTGCTGTAGGTGGTAAATCACACACGATCTACTGGAAGGAGGAAGTCTCTGCCACCAGATTGTCGGTGGACTCTATGACTACTTTGCTTGAGGTTGAAAATGATCCTACTCAGCTCCGCACTCCTTCCCCCGGTAAGCTTGTCAAATTTTTGGTCGAGAATGGTGAGCACGTCGCAGCAGGTCAGCCTTACGCTGAAGTTGAGGTCATGAAAATGCAAATGCCTTTGATTTCTCAGGAAAGTGGTGTGGTTCAACTTTTGAAGCAACCAGGATCTACTGTATCTGCTGGAGACATCCTCGCTATCCTTGCTCTTGACGACCCAACGAAGGTTAAACACGCACTACCCTTTGAAGGTCTTCTACCTGACATGGGAGCTCCAATCGTCGAAGGTACTAAGCCTGCTCATAAGTTCAAATCGCTTGTATCAACCCTGGAAAATATTCTGAATGGTTATGATAATCAAGTCATCATGAATGCCTCTTTGCAGCAGTTGATTGAAGTCTTGAGAAATCCACAGCTTCCTTATTCGGAGTGGAAGATGCAATCCTCCGCACTACACTCTAGATTGCCTATCAAGCTCGATGAACAATTGGAACAGCTTGTTCATCGCTCCCTGGCAAGAAAAGCACAGTTTCCTTCTACCCAGTTAGGCAAAATGCTTGAAAAGGCCTTGAGCGAATCGGATGATGCTCTTTTCGGCACGGTCATTGAGCCTTTACTAGATATCACCACCCGTTACTCAAATGGTTTGGAAGCTCATGAGCATTCTGTCTTCGTTAAGTTTTTACAGAACTATTACCAGGTTGAAAAACTCTTCAGTGGTTCTAACGTTAGGGAAGAAGATGTTATTTTGAAGCTACGTGACGAGAACTCTGAAAACCTGGACAATGTTGTAGTGACAGTTTTGTCACACTCGCGCGTTTTGGCGAAGAACAGCTTGATTTTGGCCATCTTAAGACATTATCAGCCTTTGTGCAAAATGTCATCTGAAGTTTCATCTTTGATTGCAGAACCCTTGAAACAAATTGTTGAACTTGAATCCAAGACCACGGCAAAGGTTGCACTTCAGGCAAGGGAAATCCTAATCCAGGCTGCTTTACCCTCGGTCAGGGAAAGGACTGATCAAATTGAGCACATCTTGAGAAGCTCAGTGGTCAAGGCAGCTTATGGTGCTTTTGATAACAAGCGCGCTGACCCAGACTTGGAGGTTTTGAAGGATCTTATTGACTCCAACTATGTCGTCTTTGATGTTCTCACCCAATTTTTGACTCACCGCGACGCATCCGTGGCTGCTGCAGCAGCAGAGGTCTACATCCGTCGTGCATACAGAGCTTACACGATCGGTGATTTGAAACACTTCAGCAATGCGAACAATGCTGTCGTTGAATGGAAATTCCAGTTACCATCTGCCGCTTTTGCGTCTGTTCCTCAAGTCAAAAGTAAGATGGGTATGCACAGGGCAATCTCCGTATCAGACCTGACTTATATTTCTGAGGGCGACAACCAGCCTTTGAGGACCGGTATCTTGGTCGCTTCCAAGCATTTGGATGACGTTGATGATGGACTTTCTAAAGGTCTGCAAAGAATTCCTCACTACCAAGCCAATCATAATGGACCCGTTCCGGACAGGTCAGGTAACAATGCTACGCTAAGCAATATTGCCAATGTCACAGTTTCTTCCACAGATGGATTCGACTCAGAAGAGGACGTTTTGACAAGATTGAGAGAGATTTTAGACATCAACAGGCAGCATCTCGTCGATGCCTCAATTCGCCGCATCACCTTCGTTTTTGGATATAACGATGGCACTTATCCAAAGTATTACACTTTCAGAGGTCCAGGTTACGTTGAGGATGAAACTATTCGTCATATCGAGCCCGCACTAGCTTTCCAACTTGAACTTGGAAGAATGTCCAATTTCAACATTAAGCAGATCTTCACTGAGAACAGAAATATTCATGTCTACGAAGCGACCGGTAAGAACTCCGCTGTCGACAAGAGATTCTTCACTAGAGGAATAATCAGAACTGGTCGTATCAGCGATGATATCACTATTCAAGAGTATCTAACATCTGAAGCGAATCGCTTGATGAGTAATATCCTTGACAACTTGGAAGTCATTGATACTTCAAACTCTGATTTGAACCACATATTCATCCACTTTTCCGCTGTTTTCGACGTTTCGTTTGAAGATGTGGAGGCTGCTTTCGGAGGCTTCCTGGAGAGATTTGGCAAAAGACTACTGAGGTTGCGTGTCGCAGCCGCCGAGATTCGTATCATAATTAAGGATCCTCAAACTGGCGCCCCAATTCCATTGAGAGCTTTGATCAACAATGTTTCAGGTTACGTCGTTAAGACTGAATTGTACACCGAAGTCAAAAACGCCCAAGGTGAATGGGTTTTCAAGTCTCTAGACAAACCGGGCTCTATGCACTTAAGACCTATCGCAACCCCATACCCAGCCAAGGAGTCTTTACAGCCAAAGCGCTACAAAGCTCACTTAATGGGTACCACCTACGTTTATGATTTCCCTGAACTATTCCGCCAGGCTACCGTCTCGCAATGGAAGAAAATCTCTCCAAAGACCAAGCTTGCAGATGATTTCTTCATCGCTAATGAGCTGATTGAAGAAGAGGATGGAGAGTTGACGGAGATTGATCGTGAGGCTGGCGCTAACACAATTGGCATGGTCGCCTTCAAGGTGACTGTTCGGACTCCTGAATACCCACGCGGTCGTCAATTTGTGATTGTTGCCAACGATATAACGTACAAGATTGGTTCTTTCGGTCCTCAGGAGGACGCCTTTTTCAACAAGGTTACAGAGTACGCTAGAAAGCGTGGTATTCCAAGAATCTACCTATCAGCCAACTCTGGTGCCAGAATTGGAATTGCTGAGGAACTTGTGCCTTTATTCAAAGTTGCTTGGAATGACCCAGAAAATCCAGCCAAGGGCTTCCAATATCTGTACATGACTTCTGAAGGTCTGGCTGAGCTGAAGACACAGCGTAAGGAGAATTCCGTGGTTACGGAGCGTGTTGTTGAAGAGGGTGAAGAACGCCATGTCATTAAAGCGGTCATTGGAGCTGACGACGGATTGGGAGTTGAATGTTTGAAGGGGTCTGGTTTAATTGCTGGTGCCACTTCTAGGGCCTACAAGGACATTTTCACTATCACTCTTGTTACCTGCAGATCTGTGGGTATTGGTGCCTACTTGGTCAGACTAGGTCAGAGAGCGATTCAAATTGAGGGTCAACCTATCATTTTAACTGGTGCCCCAGCAATCAACAAGCTCTTAGGTAGCGAAGTTTATTCTTCGAACTTGCAACTCGGCGGTACTCAAATCATGTACAATAACGGTGTGTCTCATTTAACAGCCCAGGATGATCTGGCCGGTGTTGAAAAGATCATGGACTGGTTATCATATGTGCCTGCTAAGCGCGACATGCCTGTGCCTATTTTGGAAAATGATGACAAGTGGGACAGAGAAATTGACTTCACTCCCTCGACTGAACAACCATACGACGTCAGATGGCTGATTGAAGGTCGCGACACCGAAAACGGTTTCGAATACGGTCTCTTCGACAAAGGTTCCTTTCAAGAAACTCTTTCTGGATGGGCCAAGGGTGTTGTTGTTGGTAGAGCTCGTTTGGGTGGTATTCCACTTGGTGTCATCAGTGTTGAAACCAGAATGGTGGAGAATATGATACCAGCTGACCCTGCCAACCCAGCGTCTACCGAATCCTTGATTCAAGAAGCCGGTCAAGTCTGGTATCCAAACTCTGCTTTCAAGACAGCTCAAGCAATCAACGATTTCAACTATGGTGAGCAGCTACCTTTGATGATCCTGGCTAATTGGAGAGGTTTCTCCGGTGGTCAGCGTGATATGTACAACGAAGTGTTGAAGTATGGATCTTTCATTGTCGACGCTTTGGTGGACTACAAACAACCTATCTTTACCTACATTCCACCAACTGGTGAATTGCGTGGTGGTTCCTGGGTTGTGGTTGATCCAACCATTAACTCGGAGCAGATGGAAATGTACGCTGATATCAACTCTAGAGCAGGTGTTCTTGAACCTGAAGGAATGGTTGGTATCAAATACCGTAGGGAGAAGTTGCTGGCAACCATGGCTAGACTAGATCCTACCTACAAGGACTTGAAGAGCCAATTAGAAGGCTCGAACATAACCCCAGAGAAGCACCAAGAGCTTTCTGTCAAGCTAGCTGCCCGCGAGAAAGTGTTGATGCCGATCTATCACCAAATTTCTGTTCAGTTCGCCGATTTGCACGACAGAAGCGGTCGTATGACTGCGAAGGGCGTCATTAGTAAGGAGTTGGATTGGCCTCAAGCCCGTCGTTTCTTCTTCTGGAGACTAAGAAGAAGACTCAACGAGGAATATTTGGTCAAGAGACTGAACGCGGAACTACCAAACGCACAAAGACTTGAAAAAATTGCCAGACTCAGCTCATGGTACCCTGCCTCTGTTGACAGAGACGATGACAGAGTCGTTGCCACATGGATTGAGGAGAATTACAGCCTATTAGAGGATCGCCTAAAGGGTTTGAGAATGGAATCTTTTGCCCAGAATCTGGCCAAATCTATCAGAAACGATCACGAAAACACCATCAATGGTTTGAGTGAAGTACTAAAACTTCTGGCGGCTGATGACAAAGAGAAAATCTTGAACAGTTTGAAATAATTTCTTTGAAGTAAAGAGGAAGCTTATACCACGTTGCTATCCTGTGCAAGAAAAGAAAGGAACGAATCTGTTTGTCTCACTAGGGAATACTTTGGACAGACTACATCGACCGCTGAAGCGTTGAGTTGCTGTTTCTAAAGTTGAGGCTAGTTTTATCATGATACTGGGAGCATAAGGACATTAATCAAAGTCTCTCGTTTTATCATTATTATATTATTATTTTGAGATATATATGTACAGTAAAGATTGAAAGATTAACTCACTCATAGAGCTTTGCGCTCTCTCCATTTTAGCTTTTGATCTTTTTGGCTTCACCGTTTTCCTCTTCTTCAAAAGCCCTCTTCAGCTCTAGCGACTTTACTGGCGAAGAAACGCGCGGCTTATCCTTTTGAACTGCCTTGTTACCAGCAGCTTGCTTGGCCAGTTTCTCTTCTTCTCTACACTCGGCAAGGTATTGCGTAGGGTCTCCTAAAGGCTGCCCATCATCGCTTAGGAGTTTCATGACATGTTCGACTTCTGCCAAGGATTTACAGCGAGTGAAGTATTGGTAAAACTTGGATTTCCCAGGAACAATTCTGGTTAGCATGTATTTACAGTTGTTCACATTGTGGTTGAATTTTGATGCGATTGTGAAGTAAGCCTTTGCTGCGTCATGCCAAGCTAGTGGTGTAGGACTAAAGATGGTTGGGTTTGCTTCTGCACAAGTTGCGATCATCCCACCAATCTTTTCCGAAAGATTCAATTCGCCACGAAGTTGAGAGAAATGGGACCTGCCCTGAAACGCACCGTTAATTATAAGACTGACGTTCTGCTCTTGACAAACCTTGAAAATGGCAGGAATATAATCCCTAATGGGCAATTCTCTGTTACGCATAGGCGTAGTTCTGCAGTGAACAGTCAGATTCGAGATACCGGTGCTGCATATCCGTCTTACCAGCTCGACAGTGCGAACTTCATCGTTCAACAAACGGATTTTCACGCTTATGGGTTTCTGGTAAGGCTCGCCCACTTCTTTGACTAAAGATGTCAAAATGGAGCAAAGCGTATCCGGTGTTTGCAAGAGCGCTGCACCCATGCCTGAATGAATAGAAAAATGTTTGGGACACCCTGCATTCAGATCTATTCCATCTACATCCTTTATGACCACTTTTGCAGCTTGAACGGCAAGTTGTGGAGTGGACGATCCCATTTGGAAAATGAGTTTGCCAGCTTCTGCTTCCGGGAAAGTTCTGAACACCACACTAGGTGGCTTGTTATCTTGATGGCTGGGCGCCACGAAATCCACGGTGCCCAGAGTCTTGTTTTCAACCCGTTTGCACTGAATCAACTTTTTATCAATAATTTCTGGTGACCAGACCAAATCTGCACCAAACTTCAGCGCAAGAAGTCGCGTCGGAAGCTCTCCTGCACGTACCATAGGCGCAAGGACCAGCATCCCGGCATAACTGACCATTTTTCGGGACTTTTTTGGCCGTGGTGTAATGGAATCTTGTAGAGCGATGAGATGAGATGAGGTGAGATGAGATGAGATGGGCTCGACATTAACTCATTATCTAGTTCTGACTAGACATTTGAGTAAAGGAGAGGGTAGATACCTGACTGAATGACGTTCGGCAGAAAGCAATACATAACGTTCTATCTGACCATCAAAAATTTACGAGAGATTTTACCATTTAGTGGCGTGTGAAGCAAGTACAGTAGCAGTAGAATATGTATATCCGAGCTGGCTGTACTGGATACGTGAACTGTCTGTGGCAATTCTTGACGAAACTAATGAAAAAGAAACCACGTGACACACTCAATCCACACAAACAGCGGGTCTTACAACCTTCACAAACGTACAGCTATACTGCCAAAATTTTCAACGACGGGAACTGTATTCAATTATGCCCAAGTCTAAATCCCTTCCTTCTGCGATGTAACGTCACACTCCGACCAAAAATATCGTTAAAGGTGAGCCATCAAGATTAAATTAACTTCAAATATACTAAACCCATACCATTCCTCTACTACTATTCAAAACATATTTGAAACTACGATCTTCGTATGGCCCAGTTCTCCGCAATTGATCGTCGTAATACGGCAGCTCTTCGCCATGCTCGTGGTTTTACCAAGTTTCAAGTAGTTCGAAAATCTCTAATACCCTTTTTCCTTCATTCTCTGTATCTATTTACATGATTTTTCTTTCCTTACACAATGTTTATGCACTATTCTCTGCGAATGCGACGTGTATCATTGCAAGGGATCGACGTTTATTATCCCACAGTAACGCAGTTCCAGATTTACCTTTTTTCAACAAGTTTCGTGGGTGATCACAACCTTCTTGTCTCATATGTTACATGTCAGCATTCGCGTTCGTTCGAGAATGTAACTCAAACGCGAAATCTCAGGTATAAAGATAAACACCAAAGCGAGCAGACAAAAAGACAGAACCTACTCGCTCGCTTAAATACACTTGATGGCTCTGTAAAGACAAGATAATACCCAATACCACCACCAAGAAAGCACAAGCTATGATCAAATTCAGAGCTTTCACGAAGAAACTATCGCATGGTTTTGATGGATCTTCTTCGAATCAAAAACGTTCTGTATCAGATTATGATCAGAAACCCGCCAATGTGAAATCGAACCGTTCGCTTTTACGCAGAAGAGCGGTTTCCTCAACCAAGGATATTGAGACCACACTTCCTCCTCTACCAAAGCAGCAGTACACTGTTGACAACAAAAAGCGGTCGCAAGAAGGTTTTCAAGATGGTACTACACAACGCTTTTCTCACCAGGATACACATATAAGCAGTGACGGCAAGTATTACATTTATGATTCAGTAGCGTTTGAAAGAGGATCTCACAGCAAAAACGCCAAGAATGTCGACCAAGAATTCCACATTCTTAAGTTTTCTGACGGCATCAATCCGACATCGGCTCGCGAAGTATTGTCTGCTTTGATCAAGCAATTCAAGAAAACTCTGATTCAGCACCATGCTGGCGAACTAGAAAAAGACAACAGCAGTATTAGGGCAGCAATGGAAATATTCAAGCCCAACCTTTCGCATTACGTGCCACACGAAATTAAAGATACCGAAGCAATAATCGAATCGCTGTTTCCCCGTCCTGGCTGCTCACTTGCAGGCGATGCACTAGAATCAGCAATCAAAACAAAGATAGCTTCTTCTAAAAGCAAGCTCATATTATCGCTACGAATTTTATGGTCACGATTGTCGCGTGGTATTGTGCCCTGGGAGTCTTATCTCAAGTTCTGTGCGGTGGAATCCAAGCAGAACTTCTCCAAAATGTGTTTTAAGAATTTCATGCCCCAGATTCTTCCCGACGCAGATTTCAAGCGTTGCGCATTTGAATTTATCGATCTACTCTATGCAATTATCTCCAAAGTGGATCTTGTGGTGGATAAAGTTGCCCAAATGGATCTGATATTCACAGCTGCTCAGGTTTGCTTCGTGAGAACTCCCGAGCTTCTCAACTATATTAAAAGTAAAGCCCAAGACAACGACGATTGCATTATCCTAGCAAAACTTTACCGGGCCCGTGGCGAGGCACTTTACCGATTATTCGTTTCGTACCTGAACTCTTTAGCGGAAGAGGGTGAAATCAAAGATTTTTACCTCATAGACAACTTCCGCATTAATGAATACCCACCCAAACCTTACAAACCATTAACGCAACGCGCATTGACGTTAACAATCCCACAACTTTGGGACACCGAAACGAATAATTTCAATGAACTAATAAGAGTTTCGGCCAAAGCTCAAACAAGGATGTATTCTCCTCACCATGCGTTTTCAAAACTAGAAAATTCGTTTTTGGATAATTACGAGGATAATCCCTACAAAGTTGTTAACAATCTTTTCTCTCGATCATCTAAGCGATACTTGGACAAATTTGATCCCTCTTTTGACGTGGAGTCTTTCAAAACCCTGTCCAAGAAAAATGTTGGTAACTCTACTTTAGGTCCTGGGGATCAGTTCCCAATGGCTACATGGATCAGCTCATGCAAAGAACGCGGTTTCAACGATTTCCTTTCGGTACTCGACGATAATAATCACGGTGAAGGAACATTAGCCCTCGGACTCACTTTCCCTAAGTCAACTCAAGAAGAATCGGAGAACTTGCCGCCGCTAAAAGTGTCTAAAGTCGAGATCTCCGAGAGTTTCATTTCGTCTTGGAAGTATGAAACTTTCCTAGGAAAGGTACACAACACGCTGGTGATCAAACTAACCAAAAGAGTCGGTGACTGTGAGTGGCTCATAATTGCAATGGACGAAAGAACCGACAAGAAAGGGTACGCATCGCCCTTGAAACCACGGGAGCAAGACAACGTTAGCGGAACACCTTCGACGGGCTCGAAGGGTAAAAGATATCACGCCGCCAGTTCAAGTGACGCTTCGAGCAAACTCCGCCCACCTCCTCCCAGCTTGCTTGGAGAGCCTTCATCCTCACCTTTAATCAATTCAATCAGTGGGGGATTTTCTGACCAATCAGTCTCGGCTTTCAGTTCGAGACCAACATCAGACATCGGCAGTGCTTTTGCGATGTCTCACCAGAAGGCTAGTTCTGTGCACTCAAGGAAACTTAGCGACTTAGTAACATCAGGATCCCCTTTGCAACAATCTTCACCTAAAATACCCTCCAAGGCTGTGGAGCCTTCAGTGACATCAATTATCAAGACATCCTCGGGAGCTCAAGACAATGCTCAACCTATCAACGAGAAGAGTGATCATGATAGCAATATCACAGTAGATAAAAAACCCCAAGATCCGAGTTCGCTGAGCGAACAAGTTATCGGGGGCGACATTCCCACAGAAAAGCAGCCTATTAAGCCCTCGGCACTGGAAATGCTGGCTGAGACATTCCAAAATGATCGGACCGAGACTCAATCAGAACCTCCGAGATATCTTCGATGTGGTGAAGGAGGCAGTGAATTGAGCAGCGACAAAGAAAACGTACCGGAGTTCTCCAAACAGAACGCTAAATCTGACGAAATGGATAACACTGGCTCTAATCAAAATTTAGATATTTTATCATCGCCTTTTACTGATCCTGTAGATCATCCTAAAGTTAGGCATACAGTGACCACCCCGATCAATCTGGTCTCATTGGATCGCGCACCAAATTTGCCTAAAAGGGTTCAAAACCCTTCAATTGGCTCACCCGACAGCGTAACAATGATTCCACACTCCGCTGATACGAGTATCGACTTGACAGAAAGTACGGATGTGGACGAAGATGGAAATCTCGGACGCGAGAAATCACATTTTGCTAAGGTATTGAATTCATCGTCTGACGATGGATTTGCCAAAATGCAGCAGCAGGATGAAGGCACAGTTGATCTTCTGAACGATTTTCTGGAGAACTACAACACATTGAGCGCAGAACCAATGAATTACGAAGAAGGGCCAACGGTTTTTGAACAAGTCAAAGGATTTTATGAGCAGGGTTTGAGCGAGGCCGGCCATTCCCAATCTGAAATCAAACGACAGGAAATAGTGCAACAAGAATTACCACAACATGAAAAGCAACACCCGGATTCTAATGAAGCAGATAGTGCTTCTAGTCCCGTCAATCAAGTGTCAAAAATTGGGTCTATCAGCTCCAAAAATGGAACGTGGTTTAGCTGCAATGTGACTCCTCCAAACAAGCTCGACAAGAACAGAAACTTCAAAAACTTGAAGCTAGGGGGTAGAGCCCGGACTCAGTCTCAAGTGAGCAACGTTGACATCAGCGGGAAACAAATGGATGAAGATGACGCACACAATAGTACGAAGAATCTAAACTCTGATGAAGAACATGAATTGTTCTACAGTAGCGCTAGTGATCTCAGTGATATAGCGGATCAGGACGGCGTATGGCTGGAGGCCAACAGCAAACCATCTTCACCGGTTGATGTCACGAGCCCCACTCATCTGATGTTCAGAAATGTTATGCTTCGAACGAAACGGAGTATACGGAGCTTGAAAGCGCATCAGCAGCAATGAATTTTGGTAAGTGTTCAAGATCAGATCAGATCAGAAGGCAGCTTTGATTCAAAATGCCAAATTCTTTTTATGATGATATACACTATTATGTATGCTTCCGTAGCAAACCTTGGTCAGGGAGTTGTTGTTGTTAAGGTACATTTGCGTTTTCATTCCTCTTCGTAGAGCTTTGCGTTTTCATTCCTCTTCGTAGAGCGCCTTGCGAAACTTGATGGCTGTAGAATTGCGCCGGTGATGGTGTCGGCAGCAGGGGTTGCTTAGATCGACCCAGCAATCTTGATGTGATTGGTGGTCTTCGTTTTGCTCGCGAGTCTCGGTGTTAGATGCCCCCTCGCCGTCGTCGTGATGATGCAGGTCATTAATACCGGCCCCATCGCTTGCAGCGGACGTGGGACCTATTCCGGAAGAAGCCTGTGAAGATGATGACAGGCTTGATTGTCGAGATCTAGATGGTATTCGCCATACCATTTCCTCAAACTGTGGGGATCGGGCTGCGGCAGTTGCTGCTGCTGTGGGGTCATTTGATGAGGAAGACCTACCCAAAGACGAAAACCGAGCTCCAAACCCTGCCAAATCCGATTCTGTATCGCTGAAACGGCGTGAACGCTCGTTGGGATTCGAACATCTGCTAGAGTTCGTTGAGGTGTTGAACATTTGCGACGCTGGTCGTGTCACAGACGATCCAGAGTGCAGTTGTGGATGTAGCGTGGCAGACGAATGCTGATGGATGCACTGGTACAGGTCGCAAACCCGAAGTGAGGCCGAAAGTCTTCTGGAACCTCGCGATTCCGAGTTGACCCCTCCTCCGTATTCACTGCCGTCTTCTTCTTCGTCTTCTTCTTGAAACCACGGCTCTGTCACACAAATCGATGTGCCCTGGACCGACGAACGCCTTCTAGGCGACCTATCAGATCCGGATTTGTCTTGAGGTGCGTACCGCACCACTAGATGTGCGTCCACCGGTGAAACTCCGTTTCCAGACATATTTCTAGAAACACCCCAGTTCCGTGCGTGTGTGCGTATCTATGTATGTAAATGCTAACGTCTGACTAGACCTGGTCTTTGCACTGTTTCCGACGGATAGACGACACAGGCTTAACCGATGCTGGAAATGCTGGTAAACTATATCCTAAACTTAAAAACTACCCTAACCTCACTCGTCGTCGTCTTCTTCTTTGTCACTATCTTCTACAAGACCATAAAAAGCTATAATACTCTTTAAGACCTTGTATAAAAACCGGTAGCGATGAGTTTCCTAACCCCAAAATCAGCTCACCAGACAGCAGATAGGTCCAAGTAAATCAAACAGTCTTGAATTTGAGATTTCTACCTACACGTACGTACCCGATTTGTATAATTGTCTTTATATACCTTTTTAAGCCGTTGTGGCTGCTGTAGGTCGTCCAGTTTCCTTTGGGCTGGCCCAAGTCTGATCAGGACCCTTAAAGGGCTGGCAAGATTCGCACTATTAGGAAATTGGCGATCGATTGCAGACTCACTGGAATTGTGTGGAGTTGTGAGTGCCGTGCTGGGAGTGTCACAGCAATTGGCAGTTGTTACACACGGGAATTTTGAAACCAGGTTGACAGGGTTACAGGTGGAAAAAAGCAGCCAGGTCACCATGATTCATGGCCGTAATCGTCATAGATCTGCACGTATGTGGCACACTGTCGCGGATTAAAAGATAGCAGCAGACACCGATGGAAACTTGCTTGGCAAATAGGAGTCGAGAATGACCGACGACAAAGGCAATGTGACAGCAATTTAATTCCGGTGAAGGGTGATTTGACGGAGGCTTGGGTTTTATGGGTTAAGTTGCTTGTGTTTCTCCGGTTTATGTCAGTCACCTTCTGGACTGTTGCTTTTGAAGGGCTGTGTTGATCAGGAGACGAGGCGTTGGGTCGAAAGGGCCCAGAACACGGGAGTTTGGGCAAGAAGGAAAATGTTCCGGGGGCCGTCGAGGAGAAATAAGGTTGGAAAAGGAAGGATGACGGGGGCAAGGGGATGGCGTGGAGAGAATGGCAGTAATCGAGGTGGCAGTGAGTTGGAAGAATGTCATTTAAGTACGAAGTGATATGGAGAGCGACAGCGCAGTACGAAGTGATGTGAATCTTGGTTAGTGGAAGGAGTATTATCCCCTTGTAGTGATCGCAGCCAGCCGAGTACCCGAAAAGTATCCGATGTTTAAAATCTGTGATCCGTTTTGCAACCCGTTTCAAGTGTGGCAAGTACCCGAAAAGTACCGCTTCTGGATCCAAGCGGAATTTGAAACGACTTCCACGAACCCGTTTAGGATCCGGATCGAAACCAGCATGGATAAAGGCTTGCTCGAATGAGTACAGAAGCCTGAGTGTCTGGAAGATAATGTATCGAGTGTTCGCATGCTTTTCATCACCGCGTCACAGTTAAGAAACTTGATCAGCCATAGTCATTGCTCAGAGATTTACTACAATTTTTGGCACGTACATTGAGTTCCTAAAAGCATTTAATAGGACATGTACTAATTTCGTGCCAAGACAATGTATGAAATGGCGAAAGGACATGCTAAAACGTAAGGAGCCTCAGTACATAGGGTTACTATGTTCGTGAACCAAGTCTTAGAATTAACTCCACAATAAATCAAGAACATCGTATAAAGACGAGCTTCAGGAATTGGTAAAGTAACTACAACGTGGAGAACAAAGATCAATCTAGATATCAAAATAGGAACGATAGATTGACGGGAATTATGTGCATTAAATTCGTACTAGAAGCTCGTGATGATTACTCAGGCAAGAAAAACAGCCGAACATGACATGTATTCGAAGATGTGTCCAAGAAAGCTTCACATCAGAATCCAGGACACTAGGATTCATAGACCAATATCTCTTAACAACAGGCTATCTTCGAATGATGGCGGTGAGTTTAAGTGACATTCTTTTGGTAGATTTCTTTGTTGTTAACGAACAGAGACAACTTGTTTGATAAATCATTATATCAATTACAGTCTAAATGAGACCAGAACCTTGGTTATAAGACGTGCCGAAAAAAAAGAAGCGTATTGTTCTCCAGTACAATCGCATCGCAATTTTGATCTTGAAGAAATGTTTCAACCATAACGTCAATCGATAGACGAAAGTCGTGAACCCAGAAATTTCACCTAACTAAGGTTTAATACACACAACCTTATAACTGATGATACGTTTCTAGACACTGGAAAGAGTTTTAAATTCAGGTAATTCACATTCGCGAAATCATGTTTGCCCATCGAATTATTCCAGTTCAAGCCACCGGTATTCAACAGAGTCAAAATTCATCGCGACGCTGGGTGCGTCTTTCGAGTGAAAAAAATCGGAAACTTTCGCGGAGCAAATGGAGTGGACATCGAATAAACCATGTTCACGACCATTCAAGGGCTACTTACAACGGAAATGCATCTATCTTGTGACGTCCCGCAATTGATATTGTGAATCAAATCCCACAAGCGGTTGCTATTCAAATACCGGAATAGTTGATCTCGAGCACTAATTTTATGGCGGGAAACCTATTGTGACCAGATTTGTTATCACGGGATGATTTCCAAGCAAATTCCAAACAGTGAAGAGATTTGAAACCATCACAGTCACCGATCATATCATTGCCGGACGACTGAAGCGTCCTTAATTTTGAAATATCTTTGGTGAAAGACTGCTCTCCAAAATGCGTAAAAGAGCACAGTTCGATTAAAACTAAGATACAACTGCCATCATGTGTGTAAGTTACTGCTTAACCTCGTATCGAGTTTCTGTCATTAGAGTGTCGTTGAGGATAAGCGTTACGTACCATTGGTAATCTTTACCATTGTAATAGATCATTAATTAATTGAGATGGGCAGCTAACTTTGCGTATTGTCTTAAACGGACAAACGTTGGTGTTGTAGCCTGGCAAAAGTATCGCCCTTTCATACCTTTCAGGGAATGGGTCCCTGATTCATGAAAGTGAGATGTTCTTATCTATATTGAGGTGATATTAGTCAGACCATCATAAGTGATTCTATAGGAACGTGTGGTATCATCCATTGCTCATCAGACCACGGTGCTGGGAAGTGGCTAGTGTGGTAATGCAAGTCGTCCGTTTTTACAATTCTGACGCTGTCGTACATGCACGTGATCTGTGATCACTTTGATATGAATCTGACGTTAAATCAACTAAGAGGTTTTCACAGCAACAATGTAAAGTCAGGGTCGCTGCTCGACCCGTATCTTTTCTACCACTACAGAGGCCAGTCATAAGTATCTTCAAACACGCCGAGGCTTGTAACTCCTCGCGCCGCTGCACGTTATCACTTGATTATTATTCTGACGCCCAAATCTGACATAATATATCCAAATTAACGCCAACCGTTTCAAATCACATATACCAAGTGCACATGCCTTATTTCTGACGTATGAACCACCAATATACACTCCTTCATCCTTGACCAGCACGAAACTCAACCTATATCGAAACGCACTCATTCTGTTATCACTTTTACCCTAGCCGTCATGATCATGTGCACGTGCCATAACGTCAGTATATTCTCTAACAAAATTTCGAGCGCTTTAAGACATCGGAACACATCCCTACACTGGATACTGGTGACTTTCGTGATACAACTGCATTGTATTTCAGCAAAGTATCATGTCAGCGTTTTCTACTACTTAGAAGCACGTGCCGGCCTCAAAATAACCATTCACGTGACTGAAATTTTCATATTCTTATATAATCCCATATAAATTGGACATTTAAAGCTATAAGACATCGAGATTTGAGACTTTTTTCAAACCTTTTCTACAGTTGTTTCTACACTTCCCAGCCGCCTTTTTGAGTCTTGTCACGACTCCAATTGACTTCAGAGTCTTGCTCATCGAGAACTGTGATTGAACTTTCGGTTAATCATGAAGTTTTCACACTCCTTGCAGTTCAATGCAGTACCGGAGTGGTCATCGAGATATCTGGCGTATTCACAGCTGAAAAGACTGATTTATACCTTACAGAAGGATAAACTGTATCAAAGCAGCTTCACGGACACGGAACAGATTCCACTCCGGGATTCCTACACAGAAAAATTCCTGAAAGCTCTCGACAAAGAACTCCAGAAAACCGACAAGTTTTACCAACAGCAGCAATCGCGAATCTTCAGTTCGTATCAGGAGGTAAAGGACGATCTTTCCGAGTTTCAGTTGCAGCTGGCGTTGCACGACTCTCACAGTGGAAGGAGCAGCGTTTCTAACGGATCTGAAGGGTCTGGAGCCTCAGGACCGTACATCCGTCCCACAGCGTCGCTCTCAGATGACGAAGATAACATCAATGTCAACAGGACAAACTACACGGGTAGCGATATGGGGCCCATCGTCACCCGTAGCGCACACTACATTGCAAGACTCGATCCGGTGATGGAAGACACGATCAACTTGAAAAAAAGACTCGTCGTGGCCTTCACACAACTGTCAGAACTCAAAAGTTTTATCGAGCTTAACCAGACCGGTTTCTCCAAGATTTGCAAGAAATTCGATAAGAGTTTGGAGACCAGCATTAAGGCGGATTTCATTGCCTCTTTGCCGTCTAGAACCCAAATTTTTAGTCCAGAAACCGCATCCATTGTTGAAAACAAGATCAATGACACCATCGGCATGTATGCGAGTCTGATGGGGACCGCCACGAACGGTGATGAAGTGCTGACTTTCCAAGAAGCTGAACGAGAACTTTCCGTGCATTTGAGGGAACATGTTGTCTGGGAAAGAAACACCGTTTGGAAAGATATGATGAATTTGGAACGCCAGGCTCAGAATGTCAAGACAACTAGAGCGCGAAACCGTAATCTTCGTAATACCAAGCTGCCAGATGATGAAATCCGAAATTCTCCTTCGCCTGAGGAACTTCCTAACGCTACGTTGAAGGACGCTCTGCACATGACGCCCGCCCACTACCTCAAGATAATATTAAAGTCCAATCGTCTGATACATTTTGTTGCAATCACAACGGCTTTTCTGATACTGCTCAACTTTTCCCCTGTTCAAGACGTATTGCAGAGAAATTGTTTGGCAATTCTGGTGTACGCCTCGCTACTGTGGGCCACTGAAACTATACCACTTTTTGTCACTTCGTTGTTCGTTCCACTATTGATTGTGATTCTACCAGTTTTAAAAGATACTGATGGCAATGTCATGGCACCTCAGGCAGCATCGCAATACATCTTATCAACGATGTGGTCCAGCGTCATTATGCTTTTACTCGGAGGGTTCACTTTAGCTGCCGCTTTATCAAAATATAATGTTGCTAAGGTAGTTTCCACTCATGTGCTGGCTTCCGCAGGGACAAACCCGAGGGTCATTCTTTTGACCAACATGTGTGTTGCGCTGTTTGCGTCGATGTGGGTTTCAAATGTCGCTGCACCAGTGCTATGCTATTCTATTATTCAACCACTGCTCCGCACTTTGCCAAAAAATAGCTCTTTCGCGAAGTCCCTCATTCTGGGCATTGCACTAGCCTCTAACATTGGAGGTATGGCTTCACCCATTGCGTCGCCACAAAATATAATTTCTATTGGAATGATGGACCCACAGCCAACATGGCCTCAATGGTTTGTCGTATCACTACCAGTGTGCTGCATCTGTATTTTGGGAATATGGGCTATGCTCGTCATGACATTTCCGGTTGAAAAGGACTTGAAACTGCTTCAATTACATCCCATAAGGGATCCATTTACCATCCAGCAGTGGTTTGTCACGCTGTGTACTATAGGAACTATCGTCCTGTGGTGTATGGCTAAACAGCTGAGTGGCGTGTTTGGAGAAATGGGGATCATTTCAATCATTCCTATCTTGCTCCTCTTCGGCACCGGAATGTTGAGCTCTAGCGATTTCAACAGCTTTATGTGGACAATTGTGGTTTTGGCAATGGGTGGTACGACTCTCGGCAAAGCGGTAACCTCTTCTGGCCTCTTAGCCTCCATTGCCTCCACGATCAAAGAGCACGTTGAGGACAAGCCTATTTTTGCAATCGTTCTAATTTTCGGAATTGTGATCTTGGTGATGGCAACATTTGTATCTCACACGGTCGCGGCAATGATCATCGTTCCTTTGATGGGCGAAATTGGCAAAAATCTGCCATCTGGAGATCACTCCCGTCTTTTGGTCATGGTTGCTGCTCTCCTTTGCTCTGGTGCCATGGGATTACCAACCTCTGGCTTTCCAAACGTTACTGCAATATCGATGATAGATGAACTTGGGGACAGATATCTAACGGTTGGGAACTTTGTTACTCGAGGTGTCCCTGCAAGTGTGTGGTCATATTTGATCATCACCACTGTCGGCTACGGACTGATGAAACTAATGGGTTACTGATGTTGCGAATTATGGCGCGCCGACTCACGGTTAATTCTACGCCCTTCTATAAATTTAGTATACCGTCTCTATTATATTCACTCTAGCCTCGTGTATTAATCGCACCCGAAATATCTAGAATCAACAAAACGACTCCTAGCCCACCTGCAGTGATCAACGCCAAGGGCATCCGTTGGTACAACTTCACAGGCGTATATTTGAATAGCATCGTTGAAGGCATCCGTGATTCTGCGTATGCCAATCTCAGTCGCCAAGTAAACGATAACTTTCATCTTTTTCAAAGAGACACCATGATCTAGAAGAACTTGGATTGCCATAATGACGGCGGCACCAGATATAATCTGGGCTTCCACCAAGAGGACTTGCTCATAATCTTCGATGTGCGGAGGTAAAAATTCACAGTGAAGCTGAGGCTCTCCTGTATGTGAATCGGATTGAATGAGAACCTTTCCGATAGACATGCTTGGAACTGTTTTCTTCAAAGATCTCATAAAGCAGTCTCCAGACCGTACGATGCTGATAGATGTGACTTTATCGAAGTCCACGGAGGGCAACGTAACTTCCTGCCCAGTAGGCGTTATGATACGTTTCATGAAAGAAGTGGAAATGTCATCAAGAGCACGGGAGACAAGAATAGTGGCTATTCTATCGAAATAGAATACGAAATCGTCTCTAGAGGTGTATTTGTCTAAAAGAATTGTCTTCAAAGCAACAACCTGGCTTGTAGGCTCTAATTGACAGAGGTTGGTCATCTTAGATAATGGCTCCAGTTCACGAACATGACCTAAATCGCTGAGCTCTTCAAGATGTCTGCGAGATTTTAGTTGTAGTCTAGACTTGATGTGGTTGATAACCGTCTGTGTTGCAACAACGATGCTGCCCATGGACGGAATAATAGCGTCCGCATTCTTCATGGTCGGACGTACATACCTTTCCGCATTCGGCTTAACAAATTGCTCCCATTGCTGGATACACCCTTCCAGATCTCGTCCGCGCGACACAATGTCTCTTGAGAGCCTTCTGGCGAGGCATACGTCCAAATCGACGTCCACGAATATTTTCAAATCCATGAGCTCCAAAAGTGGTGCGTGGTACAACGCATAAATCCCTTCCACGACAATGACACTTGAACCATAAACCGAGATCGTTTTCCCAGGAACCCGGTTGTGGTTGTTAAAACTGTAAACAGGAATGGACGTTTTTTTGCCCTCTTTCAAGCTCTTTATACATTCGTAGGCTAGATCCAAGTCAACGGCATCTGGTTGATCGAAATCAAATTTGTTCTGTACTGCTAGTTCGTGGTCTTCGGCACTCAAAGGATTATAGAAATTGTCCAGCGATATCAGAACCGTCCATGGGGTGTTGATCGATGCCGTAATTTTCGCCGCCACACTTGTTTTCCCCGATCCAGATGTTCCTCCAATGCCTATAATGTAGGGTGTAGTCCAAGGTGGGATGTATTTAGGGCTTTGGGCTTCTTTGTTGCCCACTTGATGAACTTCGTCGGATTTGTGTTCGAAACTTGAAATAAAAGCACCAGTTCCCACCATTTTATATGGAATTATTATGGGAACAGTACTCTTATTGCTCCCGATCTAAAATCCAACCACAAGAATGATCTGTGGACCTTTTATGGCTTCCTGGACTTAACTTAAGTTCTGGGTATCTAAAATGTAAAAACATCTTGATTAATTTAGCATGCGATGAGCTGTTGGAAGATATGAGATATCAACATGTTTAGCTGTGAAAGCAGCGTTCAAGAATGGAAAATAACACTTCTGGCATCGGCAAACGACGGTTAAGGCAAAACAATGTGGGTGACGAATTTCCAGCGGTTAAAAAGGGCCATTTGGGGGCTCAGAAATCGAACACAATTGGTGAACAACCTGAACACGAGGATGCTGGCTCAGTGGTAGACCTGAAGGAGAACGCTAACCAAGATGGTTTAAAAACTGTACAGGAGATCGATGAAATGCGTCTTTTGGCCAGGGAGCGGTATTTGAAGGACCGTGAAATATTGAAGCTGCAAGTTTTAGAGCAGGAACTGGCCCTGCAAGAAGAAGAGGCGTTGGCCCGTGGTTGGGACAATTGCAGTCAAGCTGAACGGGAAGAGATAATGGTGAAACGAGAATTGGTAGCACTGGTCCAAGACCGTAAAATTCAGGACGAGGACAATGGATTCAGGCTCCCAAGTGATTATGTCGACGAGGAAGGACGGATAGACTCGGACAGGAAAAAACAGCTTCTAAGGACAAAAGAGGCCCCCAGATCAGGAAAGAATCATATTCAGCAGCGGCTCTGGGAGGACCAACAGCTTAAAAATGCTGTTCAGGCGTCGGGCCAAACAGATGAAATTCACGTCGAAGGGTCCGAGAATTACGATTTTGTATTTGACGAGGAGGCTATGGTGGAGTTCACTGCTGAGGACGAAGATAGCGCACTTCCAGACACCCAAAGCGGCTATGATGAAAAGTTGGCCAAGGAGCTTGATCGAGAACACGAAAGGCTGCAAACTATCCAGGATACGCGGAAAAGTCTGCCCGTGTACAAATTTCGAAGTTCATTGATCGAAGCCATTCGAGAGCACCAGGTCCTTATTGTAGTGGGGGAAACGGGCTCTGGTAAAACCACTCAGCTTCCTCAGTATTTGGTGGAAGAAGGCTTCACACAGGATGGTAAATTTCAAATAGCATGCACACAGCCACGACGAGTGGCCGCTACATCGGTTGCGGCAAGAGTTGCAGATGAAATGAACGTTATTCTGGGGAGAGAAGTGGGATATTCTATCAGATTTGACGATAAAACAACCCCGGACACCACAATTCTCAAGTACCTGACCGACGGTATGCTTCTGCGAGAGTTTATGACAGACCCAGAATTAAACAAGTACGCATGCATTATCATCGACGAAGCTCACGAGCGAACGCTATCAACGGACGTGCTGTTGGGTCTCTTGAAAGACATCTTACCTCATAGAAAAGATCTCAAACTAATAATCTCTTCTGCAACCATGAACGCCGCTAAGTTTGCTGACTTTTTTTACAACGCTCCGATTTTTAATGTTCCGGGTCGACGCTTCCCAGTTGATATTCACTACACCTTACAGCCAGAAGCGAATTATCTGAACGCCGCTGTGACGACGATTTTTCAGATTCATACTACCCAGCCGCTGCCTGGCGATATTCTCGTATTTCTCACTGGGCAAGAGGAAATAGAAGCAGCTCAGCAAAGCCTTGAAGAAATAGCACATGTCTTGGGCTCCAAAATCAAGCCACTCATAATCGCTCCGATTTACGCCAACTTACCTCAGGATCAGCAATCCAAAATATTCGAGCCCACCCCAAAGAATTGTCGAAAAGTGGTACTGGCTACGAATATCGCAGAGACTTCCTTAACCATAAACGGAATTAAGTATGTTATCGACCCAGGATTTGTCAAGGAAAATTCCTACGTTCCATCTACGGGCATGTCTCAGCTGTTGACAGTGCCCTGTTCACGAGCATCGGTGGATCAGCGAGCAGGTAGAGCGGGTCGTGTAGGACCTGGTAAATGTTTTCGAATATTCACGAAGTGGTCTTACTTCCACGAACTTGAATTGTTGCCCAAACCAGAAATCCTGCGTACCAACTTATCTCAGGTCGTCTTACTTTTGATGTCATTGGGCGTCACGGACTTGCTAGATTTCCCACTACTGGATAAGCCTGGTATACCGGCATTGAGCAAAGCTCTAGAGAATATTTATACGCTGGGTGCACTGAACAGTAAAGGCGCCATCACAAGACTGGGAAGAATGATGTGCGAATTTCCATGTGAGCCCGAATTTGGTAAAGTCTTGCATACTGCGGCCACTCACGATGCTTGCAAAGGCTGTTTGGAAGAGGCCGTTACAATCGTTGCTATGCTTCATGAGACCGCTTCTCTCTTTGTTCATAGTAAGAGTGACCGGGACCAGAATAAGAGTGGCATAATTGGTAAAGTGTCAAGCGACCACATGCTTTACTTGGAGACGTATAATAGTTGGAGGGATATGAATTACTCAAGGTCATGGTGTATCGATCACAAGGTTCAGTATAAAACGCTATTAAGAGTTCGCAACATACGAGATCAATTATGGCGCTGCTGTGATACTTTAGGGCTGGTAGCTTTGAATGAGCAGGCTGCAAAAGTCATCAACAGCTCGGACAGGATTGAACACCGGATAATCAAAAGCTTCATTTCAGGGTTTCCAACGAATATCGCAAAATTGGGGACTTCGGGATACCAAACGATGGGAGCGCGCCAGGGTGGAGTCAACGTGAGTGTCCACCCTACGAGTACGATATTCCAGTCTTTGAGAAAGGACATGGCCAAGCCGCCAAAATATTTGCTCTACCAAAGGTTGGTGCTGACTTCAAAGGAGTTCATGAGAGACTGTCTACCGATTCCACGCGAAGACTGGCTTCATGAAATAGTGCCGCATTATTTCAGCTCTGCTGGTAGCCAGAAAAATTAGACAGCGACAAAATGACATGATGACAGAGAAATCAGGCAGCGACAGGTGGGTATCAGTAGTTAAAGCGTTGAGACTTACACGGTTTGACATCGAAGAAAAATTTTCTGTTCGCGGACGTCTCTTAATAATGGCAGTAATGCTAAGACGCCCAAATTCCTGTTACGAAGGTCGTAGCACATCAAAAACGGGCCACCTATTTTTCTGTCACTTTTGACTACCATCGCTGTCATCGACTTTACCAACTCCTGGAGTACCCATGTCCAAGTCAAAAGTAGTTGACCGAAGAAAGAAAAATTCAACTACCAGTTATACAGGCGTTTAGGGTCCGCTAATTCATACTATTTCTAGAGCGGACAATAAATTCACCAGCGACAACGACAACTTCAGTTTTCAGGCCCGTACCACTGTAGAAATAAAACACTCCTCGGCAAGTACGAATTTGCGCTGTTACGATAAATAGTTTGCAATTTCTCAACGATTAAGCGGATCTCATAGACCCTTTATATATCGGTACAAGTCACTGTCGTTTCTATTGCGTTGTTGATCATTAATCTCAAGAAAGAAGAGGTAATTAATTAGACTGATCATTAGCTTCAATTTCAAGAACTTCCAGTCTAGATGAAAATATCTCGACTATACCAAGCAATTAGAGCACTAAGACCGTGGAATTATTGTCGCACTATGAGCTCACAACCACAGTTTTACGTCAAGAAAATTGAAAGTGCTGCTAACAGCTCATCGCTCAAGTTGAATCATACATGTCTGCGGGTTAAGGATGGAAAACGTAGTGTAGAGTTCTACGAATCGAAATTCGGTATGAAACTGATAGGCCAAAAGAAGTTTCCTGACATGAAGTTTGACTTGTATTTTTTGAGCTTTCCTAAGTCTGATTTGAAGCAAAACAAAGAGGGAGACATCGACGTTTTCCAAGAATCTGGAATTTTGGAGCTCACACACAACTATGGCACGGAAAACGATGCAGACTTCAAAGTGAACAACGGCAATGAAGAACCATATCGTGGTTTTGGCCACGTTTGCTTTTCGGTTGCAAATATCGAGAAAACATGCCAAGAACTTGAGGCTCGCGGCGTTGCGTTCCAAAAAAGACTTGCAGATGGCCGTCAGAAAAGTATCGCCTTTGCCTTGGACCCCGACGGATACTGGATTGAGCTTGTATCGTACGACAGGCACGAGCAGGGAGAAAAACCTCATCCTGATGAAGGCCACAAGTTTAATCACACTATGATTCGCGTCAAGGATGCTAAGAGATCGCTCGAATTCTACCAAAACGTTCTTGGCATGAAGCTGGTAGACATTTCCAAGCACGAAAATGCCAAGTTCACGTTGTACTTTTTGAGCTACGACGAATCTTCGCCCAGATGGACTCAAGAGGGAGTATTGGAGCTTACTCACAACTGGGGCACCGAGAACGACCCGGATTTCAAGTACCACACCGGAAACGAGAAGCCTCAAGGCTACGGCCACATCTGTGTGAGTTGTGAAGATCCAGGTGCACTTTGCCAAGAGATCGAGGAACAGTATGGAGAGCAAATCCAATGGGGAGTCAAGTTCAACCAGGGCAAGATGAAGAATTTGGCCTTTATCAAGGACCCAGATGGATATTCCATCGAGGTTGTTCCCTACGGACTATGTTGCTAAAATGGACTAACGACTTGTGAAGAGTAGCCTTCAGAAAGAGTCAACACGGACCCAAGGGCACGGCGAGACCTACGCTGGTATACACTGCACCGGGTTGCGAAACTTTTGTGCACTAGCTAAGACTTATTTAAGACAAACAATTTTGACGTGATTGAATCAGTGTGTAGAGTTTTCTTGGAAAGCGTAATGCTCCTTATCCAAATGCAGAGACGCTTGGTTTGTGGCTAACAATTTCGTGCTTGCAGCATACTTTCATATTTAATGTTTTTGAACTAAGATCGGGTATTCATGGCGGAGGAAAAAAAATGGAAGGTCGTTGGGTGAAAGAAGAGGATCGAAGCTGGTGACAAGGACACCATAAGAATGAGTATGTTAGGTGGAGTGCACAGCTTGATGCTTTGAGATGGATCAGAGGGGCCCATGAGTCATCGTATAGAGTGACTCTTATCTATCTCGAGCTTACAGTGATTTTCGTGGAATCGGGGGTTCAGTAGCCACCGTGAAACACCAACTTTAGACAAGAATAGTGCACTATTCTCACTTTCTGGATCAGAGCTCACGAATAAGTTCGACATCCAAGCGGATCACGTGATTTGAGTAGGGTGACGGAAGAACGTCGCTGTTCAGGCATGCTGAATCCGTGTAGAGATAATTTCCACCAAACCTGACATTCTAAAACCATACTAGAGAGCTTGAACTCAGGTCAGTAGACCACACACCCAGGTTTCTTGACAATCTTCTACCACTCAACTTTCACATCACTCAGAACGACTCACACTCTATATAAATATCGTATACGGGAAATCCATGTTTATCCTTTTATAACTCTCTTTTGCCGCTGAAAACACGCGAAAACACACACAAACACCGAATAGCTCAGCCTAAAGGATAGGTCTCTGCCATGAGACTGTGAATTTCACTCAGTGGGATACGCTAGAGAAGCTAGTGGTCAGAAAACAAAGGTTTTGAAAGGTAAAAAAGAAGGATGTGGTCCCGCGCTTTGCCGCTAAAGCGCGTAACAGCCCCCACAGTTAAAATGAAGGTCCGCAACAGGAATTTTCCGGAAGAATAGGTCTCGGAAAGAACAAGGAATTGTTCAAGTGACTCAGAAACCGCCAGAATGCCTTGAGAGTGTACAATTTTGGCGTGTCTACCCCCCTGAACAATGAGAGACCATATCGAAGCACATGACCGTATGGAACCCCTACGTTCAACATTACATCATTACACACGGATGAATTTTGGTCACTGTTCACGGATCTCACACCATAAATGTCCGAGTTGTAAAAACCCTGTGATCTGTCGTCGCCCCCCCCCCTGCCTCTGGCCGTGTTCAACTCTCAGGTGATTCTCCGCCAGACTATTTACCTATCCACCAGAACTACGCAGACATTTTCCGTTTTGAGCAGGCTTCTAGCGTTAAATTCACCTCCTTCAATCTCTTCTGAAGCGTCGTTTTATTTCACAGCATCGTTTATCACGCACTACCGTTTTGCTTCGTGTCGACAGGAAGCCGAATACGTAGTGGAAGCCGGCACCAGCTGACAGAAGCGATGGAAGGGAAAAATATCACCTGCGCGATCTACGCTCTACGCAATGGGCAACAGAATAGCCTAAACTCTAAAGGAGCGAGGGCAAAACGTATCATGCTTTTATCACCTCATTGCGTCCGTGGGTTGATCTTTTTTATAAAGGAAAGATTGAAGAGAAGGCGAAAAGAAGAAGGTAGTTTATATGGTGCTTGACTTTGGAATATAGTCATTTGGAAGCCTTCTCTCTGGACGTTATCTACGTTTTGGAAAATCGTTAATCTCAAAAATCCGTCGAAAGACTTTTGAAGATGACTGCCAATATACCCTTGGTCAACGGTACTTCTCAGTGTACCGTTACCGCTCATTCGTCAAAAAGTTATGAAGCATGTATTGAGTTTTATTCCCAGTTTCTACAATTGGAATCTGAGAGCTCAAACGCAAATTCCACACTGCTACGCAACTCTGGTGTAAGTTTAGAGATCGTGCTTCGTGAAGACGCCAACAAACAGGCGGAAAGCGAGGCCCGCGTTAAGAAGCTCGCCAGCGAACGCGACACTTCTGACTGGAGATCCACTGTTTCCGATTCTTTTGTTTTCAAGTCTGCCGATGCTGCAAGCTGTAGAGCGGCTTTGGATGCCAAATTCAGCAACGTGCAAGCCTATCCTACGGATCTTTTCCCTATGGAGGTATACGCTGTGGATCCCACAGGTAACGTGGTGGGTGTTACCCAAACCAAGAATGCCGTTAGCGCAAGACCCACAGCGCCACCATTGTCCGCGGGCACTTTCACATCCACTTTGCCCTCCTCTGCTCAATCAACTATTGGGTTAGATTCCACGGACGAGAAATCAATTCAGCTCTCTGCCGACGCAGTGGGCGACAGCTCCGATCCCGCTCTAAAGCAAAAGGCCATTGCTGTCATGACCTCTGGTGGTGACGCCCCAGGTATGAACGCTAATGTCCGTGCTATCGTCCGTACTACCATCGCCAAAGGGTGCCGTGCGTACGTTGTCATGGAAGGTTACGAGGGTTTGGTACGTGGAGGTCCTGAATACATCAAGCAATTCACATGGGAAGATGTCCGTGGCTGGTCAAGTGAAGGTGGTACCAACATTGGTACCGCTCGTTGCAAAGAATTCAGAGAACGTCCCGGAAGATTGCTTGGTGCCTTGCATTTGATCGAAGCCGGAGTTGACGCTCTGATTGTTTGCGGTGGTGATGGATCTTTGACAGGTGCTGACTTGTTCAGATCTGAATGGCCTTCGCTTCTTCAAGAGTTAAAAGATACCGGTAAAATTACCCCTGAGGTGTTCTCCAGATATAAGCACCTGAACATTTGTGGTACTGTTGGTTCTATTGATAATGATATGTCCACCACAGATGCCACCATTGGTGCTTACTCCTCTTTGGACAGAATCTGCAGAGCCATTGACTACATTGAAGCAACCGCTAAATCGCACTCCAGAGCTTTCGTTGTCGAAGTAATGGGAAGAAACTGTGGTTGGTTGGCGTTGATGGCGGGTATCGCCACTTCAGCTGATTATATCTTAATCCCTGAGAAGCCTGCCTCCTCTCGTGAATGGCAAGATCAGATGTGCGATATTGTCGGCAAGCACAGATCAAGAGGTAAAAGAACGACCATTGTCATTGTGGCAGAGGGTGCCATTGCTAATGACCTAACACCAATTTCTCCAAACGACGTGCACAAGGTTTTGTGCGACAGAATGAAACTTGACACCAGAGTCACCACTTTGGGTCACGTCCAAAGAGGTGGTACCGCTGTCGCATTTGACCGTATTTTGGCTACTCTACAGGGTGTTGAGGCCGTTAACGCTGTTCTTGAAACTACCCCAGATACGCCATCTCCTTTGATTGCTATCAACGAGAACAAAATCACTCGTAAGTCGTTGGTCGACTCTGTAAAGCTAACGAAATCCGTGGCAGAGGCAATTCATGCGAAGGACTTCAAGAAGGCTATGGGCTTGAGAGACACAGAATTTGTAGAGCACTTGAACAACTTTATGGCTGTCAACTCTGCTGATCACAACCCACCAAAATTGCCACAAGACAAGAGATTGAAGATTGCCATCGTCAACGTCGGTGCTCCTGCTGGTGGTACCAATTCGGCCGTTTACTCGATGGCCACATACTGCATGTCGCAAGGACACAGACCATATGCCATTTACAATGGTTGGTCCGGATTGGCCAGACACGAAAGTGTACGTAGTCTGGACTGGAAGGATATGCTAGGCTGGCAAAGTCTCGGTGGTTCCGAGATTGGTACCAACAGATGTACTCCTGAGGAAGCGGACATAGGTTTGGTGGCTTACTACTTCCAAAAATACAAGTTCGACGGTCTTATTATCGTTGGTGGTTTCGAAGCCTTCGTGTCATTGCATCAGCTCGAGAGAGCCAGATCGAACTTCCCTGCCTTCAGAATCCCAATGGTTTTGATGCCAGCGACTTTGTCGAACAATGTTCCAGGTACCGAATATTCTTTAGGTACTGACACTGCTTTGAATGCTTTGATGGACTACTGTGATATCATTAAGCAATCTGCAGCTTCAACGAGAGGCAGAGCTTTCGTTGTCGACGTTCAAGGCGGCAACTCTGGGTTCCTTGCCACAAACGCTTCGTTGGCGGTAGGTGCTCAAGTGTCGTATGTTCCTGAAGAGGGGATCTCGCTAGAGCAACTATCGCAGGACATAGAGACTCTCGCCGAATCATTTGAGACCGCTCAAGGTAGAGGCAGATTCGGTAAGTTGATCTTGAAGTCCAAGAATGCTTCTAAGGTATTCACCCCCGAGGTGCTAGCCGAAGTGATCACCGCGGAGGCCAAGGGGGCGTTCAACGCTAAGTCTGCCGAACCAGGCCACGTTCAACAGGGTGGTTTACCTTCCCCAATCGACAGAACCAGAGCTACGAGACTAGCTGTCAAGGCTGTGGGTTTCATCGAGGACCACCAAGAAGATATTTGCAGCGCCCGTGCAGATGACGAGGAGTTTGATCCTGACAACAGAATCGTTTCCGTTACAGCCACTGTGCTGGGCATCAAGGGCTCCGACATCGTCTTTTCCTCAATCAGACAGCTCTACGATTTCGAGACGGAAATTGGCAAGCGTATGCCAAAGGTTATTCACTGGGAGGCCACCAGGGCCATTGCCGACAGCTTGGTAGGTCGCAAAAAGGTGGAAGTCAAGCATTAAAGAAACCAGAAACGGAAACGGAAACGTCTATTGGAAAAAGCTTCATGTTTAGCCTCGCCGCGATATTTTATGATATAGACTGATCAACCCGGCCTGCCCTTTTTATGAGACGATTTGTATACTTAACGAATAAAGATTTTGAACGATGAAGCTGTGTCAGACATCGGCTGATTAAAACTGATTGTCGTCGGCCCTAGTGCGTTCTCATGGGAAGTGAGTTCCTTGTCCATAGCGTATGAACTTGATCACCATCGTAGAAAACTGACACTCTCCGACTTTAAATGAATTTTTAGTCAAGTTACTCGTAGAAACTAAACAAACGTTTGCTCACTTGTTGCCGCCATTGCTCAGCTTCTGTTGGCATGAGTGAGGTCAAGACTAAGTCACAGAGTGGGAGTATCGAACGATCCAAAAATGGTCGAGTTGGGCTTTCTAACGGTGCCAAATACTCTGAGAAAAGACAACAATCACCTTTCAAAAGCATAAAGAACACATTGCTGCTGCGTAACCACAAGTCCCGGAAAAGCACGTCAAGAGAAGCCGTTGATGGTGTCCTGGAGGACCAAATCCCACAGAAACCAAAAAAATTGAGCTACGTTGAAAGGAATTCTGGAAACCATAAAACAAGCATCAAAGTCCAGCAGCGTTCGTCTGCACAACGAGTAACGCTTTTCAAATACGACCATGTTAAAGTGGTCAATTCGATCACAAAAGCTCACAGGAGCAGTTCAGAGTCTTCGGTTTCTACTGCTATGACTTCACAATCAAGTGTTCTGCGACGTCACATCTCACAAACTCATTCCATAGCAAGTGCTGAAACCACACGAGAGACTTGTTTGATGTCCGATGGGCCACTGGAGATATACCAAATCATCACTTACAACAATTCAAAGATGCCACCTCAGAAAATGACTTATCTTTGTCTGGGAAGGAAGGACAACATTTTGCATCCGATTTTGCCAAAACTTCAGATTACGAAGCTAACATCTGCCCCTTTTAAGATCTCGATACTGCTACTCAATCCGGAGAGATATTGGATAATAGAGTTTTTACCAGGGCCAAGTCAAACTGGAATTAGTGCAGAGATCAAACTCAATTTCGAGTCCATGATCAGCACCATATGTTCCTACAGAGTACAACCACAAGATGACGTAGACAGCACAAGGAGTATTCTCCTGGCTTCGCGAGAAAATCATCGAGACGTCGACGACCACGACGACGACAGCGATCTGGAATATTTACTGGAAGAATCCGACAGTTGTTCCGAAGAAACGGAATTAACAAGCGAAGAGGTTTCGCATGACACAACAGTCAATCTGGCCTTCAAAAATGCTATTCGAAATATCATGGTATCAGAAGACTACGAGTTGCAACGTGGCTCCATTGATAAACGACTTAGTTCGTATCAAGGTTTTTTGTCGTCACGGTTCGATCGAAGGTATTCAAACATGCGGTCTACTTCACTTTCTACGCGATATCGTACTTCTAGCGAAAGAGATTTGAGTTTAGGGGCTGCCACCTGGATGGATGTGGGCTCCGAGGATTTCGCTGATTTCTACTCCCGTATTTAGCAAACGGAAGGTTAACTTGAGGCTGGCCCTCAAGTTTTAGCTATATTCCTCATACATGCCATAAAACTTACTAGGTTTGCAATGTAGAAATGTTACATAAACTGAGAAATGACAAATGATTGGAATTGGTAAAGCTATAAACAAGAGCCTATGATAAGCTCTTTCATGCTGAAGTCATTACACGAAGGAGCCTTTTGGCGAGAAAAAAAATCCAAGCCATTCTTTCTTTCCCTCAAAAAATTTTTTGGTTCTTCAAGGTCGCGTTGTTTGATGCTCTTTTACATTTGAACTGGAGCCTGCAAGGGGTTACCGTTGGGATCTAGACCCTGCTGTAACATTAGCAGTTCTTCACTGCCAGCAGTTTCAAACTGCAAGCCGCAACCGAGCTTACTTTCTTGCTTGAAATGATCGATTTCACCGCAGAAGAGTACGGAAAGAGTAGGCAAAATCTTTCTTTCCAAAAAGCAGCTCACTTTACCGGTGGAGTCCAAAGAACCACGGAAAACCGATTGTCTGTATTCATATTTGCAACCTAGAGTGGTAGCACCTTCGATTATAGGTTGAATGCCAATTGGTGTGCCGATAACAGGATCAGCGATTGGAGCCATTCCCGCTTGTAGACTGGTTTCTAGACCAGCTTCTACGTTTTCCGCAACCTTACGCCAGAAAGAGGCCACAAGAGCGCCATTGGCTTGCAATTGACCTGAAAAGATCCAATCTTGCTTTGGAGCCACGTAACGGGTCACATAGGAGACGGCAGCATCAGCTGGCATACCGGCTTGACCTCTGCTAAAGATGGTTTCAAGACCCAAAGAGAATTGAGGTGTGACACTTTGGAGGATGGAGCCAACAGCGACACCAGAAAACACACCCTTAGAGGAGATGGATGGGTTGAGAGACTTGAAGTTCAACGAGAAGTCTGAGCCTTGGTAATCCTGTTCAAGCTGACACATGCTGGGTTGGCCCTGAGAGAATTGCAAAGTGGCCTTAGTGATGTTATTTTTGTCCCATCCGTAGTTGAGTCTTCCAGACACGCTAAGCTCGTTATCGACATTACCTTGGATAAACATGTTGTCGTTGGCAAACAAAGCCGAAAATGCGTAGCTGGGTAGATTTGCAGACCCCAATGACAATGTATGCGAGGTTTGGAATGCAGGGTTCATAGAAAACGCCTTGTTGAGATCTGCTCTCAAACCGGTGAAAAAGTATTGGCCCACCAAAACATCTCTGGACACTTCTTTGTTCAAGTTTTCGATAGTTCCTGGGTTAGTCAACGACAAAGACTGTCTGTGTGAGTGGATGTTGTTGTACACGTTGTTCAAGTAGCTGAATATTGGGTTTGACGACCAAAATGATTCTTTCTGTTGCGATTCCGTCATTGGCGAAACACCTGGGATTGTGGGAATTTTGGAAAAGTCTCCTAAGGGAAGTGGGGCCGTGGAAGACATTGGTGACAATGAAATTGACTGAAAATGTACCGAATGTGGGAGTTTTGGGTTCAAAAACGGTCAACTGTTTCCTAACTTTCCCAAAGATTAGTTTATAGGATCTCTGATTGAAATTTGATATAGTTTGAAAATTTTTTGAAATTTCAGAGCTCGTTTGTAGTGATCTATCATGTACTCGTAGAAAGTTCCAGGTACTCACGTAGGTAGTGATTAAGGATTTTACCTCTCAAAAAAACGGTCTTTTCCCCAGGACCACAGTTCAGAGGGCATTGTCTGTGATCGTAAAGTTGGTTTTCATACCATTCTTGTAGCCCAATTGAAGGGCCAGTGGCCCCACTCCCTATATCGTTTTTCGAGTTTCTTATCCCAATTTTTCTTCCTCTCGCTCTTAAAGGCGCTCCACTTGAAGTGCCAGTTGTCGGCATAGTTCTCGTTTTGCGTCCAAGTCCTTTTGACGTTGTGCTAGCTTAACGTCCCATTCCGCAGGCGTGCTACTGAGCAACTCTCGACACTCATTGTTTTGTGCCAAATGAGCCTTGCATTGCTTCAATCGATGGCGGATTGACGATGTTGCAGTTTCTAGAGATGCTGTGCTGCTATTGGGGTCCTTTTTTAACTGGTGAATAGCGTAGTAAAGCTGTGGAATGAACTCGACGCTAGGCGAAGACAAATTCGGCGATTCCGGCACCAAAAGTCGCTGCACTTCCGCTAAATGAGGATTCATTTCAAACCTCGGGTTTGGAAAATACCAGGGCTACTGAAACAAACGCCTATAAGCGTCAGAAACCTCAGGGATTGTCTCGTCTTTGAATCGTTGTTCAAGCGTGTAAATTGTAAAGTGTAGATACATAATATACATATATATTTACATTGATTGTCCCGTCAGAAGTGACATTAAACGCAAGAAGTAAAGACAGACAAAAATCAGAGACTCTAGAGCGAGGAAAGCTGTGTTTGGTATCCCAATTTTATCGCCATCGTTTTCGTTATGTTGCGAACCCCTACCCATTTGACTCTGTTTGCTGCGACAATTTTTATGCCCTGAATTCAGAATTTTTGGTTGAAAATCAAATTCTTGCCCATATCGCGAGCAGTGAGGTAAATCGTGCGGTATAAAGTGTAGAAATCCAAAGTACTGGTAAAAGTGTCGAGGAACCCGAATGGTAACATGCATGGAATCCAGCCGCGTGCATATTCGAGCGCAAAAGACTCCCGGTCCATACCGTACTGTTTGCCGTAGCCCTTGTGCATGTGGTGGGTCATTCCCGCTGTGTACACCTCTGGGGTTGGATTCCAGGGCAACGAGGCGTATTGCGTTCCCTTGAGGATAGTGAAGTAGTCGTCCGCGAAATGGACACCGCTGTGGCCTTCGTTGCCCACGGCGGAGCCGAACAAGATCAGATACTCCGACACGGAAGCGTGCAAAATCAACATCTGGCCCATCGCACCGCCAGCATTGTTGAAAACCCACTCTTCTTTCACGTACTTATTGATGTACTGATCGCCGTAATGATCGGCCAATGCCTCTCTGACGTCCTTTAGCAATGCCTCAGTGGTTGAATCGTCGCCCAGAGCCTTGTGGCTAGCGATCACGGTGTTGGCAATAGATTCCAAGGTCTGAGGTTCGAAGACGTAGTTCGTGGGTAGCCAAGTGTACAAGGATTTTTCCATCGCATACCATGCTGCGGCAACGATAGCCACGATAAACACAAATTTCATTTCGTCCTGCTGTCAATGAAAGTTATCACTTCTTCCGCTTGGATCGATGAAGTTTGAACTCTTCCCGTAAGTTCGGTTTTTATACCTGGAGTGTTTTGGCTATCGATTAAACGAGGAAAAGGTGACGAGTACGATTACGAATACGAGTACTCGCCGCAATTAACGGTTTTCTGTTTACCGGAACGAGAGAGAAAACAGAGGCTCGAGCCGCTTTTACGACGTGCATATTGCATGAGTACCCGCATGAGTACCCGCATGAGTATTGTTCAAACGGTTTGATGGGGGTGTTTTCAGGTAGAGCATCAGGTAGACTGGTGTGTATGAGGGTGTGCAGCTTCAATGCTTACTGGTGAATAGATCTATGAGAGATTTGGCGGCTTTCACGGACATCGGAGTGGTCTGGTTGGCGTCAAGCGTTCGCAGCGGCGTTCGGCCCCCGCCGCTGCCGTTAGGTGCGCTACTAGAAGAGGGTTTGACTGGAGTGCGCAACGAGCCCTGTGACATCACTAGTCTGCGTGTGGGTTTTGCCACACCGACTAATGAGTTATGCTGTGATGCAAATATGCCCGTCTTTTTACCCACTCGATGACCACCTTCTTTCTCTTTTCTTAATGCACCACTAGGCGTCGAGTTTCCTAATTGGCCGCTGGAATTGGCCACCTGGCGGAAACTTAGACGCGTCTGTTTCGTGCGGTACTTGTAATATGCCATTTGCACTCGAATCCTCAGTTTGCGCGAAATATCGTCGAAATCAACGTTTTGCACTTCTGTAGAGCGTTCTTCTAAGCCTGGATCCTCATGGATCATCGACGTGATTGATGGCAGCTTCCGTGCACCGGGTTTGCCAGCTAATTCGGTCATCGTCGGCCCATTACGTTGGTTCATTCTCGATTCAGACATCCTACCCAAAGGTTGTCGTTCAAACTCTGCGGTCATGTTAAAAAAGTTTCGACGATCTATAAAAATTGCAAAGGCGCAGCAAAATGCAGTAGGAGCTGTAGCTAGAGTGGTAAATAACAAACAGCTTGTGAGCTTGCAAGCTTTTTGTCTTCTGTGAAACGGATAAGTTCGCGAACATTCACTCACTTGACGTGTTTGTTTTCATTCATTTTGGCGACGCGACAAATCTAGAATATATTCGTGCAGAACGACATTGATGTTGAGGAGAAACCCGATGATCGTGGGTGTGTTGGTTATGCCAGTTGGAGGGTCGAAACCGTTCGATTGAGATCTGAAAAAGCCCTTTAATGAGCGAGGGACGTGGCCCTCTTTTAAATGCAAGTTCCTGGGCTATTTTAGCTTCATTTTTGGTCGAGATGTCAGTTCTGACGTAGTTTTAAGTATTCCGCTGACAGAGGACGATGAAAACCTCAGTTTTAGTATCCATTACATGGGAAACGGCATTTCATTTACCCACTGAGTCATGTTGGAAATCGAACGGGGCTCTATTGTGTTTCCGATGCCACCGGCAATCTTCAGAATATACTCGTTCAATTCTGCACTCCCCAGAATATCAACGTGTTCTGCGCTTTTGGCCCCACCTCTTATGTCGAACCGATCAGGTTGGTGCTTGATTTCGATCACTTTTACCGTAGAGTTTCCAGGATTGTACGGGCTCTCGCCCTGGGCCCATTTCTGACACATTGCGTGTGTTACAAGGGGAACCGTACCATCGCCATCCGTTAACACCACGGGTTGGTGATATTCGTAATCTATGGTGAAGTTAAGCTCCGAACTCTCGTGATCTTGCTTGTAGACATAAGCACGCTCAGTCGGGTTTCCAACACCGTAAATGCAGTAAATATTAAGATTCGGAGCATTCGGTAATGGAACTTCTAACGGATTGCTCCAGTGTGAATGATGACGCTCGTTTTCTTGCATTTCATCTTCACTCTTGGCGTACCCAAATGAATACTGATCGGCCATACGTTTGCGAAGCCATGAAGGAGATATATCTGCCAAAAGATCAATTGCTTCGCTCATGGTGAACCCGTTTTGGTGGAAAGGGTTTTCGTTTTTTTTCTCAAATTTGATGAAGCTTCCGAACGACCTAGTCGCGTTGAAAGATGAATCTTCCACCGATAATTGGTGATCACCCCAAATCAGAGATCCTCCTTTGGGCAACATCGACGGCACACCGCCCCAGGTCCGAATCATATCAAGTCTTTCCTTTCTGCTGAAAAACTTTTCAAGACCGTACATGGCCAGAGCATTGAGTTGAATCGTGTCTTTCATTTCTCCACTTATCAAGGCCGGGACGGCTTTGGGGACACCCAACAACGTACCTGCTACATTGACAAAAGAATCGATGTATTTTTCCACCCAACCGGGCCCACCATTCCCATACAGTGGACCTTCTGCCTCGACCCACTTCAAAAAATAAAAGATAATCTGTGAACCCATCGAATGGCCCACCAGAACCGCTTTCTCGCCAGTCAGTTTGTAATCCAATTCGACTTTTTGTTTAAGCTTAGAAAAATAGCTATCTCGACGTTCAAGGTCCAAGTACGCTAAACGCCAGTCATATGCAGCAGTGGCCATCTTGTTAGGCTCGTAGCCGATTGCGCCCAAGTTTTGCAGGACTTTGTTCCAAATCCAGTAACCTGCCACAAAGAAATCGGAGGCTTCGAACCCCTGTGCTGCACGCATGGTGAAATTAGCGGGATCCAGCCCGGTCTCTGGGTCCAACATGACGTGCTTCAGCCAGCATACCTTGTCAAGAACCATTGTCTTGAGCATATAAAATGAACCCCAAAGCCGTTTGCGGAAGTGGGGTTCCGAGGGACACTCATCGTCCCCATAAAGCCCCCAACTTTCTATACCTGTCGAGATGACTCCCGGGACCATAATTACAGGATGCTTATCGCGAAGATGTAGATCTTGATGCAATTGTTTGCCAACGGCAAAGCTTTCAGTGAGATCCTTGTGTGTTGTCGAATGTGAGCTGCGCTGTTGGAAGTCCGAAATCATGGACGTGAACGTTTGAGGCAGCACGTCTTTCCAGTCGTCAACGTATTCCTGGAACGACTCGAAGCTGACGAAATTTTCGAATAACGCTGCGTTAGACTTGCTGCCAATTGCTCCTGCGTAAACCGCAATTGCCAGTCCCAGGATCGCACCTAGTGAGAACACAATGCGTCGCGATTCCTTCCAGGTTTTTTTTTTCCTGTCACTAGTCTCATGTTTTGAAGATTTGGAACTTCGGCTGTGGTGCAATCCATTGTTGTGCTTATTTTTTGTGGCTGAATGCTTGCCATTACTCAAAGGGGTTTGATGACTTGGTTCAGGTGTGGGAGAGTTGTCCCGGGCCTTGATTCTTTTGCGATTTTTGACAGTCATTGCTGTCGAGCTGTCAAAATGTGAGGTTTAGGGATGCTGAAAGGCTCAAAAGAGTTGAGAAATAGAGGTCTCTAAAACCACACGAATGGTAAGAGCAGTTTGGAGATAATACAGGCGAAATGGAGTGGTTTCTAGAGTAGATCTTCGATACATCTTTTATATGCATTATATAGGATCTGAGATGATGATGATGCCTTTGTAGCGTAAGTCGTATATAAAAATACATACGTTCAGAGTGATGTTCAAAACTTTCGTACATAAGTATAGCATCATGTGACCATAAATAAATCACGTGACACAAATGTATATCGTATTATACGTCGATCACGTGCTCCATTTATACACGTGATTATGAATCAGATATCGTAGTGTACGATAGGCACGTGACTGTGGCTAAACATTTGGATTACGTAAGCCTTTTTAGATACTCAAAACTCAAATTAAAGTCAACTGCTACAAACGTATGTGGCCATCTCATCGAACTCACACTCCAGTTCGCTTTGACCACCATATCAACCCGCCAAACATGATCAGATCCAAGCTGATGAGCTGGAGAGAATATCTCACACCTGTCACGCACGCGTCTACTTTCCAAACCACAGGCCAGATTACCCCGGAAGAATTCGTAGAAGCAGGGGACTACTTATGCCATATGTTTCCAACATGGGAGTGGAACCGGGCCACAAATGCCGTGCAAGGCCGCGATTTTCTTCCTCCCGATAGACAATTTCTGGTCACTCGCAAAGTCCCTTGCGCGAAACGTGCCGAACAGCTCACCACAGTGGCAGCTGTCGAGGGAGACAAGTGGAATAATGACGAATTTAAATACGACGGCACCAACAACGAAGATTGGGTTGTAGAAGGAGGAAACACCAATAACATAGATGTTAGCCGACACAACAAACACGAGGATATTGACGAGATGCTACAGGACTTGGAACTGGACGGTGACGGTGACGGTGAGAATGAGGTTGTGGATGATGATGATGACATCGTCCTTCCTGTCGTGCCGGGTGACACGCGCTACTACGACTTATACATTGCGTATTCCACAACGTATCGGGTGCCCAAGCTTTATCTGGTCGGCTTCAATAGCGAAGGATCACCGTTGAGCCCGCAGGAAATGTTTCAGGACATCGCCCCCGATTATCGCTCCAAGACGGCCACAATTGAAACGTTACCATTTCTCACGGCGCACGTGACCTGTGTTTCTATCCATCCTTGTAAACATGCCAATGTGATGCGGGTGCTGATGGAGCGAGTCCGTGAAGTTAAGAGTCGTAAGCGGCGCGAACTGAGCGGGACAAATGCTGCCAAAGCCGCAGACGACGACTGGGAAGACCTGCAAAATGAGGTCGACGAAGACGGTCTACGAGTAGACCAATACCTGGTTGTTTTCCTCAAATTCATTGCGAGTGTTACACCCGGTATAGAGCACGACTACACCATGGAAGGATGGTAAAGGAAATCGACGAAAGAGAGATTCATGTGATTCATCGTTGAAGATGATATGGAATTATTCAAAATAAGTGTCTCAAAGCTCATCGCTAGAGATGATGCAAGAAATCTGGGTAAAACTTAAAGGTTCTTCCAAAGTTGGAATAATCGTGTTCAAAGCTGTGTGAAGGTATTTCCCATGACGATGAACGCAGAGCAAAAGGCTCGAATAGTATGTCACTTTCTTTCCGGTCCAAAAAGATACATTTTTCAGCAAGTACTGACCTCATTTTTATGGTGTTAGGAAGCTAACAGACGGAGAGCTTTAGAAAGGCTAAAAAGCAGAGGGATCATAAGAGATGAACAGGCCAAGCAGATCGAAAGTCGTAATGAACCACGTCCAAAACGGACTCTAAACGAGGCCCCGGGGGTCGACTCGACAATCGCAGAAAACCGAGCTAAAGCCATGAAGCTCTACACCCATCACCAACAAAACCTTCGCGATGCCTCTCTTGGAACAAACCCTTCTGTAGAGCTCGACCGGTCAACTGCTAGCAAAAGACCCTTGGATAGGATACGACCCACGGTTCGCAAGCAGGACTACATTGAGTATGATTTGGCTACGATGAAAAACTCTCATGGGGGGTTCATCAACGCAGATGATGAGCCCAGCAGCGGTGATGGAGTACAGAACCAGTCGCTAGAGGAGTGGAAAAAAGCACAGCAGGAACGTAGAGCACTTTATGAGGACGCAGAGCCTCCGGAACATCCGTCGCTAGCTCCAAAGTGTACCGAGTGTGAAATAAATACGGAGTTAGATCCACTTTTGCACGATGTTTTCAAACTTCAGGTATGCAAAGCTTGTGTTAAAGCTCACCCAGAGAAATTCTCACTGCTGACAAAGACCGAGTGCAAAGAGGACTATTTTTTGACGGATCCGGAGCTCAACGATACGGCCCTTTTTCACCGATTTGAAAAGCCAAACCCCCATTCTGGAACGTTTGCTAGAATGCAGCTTTTTGTGCGTTGTCAGGTCGAGGAGTTTTCATACAATAAATGGGGTAGCGCTGAGGGTTTGGATAGTGAATGGCAAAGGCGTGAAGAAGGAAAAGCTCAGCGGCGTGAAAAGAAGTACAAAGAGAAAATGAAGCAAATGCGAATTAAAACTAGGGCTCAGGAATATACTAGAAAATTGCTCGATCGCAAGCACGGCAAAGAACATATTCATGAGTTTTCTGCTGCCGTCGGTGGAGGTACTAATGAAGAAGGGTTGCAAATTCTCAAACGCAGGTGCCAGAGTTGTGGCATGGAAACAGAAGAAATTGCTCTATGAATCACTGCTATCACTCGTCTTTTGCTGGTCAAGGGCTTGAGGTCAATGGCGTTGAGCAGGAATGCAGCACGGTTCACTATGTGTTTCGTCTTATATATATATATCAATATTAAAACGTCTAATAGATGGGGAGTGTTTTGGAATCGGTTCGAGTCAGCTAATCCTCATAGCTCAATGAGCAGTTCTTCACGATCCTGCGTGTCCTCTAATTGTGCTGATTGTCGTTCTTTCACTGGGGGATGATGAACAGGAACAGTTGGAAAGTCAAAATTCGTTATTTTATTACCGTTACTAGCAGAATTCTTGGACTCTACCTGCCCGACATTTTCTTCGTCGGCTGGATAGGGTGGCTTTTGAGGCTTCTCCACAATTAAGTCATTGGCTTCGTAGTTCGGTTCCGAAGGTGCGGTGGCTAGGTCCTGTATGTCATCAGGGTAGGGCCTTTGCTGTGCTTTTACTTTTTCAACTGACTGTGAGGAGCCAATAGAAACTCCGCGTAAATCTTCCGCATAATTTGGACCCTGGTTGAGCTTAGCGGGGGTTTCCTGGGCCTGAGGAATGGGTGTTGAAATACTGCCAGGAGCTAATTCATAATTTTTAGCTACATTCGGTAGTGGACTCTCTTCTCCGTACGGATTTTGAGCAGGTGGGGGTTGATTTTGTTGAGCAACGTTATAGTAAGCATAAGGGTCCGAGGGAAGTTGCGGGAGGGAGTATTGCTGGTTCAGGTTAATTGCTTCCAATTGTTTCTCCAGTAGTGAATCGTAAATGTTTGTAATATCTGATATTTTGCTGTTCACGTCCAGCAGTCTGTTGTACTTCTGGGAAGTGTCGTTCAAACAATAATTTAGCTTGGGCGCACTACCCATAACCTTTCGATAAAGCTGTTGCAATTGCACATCTTCGAGTACAGCTGAGGCTGGCTGTGACTTCATTCTTTCTACGAGCGTAGCGAATAAATAGATATCATCTTCTTCCGGAGCTGTCAGTTCGTAAGAGGAATGCGGAGCTGCCCGCTGAATAGGATATGCGCTGGAAGGCACAGACTCCTGTCGCCTTTTTTGCTCTTCAGCTTCACGTAAGCTAGCTTCGATCGCGGCCTTCAGATCTTCGTCTTGCTCCTCCTCCGGGACGGGACTTGGGGCCCTAGGTTCTGGTGGCGTGGCTAGAACTGTAGGTACGAAAGTGTCACTTCCACGAGACTCTCGCAGCGAGAGCTCGATTGCTCTTCTGATTTCTTCATCTTCCTGATCCTGAGCACTTTGCGACGACCTCTTAGAATGACGACTCGACTTTTTTTGACTTTTTTTCTTGTCTGGCTGCCTTTTGTAGTCGTATTCTCTATAGCAGTCATCACATACACGAACGGGCTCGTAAATTCCAAGATCAGGCAGCGCGATTTTGTTAGAAGAGTGCTCTTGACAGAAAATGCCCCCACACGAACGACAGTGGTGTTTCCTGTTAAGAAGTGTGAACTTGGTCGAACAAATCATGCAGACATCCGAATCCACCCAATCTGCCGGTGTTTTTGAGTCGAACATAGCTTGGGCCAATTCTAAATCGCTGGTAGAGCTTGACGGAAAATCAACGCCTCGTGATGCCAGACGTTGGTATACTTTGGAAACGTACCCTAGTTGGGAGTCATTTTTGAAAGCCGTATTGAGGCTTTGCAAAAGGCCCTTACAAATCCGTTCTAGCTCTTCGTTATCTTCGTTATCCAAGATGGCATGTTCCAGGGAATCCATGAACTCGCGGGAACATATTTCACGGATTAAACCCGTTCCACAGTTCTTTATACACATTTCCGTGAGCGTCCAAGACGCTATTTGAGTATTTGGATTAAGTTTTGTAGTGGTGATCCGTTTCTTGAGACACCGCATGGCCTCTTTGGATCCGATTCTTCGCGATTTAATGACATCGGAAACTTCCAGCGCTATAGTCAAATCGACTGCTCCGTGTGGGATGGACTCGCTTGTAGCCTTTTGAACTAGGCTATCTAGCTGGCTGGGGGAAACCGGTTGCGCTGACATCGAATCAATAGTACCCCAGAACGATAGTGGGGTGGATTCCCTTCGAGTCAGAAGTAGGGAGAAGATGCTTAGCTGACTTGATGTGGTCTGGCTCAGTCCTTTCTTTAAAGACCTTTAATCCTAATCAGAAAGTTCCGTGTATCGTGATCATATTTATAATTTGATCCTGATTACATAAGACAAATTGAGGTAGCGTGACTATCACGTGTATCAAGGAATATATCGTAATGGCCGCAGTGAATTCAGGATATTTGACTTTATAAAAGAATAGCATGGTATGCTCATCTTGTCCGATTCCTACTTTTATACAGCTCGCACTCATAACTCTGCTGATCTGTCCCCTATTTTCCAGCTCTTTTGTATTCCTATCTCTCTTTCCGTTGCGACATGTGACTGATATAGAACTGTAAATCGTATCGAGGTTTGCAGATAGCAGCGGTACCAGAACCTCTTGTTAGCGTTTTATCCTCGCTTGCTCGCCCGCTATGTGATGATAAACGCAATTGACCCCACCCCGATGAGGCCCAGAGACCCCCATTTAAACCATGCACTACTGACAAAAGACTCATTGCGCTTCACAGCGTTTGTCTTATGTCTATTTTCAAGTCCGCGTCTCACCAAGCTTCTCAAAGACCGTTTTTGTTTCGACCCCGATGGCTGGCTCCCGCTACCGGTGTTTGTAGGATTCAATGTCTCGGTTGGCAGCATCATAGGTGGTCTGTAGGCCAAGTACAGTGGCTGCATGGGTGAGCCGTCCGACTGGTACAGTTGCAACTCGTAGACCCCATGGTAATCGTTGACCTGCACCGTGAACCACTTGTAGACTTCGGTTTGGTTGTAGCGAGAATACACAGAGGTCCCGTTATCATTGCAAGGGTCACTTAACAACTGTCTCCCATCCACTGCGATGGGGTTCAGCGTCAATGTACCGTTATCTTGAAGCTCGTAAGTTCCGTGCTGGTAAATCAAAACTGCTATTGGACACTGGGGATCTCTTGGGTTCGCTTTCACCTGGTATATCGCCTCTTCGAAGTGCTGGTCGTCAGTGAACGAGAACGACAGTCCTGGAAGCGAAGGCTCTTTCAGTAGCTCTTCCACTGGATCGTAAAATCCCGGTCCTGTAAATACCTGGTTCGACTTCGACGACCATGTACCATAAAGCGATGTTTGCGAGTCATCGCAGATAACAGCACTCAGCAAGCTCAGTACCGCCAAAATATAATACGTCTCAATCATCCTTCAGAGGCCTTAGAAGTGGATTGTAGCTATGTTCTTTACGCTTGATGTAGAGGTGAAAGTTCGTGAAACTTGGTTTTAAAAGCCTTGTACCGATGGAATTGATATCATTTTATACAAAACTGACACTTGGAGTCGGAAACACCATGAACAGACACTAAGTTCAGTGAACGGCAATGCTACAACGGCCGTGATGTGCTGGCTATAGTTTTGTACTCATTCTCCATGTCAAGTTATTTGGAAACCGCATTAAAAATTGTCTATACATAACTATTGTCCGGAAAGGTTTACACCATATTATTAACGTTACTGATGGCAAGCGATACCAGTGACGATCGGTTGCTGTTGGTGGTAGACGTACCACCAGATGCAAATATACTGTTGCCAACGAATTTGGCTCGAGGTGGTATGGCAAAAGTCGAGCCTGAAGTGTTTTGGTTGTAGTTTTCTTTGTCTTGGTCCATACATTCGTAGTCGTGCGGCTTGGCTCGTTTGTTCGATATGCTGTTTACGCTGAGCGTGGACCCACACGCACTTCCGGACTGCGTTTTGTGTGCAAATGAGTACATGACAGGAGTCACAGGTGAAGGCTGAGATTCGGCAGTGCTGAATATACTGACATCAGAGGGCGCCGAAGTATTTCTCAGAGGTGTGTAATTTCCACCTTGGTAAGGAGGAGATGGCATCGAGGGAACGTCGTAGGACAGCGTTGATGTACGAGAAAGATCCTTCCGCGACGCAATTTGCATATTTTTCTGCTCCAGCGCGTAGTATTCTTTCACGGCATCGACAAACGCTAATACACCGGGACTGTCCTCATAATGTTTTAGCAGTGATCTGGGGGCCCTCACCACACCGAGAATGAAGATTCTCAGAAGACGGTCCTGACTCGCAGAAGTCGGTAGCGGCGCCAAGAGTAGCGGTCCCTGCTCCTGTCCTGTAAATTTGTTGATGATGGAGAAAATTCCATGAGCGAGCTCGAACATTTCATATTTGAGAAGCTCGTTTTGCCAAGTTGCTAGGTCTACAAGAAATTTTTTCACATTAATCAATTGGATCTTTACGTCTAGGTCTTCGTCTTCCTCCTCGTCGGCCTCGGTTGCATCGCTGTCTGAAGATTGAGACTTTCTGTGGAACCATTCTTTGTTATGCTCGATCTGTCTTTTGTAAAGCTCATACTGGATTAGACAGTTTTCGTCCACGTTCAGAACGTAATCGGTGACCATGGGCTCACAGATGTCCCAACTCAATGTGTCTAAGATGTGCCTTTCCATTTGTAAAAACATACTTTCGTCAAAAACTTCGGCCCCGCCGCAGTAATGTACGAGTTCTGAGAGTCTTGGAATACGTGCTCTTGGATTGGGCCCGTAAAACCTACCTCCAGTAGGTACTGAGATATTGTTTATGATGTGATTGCAACCGCCCCATGTTTTGGCTGCAAGCCACAGACAGGTGGTAATGACCAATTTGGCCTGCTCTCTGAGAACAACTCTCTTGGAGCAGTAACGGTCGTACAGACGAGCAGCATGGAAAAAAATCCCATTGGTAACGCGGGTCTTGACTGCAAGCTCGAATAGAACCGTCATAACCTGCTGACGGGTCTGATGCAAATCCATTTCCGGCTGTTGTTCGATCAGCTTAGGATCCGGCTTGAATTTGCATGATTGTGATATTACGTTCGCGGATATGTCCTGATGGTAGTCTTGGATGGTCTCGTAATGTGCTAGCAATTCAGCATTGGAAAGCTCAATTGGATAGTATGTCTGTTTGGCAGTGACAATAAGTCCCTGCTGGATGTTGTCGTAAGTTGTCATGAAGAAAGGCAGTGAAAGGAATGGCGAGAGATGAGCGATAGTGATTTCCAACTTCAGACCAGAACGTTTCCTCCGATGATCTGCTTGCTGGAAAATGAATGATCCGGACTATGACTAGTGCAACTCAATGGGAAAAGAACGAATGGAACGGAGTGAACAAAGTTGCCGGCACTAGTGTTTGAAGAGCTTAGACTTGGCTTCTTGGGTTTTCCAAAATCTGGGAATTCACACTACTCTTCAATCCTGCCAGGCTTCTTTAACCTTATATATCAATAGCAGCGACCACGAAAAAAAAGTGTTGTTCAACTTTCAAGAAAGTCCATCATTGGAGATCACGAAATCTACTGTTTCGATCATCTTTTCCTGGACCGTACATTCACAAATCTAGCAGTGCCCAGGACGCCCTGAATCTGATCTTCGTAGCTGTCTTTTACCAGTTGGTGAATCCAAAAGTAGTTAATACCACGCTCGAGACATTTGAGTTTTTCGCGGACCGGTCGTACGCCGTGTTCTGAGGCGCCACAACCACGACGACGGTTTGAATAAAGTGCCAAGCTGTCGAGTAAGTACTACTGGAAAGGGCTGAGAGGACGCAGCTAAGGCCGGTAGCACCACGCGTAGTCGACAGGGTCTCCTTTTTTTTTTTTGGACCTGGGCTATGGAATCTCAATGTGAAAAATTTCGGTCGCTCCACTTGAAGCCCTGGCGCGGCATTCGACCCGTAGAGTATTCGCGGCAGCTGAGGCCGCAGAGACCTTTAGTACAGCGGACGGACATTGCCACGTTTCTAGAGTTTCGTTTTGCCAGGTCAAAATAACGTTTGGCGACAGATTGGGAATAAAAACCAGAACCGATCGATGAGCAAGAGGAATTTTGCCGAGAAACTGTAGCAACGAGAAAGAAGAAGACGGTTTGTGGACCTGTGATAGCACGTCTGTTTTTTGGTTCCGGGTCTCTTCTTCTCCTGATTCTTTGTAGTATGAGTCGGCACCGTTCCACAGCATTGCCGTTCGAGTCTCTTGGCTCGTGATGATGTCGAACTCAGAGATGCGAATTGTGTTCTCTGGCGTCTGCAGCACCAGCACGACATTGAAAGGGGCCGAGAACCAAATTTGGCGCGATAACAAAACCGTTTCTGGAAGTGTTAGTTTCTGGAATGGAATCTGAGCTCCAGAGATAAAAAACTCCACTAAGCTACCTTTGGTGTCGCTGGAAACAAGTGCAAATGGGCTCTCTGGTCCGATCGTTGTTCCGCTGTTGCTGTCATTGTTGCAGCACACCCAGCAGTTTTGTAAATGATGATGGTCTGCCGGGACGCTTGTTGTCAAAAAAATTTGGTTCTCTTTGTCGACCACATACGTATTCAGAAACGTTTTGAGAAGAAGCGAGTCCTGGTCAAATTTCCGCGCCAAAACCATAAACTCCCGCGCACCAATCACGTAAACTCCATCGCCCTTCTCCGTATCCAGCCTTATTTGGCCCTTGTAGCGATTGTTTAGCGTATCGAAAATGTGCAGGACTCCGGAAACACTGTCAGTGGACAGAATCCAGCCCAGAGTCGGCAAGACCCGAAAACTTGATATTACAAAATTCACTCCTAGCACACACTCCTCTTGCAAAACATCGGAGCCTGGTTCGAACCACATTCGAACCACATTGCCCGCTTTCTTCCCAAATATCGACAAAACTTGATCTCTGTCACTGTCATCAGCCAATTTAAAACATTGAAATTCGTTATAGCCTTCAGCAAGGCCACAATTGACCAAACCCTGCTCAAAATAGACCTCTAAAAAGCCATTTCTTACCGTAACTAGCCATTCATCCTCACTGTAAAGAGTCTCCTCAGCCATTGGCCCTCTTTTGTACTGAAGTTGTTCGTTTTTCACTTTTTGTTGGCAGTTCAAATATCAATACATCAAATACATGGCATTGATGTTGTCCATCTCATCATTGTGGAATTTTCACGAAAATCACAATAGTAAGCGTCTGTAAATCTAGCTGCTGCCATTAGAGCTGGTTTCTGATATTCGGCAGCATTACAGGTCTTGTCACGGTTTTTTTTCAGGTCCATACGATGTGGAATGGTCGTAAATACGCTGAAAACAGTGTTGATGGTGATGACAACACTGGAGGAATCTACAAATGGACAATGGATGCACTTTTTGGACGTCGAATATCGCCCTCGCGACGGTTTAAGGAAGTCTCACAGGACGACACTAACTATAGGCTTAGACGAAACAGTGAGATGCCCAAAAAAAAATGGGACGGTGTGGAATACCAGTCATCTGAAAGAACAAGAAAAAGATCAACATCCGTTTCGTCCAATAGATCATTTTTACAGCGATATGATTTACTAAATGACGAAGACGCGGAATCCGATTTTGACTTCAAAGAATTGAGCGATCTCCGCCGAAACCGCAGAAACAATGTGCCCGCTGAGCACAGTTCTGCACTGCATAATGACAGTACCGATACGTTTTCAGCTCGCAGAAATAAACTGAATTTAAAAGCCCGCGGTGTGAACTCGACTTTTCTGCCAGACAGGGAAGAAGACAGTCTCAAAGTTACTGCTCCAAATCTCAGCGACCCTTTGATCTCTAAGCTGTTTGGTAAAGAAACGGGGGTTCAACTGCCATCCGCAGATCTTCCTGGAAAGTTTCCTTCGCCTCTCAAGCAGCGAGATGCTCCATCTCAAACAAAGGCTGTCACAGACGACTACCTGCAACTTTTGGAAGATCTCGATCTGAACGGGCAGAGGCTTAAACAACTTCAGGGCAGCATTCAGCAAAATCAAGATCACCAGCGGTCTGTGGAAATGAGCTACCGCGAAAAATACTTCGTCGTGCGTCAAGAGTTGATAGCTGAGTTGAAGCAGTCAAAACACATTTACGACCACTACTACAAACTTTACGGCAAATACAAGCAATTGAAGTCTTCAAAGGTATCACAAATCGATGCTGAAAAACGAATACGGAATCTAGAATCCCAAGTCGTCGATGCATCAATCGAGCGGGCCGGCGAGATTCGTCAGCTCAATGAGACGATTTTCCGCGTCAAGCTTGAGCAGCAAGAAGAACGAGCCAGAAACGATCATGAGAGAATCCGATATCAGTCTCGCATCATGGAGCTCGAAAACCTTCTACGATCACGACTCTCAGACTCGCCATTAAAACACGCAGACCGTGTAGCGTCGCAGATGCGAGTTGATGAAACTCAACCGTACTCGGAAACGTTTACATAAATCATACCCTACAAGAAAGACCACAGGTCTGTTTGTTTTTTAAAGTTTCTGGAAGCTGGTTGGCAAATCTAGTGAGTATCAGTTTAAACCAAAATTAAGTCGTACATATTTGACGAATTTCTACCGTCGAAATGGGAATCCTACAAACAAGAACTATATTTTTAAGATCAGTATATTTTAGGAGTAGTCAAAATCAATTCAAAAGCGGTTTCTGGACCCTTCTTGTTGAATGTTCTAGGTCGATGGTGTTTTCTGGCCTTTCTGTCACTAGTATACACAATTTATCGAACTGGAGCTTATTTTTCAATTATCAGTCAAGAGTTCAAAAAGAATACGAATTACAGCATAAAATCGACCATTGACGATCTCTAAAGTGACGCTTGACCACTTGATTAAATTGTTGAGCTTTTAGCAAAAGCGGAAAGCTTTTTTTCGAAGTCAAACGAACAGTTTTGGCTACTTTTTGGCCAGTGCGTCTTCAATATATCCATTTGGAACTCAGTGGTCAGAACCATTGAATAATGTCCATGGTTCAGTCTCCAAACGCTAATGGAGGGCCAGATAGCAGTTCTAAGGAGTCTGGAGCTACTCCAGGTGTCAATTTTTCCAAAATGACACCTTCTTCGGCAAACAGTGGAGCCCAAACTGCGGCTAGTAATACTACCAATAGCCAAGCAATGCGTTTGAATATGGAGTCAATGGTAGAAGCTTTCACCGAGGTGTTAGGAAAAGATAATTGGAATAAATACGCCCAAATCATCAGTTTGTTTATCTTGGGCAAACTGTCCAGGAAAGAGCTAGTAAACGAAATTGACCTTATATTCAGCTTTCCACGAGAGTCCGCTAGGAACTCCAAATCTTCTCAAAATGCCTTGAGCCATGCAAACCTGATACGAATGCACAATCAGCTCCTGCTTGCGATCCTGGCAAACTCGTTGCGGGAAATGCCAACGGGGGAGTCAAATGAAGGTTCATGGGGCTTCAACAACGGTTCTTCCAACGCAAGCAAGAAAAGATCAAACAAGCACAACTCACAAATTGACACTTATAAGAAGATAGTGATGTCACTGCCGACTGAAGATAGAAGTAGACTGAAAGCTATCACCAAAGAAGCGGGCAAACGTGGTTTCGTGTTATGCTCCGTGCTGCAAGCAAGACTCAACACCATTCCTAAGATACCGATAGTAACAAACCCGGAAACTCTGAAAAGGGTAAAAGCCAGCAACTTGAAAACGCCTCTAGAGTGGTCTCAGGAAATCGTTAATGGATTTTCAGCACCTTTGGCAACAGAAAGTTACTCTTTACCCGATAATGATTCTCTGTATCTCCGAATGATCAGTTTAGCACGCGAGCATGGACTGGTAGGTGCTGTCGATGGTCGTTGTGTCGAAATCATGACCCTGGCTCTTGAAAACTACCTCAAAAATGTGGTTGAGTCCGCAATCGACACTGTACGCTACAGACGAAAATATCATTCTGATTACTATGACTTGAATGACGAAGGTTTTTACAAGGGTGTTACAAGTAATGATGAAGACGAAGTTTTCGAAGATGGTGAACCAATCCATGATATAAGGTCGATATCGAATGTGGAAATGTCGGAAACCCTGACCATCTATCCAAATCTGGTAGCACCAACTGGTGCTCAGCTGGACCTGAATATGTGCGGATTAACGAACGACGACGAACTTGTCGAAATGAAGAGTAGTATCGATGATCTGCCGGAGTTTCTTGAAGAAAAGCCAAACTTCACACCTGTCGACGATAAGAATGTGGGCAGCGGAGAAGAGCTAAAATGGTTGATAAGGCAAATTCTCACCAAGGAATAGTTCGATCTGCACCTCAAGTTACCATATTTCTGTTGTGCATATAAAGGTCGGAACATTATAAAAATCTGGATTATTTACAATTCTCTTTTTTACGTAGGCGTCTGTGACGCCTCGAGATGACTGATGTGGCATGCACTGTCCAGTAGGGTGCTGGCTTTCGCTGTACCGCCGTCGAAAAGATTGAAAAGGAAAAGAGATTTTGTTTTCAACAAAAGCGTCTGTAATATTATAGCCAAGGGCGGCTTTGTGGCAGGAGCGGTATCGCGAAGGTTGGCCAACTTCTCCATCGTCGACGGGTCGTTGATCTCCAGGTAGTAAGCTTCACAGCATTTAATTTGGTCTCTCCATATCTCTGCCTTCAAAATTCCAACATTTCCAGACCCCGCATTGGTTTCCAGGAAAGCTGATTGTTCATTTACATCTTGTGTAGATCGCATTTCAAGCACAGTTGAATTGATTTCAATAGCGTCCTTCTTCAAGACGAGCTGGATATCTTCTTTCGCATTCTGTTCTATTGGTAGAAACAGGTCACAAGATTCTGATCCTTCAGAGAGAGAAACGTATTGCGTCATGATTTTACTTTCTTTTGTGAGGAGGAACTCTAAAAATGCTTTCTTCAAATGCTGTTGCCTACCAGTGGGGGAAGACAACAGGCTGAAATTGAGTTGTTTGTTCAAACACATTAGAAAAAAAGGCTCACACTCTTGGTTAATCAGCTCTTGTTCGCTAATAAGTTTTCGTGGTATGATCCTACTGAACAAACAAGATTTTGTCTCATTCAAGGAAATTGTCTTTGAGGAATAGTCCACATCTGAGTTTTCGACGAGCTCATCACCGATGAATGCGAAAACCCGAATCTTACCACGAAGCTCGTCAATGCTGTTTTCCATGACTCTTCTTCTAATCTGCTCTTTTTCCATCTTATCAAACTCCTGATTGTATTGTGTTTCTATAACAAGAGCCTTTTCCTGGATCACATCAGTGGCTGTTTTGCACTCCAAATATGTGGCTTCTGCGTTGTTCTTGGCCTCGACATTTTTTGTTCGTTCGTTCATACATTCTGTGATTAGCGAATCTACTGTCGAAATTTGTTGCATCAATTCAGAACAACGATCTTCATATTGGGCAATTTGATCTTTTACTGACTCTGCTTCCCTTTTGAGCATATCGTTGTCTTTTTGAATTTCCTCGCCTTTTGCCCGCAATGCGTGCAACGGTTCTTTCTTCTCTGTCAAAAGTTTCTCCAACAGTAGATCCAATTCCTGGCTTTTCATCTTGCATGCTGATGCATTACTGGCGGCCAATGCTTCAACTTGCGTTTCACGCAGACGTTTCTCTTTTTGCAGGTTCTCAATTTCAGCGAGAACGACCGGATCGGGTTGTTCGTTATCAATTTCTCGCAGCTTAGCATCCCATTCGGCAGTACATTTAGTGATATTCAGGTCCAATTCGTTTTGAATCTCTTGCAGTGCAACCTGGTGTTTAAGCTGGATGTGTCGAAGATCAAATTCTGCGTCTCTCTTCAAAGTTTCACAGTCGTTGGCCCTTTCATCGAGCTTAGTGGTGAAATCTATCAGTTCTTTTCGCAGTTCGTTGCACAATGCATTTTTCTTCGATGTCTCATATCTTAGATCCGGCAGATCTCGTTCGCGCACTATCCTTGTCTCTGTATCAATCTCCACAATAGATTTCCGGAAATGCTGAATATCCCGGGCTATTTTGCGTTCTCTTTTCTTAACCTCCTCAATTACCTTCGGATCTCCATAGTAGTATCTGTTCATAAGTCGCATGTTTGGATCTGCCACAGAAGTAGACGGCATAGTGTATTTCCGATGACTGTTCTTGAAATGTTCACTTAACGCTATCGTATTCGTAACGTCTCCCAGAACATGGGCCCGCTTGTTGGACATGCCGAGGCGCTCCGGTGAGCCCAAGGGTCTCTTATGAGACGATATTCCAGGGATCTTCGTGTGGCTCATTGTGTTTAAAATCGGTTTCAGAATTGTCAGGTCAAAAACGGTCGAAAAAAGATCACAGAAGTCACGTAAAAAACCAAGGTTTTGAGCACAAACGTACTCTTGTGGAATATGACGCTTAAAACCTGAGGAGAACGCCTTTACAGCTGTCGGAGCGCTTGAGATGAGCTAGTGGTAAAGATATGTTGTTGGGTTAAATAATTGTAAACATTGAACACATGCTTCCATAATCACTATCCACGAGTTTGAAGTGAGCCAGCCAACACACCCATACACCGCACTGTACGCACTTTATATTTACATGAATGAATAAACGCAAGAGTGAGAATGTATGGGACTAGAGTAACAAGCTTTTTGAGAGTAAGCGCTGCTATCTCGATTATGTGGTTTATTCATTCAAAATCGGAGCTGCTGACGTTGCGGGTCATCGCTGGTAGAGCCACGCGGATTCCATCGATGTCTTTGCTCATTTTGATCTGACAACCCAGCCGACTGGTTTCTGTTAAGCCATAAGCCAGATCCAGCATGTCATTCTCATCGTCATCGGGCTCTTCCAAAGCATCATAGTATTCTGGATCGACGATCACGTGACATGTGGAACAAGCACAAGATCCACCACAAGCACCTTCCATGTCCAAGTTATGAGCCTGAGCAATGTCCAGAAGCGAGTCTCCTGCACAAACTTCGTATTTTCGCTGTGTTCCATCCTTCAAAATGAATGTGACGTTCAATTCCTCACCCACCTTAGGCTTATGCACATGACCGTGGAACCGTATGGGTGTAAATGACACTTTTGGGACGCCAGAAACGGCAAATCTTGGAGTGGGCAATGCACGCGTCACGATTCTCGGCAAGAAAGTTGCTCTGAACATATAATTGATGGGTGGAGGATGAGTAGTGGGTGGTTTATTCTACTGTTAAAACGATGAGTACTGCGTTTCTCGATATAATTTTAAGCTTTAATTATATCGATAAAACTGCCACCGTATTCAGTGATCGATAATTCAAGAACAATCTCAATCAATTTCTCGGACGTACATCGGTGATATCTAGGCCGTAAAATCCGAATCGAAGTTGTCTGATACGTTGGGTGGAGCTTCGATATAATTAAGCCGTTTATTATTGTTTTGATGGTGGGGAAAACGTTTCCTGCTTTTATGGATGATAAACAATTCGGATTGGGAGTGGAGGTCAAATATGATCATAATTGCAGTCATTCATTAAAGCTCACTGATTAGTGAACGTCGTGCGAGCCGTACCGCTATGGTCACTGGAAGCAGTGATGTGAGTGGATTTACAAAAATACAACGTGACCTAATGTCATATACGTACAAAGTGATGTACTCTTTCCATTCCAAATGGGGCTAGAGACCAACGTCGAGATTGCTAGGCTCCTGGTCCACAACAATGAGTGATTAAAGTATTTCTAATCATCTGAACTTCTACCAACCTTCAATAACCAGAAACACGCTCAATTGCCAAGGTTTCGTATATAGTTATCTGTAATTCTCCTTCGTAACCCTGGCATCACCCTCTTGAAGTGAAGCCTAGCGTCCCCAAAGATGTGCCATGAATTGCAGGAACTCTAACGTCCCCGCCGCTGTACTTTTTCCGTTTTTCCACACTCTATCTTCTCTTCGCCCGTCTTCAATTCTTAGTCCTAGGAGACCCCTCACCAAATTCACCTAAATTGGATGCCATCCTGACAAGATGCCACACCGTTCGTAAAACTAAACAGCAGCTCATTTTTGAAACGGTGCCCACACATCCAACTACTTCTAAAATGACCAGTTTACTCTCTACTTATGAGGCGGAGTTCAAGACCACACTGCAGCAAGCGAAAACGCTGCTTTCAGTGGCCCCTTCTCAACCGATCAGCCAAAGAAATGGCACTTTGAAAGAAGTGGAACAGCAGCACGACGAATTGCTCGATTTGATCGATCAAATCGAGATAGAAATCAATAATGGAGCATTAGATCTACAAGAAAGGAGCTCGTTCAAGGCCAAAGTTCGTGATTTCAAAAAACAAGTTCAGAATGATGTGAAAGTGCAGTTGCAACAACTCCAGGACTCTCGCAATAGAGATCTCTTGTTCGACGGTGCAGGGGCTGGAGATGACGAAGCAAACAATAGCAGTGGCCAACGCCAGCAGTTATTATCAAATCATGCTGTACTTTCTCGTACCGGTGACAAACTCCGAGATGCAACCAGGGTGGCCGTCGACACTGAGGGTGTGGGTTCTCAGATCATGATGGATCTACGAGCTCAAAGGGAAACTTTAGAAAACGCAAGGCAAACGCTGTTTCAAGCTGACTCTTACGTTGATAAAAGTATAAGAACTCTCAAAACTATGAGCAGACGGCTCGTCGCCAACAAGTTTATCAGTTACGCAATTATCGCAGTTCTGATATTGCTGATTCTTCTGGTATTATTCGCCAAGTTCAAGTGAAAACGATGTGTAATCCGAAATTTATTGGTTGTATACCAGTTGAGATTGACAGGCTATGAAAACTCACCGTGATGATGCTACGTTGAAGTATTTGTAGCTTTAGTATGTGTAGCTTTAAGTTAACCGCATGATGATACAAGAGCTACTATATTCTCTACATGTCAGATTCTTATTTCTTCTTAATAAAGTCGATTTTATCACATACGATTTATCTAAAATGAGAAACTTAGGAGGAACTTATTGCCCCTCATTACGGGTGTTCAAAAGTTCTTCTTCGTCTGCCCTCTTCTCGGCAGCCTCTTCGATATTAAAGGTCGACAGCTTGCTTTTCAAATCACCGATGATAGCAGCCTCTGAATCGTGAGTGGTTGGAGCTTTGGATCCTTTTTCAACGACTTCTCTCTCGGTTGGATCCTTTGGAGGAACTTGTTCTTCCTGCTGCTCGGCGCCACGTGAAGCAGACCGATTCCGAACGTTGGCAAGACTGTGTATCCTTTTCTCTTCTTCGCTCAAGTCTAGCAAAGTACCCGTTAAGTTGACTAGTGATTTTGCACTCTTACGCCTGGCCATTCGGCCAAGACCAGGCCGAGTAGGCGATGAAGCACGCGATGAAACACTGGCAGCGGCGGAGTTTGAATTTCTGGAACTCTTTGGTAAACGAAGACATGACACACCGGCATCGTGAATCCATTTAGCCACCAAAGCGGTCCAGCCACATTGATGAGAAGCCCCGAGACCCCTGCCAGTATCTCCATCAAAGTATTCAAAGAACGGAATGAGATCTTTGAAATGCTCATCTTCAGACAGCATGTTGGCACTTTCGCCGTCGTAGACAGCACGCACACCATGCTCATCTGGCATAAATAGATGAATTAACCTGTGTTCCAGTTCCTCTGCAACTTCAGCCAGATTCAACATAATACCAGATCCAACTGGACACTCAACCTTGAAATCCGGTCCGTAATACAAGAAAAATCTTTGTAAAGATTCGATCAGTAAAAAGTTGACTGGAAACCAGATAGGACCACGCCAATTCGAATTCCCTCCAAACATACCGGAGTCTGACTCACCAGGTAGATATTTGACGGTGTACTGATTACCATTGACATCCATGGAAAATGGGTGTTCCTCATGATACTTCGACAAAGACCTGACTCCAAAATCAGACAAAAATTCAGTTTCGTCAAGCATACGCCTCAAAATTGCTTCTAGCCTTTCTTTGGTGACTAAGGACAAAAGCAATCTCTCGCCTACACCTCTTTTCTTCATGGATGCGATGTTCCTTCCAAAAATTTCAGGCTTGTTGTTGACAAACCAGTCCAAACGTTTCTTAAAGCTTGGAAATTTGTCCAGAATTTGGGGCTCCAGAGTCATACAAGCATACAATGGGATAAGACCGACTAGAGATCGAATAGGAAGCTGTTGTCTGAAAGGACCTCCCCATGAAATAGCGTCATAGTAAAATTGATCCTCTTCGTTCCAAAGGGATTCTTTGACTTCCTCGTGGAAATCCTCACCGTCCCTGTTCTTCGTGTAGTCGAACGACATGGCGTCACTAATCAGAATAAAATGTTCGAAAAATTTGGATGCAATATCCTCGTAAACTGGGTTCTCTTTGGCTAGTTCCAACGCGATGTTGAGCATTTGTAGACTGAAAAAGGCCATCCAGCCTGTAGAATCGGCTTGCTCCAATACACCACCTGTGGGTAAAGGCTCGGACCGGTTGAAAACACCTATATTATCCAATCCCAAGAAACCGCCCTCAAAAATGTTCTGACCATTAGAGTCTTTCCGATTTACCCACCAAGTGAAATTCAGTAGTAGCTTTTGAAAGACTCTTTCAAGAAATACCCGATCCTCACGCTTATACATGTTTCTTTCAATCTTGAAGACACGATAGACAGCCCAGGCGTGAACTGGCGGATTGACATCGCCAAAATTCCATTCATAAGCAGGCATCTGACCGTTTGGATGCATGTACCATTCTCTAGTCATGCGGTCCAATTGTCCCTTGGCAAATTCGGGATCGATCATGGCCAATGGTATACAATGAAACGCTGTATCCCACGACGCGAAAAAGGGATACTCCCACTTATCAGGCAAAGACAGAATATCATCAACATACATGTGTTTCCAATCTTTATTTCTACCGTTAGCTCTGTTAGGAGGGGGACGAGGTTTGACATTAGGGTCACCATTGTGCCATTGTTCCTGAATAAAATGATAGAATTGTTTGGACCACAGTAGACCTGCAAATGCTTGTCTCTGCACGCGTCTAAGCTCGTCGCTGATGGGAAGCGGAGTAATTTTCCAGTAAAAATTATCTGCCTCTTCTTCACGCCTTTCAAAAATCGCATCGAACTCTTCTTCATCAATCACCAACTCGTCATTGTACTTGGGTAGTTCAATGTCAGTTAGCTTGTATCTTACTGTAACATATTCTCCAGGAGGTACTTTGGGGAAATGATAAACAGCACAACTTTTGGTACCTACATTTTCTGGGTTAACGGCTTTTTCGTTATGCTCCACGATATACTCGTGGAACGCATCTTTGGCAAAAGGTGCTGGATTTGGTCCACTATCAAACAGTTTTTCCAAATTCGATTCATTCTCGGTAAATAGCAATTGCGGTTCCACATCTTGGGTTTCACTGTCCTCGTCACCGAATCCACCTGGAGATGGAGCAAAAACTGCAGTTCTATGCCCATATTTCTTGCATTCCAAGTTGATATAATTGCTTCCCCCCTTTGACAGCTCGGGTTTATCAGCGGTACTCCGACACCAACCCCAGTTATTGCGGAACAATACCTGGGGCATCAAATACAGCTCTCCTGTACGCTTGTCGCTTCTGTTGTATGCGGTGATTCTGAAGTTTAGGTCGTTCGGGTTGTCATCGCCCTTGGCCATTTCAAACACCACGTCAAAATAAGGCGTGTCGCCGTGCTCCTCGCTCGTGTAAAGCCCGTCAATGTTGTAAACTTCAAACTCACGATCTTCGTAGCCACGCTCGCCGTTCTTGGCCACGAGTTCCTCGTAGGGGTAAGCCTTGGCAAACGGATACTTGTAAAGGGCCTTCATGTACGAGTGGGTGGGAGTGTTGTCAACGTAGTAGTACAATTCCTTCACGTCCTCACCGTGATTTCCCTGAGGCCCCGTGACACCGAACATCCGCTCCTTGAGGATCTCATCGTGGCCATTCCACATGGCAACATTGGCGCAAATGAGCTGGTGGTTGTCTGAAACACCGAAAATACCGTCTTCACCCCATCTGAACACTCTGGAGGCTGCATGCTCGAACGGAAAATCCGTCCAGGCGTCACCACTTTCGGAATAGTCTTCGCGGACTGTTGCCCAGGCACGTTCGCTGAGGTAGGGACCCCATTTCAGCCAGTATTTCTGATGGGTCTTATTTTCGTGCAAACGACGCTCCTCAAGGGTAGCGTCAACGAATTGGTCTTTAAGTTCCGATTTATATACCTGCGACATGGAGAACTGTTTGGCAAAAAGTTTGGGTGTGGTGTCTGGGTGTTTGCGTATATCACTGTTCACGAACCAACTAAAATCTGGAGATCGGCGCTTATCAAAGTTTCTTAACCCCTCGAAAAAGGACGACGACGACGAAGACGCGGAAAAAAGCCTCACAAGTCAAGCCAAATCAAACGGAACGTTGTGTGCTGCGCTTGTTTACCACTTTTCGCACGTCTATGGTGTTCTTATTGTTGTATGTTTTTTCTGGAACTCGTCAGAAGCAGCCGGATGCTGTATTACGCACGCGACGCTAGATACGTATATATATATATATATATATATGTATATATAATTGAAGTGTGAAGAACGTGTCTCTTCCACTATCACCAGCTTCGGAATCACGAGTCCTGGTGTGCTATTTAACGTGATTGCACTGATGTGTGAGTGCAGTATCGGATTTGCCGCTTTCTTGCAAAGTGGTTATCATAGGTACATTCTTGCCACCTCGAATAGCGAGCCCTTTTATACAGGTCTTGTTCTGGTTGCCCCAGATCAAAAATGCCCCCTAAAAAACCCAAAAAAAAAAGATCTCGGGCGGGTGGGGTATCCCTAGAAAGAAAAATAAAAAAAGGGGACGGGGGTGAGGAGGCCGGTCCTGTCACATGTTTCTCAGGTGACCGGTTTCTGTCAATTCGGAGTGGCATGTGAAGAGGAAAATCCCGTTCTCCGATCACATGGGGTGTTTGATTAACGAGCAATAAAGGTTACGGTGATGATGATGTAAGCGTTTTTTGTGGTGAAAGCTTAGCAATGCGACACATTTGAGGAGACGTGGCGGTTTCCATAGGGAAAGGTGGAACGACCGCAAAGGAAGTGTTGATTGAAATCTGTGAGAGATGAAGCGTGGAACCCGGGATTTGTATAACGACTTGGAGATGAATTTCGGATTGGGTAAGATGGAATGTTATGGTGATCACTTTGTACGTGTGTGTCGTTTCCGGAAAACACATACAAGGCTCAGTCTCCCAGTGTAAACAAGGCTCAGTTTCCCGGTGTACACATACGATATGCATCAGTAGATGGGAAAATGCATCACAGGTTCAAAATAGCAGCACACACACACACACACAGCAAGGAAATTCCACATCACTTCTTACGTCCGGATCCTCGTATCACAACCTCTATGTCGTATCACGTCCACGTCCGTTTCCCTCCCGGCGCGTGAACGAGGTTTTTTTTCGCAATCCGCGTCGAAAACCGTCGCTAACAATAGCAAATCCAGACATCACACCGCAAGGTATCCCATAGCCACGTTTCGCGGAAAATCTGCAATGAAAAAAAAAAACCTTCGTGTCGTCTGAAGTGATAGAGATGTTATGGCTTTTGGCCTAGATTGACGATGTCACAGGCATCACCGAACTATGAGTCAAAATCGATGAACCAGGAACGTGTGTTCTACTCTATACTCCCAATATCCTATGCAATTTGTTCCGTTAAAAATGTATAGAGCCGAAGGCTAGTTAGCTATCATGATTATGTAAAAATTTGGGGTTTTAATGCTATGGTTTTTGTAGCTTCTGCGTTAAAATTCCGGCTCTGTTTGTTGTATTCCTTTCCAATTGTGTATCCGATCGTGATTCGTTGCTGGTGCGTGCGTGAAACATATGTGCTGTTTCTACACGCCCGCTAGCCACAGTCTGTAGTTGTCCTGTGCAGCGTTGGCGAATTGGTCCGGAATCGGCAGAGAGTAGTCCGACACCATGGTTTTGGCGTCGTCAATCGGCAGACAATCGTAGGATCTTGGTAGCATGGAAAGTTCGGTGTCGAGGGCAAACAACTCGTCGTCGTCGTCCGCGGTGTGAGCCACGGCTCCAAACCCGGGCGATTCTATCAGAAACTCCTCATCCGGAATCATGTCTGTAGCGGAACCGTATGAGCTGGGACTGTGTTGAAGGGCTGGGGCATCATTGGTGAGCGAAAACGAGAACACCTCGTCCTGAAAATCTTGTTGGCTGTAAGTCATTGTGTGGGCTATTGATTGTTTGGAGTGTGAATGGTACTAGTTCTTTGTAATGGTGATATCTCAAGCGTATTGTAGTTTGTAGTGTACTACTTCTTTGTAATGGTGATATCTCAAGCGTATTGTAGTTTGTAGTGTACTACTTCTTTGTAATAATAATATCTCAAATGTATTGTAGTTTGTAGTGTACTATTTCTTTGCAATTGTTTGTCACTAAGCTCAATTAGCCAAGTATTGATGTTGTATTTGCTTGCTTTCTATATTCTCTACACACCAAGCTTGTCTCTCATCTCTCCATTTGTCTTTCTTATATACCAACTACCGCTTGTCAAAATTCTACTACAATTGCTCATCAACCCTCCGCTTACTCACGTTGAAAAAACCACACCTGTGAGGCCTTTGGTGTCCTCATGGGTGTCATTGCAATAATTTTGTCATCATCAGTCTTGACTTTACTCTTTGATGACTCTAACCGTCAACACAGACATGCGGGCTAAATTTTTTAGTCACCCAATTCCATGTGGGTGTTATGTATGTGTAAGCGAGCCACACCTAGATATGTCAATACATGGAAGCGGATAGCACACCCAAGAAGGAACGAGAGAGAAGGAGAGAGCATTGGTGACGGAGAATGATGATGCTGATGAGATGAGGATGGCTCTTTTTTTTCCCCCGGTTGTTGTCTTTTTTCGCATCGGTGATCGTTATCGAAGAGAGAAGAGAGGGCAAGTCACAACACAGTGTGTTTGTTGTTGATTTTAATTTTAGTGGAGAGAGACAAAGGATATTGGGATTGTGAAGTCCCTATGGGATCGTCGTCGACATCGTGACAAGGTCAGAGAGATAAGCGATGGGCAAGGAGAGTCTGGGAATTTAGCAGTGTGAGTCATGAGTAATAGCTACGGGTCACGGATGGATATTGGATTCGAAACGGGGGTCTTGGAGAGAGAGACTGAAACTGGGTCTACGGTTTCATTGGTCTAGAACAAGGGTGCCAAATTGTCACACCCAGACTAGACTACCTTGATGGTTTCGCATCTTGCTGGACAGTAGCAGCAGGGTGAGAATACACGTTAATAGATTTGGGTTTTTTTTTTCACTCACCCACACTTATTAATCTATTTTCGCTAACAGGATAGAACACCCTGGTTGTTGGACGAAGACAGTGTGGGATAAAGTGATATGGGTGTGTGGACACCTCGTCCGGAGTTTTCTGATGCCATCCGCACTCGGACAGGTACTACGCGTTGTGGTCGTGGTGGTGTGTGGTGGGTGGTGTTGATTGGACCGACGACACACGGGTGATGCGGTAGTCTGGTGTTGAGGGGAGACTGGTAGTGTAGAGATCTGGTGGGAATCGGGTCGTACAGGATGGAAGAATTCGACTGGACCAAAATGTAGAAACAAGACCCGTAGATGGTTAATGTTTGCGTGAGGCTTTATGGAGTTTCTGTGAGGTTTTATCAAGTATATGCACGTGACTGGTGCCAAGCCGGGAGAAAGTGACTTGGGATCCTGTGTGTGGTGGGCTTAAACAGAAGCCCTTGCCCGAATTTCTTCCGGCGTCATTTTTTTTCGTGTCGACACGCGCAAGTGCCCGTGACGATCAATACGAAAATACTATTTTTGAAACATTGGTTCGGATATTCAAAGCCACATTTACCATCGGGACGCCGCGGTCAAGGCCTCTGGTGGTATGGGGCATGCTGACACGGCTAGTTAGTCTCATCTTGTGGCATTTTGCCATCAACGGACGAGTGTCAGTTTAGAACATAATGATCAGCTTGTCAATGCCAAGTACCTCCCGGAATGCAATTCCAAAAGCGTCTCAATTTCGTGTGAGTTCTGATATTTCATTCGTTCTCCGAAACTGTTCAAATTCTCACATTATCATCAATTCACTCATCCATATCACTATCCACGACTAATGCAACTCCGGTCTTTTCACTTCCTACCTTGAATGCCATAAATTGTGCTATAAACCAATGCTCTGTAAACGCATTAACATACCTCGAGCCACTTAGATGTTTCTGAGATCGTATCGGCTCCCCTAGTAGCTTGTTGTTCGTGATTTTGGCCCATACGCTTCAACGTAAGAACTCACCATTCGTAAGCTTGACTTCCAGCTTATAATCCGGCTGGAATGCAGCGTATAAACTTTCAGGATCCGAAGTGTTGAAATACGTGTAGTAAGCGGCCTCGTCGTCAATAATTCTTCTCTTCAAACCGGCAACAGACGCCATTTCCACTTGTAATTGGACTTGGCAAGTTCTCTCCATTAGACAAAACAGGTAAGCAGCCTCGTCGACGGTTTCGCCCACCGTGAGTAGCCCATGGTTTACCAATAATAGCGCCTTCCTATGGCCCAAAGCTTCTGCCAAACGTCGACCTTCTTCTTGCTCCAGTACCACACCACCGAAATCTTGGTACACTGCGTGACTCTTGTAAAAGATACAGGCATCCTGATTGATCATATCTAGTTCTTTGCCGAAAGCTGCCCAGGCTTTACCGTACACGGTATGGGCGTGGCAAGCAGCGTTCACATCGGGTCTGGATTTGTGAAGCTGAGCGTGGATTCTGAATCCAGCCCCATTGATAGCGCTCTGATTGCCATCCTTAAGTACGTTGCCCTCAGAGTCGATGTGCACGAGATCCGAGACGCAAATCTGGCTGAAATGCATTCCTAGTGGGTTGATCCAAAAGGTTTCTCGGTCTACAGGGTCTCTAACGGAAATGTGACCCGCAGGACCTTCGGAGTACCCCATTCTGCCAAAAACGCGGAAAGTGCCGGCCATATGCTCCAAGACATGTTTACGTTCTTGTAGCGGGTCTGTGAACTTGGGTCTGGCATCCTTGTACTCGAGACCACCGAAAGCCAAATTGTGGGCGCCCTGAACTCCCAACGTGTAGCCTTTATCCGTGGCAGGTTTAAGTTTTTGGTCTGCAGTGGGGGTTTGAATTTCCGATTGTGTGAAGGTGGTCATGGCTATAGTAGAGTAAGACTACTGTACGTGAAGAGAAGAGGCAAACATGAATAAGGAGTGTAGTAACTACGTTAAAGTGTCTGTCCACTTATATATCGAGATCTACAGATGCAAGTTAACGAAGAGTAAAGCTATTGACAAGTTCAGCTATCGCTATCAACTGCTGTGCTTTTTGAGAGTCAATTTGGCTTGTCGCTGCTTTAAGTATGCTAGTTCGCTTGAACTTGCTGCTTACGTTTGTTAGTTTCTGTGCAGTTGCCGATGGGTCTGGTAAGTTTCCTATTCATGTATACCAGATTCGATTTTTCTGGCTTATCATGAAAAAGATATGTAAAGTACTGGGCGATGAGTACTTAGCGATTAGACATAACCTCAACGGGAAAGATTAGCGGGTTGTAGTATTGGAGAGAGACATGGAGGAGGGATCATATTATGGGATAGAGAAGGGTAGGAATTTTGAACGGAGGGTTAGTAGGTGAAAAAGTGTAGATATGAGCCTTTTTTGTTGTATCACGTGACTGCATCTTTGAAGTCCTAGGACAACTACTGGCCATGCGAGAGTCTTTTTATGCTCTAAGATGTCAAGTTTCAAGTGATTGATTAAGCTCCTCAACTGACTGAGAGAATATGGTTAAGTGGTTTTCGGTCACGTGGTATATCAAAACTTTACAACAGCAGCGGTGACCCATCGAGCTTGTCTTTCGCAAATTTGGGCCACTAAAAATGATCATCGAAACTTCGAATTTTAAGCGGTCTTGGAGACATCGGTGTGTGTGTGTGTGTGTGTGTGTGTGTGTGTGTGTGTGTGTGTGTGTGTGTGTGTGTGTGTGTGTGTGTGTGTGTGTGTGTGTGTGTGTGTGTGTGTGTGTGTGTGTGTGTGTGTGTGTGTGTGTGTGTGTGTGTGTGTGTGTGTGTGTGTGTGTGTGTGTGTGTGTGTGTGTGTGTGTGTGTGTGTGTGTGTGTGTGTGTGTGTGTGTGTGTGTGTGTGTGTGTGTGTGTGTGTGTGTGTGTGTGTGTGTGTGTGTGTGTGTGTGTGTGTGTGTGTGTGTGTGTGTGTGTGTGTGTGTGTGTGTGTGTGTGTGTGTGTGTGTGTGTGTGTGTGTGTGTGTGTGTGTGTGTGTGTGTGTGTGTGTGTGTGTGTGTGTGTGTGTGTGTGTGTGTGTGTGTGTGTGTGTGTGTGTGTGTGTGTGTGTGTGTGTGTGTGTGTGTGTGTGTGTGTGTGTGTGTGTGTGTGTGTGTGTGTGTGTGTGTGTGTGTGTGTGTGTGTGTGTGTGTGTGTGTGTGTGTGTGTGTGTGTGTGTGTGTGTGTGTGTGTGTGTGTGTGTGTGTGTGTGTGTGTGTGTGTGTGTGTGTGTGTGTGTGTGTGTGTGTGTGTGTGTGTGTGTGTGTGTGTGTGTGTGTGTGTGTGTGTGTGTGTGTGTGTGTAGTTAGAGGGTAAAATGAACCTGTCACGTGTGCTTATGTAAGGAACGCGAAACAACAGAAGTGCATTTCAAGGGTCTCGAACACTATTCTTAATGGAAGTAGATGGTGGCGCAACTCAAAATGGAGGCAATTCTGCTTCGATTTATGACATTATGAACTCTTGAGAGTACAAGAACATATGGGTACCTCGACGTCACGTGATGATGAGATCTGCAATACATCCTGGCATTAGTAATTTTAATGATGGGAAAAGCTCTAGGTACAGGGCATTAGTAATTTAAACAGAGGAGGGAGCATGTAGTATGGGAGAACGTCGATTGTGTGAAGGCAAGACTGTATGGAAATGAAAGACGTTGTCATACGATCCCTTATAGCTGGAGAGGTTTTTGGTGGGTAATGGGGTGTGGTCACTGTAGACGAAATCTCTCGATACTCAAATGTGAGGAAAGCGTTGACGATCGTTGTTCAAATGTGGTGTGACTCTTGTAATCTGTCATTGCTGGCGCTCATCTTTTGAATGTGCTTGATATTCTGATAGACTCTATCGTCGCCGGCGCTCATCGTTTGAATGTGCTTGATATTCTCATACAATTAAACATCGCTGACGCTCTCATTATTCAAGTTTGCTGAGGCTTCTATCTTTTCAGAATGATCGCTTAAGCTCTTAGTGTTTATGGGTTTCTATCTAATCACAACGATTGTTTAATCTCTCATTGTCCATTATACTCGTGGTTGTACATTACTCACAATGATCGCTGAAGTTCACTAACTTTTTCATTGTTCATTATGCTCGTAGTTGCACATTATTCACAACGATCGCTGAAGGTCTCATTGTTCGAGCTTGCTAGGGCTTCTGAAGCTCTCATTGTTCAGTTATCCTCGTGGTTGTACACTATCTACAACGACCGCTGACGCTCTCATTGTTCGAGTTTGCTAACGCTTCTATCTATTCATAATGATCGCTGAAGCTCTCAATGTTCAGTAATTCCAGTAGTTGTACATTATTCACAACGATCGCTGAAGCTCTCATTGTTCATTATACTCGTAGTTGCACATTATTCACAATGATCGCTGACGCTCTCATTGTTCNCGATCGTTGAAGGTCTCATTGTTCGAGCTTGCTAGGGCTTCTGAAGCTCTCACTGTTCAGTTATCCTCGTGGTTATACACTATTTACAACAATCGCTGAAGCTCTCATTGCTCAGTAATTCTAGTAATTGTACATTATTCACAATGATCGCTGAAGCTCTCATTGTTCAGTAATTCCAGTAGTTGTACATTATTCACAACGATCGCTGAAGCTCTCATTGTTCATTATACTCGTAGTTGCACATTATTCACAATGATCGCTGACGCTCTCATTGTTCGAGCTTACTAAGGCTTCTATCTATTTACAACGACCGCTGACGCTCTCATTGTTCAGTTATCCTAGCGGTTGTACACTATCTACAACGATCGCTGACGCTCTCATTGTTCGAGTTCGCTAAGGCTTCCACTTCTCCCGCTCCCGCCCCGTTTATTCCCGTTTACATCCGGCCTCCGGCCTCCGGCCTCCCGTCTTACCAACCCGTTTCCGCTACGCCCCCTTCTACATTTCCCACCCAAGGATATTTTTTTTGCTTGGCCATGCCCATTCTCTATCTTTGTTTGATCCACGGCTCTCAACCCTGTAAGCCGCGACCCTGCGCTATTAACAGCACGGCACCCACCGTGGCAAATCTAAGATTGGTAATTTTTACCATAAAATCTCTCTTTCTTGGCTTAGAAATTACCGTGTACGGGATTCTTGGAAAAAAAAGACCCTGAAAAGGCTTGGCAAGGTGAAAGGACACCCACACCACTTCTGGGTTATGATGATGATATGTGATAGACATATATATACGGATAGGTTTACATGGATGGGCGAGAGAGGTACTCAATTGTGGAGTGTATGTTGTGTGCGGAGATCAGAACAACACACTAGCTAGTTTTTCACTAGCCACACACTGACACTCTCATAATGGCCACATTATACGCTATAGATCAACACCCGTTGCAGTTGCGTTCACTTTCGCTTTCACTGCCTTCCGCTTCATCCACTACTCTTCACAAGTGTATAGCACTCGACAACGGCCCTCAAGGTAAACAGGTACTGTTACCAGCACCGGAACTTAATTTGGCACAATTGGCAGATTGGGAAACGGATTTAAAACGGCAATTGGATCGATGGGCTTTTGCGCCTCGGTCACGTGCAGGGTCCGCCTCGGCTCCGGAAGCTTTATCGGAACCGTTTGCTTTTGGAACCGAAGATAAAATGTACCGTACACAAACGTCACGTGGCGGCCAGGTCACGCCGCCTCTGCCTTTGGCGGTGGCGGCACCACGTGCTCTCGTCACTCCTCACGGACATCGCGCCAAGGCACATTCTGTTGAAAGAAGACGCAAATACGTTTGTAAGACGTGTGATAAAGGTTTCACTACAAGTGGACATTTGGCACGTCATAAACGTATTCATACAGGCGAGAAGAATCATGTATGTCCGCATGCAGGTTGTGGACAAAGATTTAGCCGGCATGATAATTGTGTACAACATTATAAGACACATTTGCGAGCATAAATAGGATATAGGATGGGAATGGATAAAGCGCTACGAGCATGGCTGAACAATGAGAGCGTCAGCGATCGTTGTGAATGATCTACAACTGCGAGCATAACTGAACAATAAGAGCGTAAGTTAACCTCAAGCTTGTCTGAACAACGAGAGCGTCAGCGACCGTTGTGATTAGATAGTGTCTCATAAAGTAAGAGCGTCAGCGATCATACTGAATTAATTAGATTCTTGAGCATAGTTGAGCAATGAGAGCGCCAGCAATCGTCGCGAATGATTTGCAACTGCGAGGATCTCTGAACAATGAGAACCCCAGCGTCAGCGATCATTGTGGATAGATGCGAAAATCAAGCATGATTGAACAATTATCGCTGACGCTCACATTGTGATTGAATAAGTTCATACTCGTATTGGGACTATGTGTGTGGATTGTCGTTGCACGATAAACGTCCCATATCTTGGGTGATTCTTATTGAGGCTCGACCACGTCGGCAGTGTTCGAGTTGTTAATCTGCTTCGTTTGCTCAGTCATGATCTGCTCTAAGTGAATGGTTATGGTTATGGATTTTACTTATCTCTCCGTGGCTCTTTTTCTTATGAGTTTGGTACATTTGGTTTGACCAAACCACGGATATTTAAACGATTTTTGGAGCAACAATAGCAAACAGTAGGTAATATTCTAGACCCTAGCCATTAGTAAGGATGCTTGATAAACGTTCTGGATTGCTTGTAAATCCTGCATAGCGTTGACGTATTGTCTCTTCAAATCTTTACGATTTGTCCAATTCATCTTAGCGCTTAAGATGTCATTTTAGACTAATATGTCACTTTCGGATTACGCAATTGGCACTATACCATATAGTTCACCAATCCCAACAATACTCGTATTGAGACTCTGTGTGTGGAGTGTCGTCGCACGATAAACGTCCCATATCTTGGGTGATTCTATCCATTATTATAAGATGTAAACTATTGTTTTATTGAGTTTGGAGTTATCTCTCTGTGATGTATTAAGCATAAATGGAATGAGGTTGTCGGGTCGATAAAACTTCCCTTCTCATACAAATTATTGGAAGTGTTCCCTCGGTGACGGATGTAAAACGTTTCCAGCATTCCGGGTGCAAATGGCGGGGATGAGCTGGTGTTGGAGCCATACAATGAATTGCAAGTGGTACCACTTGATTCAATCGTTGTCATTCCCGCCGGATCAATAGTTGTTCTAGATTCTGACGCTGTCGTTGTGTCACGTGCGTGCCATCACTTTGTCATGGATCTGACGCTAGGCACACAGAGGTTCCGACAATTACAATCTTGAGTATCAGTGAGCAATGAGAGCGTCAGCGATCGTTGTGAACAATGTACAAGTTTGAGCACAGCTGAACAGTGAGATCTTGAGTGACCAGTATTCATATATTAGAACCTTAAGTGCATCTGAACAATGGGAAGCTGGAATACACGTTTTTTACGCAAGCGTCAGCGATCATTGTGAATTTATACGAATCTTAAGCATAATTGAGCAACGAGAACCTTTAACACAGGTTTTTACCGGGAGCGTCGGCGACTGTAGTGAAAAGGTTAGAATCCCGAGTAAACTTAAAAAATGAGATCTTTAGTAACCTCTGAATAGATAATCACTTTTAGCATAAAACAAGAAAGTATCAGCAATCATTGTAAACAAATCAGAACCTCAAATGCACCTGAACTATGAGAGCGTTTGTGATCGCCGCAAATAGTTTACAACAAGCAAAATTGAGCAATGACACCAACAGCGTTCGTTTTGAGTAGTTTACAAGTACGAGTATAATCGAATAAAAGCGTCAGCCATCGTCGTGAATGGTCCCCAACTTCGAGCATTACATAGCAATGAGACCGTCACCGATCATTCTGAAAAATTTAGAGCTGTACCCTATTCAAAAGGAGAGCCTCAACGGTCGTAGTGAAAATATTTAGAGCACAAGCGCACGCGAAAATTTGAGAGCGCCAGCCATTATTTCAAAAACATTTAAATCTCAAGCACACCTGGACAATGAAAAACCCCAACACACGTCTTGAAGTCGAGCTTCAGCGGTTACTGTGAATGATTTAGAAAATCAAGCATTTTTTAAACACGATCGCTGACGCTCTCGCTGTGAATGGTCTAAAAATCAGGAACAAACTGCTACGTCCAAATTGGCAACACCTCTTGCAGCACAGCAGGCCAGGGAACGCATGAGGATATGCACCTCCGCTCGGTGCTTCGACTAATGGGTCATAGTTATGGTTTTTTTAAGCCACTCAGTCACTCAATCGTTCTTGTAGTTGAACTGGACGCGTGTACGCAGAATGGAATCATTTCAATTTCTGACTTCGAATGGGTGTTATTCGGAGCTCTAAAGGAATTCAGGGCTTACTCTCCTCTAGCGGTATCTTACACTTATCGAGCCCTATCTGAAGGAATCACAAAGTACATCCATGTCTAGGTTGGTGCTTTCAAAGTTTCCAAGATATTATTCAAAGAAGTCTCTTTCTCTATGGTCTTGGAACAGTTTAGTACTAGCACGATCTGAAAACCGTATGTTCGGCAAGGTATTACCGGGTCTGGAATCTACAACGAGAATTGAACAACGAGAGGTTCGGAATGCAAAGTGATTAGAGTCAGATTTAAGCAGTGACAGCGTCAGCCATCATCGTGAGTTCAATGTCCTTGCGGGATTGAAAATTCGCGGAGTTCTGATAAATCGCCAAGCAATAGCGACTTAAAATTAATGATTACAAGTCTCTTTCTACACATTTTGGCAGCATCAATGCACTTGAGCATCAGCGTTCGTGGCGACAGTTTGACTTCAAGCAAGTATTTCTATTAAGTTGATTCGTGGGGTAAGTATGACCGGTAAAGACGAGTGGTCTTGTTTGTTGAATGAGCGCTGCCATTTCAAATGTTTCGAACGTTTGAAATGGTCTGTTATGGAGCATTTCCAAAAAGGAAGTTTCTTGTCGCTGTCGCTGCCATGTCCGATACTAATGCCATGATAAATCAGTCACGTGGTTCGAAGATCTCTCTTTATGACGCCAGAATACACAACAAGATTGACCAATAAGTGTCGTATGCCTTATATATGAGCCAAAGGGGGTTGCTTCCCATGGGTGACAGCACCAAGATGTCGGACACTGAACGCTCAAGTTCTGTCGCATGTATTCGATTTGTATAGTTGTGTGACGTGATCTCTCATTCTCATTAACTAGCATTTCTGACGCTTTCAAGACAGATTCTAGCAACTTTAAGCGCACTTGAGCAATTGAGCTGGCGAGCGACTGTTGTGTAACGTTAAATTTTAACAATTGACATGTCGTAGAAACTTCAGCAGTCAATTACAAAGAATCTTGAGTGAATTCCACTTCAAAGAGAAAACCAGTCACCATTAAAACCGCTGAGGATGTAAATATTCAACTTTCAACTAAGGTTGAGCAGCTGAGAGAGAGAGTATCAATGACTGAACTACTTGCTTGCGATAGGACATTTCAGATTTTTCAGATACCAATTGATAAGACAGAAGTTCCTAAAACTCGATTATTGGTAGAATAGCGATCTATTTTGACACAATTAAACCATCAAGACCTGGAGTGATCAGCCTCTCAATGTGCAAATGTGTGCACTTGGGGTAGTTAGACGATAGACTGTGTGCCACAATTACGAGAGGGTTTCGGCGGCCAACTTTTAATAACCTTACGATTCTCAAATCTTGAACAGCGGACTTATGGGAATGAGCACCGACAGTTTGCTGCGAACGACAAGTGAAGAGCGTGCAGGAAGACTTTATTACATGATACCTCTAGTACATTGACCTTAGAGTGTCTGCAATAAAATAGAAAATGAATCACGGCTGCTTCTACAGCTAGACAGAGAACTTGATTCCCCCATTTGTGAATGAACTCACCTAGTGGAAAGTCCAGCTATTAGCGGTGAGATCTTCAAGTCTCCAATATCTTCGATACCGACCCGTCAGCTGTCGATTGTAAGAAACTCTTCTGCTCACCTAAGGCACCATCAACCACCACACCCGACCGAAGTTCTATCGTACGTTTCTCGATTCGTAGCCATTCTGTCTATGGAACTTCCGAGGCTCGAGATAATTCACAAATTCTAGGCCTTCTCGAAAACGGATTCGCAATTAAACCCCGGGGTAAGCACGGCATCCAATTGACCATGCAGGTATATCCTAAAAACTCAGATCGCAAACAGAGACGGATGCCCGTTTAGTCCAGACACCGAGCAAGAAGGCTACATACTGGACTGCACACTTCACGGCAATCTGATTGTGATTCTGTCCACTTCCGAGCACTATCGTCCTTTTGACTTCGTTTTACGGTATCGAGTGTCGTGCGTTGCGGTACAGTGCATCGCATTGCACTTACCTCGCATCATCGCAAAACAAAAAATAGCCTTTTTTGGTATCCTTATAGCACCCTTGCCGTTTACATCACTGAATGGACTTTGATTTGCACTACACTACGCTCTGTTTACCGATGACGTATACTAGACATATGTCAAATTGCGCAATCGCTACATGCGGCTTTTTTTCATCCCCATGTTTGGTTCACTAAATGTTGCCTGGAATTTTACATCGACAACAATCTCTAACGTTTTTGAAGAGCCACAACGATAGTTCTACCCAGATAACTTACTGATCTACCTGGGTTTTTGTCGTTATCTCGTTGATCACTTTGTACTACACAGTCACTTCATCGACTGCGACCATCGAGCAAGAAACAAACATGCAAACCATGCGACCTCTGAGGTGACTCGCTCAATCTGCAACTGGAATACCTCCCTGACTTCAAAAAAAGGTTTCCCGCAAGTGTTGCTTTTACCTTGAAATCCACCACCACTTCAACTGAGAGGGGTTAAGTTTCATTCACCACACTTCCCGTTCTAGAATATCTCGAGGGCAACGCATACGTTGCAAATTCTTGGCGACCCCCCTCTGTGTTCTGTTTCTCAACATTTAGCTTGTTTAACGGCTGCTCCCATAACGCATCTTGCAAATTATTTCGGTGATTAGAAATTCATGCACATGCATGCCTCGAGCATCTCTGCAAGCGGTCACCACTGGCGACCGAGAACAGTTTACTAACAAATGGCATTGGCGATACGATTTGGTTCGGAAATAGGTCTCAATGTGGTAAGAGTACGACTAGATCATCAAGCATTGGCATTTCACCAGGGCCCAGATGCCGGAAACCGGTTGTGGATCATTCAGAAGATGGGAACAGAAAAAGGGCGACAACTTACGAGAGGAAAGGAATGCAGATCAGCACTAGCTGGTCTAGGGTCCCGAGACGCAGCGAAACACAATAGCCATATCTTGACCCTCTCTGCAGAAAAAGAATCGTATAAAAGCGAGGCGGTTGTGCTGTGCTGCTGAACAAACAATTTTTCTAGTACACATTGAACTGAGTTTTCAAATTTCTCATATCACAGACGATATTTTGAATCATGTCTTCATCCTCTGCTCTACGTCGCCTTGTGGCACTAGTATTTTTTTTGGTCCTTGGAACTCAATTGTGTGAGGCCGCCCCGTACGAATCCTCACACCATGGTGGACGACCACATTCGCCTTACTACCCGGTGGGAAGAAACGAAACCAACCCCCACTCTGTTACCGTTATTATCACTGCCAACTTAACAATCGATTTCCCAGGATTTTCGCTATCCAAGACCGAAAAGATTATCGAATACGTTCTGCGGGATCCAAGCGAATACATCACCGAACTCTGGGACCAATACCAAAGTGCTAAGAAATCCCAGGACCTCGTGAGCGGATTCGAATCCTACCTACAGCTCATTTCGTTGCAGGACTCGAAGGGAAACCTGCTTGAAGACATTTTAACTGACTTAGAGCTCTACTCTCAATATGTGAACCCTCAAATTGTCGGTGTTGTGAGTAAGCAAGTGGTGGAAAAGGAGTCAAAGCTACCAGGCGAACAGTTGTTCGCTTTAATTCTAAACGTTTTGAAAGAGGGCAAGCAAAAAATAGGCTGGCCTTTTTGAGCCCGTCTTTGAAATGTTACAAGTTTAGTGTTGCTTAAAAGGTGCACTTTGATAGTGTGCCTTTGTGCGACGCTGTAAAGTGCAGAGTGTGAGACGATCACAGAAACAGATAGTCTACGTAATATATGCCTTACACAACAGATACCAGAAATAGTGAGTAATAATATGCTATAGAAACTATTGATTTTAACAGTGGGTGAGTCTGTACTTCGAGTTTATGCTGTGGGTGGTTATGCAAAACGGGTTTGGAACGGATCATCAAGATAAACAAACCGGATCCCAAGCGGGTCGTCGCTATAAACGCTACGGATCGTTTCGGGTTCTGAAGTATCACTTTAAACGCGTGTGACGCTGGACTTTTAAAAATACCAAGAACTCCTCATCTTCTAGCATTTATAAGTTTGGTCCCGTTCCATGTTGCGAAGAAGTTTATGACTTTTGGGTAATGCTCTTTCCTAATTGCAAAGGAACATCGACAGAAAATTCCAGTTACATCTTGTACCGTGGAAAACTGAAGACAAGAAAAACATATAAAAAAAGAAAACGATAAACGATCAAAAGTATCTATCCATTGTCTGGCATTTCTTGCATACTGTGTCTCGAACGTCCAAGAAACCATGACAAATCGTAACATCTACTTTCTTAAGGTTTGTACTCGTGTATAATGATGCGTACCGTTTATATCACTGCAAAGGCCATTGTTAGACCCACAATTGTCTAAACGAAAAACCGCGCCACCCCTGGTCATACCTTTCATCAATTGAAGTTCATATTACTCATACAAACTGCTTCCTGTGGTCTATCCACAAGTCATCATACGACGTTAAAGTGTCTCGTTTAAAAACTACAACGGTGTATAATAACCCACATCACGTGAGTCGTATAATCGGATTACATAATCGGGTAAATTAAATTGAACTGTAGTGATGAGCTAAACCAAACCATTACCATACGAGAAAGGTGTGTTCGTTCAAGACTCTGACGTATAAAAGGTAAGCCCAAAACCCAATTCAAGTATATTAAATATTCAATGTCTCTACCAGCTGGTCCCAACGACTCAAAAAACTCAAGTTCTGCCACTATGCCGGCTCCACAAGACCCTACACGGATGCTCATCAGAGAACAGATGGAAGAGCTTGTCCGCCGCAAACAAGCTGAAATCACTAAAGGTCTTGAGACACTCGATACTGTGAAGTTCAGACCAGACTCCTGGACCCGTGGCAACGACGGTGGTGGAGGAACCTCCATGGTGCTGCAGAACGGAACCACGTTTGAAAAAGGCGGTGTCAACGTCTCTGTAGTTTACGGACAATTGTCCCCGCAAGCGATCTCTGCCATGAAACACGACCACAAGAATCTGGAACTGCCTGTGGACGCCCAAACAGGGCTTCCCAGTGCAGATGGCGTCAAATTTTTCGCCTGCGGTCTCAGCATGGTTATTCATCCTTCAAACCCTCACGCACCAACCACACACTTAAACTACCGTTATTTCGAAACTTGGAATCCAGACGGGACCCCGCAGACGTGGTGGTTTGGTGGTGGAGCAGATCTCACGCCGTCATATTTGTACGAGGAAGACGCGCGTCTATTCCATTCGGAGCATAAGAAGGCCCTAGACAAGCATGATACCACGCTGTACCCACGCTACAAGAAATGGTGTGACGAGTACTTTTACATCAGACACCGTGACGAAACTCGTGGTATTGGAGGTATCTTCTTTGATGACATGGACGACCGCGATCCACAGGAAATTTTGGCTCTTGTTGAAGATTGTTTTGATGCATTTCTCCCCGCATATTTACCGATTGTGGAACGCAGGAAAGATATGCCTTTTACAGAGGAAGAGAAACAATGGCAGTTGATTCGTCGTGGCCGTTACGTGGAATTTAACTTGGTGCTTGATAGAGGTACTCAATTTGGATTAAGAACACCTGGATCCCGTACCGAATCTATTTTAATGAGTCTTCCAGTAACCGCTTGCTGGTTTTACGACCACCATCCAGAGCCAGACTCTCGTGAAGACAAACTTTTGCAAGTACTCAAGACACCTGTTGAATGGGTTTAAAAGATGATATAGTGACGATAAAATGAGCTGTAATATAAGGCTTTATATTTATAAAAGATATGATGTTTTATGATTCTAACGTGATACAGTTGATAGATTTTTAGCCTCTACTGAGTGAAACTTGTGGCTTTTCTCACACGAGAGGGCCAACGTTTCAATGATCCTAATTTTTCTCACTCAAGTCCTTGTGCTCAGGAAAACATCACAGTGCGCAGCAGCAGATGATAAGAACCAAGTGCGTATGAGCTGTCCCAAATTTCCAAAATAATTGACCGCGTTTGATCTTAATAAGCAGGGTTATGTGGGAAAGGTGTCCTGGCTATTCGGTCAAAAAGAACAGAGGTATATGTGAAAGGTTTCCCTGCTTTCCTTCCTGTTCAATTTTCTCTCCAACGATTACCACAATTCACACATTTGTAGAAAGTAGTCATCGGCTCGTCTGCCGATCTGATCTGCAATTGGAAAAAGTAGGCTCTTTCTCCACCGCAATTGTCGTAGTTCGGACACTGGACCCCAGTCTGATCTACATTATCCCAGCCACCACCTAGCACGTCGTCGACTTCTTTTCTCGGCAGCGTTTTCCGATCATATACCTCAACACCTTCAATTGGGAAAGTATAAGGACACGCACCGCATTGTAAGGTGTAAACCCCGCCGTCTGGTTGTGAAACTAGAAGCATATTGTGACAATGTGGGCAAAACGAGAGCATCGGTGGCCTTCAAAAGACGCTTTGAAGTGGCTTTTTGGCAAAGATGATTCGATGCGATGAGCTTGGCTCATCATAGACAATTTTTCGACATTTATCGTGTGGTCACGTGGAAGATGAATATCGTACTGTTGAGATCGAAACATCCAAATGGCTCGAAGGTTGACTTTCCATGTTTATGAGTAGTCTACGGGAGTTTTCTAGATTATAGAGACTGATCATCCATTTTTTTATCGTTTTTGAATCCGTCGCTTTACATTTAGTAATGATATGTTCTCCAGAGGAGATTCATGGGAGAAGTTCTTCGCAAGATCCTTAAGAACAACTGATTCCAACATTCACCATTCATGCGAGTTTCCTAGGCTTCTCAGGTTTTAGCCTGCAGCTCTTCCACGCTTTTTCACGGACTTTATTTCCGGATGACAGTGCTTCAGAAATGCTATACGGACAGAATGAGATTCCTGTATAAGCAAAAGACTGACAACTGATCGTGGTACTCCAGATACATCAAAAAAAGGTACATACAAACCATGACTTCTTCTTATAAATTAAAAAAAATCTTCAATTATGGAGAGCTCTTCAATCTTCAATTGTGGACAGCTTTTCATTCACAGGGAAATTGTCAATAAAGCTGGCACGATATGAAGCTGGCGTTATTGAGTTGCGAAGTGCGAAAAATGCGTCTCGATTTTGAACTCACCCATTGTTCGAGAGAAATCCATTGAACTTCCTGAACCTCTATTCCTATTCGTTACGCTCACCGTTCAAAATAATTTTAGTTCTCTGGAAGATGGAGATCAAGGGTCATTGTAAGCCTCCACAAAATTGTTAAAAAACACTGGGCAATTCCATCAATTTTTAGCAGCTTGAATCAATGCCGCAACGATATAATTCAAGAATGTTTATTTTTCTGCCCTTCGCTGTCGCTGTCGCTGCTTGTTTTCACAACACTGATATAACCAACTATATTTATTATATTAGACCTAATTCATGAACATACTTTGGATCGAACAAAACTATAGCTCAAAGGCATCAATTGTGCTCTTAGCTCGTACTCCCAAATGCCTGAAAATGACGATATAACCTGGCATGAAGATTTGATGAACTCTAGGGAAAAAACGGGCGGAAACTCGCAGCTCTCGCCAAGTTTTTTGCGAATCATGAACCGCCGAATGAATCGTAGCGGTCGGGCTGGACCTACCTCTCCAGCGAGAAGGAAAGCAGCTGAGAAGGTCAAGGTGAAAATTGAGGGTCGCAAAGATCTTCTGCAGATTTTGGAGGCTGAAAACTCAGCTGCTGAAAAAACAGATCAGACTCTCGCTCTTCATGAACCATCTCAGGAACAAGATTATGATCATCATGACAGCAATAGTGAAAGCTCTTTAGCAGACAGCTCTAATGGTTCAGAAACTTCGGAAGCGCCAGCAACCTTGAAACGACGTAAACGGGTCCCGAGCAAATCGCCTGCTAAACACAGTGAAATAAATGCGGAATCCGGCCTGCAGTCACCTAGTAAGCTGAAAAGCGAACCAAATCCACATTCGGGCTTCGTGACGGCCAACTCGTCGCCCATGAAGCCACTGGTTTTCTCATCGCCGGCCAAATCTCCATCTAAGCCTTTACTGAATAAATCACCTTTCAAGATTACTCTAAATCGAAACTTCACACCTACACCGTTGCCCTACGAAGGCGAATATCGGCCTCCTCAGGAGAAGCACCTCACTTATTTTTTTGACGGCTTTGAGGGCTACATCGATCAAAAAAAGCCAATTCGGGCAAACAAGAAATCCACCAATTCTATGGCAATGGCACCACAGATAACCAGGGAAGAATTCTCGCTTTTATCTAACACACTCAACTCTTGGGTGCATCGCAATAGCAAGCGCTCCTTACAACACATTCAACGCGCTATGTTTCCACAATATTGGTTTGAGCTCGATCAAGGCTTCTCACTGCTGTTCTACGGAATCGGCTCTAAGCGCAAGTTTCTCGAAGAATTCGCAATTGAGTATCTGTCACCACGACTCACGGTGTCAGAACAATTGAATTCTGAGCCCCTCGCAACAGATGAAGCTGGCATCAAAGACAATTCTGATGAAGATGATGATGACGCCGAAGTTGATGGGGTGCCTTGCGTTGTAATTAATGGCTATAACCCAACTTGTAACTATCGAGATGTGTTCCATTCGATCTCCGAGATCATGCTGAAGGAGGAGCTATCGAAGTCAGAAACCAAGTATTGGAGCAATCATGTCGAATTGCAGATCAACAAGATGATCGAAATATATCGCAACTCACCGCCTGTTATAAAGCTCATCGTGCTGGTGCACAATCTTGACGGACCTATGGTTCGGAAAGATCCGTTCCAGAGTATGCTAAGCTCGCTTGCTCGTGTTCGCCAAATAGCACTCGTCGCATCCACGGATCATATCTACGCTCCGCTTTTATGGGACCATGTTCGCGCTCAGAACTTCAATTTTGTGTTCCACGACATTACCAATTATGAGAGCTACGCTGTGGAGTCATCATTTGGCGATGTGTTGAAGCTAGGTAAAAGTCAGGCCAGCACAGGTGCTGAGGGCGCGCGCTACGTTTTGGAATCTCTAACAACGAATTCGAAGCGAATGTACAAGCTGTTGATTGAAACTCAGCTGAGTGCAATGGAGGAGAACTCGCAGGCTAAGGTTTCTGCCAACAAGAAGGGCACCCATGTTTTTGGCATCGAGTTTAAGCAATTTTACCATATGTGTGCAGCCGAATTTATTGCATCCAACGAAGTATCTCTCCGATCCATGTTGGGAGAGTTCATCGAGCACAGAATGGCCGCTCTGACCAAAAACAGATCCGGTGCTGAAACTCTTTACGTACCGTATGCGTACTCAGAGATGAAGACTCTTCTAAGAGACGTTCTGGACACTTAAAAAGCCGATTCCAAAACAGCGGAAAAAGCATTAACCAAAGGCCTCGACCTAAACCAAAAAAATTAAAACGGTATGGTGTCAAACAAAGCGACGTCGGGGGTCGATCTCTTAGGTTGTGATCATCGGTGTTCTCATTATTTTCTTCACTGTCGCTGTCGTCGAGCAACTGTTCAAATCACACTTCACGGACCACTTTTTCAAATCATTACCACACTACTAGAATGGATTCATCAATCAATGTGAACAATTAAAACCCCTTTCCATGAACAACTTTACTAGCGTGTACTAAACTTTGACCGCTAGGTAGGCTCACCAGAATGTCGAAGTCGGAACCGTCTTCTCAGGAGCTACCCAACGGTACCAGTACCAGCCGGAGTGCGACCGTACCTGTGTTGGAACAGCTGCAAACAGGTGCGCAAGTAATTGTTGGAAATCACCGAGTAGAAATCATCGGATACCTAGCTGAGGGTGGTTTTGCACAGATATACGTTGTGCAGTTTGTGGAATATGCAAATGAGCTGGAAAAACAGCCGGCAATTACGCTTGCCGTGGGCGAACGGGCGTGTTTGAAGCGAGTCTTGGTCACAGACGAAAACGGCTTAAACGAAATGCGTAACGAAGTGAGTGTTATGAAGCAATTGTCTGGCAGGCCCAACGTGGTGCAATACTACGACTCACATGCATCGCGGTCGCGGGACGGCGGCGTAGGGTTCGAAGTGATGCTGTTGATGGAATTGTGCCCGAACAACTCGCTCCTGGACTATATGAACCAGCGGCTGGCCACGAAACTTTCGGAACCTGAGATTGTCAAAATCATGTTTGATGTGAGCCGTGCTCTTGCTCAAATGCACCACTTACCGGTCCCGCTCATACATCGCGACATCAAAATTGAAAACGTTTTGGTGGACGCAGAAAACAACTTCAAACTGTGTGATTTTGGTTCCACTTCCACTTGTCTACCCGTTGCCAATACGCATCAGGAGATTGCAATTCTGACCAATAACATATACATTCATACCACGCCACAGTATCGGTCGCCGGAAATGATCGATCTGTACAGGTGTCTTCCCGTGGACGAAAAATCAGACATTTGGGCGCTGGGCATTTTCTTGTACAAATTGCTCTTCTACACCACGCCTTTCGAGCTTACGGGGCAGTTCGCCATTTTGCATTCCAAATACGAGTTTCCTGTCAACAACTACTCATCCAAACTGATAAACTTGATCATCATTATGCTAGCCGAAAACCCCAATTTGAGACCAAACATTTACCAAGTCATGGACATCATGTGCTCCATTTTGAAGGTTCAAAACCCAATAGAAGATAGAAACCAGCAAGGACCTTATCGTTTTGACAAATATGCGCAGTACCAAGCCAAGTTACAAAAAATACAATATCAAATGTATGTGTCGTACGAAAACAAGGAACGTACTGACACCTTCAATGACCTCTTTATCAATTGCTTCGAAATTGCCCCCAAGCAGCCTGTGAACATGGGACGCAAAAGCAGTGCCTTCTCAGAGGCTTCGGAATCATCGAAAAAGAGCAATGTACAAGAGTCTCTAGCTCCGTCAAACCAAAACAAGTCGGTTGGCGAAGAAGATATAGGTCTTGTGCAGCAGCAGTTCCCTTCCGTAGACGATCTGGATACTTATCTACCTGAAGGCGGGAAACGGGATAGTGCTACAAATAATTCGAACACGACGGCCAGCGTCGGTGCCAGTTCGCGTTCGTCTAGTAAGATTGACTTGGCAAAACCTTTGGATGAATATACACAGCAGACGCAGGATCTACCGCCACAAGCTGGTACCTCGAAAATCACGCGCGACGCAACGGCACGATCCTCTCTGTCAACAAAGCAGCACAAGTCTAAGAATCCCTTTCCGTACATTCAGCAAGATGATTATGATGTCGAGTCTAATGTGAATCCTGTTTTCAATGCAGAAAATTCAAAGACTGATGTCGACTCGCGATATTTTGAGCAGTCTAGTGTTCCTAATCCGGTGGCCCGCAGTCAGCCTGAACCTCATCAGCCGAATGCGGGTTACAAACCTGAGCAGCAAGGCAATGTCATGGGATCTTATAATCCTTATTATGGCGGATCTTCAACACCTGTGCCGAATAACACACTAGAGAATCCAGTTCCGTCGCACTACGCATACCACACGAAGGGCGACAAACCAGAGGCTTCCTTACCAACACAAAGACAACAACTGCCCATCTCCAATCCTCAACAGTCCCGCGTCCCGGACAAGGAGGAGCTTCTGCTTGACTTTTCACAAGCAGAAAGAAAAGAGTTTCAAAAGCTGGACTTGACCTTCGACAGCGTTGATCTTTCGACCCCACCAAAGGACGGGGCGAAGGACAGCACCAACGTCTCGGAGCAGAGTCTTGCATCGACCGAAAGTTTCCCCGTACAGTTACGTCGTAAGACCCCGCTCAAGACCTCTGCGTCCGGCGATAAGTTGTCACAGACCACTTCTGGACGGCGTTCTTTGGACCTAAAATTTCAAGAAATGGACTTCTCCTCTCCTCCCATGGATGCAAAACTACAGAAAACTAAGACTGTGACCAGCCAGCCTCGAAGAAGCAATGGTGGTGCTGGTAGTAACAACAGCGACTCAAAAAGGTCTTTTGCTCATGCGAGAAAGTCGCTCGATTTGGACCGTGCCAAACGGGAAATGAACTCCACCACCGAGAACACTGCAAGCAAACGCAAGTCGTTTTTTGGCAAGTTCAAAAGCTGATTGATGATGACCTTAGACCATTCTTAACTTCAACTTTAGCATATATACCATCGTCATCACTTTATACTAAATCTCGGATTTACTCGAGATACTAATAGGCGCATAAGTGGCTTAACCTTTAAGAATATTTACCACACCTGAGTGAAACAAGCATTGAACCCTCCAGATGAGCTCCCAAGATTTCATTAAGGCTCAGAAACTTAGTCATGGAACCTTTGTGTACCGGCCCACCGACGAAGAGCTAAGTACGGGGTCTCTTTGGGAGAAACTGTCAAATTTCGGAGAGAATCTATATTGGATGTATTACATACATTTGCCATATTACTTGATGACTTCTGGCGATGCATTCGGTCTGCACTCGTTTTTCCTAGCGATGTTCACGCTGGGGCTATTTGGGCTGGTCAAATACATTTTTCTGTGAGTGTCGCTCTCTCACAGCAAGGTAAAAACAAACAAACAAGCGTTTAGGAACGGTGATAGTATAGGGTATTCTTTTAGACAGATAGACATAAGAAAGCCAGATGCAGGTATGATTGACATAGAATAAAACGGGATTTAGATATCGTAAGTGTCCATTTTTATTTTTAGTTTTGGGTTTCTTCTCCTCGCTTTACTGGCACGTTTTGTGAGTTTGAAAGCAGTGCTCTATTCCTGTTTCGCTCTTTTGTAGAGAGTCTCAACTTTACTCGGCCTTGGTCAGATGTTGGTTGACTCGTTTGACTCTGTTGTACAAGGTAACGTCTTGGGTGAAGATGAAATTCCAAAGCACCATGCACCAAGAATCGTGTTTTGGCAAATCCTGGTAGTACTCGGGACAAAGACGATTTAGTTCCCACAGCCGAGACCATGGAACGAATGGGAAATCGTGGTGTTCATTGTGCAACCCGACGTTCCATGTAAAAAAATTCAAAATTCCGTAGTAGGAATAGGTCTCAAGGGCATAGTCTTTGTGAAATTTAACGTCTTGACGAGTTACCTCAGACTCCTGGGTCGAATGTATAGTTTCGGTCTCTGCTGGGGTATTTTTGTATGCAAGTTTACCTCCTACAAGAGCCTCCTCCATGTTCAGAAGGTAATGCTCGGCGATGAAGTGGCCAGAGCATGGATGCAGAGATCCGGCCAAGAAAGCGGAGATGAGGAAGTATAGAAAAGAATTGATGCCAAAATTTGTTATCCAGAAGTAATCGAATGCCAGCTGGTAAGCAACGTTTATCAAATGAAGCGGAGACAACGGGATCGAAGTCACAAACATGGGTCTGAAGGCATAAAAAAAGATCTGGAATGTTGCAAAGAAGGCTTTTCCTAACACGCTTGACAAAACGACCGCCTCGAATTTGGTCGGTATATCGGTGTCATAAACCTCGTCCCCGAGAAACTTGTGATGCAGCTGGTGGTACGGGGCAAAAGAAGCGGCATATGGAATGCCGATCGGTGTGTTCGTGAACACAGACAACAGTTTGTTATGCCATGGCTTCCGGAAAGCCAAGTTATGAGAAAGCTCGTGGATAGCCAAAAATAGGTTTTGGGTGGCCGTCGCACCCACCACGTACGCACAGAGCCAGAATTTCCACGATAGAGCACTCGTATTGCGCAGGCTGAAGGCCATGGCGCATTGTAGTAGCACAACGCCAGTTACAATGTATTTGGTGCGAGGCTCAGGTCCCATAAGCTTTTTCACTTCCGGGTGTGATTTGAGAATCGCATGTCTCCGAACCGCGTGCGGTTCCTTGTGAGACACCCAATAGAAGTTGTGAAGGGTTTCTAGCTCTTCTGATGCTGCTGGAGCGTCCAACGTATCGCTACCGATCGATAGGCCCTTATGAGAAACTGGCATCTTTGATCATCAAATTTTAAAGCAAAACCAAATTACCTAGAGCACCAAACTTTACCAAAAAAATGTCCAAAAATAGCCCTTAATTCCAGCTTTGAGACTTTTATGTTTTTACAAAGTGAGCGTTTCTGAGACTGTCAGAAGAATTCGTTTTATGTTGGTCTTTTGTAGTCTCTCGAGCAGGTTGAATCTTGATCTAAATTCCGATATCTATTTTTTTTCAGCTAACGTCAGCATATAAGCCATCATGAGAATCATACGCTCAAGCTGTACGAGAAACGAAATTCGTCCGCCACAAGAAGCCAGGGTATTTGGGATTTATTTAATAGACTTTTTAGACCTGTGAGCTGGGAAGAATTCACCAGCTTTTCTGGTGCATTTCTGGCTGGGTTTTGGCTGAGTTTTGAAGAATTTCGAAGAGTTTGGAATTCGATTTAGCTTGCTGGTTAGATTTTTTCGAACGCAGATAATCGGTATGGAAATTTGAATGCTTTTCAATTGATCTGGACGTGCATAGTGTGTCAAAGGAGCTCAAAATTGTGTTCATCAGAAGCTGACTGTAGCAGTTGTGACCTCATATCACTTTCTCCTACTGCTGTCATAGATATATATGAGATCACGTGCTACAATTTTTAAGGTTAGATGTAAAGATCTGTATGTAACAGCAGTCAATTGCGTTGGAATATGTGTGTAGCTATGCGCTTAGAAGAAGAACGAAAGTACAGCAAGATTTACACTCGAGTATTCCCGTTTGTTTTTTTTTGTTTATGTCGTATTCCTTGTCTTTGAGATTAACCACAGTTTCTCCGGTCATCTTACTCAACAACATGCCTCTAAACGCAAACCATAACCCAAACCACACCTGCGTGCCTTGTCAAATTGATGACCTCTTCGCCAGTATTGCCAGAGAGTCCTCTGTTAACCGTTTGTATATTTCAACCTCTAGAAACGAAAAGCACATCAAAAAATACGTAGTATTCGCAACAACGGTTTCTCGGTGAGTAACCTTGAGCAAAAGTACATGAATTCATGGCCAAATAAGTCACTTCTGACCCCCATCAGTACCTCCAACGTTCCATACCTTACCACTTTCACAATACATATCACTTTTTCCCAGACTGTCACCAATTTATTCAAATTTTAAGCGTATCAGAGTGCTGCTACTGATGTCAAGAAGCCATCTCTACAGATGACTCCACAAAACACCTCCCAAGTGCGCTCCAGGCCAGCTCAATCCCATGCTTAGAATACCACTCAAGCGCCAGCTGATCAAACGATTTATGTCTGAACAAGTGAAGTTCGGTACCAAGGGCGTTTCCCGGGTAGTCACTTTGACGAGAGCCGAAAAACTCAACGCTCTATCCACAGAAATGTGCTCCCAAATGATCCCCACACTTGTGGAATACAGTAAGAGCAATGTGAACAATTTAGTTTTGATCAATTCGTCTAACTCTCCCAGAGCCTTTTGCGCAGGAGGAGACGTAGCCACTGTTGCGCTGCAGAATATCGCAGGAAAAAAGGATAAGTCACTGGAATTTTTCCAGCAAGAGTACTCTTTGAATCTACTTCTAGCGACCTATAATCGTCCTGTTGTTGTTTTGATGGATGGAATCACAATTGGCGGTGGTGTCGGCCTCGCCACGCACGTCCCTTTCCGTATAGCCACTGAGAATACAAAGTGGTGCATGCCAGAAACGGACATTGGGTTTTTCCCAGATGTGGGAACTACCTTCTCGTTGCCACAGCTCTCTACTGTTGGTGGTACAAAGGGTCAACTGGCCCTGTATTTGTGTTTGACAGGCGATCTTTTGTCTGACATCGACGTTTACATGGCAGGCTTTGCTTCACACTACATCCCTAGCGCCAATTTAGAGGATCTACAGGCGAGGCTGGGTGAACTGCCGGTACACAACGACTCCGAAGATATGTGGGATATTACTGGAAAGGCTCTGGAGGAATTTTCCGTTGCGATACCGGAGGATTACCAATTCAAATATTCCAATGCCCAACTGAACGTTGTGGAGTCTTGCTTTGATTCAGAGACTACAGGTAATGTCAAGGCTATCATAAACGCCTTAGAAAAGGTGATAAACTCTACATCGGCCGCTCCTGAAGAAAAAGAGTTTGCTCGCGTCACATTGGAGAAATTGGACACTAAGAGCGGCGTCTCGTTGCAGGTAGCCTTGGAACAGTTCCGCCGCAACAAGAACTCCGATATCGAGTCTTCTCTCAAGCAAGACCTAATTACTGCATCCAACATGTGTGAAGACGTGGTTTCTGAGTTTTCTGCAGGCACGAAACACAAGCTGGTCGATAAGAACAAGACTCCATATGCGTGGACCAAATCTTCCTTGACCGTAGACGAACTCTCGCGTCTAGTATCCCCTCGTGCCTCAAACTCTGTGTCACTGCTCAGCAACGTCACCGATGCGGTCACGTGGAAGAAGTACCCATTTCATTCCAAGTTCATGCTACCCACAGAACAGCAGCTCAAGGACTACATCACAGGCAATGATAACTCAGGCAGATCTCTGGCCGTGTCCCGCCACGAAGTGATCAAATTTTTCTCTCAGTACAACCAATCGTCCAGAGGGAAGTCCGGAATTCAATATCTGTGCAATCAAATCTGTCGCAGAAAGTGCACAGAGGGCGATGCTGGCGAACTACACTGGAAAGACAAAGCATTGTAATAGCATTGAAGAACTTGAACTCATCCAACAAGGTTTCTAGACCCCTCCTGTATATATAGTGAATGTTTTGGTAGCGTCTTCTGGCTTAATATACCGAACATGACATATCGTCAAACGTGATAGGGCTAACAAGCTATTACTTAACTAGATCGATTAGAAGATGACAATACTACCTTCAACTTGGGTTTGAGCACTCCGTTTACTACTGCTTTGCTCTGCTATTTGAAACTTTAGCAATGACGGAGATCGACGAGTTCATAAATCTAGAAATCCCATCGGTCATCCATAAAGATGACTGCGGTTACTGTTTTGAGACGATGTATAATGATGACATCAAGTCATCGCATTCACTTAACATCTGCCTGAGATGCTTTCAGAGCTTCTGCTCTGAGCATCTTGAATTCCATCAAACGGTTACGAAGAGCGAATTAAACGACCGTCACGATCTTTACATGAAACTCAGCAAAGTCAAAAAACCAGTGGTAGCAGTGGAAGAGCCCACTGAGAAGAGGTTGAAATTGGAAGTAAGCGAAAAGTCTGAAGATGAGCTGTATGATACATCCTGGACGTTATTGAAGGATAGTGCTAGTATCACAGACTTGGAATTGAAGGGATTAGACCCCCAAAAGGCTGCTCAGGTGGCCACCAAAGTTGGCCAGATCTTGAACGCTAGATCCAATAACTTCCAACAGATGGCTAGTTCTTGGGAACTGGAGGTTAAACCGTGCGAACACGTCAAAAATTTTGTAGTGGCAAATGGAGAGCCGCAGGATGTACAAAAATCGTGTGGAGAATGCGGTTTGGATAGTAATTTATGGCTGTGTCTGCACTGCGGCCACATTGGTTGTGGTCGTCAACAAGTGGGCATTGAGGGTCATTCACATGCTCTGGCACATTTTGATGATAGTCCGGGTCATCCCCTGGCGGTCAAACTTGGGTCTTTGAGTCAATCCTCCGCCGATGTCTATTGCTACGCTTGCGATGATGAAGTTCATTTTGATGATGCAAACTTGTGGGTTCAGGCTCTGGCCCATTGGAATATCGATATCAGTGGTAAAATCGCACAGGAGAAGACCCTGATAGAGTTGCAACTCGAGCAGAACATGAATTGGGACTTCCAAATGGTTGATTCTGAAGGTCATAATTTAAGGCACCTACAAAGCTCAGCAGAATACGGCTGCGGGCTACTGAACCTTGGAAATTCTTGCTATATGAACTCAGTTCTACAAGCCCTCGTGAATGGCGGTGTCGCTGCATGGTCTCTGGCAGAGTTGGGCGATTTCCCTCCCAGTGCAGTTTACGTCTCTAGCAATCTCAAATGTCAGCTTGTGAAGCTGCGAAACGCTATGTCATTAGAACCCGCCAAATACTCCAATGGCGTCAAACCCTCCACATTCAAAAATTGCATTGGCGGAACGCACGAAGAGTTCAGCTCTGGAAGACAACAGGATGCTTTAGAATTTTTCTCATATTTCACAGATCTTTTGGACCAGAAAGCCTTCAATAGTACGCCGACGAATCCCAATGATTTGTTCAAGTTTAACGTTCAAGATAGACTGGAATGCTCACAGTGTCACTCCGTGAAATATACCACACAATCGTCTGAGTACCTGCAAGTCCCACTCGCCGACGTCTCTGAACCACAGGAATTAATCGAACAGATCGGGAGCTACTTTGCAGAAGAAGAAATTAGTTTCAAGTGTCCAAAGTGTGATGCAATGGTTACTGCAATCAAATCATCTGGTTTTCAATCGTTCCCAGACACGTTAGTTGTGAGTCCTACTCGAATCAAATTGGTCAACTGGATGCCTACGAAGACATCACAAGAGGTTCTTATGCCAGGGATCGACGCTACTGATGCATCCACTTTACATCTGGGCAAGTTCAAATCGCAAGGATTCAACAGCGAAACTGAAACGCTATTTCCAGATAGCGATGAGGCGAGGGTATTTACACCAAATGCTCAATGTGTTGCTGATCTTTTAGAAATGGGGTTCACTGAAAATGCAGCAATCAAGGGCTTATTTCACACCAATAACAATGGCATGGAAGATGCAATGAACTGGTTGTTCGCTCACGTTGAGGACCCCAATATCAACGAACCTTTCGTAATGCCAGCAACTTCAAGTAAGCCAGAGGAGTTCAATTCGCACCACCACCTCGAGGACATGATCACGATGGGTCTTGATCCACAACTGTGTCGCAAAGCACTGATACTCAATAAGGGCGACATCACTGCCAGTGTGGAATGGGTTTTCAACAATCTAGATGACGATGGTCGAACTACCGAACAGACACCGGTGGAATGCGAAAACAAAGAATACGGTTTTGAAAATGCAACACTCGCAAACTATCGTTTGAAAGCTGTCATTTGTCACAAGGGCTCTTCTGTTCAGTCAGGCCACTACGTTGCATTTATCAAAAAACAAGTGGAAAATGAGACAAAATGGGTCCTTTACAATGACGAAAAAATTGTGGTTGCTGACGATCCGGCTAATATCCTAGAATTGAAAAAGAATGGGTACATCTTCTTTTTCAACAGGTGCTAGACGTCCCGTCTTCACTGTTCATGTCGATACTGGAGCTTTCCATTGATGCATCACTGTTGACGGGTGTGTCATTTAGTCTGAAACCATATCGATCTGACATTTCGAGAATCCCATCTACAACTTCCATCATCATTGAAGAGCTTCATCAGGCGTACTTTATCTCCTTCAAACTACTCGCCGCCTCTGATCATGGAAAACCAGCAATCTACCCAGCAAAATCGGTACTCCGGCTACGTATGTCGCACAATTCAACACCACATGAACTTTAAAACCCATTTGACTAACATTTTACGCCAATTGATAGCAGATAAATCCAGATTGGACACAAATGCAGAGCTTTGATACATCTCGTGGTCTGGATGCATCCCTTGCGAAGCTAACCTTCAACCAATCCAGTTACTTTGGAAACCCGGAGGCTGAACAACAGGTTATAGGTGGGCACAATGCGAGTGGCTATAACAGCGGAGCTAACACTCAACCTGGTAACTTCATGAGCTCCAGAATAATGAATCCTTTGACTCAGGGATCGGATGGTAGCAGGGGAAACATGTACTGGAATATGGACCAACGCGACACGAAATTGGGTCGCGAAAACACGTCTGGCACCCTCACTACCAACAGCATCATGGATACTTCTCTAAGCGTGAAGAACTCAGATTACAACACGACTTACGGGTCTGCCGAAAACCAGGAAACTTACGAGTCTTTGCAATTGGAGTTACAGGTCAAAGAAACTCAGATCGAATCCTTAGAGTCTGAGATTCAGAGCTTGAAGCAAGTTTTCAATCAGGGTCTTTCATTGAAGCAGAAAAACCACAACCGCGCACCATCTGCTCGCCAAACAGACGGCGGCGTCCTTCAAATGCCCACCACTTTGGAAGCGATATTTCATAAGCTGTCACAGACTCTTGCAGCTAAAGATAAAGAGCTGAAAGACACCACATTGAGGCTTGAAAGTCTCGTCACTGCCGCTTCTCTCAACACCACAAACTCTGTCACGAAACTAGGACGGTATGACGAAGAAGCTCTTGCTCATAAAATGGTAGTGAGATTGGAAAATCTGACCAAAGAGAACCAGGACATGGCGAAAATGCTTGGATATGGAAGATCTAAAGAAATTTACATCGAAATGGAACTTTTGAAGAAGGAGAATCAAGAATTAAAACGCAAACTACAGGAGCACGATCGTCCAGCGCTCAAAGGCTAGATTTCGCAACGATTTACAATCTCGCTAATTACAACACACCACCTTCTCTTGCTATATTGAAACAACGAGCGGTATCGAACAAAATGCAAAGCTGAGGTAAAAAAAAAACAAAGCTCAGTTCAAATATAGGTACAGGTTTAAATACAATAAGTCTTAGGAACCAGGAACTCAAGTACTATAAATTAATCATTTACCAAGAGCCTTTCTCCTGTTTTGCACACCCTTGGCGAGCAAAGTCAAGACTTCTTCGGTGGATTCCCAGCCGATACATGCGTCAGTGATAGAACAGCCGTATTTCAATTTGTCACGACCGCCTTCTTCTGGGACATCTTGTCTACCTTCGACGAGGTTAGACTCAATCATCACACCGCAAATGGCATTTTGACCGTCAGTGAGCTGTTCGTAGATGGATTGGGCAACCTTAGGTTGGTTTCTGTAGTCCTTACTGCTGTTACCGTGAGAGCAGTCGATCATTATTCTCCTCTGCACACCAGCTTCGTCGGCAACCTTGGCCTTAATCAATTCTTGTTGAGTCGTTTTCACGTTTTCGGCGTCAAAGTTGGTGCCCTTCTTACCGCCTCTAAGAATGATGAAAGTGTCTTTGTTACCTTCGGTACCGACAATGGCAGTGACACCTGGTTTGGTAACGCTCAAAAAGTAGTGTGTGTGGGCAGCAGCTCTCATGGCGTCCACAGATACTTGCAAGCCACCGTCAGTACCGTTTTTGAAACCAATTGGGAACGAAAGACCCGATGCAAGCTCACGGTGAAGCTGGGATTCGGTGGTTCTGGCGCCAATAGCACCCAAAGAGAAGCAGTCGCTCAAAAATTGTGGGGAAATGGTGTCCAACATTTCACCTGCAATTGGCATTTTTTCTACCAAGTTTGTGAACAATTCTCTGGAGATTCTAAGACCTTTGTTAATTTTGAACGAGTTGTCAATATCTGGGTCGTTAATCAGACCCTTCCAGCCCACTGTGGTTCTAGGTTTTTCCAAATACGCTCTCATGATTACCAACAAGTCCTTGGACAATTTTTTAGAAAGCTCTGCAAGACGATCACAGTATTCGTACGCAGCCTTTGGGTCGTGAATCGAACATGGTCCAATCACAATAACCAATCTGTCGTCTTTTCCGTTCAACACATCGCACACTTGCTCTCTGGTTTCCACAATAATTTTATGGCCCTTTTCAGAAACTGGTAGTTCGTGTTGCAGTAAGTCTGGAGGCGTGAGTGGATCGTAGCCCTTGATTCTCCAGTCTTCTAGACGACTTCTGTCACCGACGTGGTCGTTTTTGATGAACATTTTTTTGGCGCGAGGATCTTTCAACACTTTGAAGTTCGATATCGATCTGATCTGAGCGAGTTTAGAAATGCGCTGAAAAGCTTTAATCTTGAGTATAATTCACTGATCTTATGAAGGCATATGACAAACTTCGACGAACTGAAGTTGCGTCCGATGAGATGATGCGATTTTTCACCACCATACTTAAAAAAAAAATTTCACACGGCGTCTCAGCAGCATTCGAGCTGGAAAGAATTAGAAAAAAAAAGGAACTCGCGGACGGTGGATGATGTAGCGGTAGGCGTGTAGACTGGAGGAACACACGCATTTGAAAGTCGTCAGATTTAGGAAACCAGCAGTTGAGTGACATTTCGAATATTATTCTGAAATAATACTAGAAAATATTGGAAACCGCTAGATTGGTGAGTGATCGTCCAGAAAGATGGCACACGTAATATCACGACCTGCGATGAGTCGAAACTGCTATCACTCAGTGTACTCCGACTCGTGGCTGTGTTTCCATGGGTGATTCTTGTGCTATGGTAGTTAGATCACTTTTTCCCTCCACGACACCATATCGTGAAGATCACTATTGTCTTCTGTTGTCATCTGTCGCGTCTGGTTAAAAAACGTTTTTGCCAAAAAAAGGTCCTACCCGGATTCGAACCGGGGTTGTCCGGATCAAAACCGAAAGTGATAACCACTACACTATAGGACCGGACTGTTGGTGAAGTAGGAAGTAAAACAAGTGATACCTGGTTTGCAACATCACGGGTCAACATTTACTGCGAGCGGTTAGAGATCGTTCACTCCAGGTTCTCTATCAGAGTTTTCCTGTATGCCATACTAGTTTCCCTTTCCTGCTACTCACGGTCTCTTTATATATGCGCCAATTTCAATTCGTTTTGAGGTTTGGGGAGCCTAGGTGACACACCACTTGCGATAAGCTACAAATGTCTTGTTTCATCGAATGTTAGAACATCCAAGCGCATCTTTTCGTAGTCATATTCAGCCACTCGAAGTGTTGAACTCTTTATCTGCTCTCGCATGCTTGTCTATTCTTGCGTCATAACTTCGTTATAATACATATCACAAATACTTGTTAAAGACGGCTAGTCCCTGGTCGTAGCCCTGTTCCCATTCCCACACATATTCACCGTCACCTTTGTCCGATGTGTGCTGACTCTTACGCAATGACTTGAAAAAATGCGTTCTGCCCACCCTGGAATGATCAAATTCATTGAACGCACGAATATCAGAAATGGCGGTCTTGAGACCTTCTTCAAAACGCCAATGTTCAAATTTGTCGCCTCCTTTGTCCTTCCAATAATTGACGTGATCATCGACAATCTGTTGAACTTTGCTGTCGTCGATATTTGGATCCACACGTGGACGTTTGGGCAAAGCTCCACTGTTGATCATAGGCTGGAACCCCCACTCGCCGCCGTCTCCCTCTTGGAATTTAAATGTCCAAAAAAACCAACCCCAGCTTGCTTTGTCCTGGAACACACCGACCTGGGCCTGACCTAGCTTGCGCACCCATTCCTCGCGCGATTCCTTAGTCTTGTCCCAAGTTTGGCCATCTAAAACGCACGAAAACTCACCCACCATGTAGTCCGCTTTGTCATTGGAGAGATTCACAGACTGCGGAAGATCATTTACAATTTCACCCGCGGTTTTCTGCTTGTCACTATCAGAAAAACACCGGTATACATGCGAGTCTATCACGACGCTGTTGGCCAAATTGTTTTCGTCTAGCCAGTCGGCCCATTGTTGAGGCCACCAGCCGTCCGAAATAACCACGGGCAACGTATCATCGACACTTAGGACCGCATTGATCACTTTTGAGTAGAACTTCTTTTCAGGTTTCGCGGAATCACTGAAAGCCGCTTCGTTGATCACCTGCAAACCAATGACGTTTTCATTTGGCTGACAGAGGTCCTTAGCAATGAAGGGCACGATATCGTCGACGACACTAGAAACGAAATCACTAGTAGTGAAAAAACTTGCTTGTCCGTTATTGCTTTCACCTGAGTGTGCATCACCGTTAGCACCACCTGGAACTCCATGGATATCGACCAATATACCAATATTGTATTCTGCTGCTTTCTTCACAATTTTATGAACGGCATCCCACGGTTGGGCCGCTTGATAAATCGATTTGAGCTTATGGAATTTCATCTTATCCGCAATATAAGCACCATTATCAACGTGCCAATACCCGATGGGTAACCTAATGGCCGTGACACCTGCCTCCTTCTGAAGCCATTCCCAGTCCTGGTCCGTCACATAACTTGCATAGTGTTTTTGGAGTTTTTTGGCCACTTCATCAGACGATGATTTCGCAACAAGTGCAGAAACCGCTTCGTATTCATTTCCTCCACCTTCAGAAAACAAAGAATGGTAAATGTAGCTTTCCTGAACAAACAGGGATCCGAAATTCACTCCGAAATTGTACCTGTTGCGATATATTTCACGCTTCGAAACTTCTCCTGGACCACTGAATTCGGGCACATTCTCGTCATCATTTGAGCTCTTGAGATCCTTAACTTTCCGCTTCAATTTGTCGAACATTTTGCCCTTACTGAAAACGATGCTTGCAATTAACGCTGTATGTAGATCTATAGCAATGATTGGATAGATATCCTGTCGTTTTCTGTAAAAGTGGTGTAAACTGGAGAGAGTTCTTGAAACCTCCCCTAATTCTCTTGAGCTTTATATACTCCGAGAGATACCGTCGATAGTGATAAAATTCGACGACAGTAAAAAGATGGTGATGTGCTAGGTTCATTGTCACAGGAATCTCGAGTTTAGTTACGTGTGTGTATGTAGGTGATACAATAATGCTCGAGTTGTGCTGATTTGAATTTTGAGTTTTGTCTTTTTGGTCCTTTTTCCGCAAGAAAATTATGTGTCGTAGAAGTCGAAAGACACTTCAATTCTGGTATCGCCACTGCTATCAATACCTCAAATGTGTCAGTGCTAGCACACTTAGCTTGTCTGCGTGTGGCCCGCAGTCTTTTATAGTCTGGGGTTGAAATTTGGGTCATATCACATTGTACTACTTATTCTTCGAGGACGTACATACTATGCCTGAAGACAGAGACCATCGATGCTCTTCGAACGAGAGAGACGACACACATAATCATTTTCACAGATCAAAACTCAGGACTACGCTTTGAGGATTGAACATCACCCTTTCCAGTAACGTGCGCAGCTGGAACGCGGTAAAGCGATCCGCTGGGACCAGTACTCTTGCCATGTTCGACGTCCAGCGATGCTGTGGTGACAAAAATGTCTCCTCCAAGACCGATGCAGCAGCAAGTCATGTTGGGAGTTTGTGGGAACACAAGTTCGCGTTGTAGCTGACCCTTGGTGTCAAAAACCTGTAGTTTATTAGAGCTGTAGACGCAGCAATATGAATAGCCATCACGAGCATCTACGACGGAGCCGTCCGGCTGCGGAAGTTCCACACCCTTGTTAACGGGCACGAAATCAATAAATAACTTTCTCTCAGCTGGTTGCGGGTTCCCATCCACATATGGCATTTGCCAAGTCTTGAAAGCCATAGTATCGTTCAAATACAAAATGTCATTTTTCTGGTTCCAATTGATGCTGTTTGGGATGTGTAAATGGTCTAGCACGAGCTCGATGCTTTTCTGCTTGAGATTTACCCGAAACAAGCACCCCTCGGCCTCCTTTTTGGTATCCACGCCGATGTGGAAATCGTTCATCACTCCGATGTAAATATCGCCGTTAGGTGCAACATTGCCGTCATTCGACCTTAGACGGTCCCATTTTTTCTCAGAGACGTTTTTGCTCGATGAGAACAACACCCGGTAGCTCCATTGGCCTGTTTCAAGCGATACATGCCCGATCCCGTATTTTCCGGCAAAAAACGCTTCTTTCACTCCAGTTGGCGAATCAATCGGGAAAACGGCACCCACGCGTTCCGGCAAACCTGAAGAGTACGGATAATCCCCGAAATGGTTTTCAGCATTGATCTTGATGACTTTATGGGACGCTTTGGGTTCGTTGATCTCAGTCACATAGTGAATTTCACCCAAGAAAATATCAACCCAAAATAAGGTCTTGGAGTCCCGCAGAAAGGTGACTCCTTCGCTGAGTCTTGCACCGTGGTCGTGGATGTATGGTTTAGCTGTAATTTCAATGCTTTCTGGCATTATCAGGTATGGTTCATGTGCTTTTCTTGTGAGTATTTGCGATTAAAGGTCGACAAGACACCGTTATAACCTTGATCTACTTTATATACTCGGGCATTAAGACATCATCTTGTGAGTAAAATGTCGTCGGAGGAACGTCAGATTAAAGATGACAGGCTATTCTCAGGTCGAGAATCAAGGTTAACGTAGTTATGGATTTTCCCAATACTATTGTTTCGGCGAACCTGTTTTCCAGCTGGTTCCATTGGCATCGGGAACGTACAATGGTGTATCTGTCAAATTTGCGATTTTGCTCGGCCTTTCGTTTACCAAACCGCCGAGCAGTGGAGTTGAGACGATGCAATTGATCCGCTGTGAAAGGTTAATCAGTCCTTTAGAGTTTTCTTTCGGGCCTTTATTGGTGTCTAACCACACCAATAAGTTTATATTGCAGTAGACTGTCAAATTCTGGTCCAAGTACCGGAGGGACCATTCGTAACGCCAGATTGTTACTACCACCAACCTCATGGTGTCTCAACAACTCAGTGATTTGCCGCAGAAGCTTGATGCAAAAGATGAGAATCATGTATAATTTTGGTCCAATCAGACTTATGCACACAGTATACCTCGCTAATGGCCAACACTACTATCCCGCAGCCGAGACCTAACCAGAATCCTTTGAGTCCCATTTCGGTACCAAAACCCAAAGTTAAGGCTAGCGGGATGCCCACAGCGTAATACGCAAGAACATTCAAAGCTCCGCCAATTCGTTGGCGACCTTGAGCACGCAGAACACCTGCAGCCAAAACGTTGAATACGTCCGCGAATTGATTCACGCCGATAATGGGCAGGATTTGCGCTGCCAAGTGCGTCACTTCTTCATCTTTGCTGAAAAACGACGGAACTATGTTTCTGCCCAAAACGAGAATCAGAAAGTTGGCCATGGCTAGGATTCCACCAATGTGGAGTAACGTGGCCCTGGTAGCGATTCTGCAGTTGCTAATCTGTTTGTCGCCAACATAGTGTGCGATTCTATTAGAGGCTGCAACTCCAGTTCCGAATGGCACTTGGAACGTCAAACTTTGCACAGACGCAACCACCGATTGGGCTGCCAAAGCGTTGGTGCCAAATCGTGCAGCCAAAAAGGTAAGGGACTCGAAAGCCAAAAACTCAGCTTCTATCATGATGATACCGGGTATCGCCAGAGAGATCATTGTTTTCCATTGCGAGAAAATGGGTCTCCAATTTGAAAGCGGATTCCAGCAGTTAACGCTGCTTTCCTGGCGCGCACAATACCATATATAGCCCGACAACGTCATACCCATCAGGGTGAATGTCAAAGATACGGCAAGCGGGGCACCGATGTAGCCCATGCCGAGCCGGAGAACAAAAAGGTAGTTCAAAAGCACGTTTATCGGAGCACACACGAACAGGATGTATTGACCCGTAGTAAAGTTCTTTTGTGCTTGCAGATACTTTTTCCCGCACTCAAAGATCACGAAGCCCGGGATGCTGGCTACCATCACTCGCAAATAACCTGCTGCAATAGCCACGAGCCTGGCGTCTTCGACGAGAAGTTGCAGAATCGGGGCAGCGAACCACCACACCAGTGCGATAGGCACTGCAAACAGCACCGAAATCGCTACACACCGCTGGAAATACAACCCTACCAATTGATACTGTTTGCTGCCGTAGGCCTGTGGACACAATGTATCCAGACAGGTTGCCAGACCTTGGAAAATGGCCATCGTCGCTGTGAACGCCACGTTGGCGAGTGCAACGCCGCCCAAAGCCAGCGCGTTTAGTCTGCCCACAAAAATAACGCTCACAAAAGACAATGACATCTGCAACAGAAACGTCACAACTAGTGGAGCTGCTGTTTTGCTGATTTCGCGAAACTCCCGTTGTGTCGTCGTGCTGGTTGGAGGCGCAATTTCAGCATCGGGAAAACCGTTCGCGCTGCTGCTCTCACTACGAGCAGTCGCCCCGTACATTCCTGTAGCTTCTTCTCGCGAATGCGACTCTTTTTTGTTTAAAGACATTGTCCAAGCTAGCTTTTGAGTCCTTTATACCGCCTAAACTCAACCAAAAAAGCTCGAAATTTTGCACTTGAAATTCGCAACCGAAGTTAAAGGTCAACTTGTATTCGAAAAGTTGATCAGAGCTGCGAGAAGACCATACCAACTGTCTCAAAACTGACCAAAAACCTTATCCAACTCTTAGCTCGATGCCATGCACTTCCATTACCTTGGAAAAGTTCCAATAATTATCCCGTTTAACGAAATCTGTCACCTATTTTTCTTATCGGGGTCCAATTTCCTGATCAGGAAATATGACTTATCTTTCGATAAGAAGCCGCCTTTAGATTACGTCAGCTGAAAAATTCCGCCGTTGCTCGAGCACTATAAAAAGAACAGGCTCATCGCGGCGAGAAACAGGGCTTTGAAAGCAGTAGGAGCGCACATTTGAAGCTGGTGGTCTGCAATTGAGAAGGAGAGCGAGCTGCGCACACTTAAGAGGATCAGTCTCCCGGTTTTTGCGTTCTAATCGGTGATCTTGACGTCTTTTTAGGCTGGACGAAAGAATACTTAGGGACCGAACAAGAACAATGAAAGTAGTTTCGGTATTAGCTGCCGTGATGGGCGTTACCACTGCCCAGCCCGCATTCTGGAGCAGCATTGCATCCGGCGGTGGTCTGCTCAACGAGCTTTACGGCTCGCTGCTAGAATCCCACGACAGCAGTTCCCACGACAAAGCAAGTGGCTTGGCTACACAACGATTCACACTGGACGCAGAAGAGGACGAGGAGTTTCGCGCTCGGTGTGGCTACTATGAGCACAACCCTGTAACATATCCTGACGACGATTTGAGTTCAGATCTGCAACTTTTCGCGGGCATTGTATCGTTTGCACATGTGCCCATAGAACGATGCTTTGACGCCGCACATGGCGGTGCTCAATATGACATCGCAGTGGTTGGGGCACCCTTCGACACGGCAGTGTCTTACCGTCCAGGCGCGCGATTTGGCCCTAACAGCATCAGACAAGGTTCCAGAAGGCTCGGCGGAGGATTTTTGCCCGTCAGAGGGTTTCCGGGCTCAAAAATGCGGCATTTGGATCCTTACAACGCAGGCTACAAGATCGTGGATTGCGGGGATGTACCGATGACTCCTTTCGACAACCGGATCGCTTTGAACCAGCTATACAGAGGGCAAAGGGCCATCTACAATCGCACCACTGTGAAAGAGGATTTGAAAGTCCCAAAAGTAATCACGCTGGGAGGTGACCACACGGTCACACTGATGGCTCTAAGAGCTGCTCATGAGCACCATGGCCCTGTCGCAGTGATCCATTTCGACTCTCATATCGACACTTGGGATCCCAAAGTGCTCGGTGGTGGAATCACTAAGACCCAGAGCATTAACCATGGCACTTTCCTGCATTTCGCCCACGAAAGGGGTTATATCGCCCAGGACAAATCGATACACGTTGGAATTCGCGCGCCCTTCATTGTAGAATCTGACGAAAAACACGACCACGACTGTGGATTCGAAAAGATTGTAGCACGGGATTTCGACATTCTGAATTTCAGAGAGATCGTTGATACCGTCAAAACGCGTGTGGGTGATCTGCCAGTCTACATCACCGTTGATATCGACGTTTTGGATATTGCAGTTGCACCCGGCACGGGCACGCCTGAACCAGGTGGATTAACTGCGAGAGAACTTCTCACTGTTCTGGACGGTCTTGAAGGTCTGAATGTCATTGGTGCCGATGTTGTAGAAGTATCACCGGCATTTGATTCAAATGGAGAAATCACCTCGATCGTTGCTGCCCAGGTGGTAGACTCCTTCTTAGGCCTGATGACAGTTCATTAGCTGAACTGACAGTGCAAAGAAAGCTCAAAAAGATAATACAATTCTATAACCACCTAGTAAATACATCTTGGCTTCACCAGGTCAAAACATCCTGATCCTCAAGTTTATATCCTTTCTCCGTGCCGTACCATACCTTTTCCAACCTAAGTAGGTTGTGTTCCGTGAGTCTTTGAAAACGGCTTCCGTTGATCTTGTAATATGTCCGGATAACATTTCTAGTTTTTTCGTCTATGGCATTGAGACCTGCAACTAAGATGGCGAAGTTGCAATAACAGGTCCGCAAGTTGCGCGGAGGACTCTCGCTATCCAGAAATCCAAAAAAACTAGTGATCTTCTGGACAACCTGTTGAATGGCAATTGACTCTTTTGGAACTCCAAGCAACTTGAGCAGTACGATGAGAAGAAAAGACAAGACTTGCGTCTGATGCGAAATGTCATACCAACTTATGGCTATTTGTTCGCCACTGCGTAGTGTTACAATATCGATGGCATTGTCCATTATTTTGCTGTTGTGGGGATGCGATTGATTGCTGCGAGGTATGATTCCAGTCTTGTCTATAAAAACGTAATCTGACTGTCGATCAATTTCCACCAAAATCTTTTGGATTTTGAAATATGACAACTGCTCCTTGAACGTTTCTGTGTTTGGATTTGACCACAGCAAGTAGTCCAGATTTTTATCGAAAATTCCATCCTGTTCAGAAAAATACTTCTTTTCCGAATGCCTAATAGCGTTTAAAGCCTTAAACACTTCTCTGATAACCAGATCAAAATCTTCTTTGTGCCCGCGCAAAAGATTGAAGTCATTAAGAGGCGTCACGATGTTGAGGAACTTCAAAGAGTCCAGGTACTGGTAATCATACGGGTCAAAAATGACATCGAGGTCACTTTCATCTATGACTGCACCACCCAGCACCGTACTGATACTGGCAAACGTCTCAATAACCTTGAACCAGCATTTCGCCACATTCAACACTTTTGAAGAATTTCCGGAATTGATCTTCTTGAACAGTTCGGTCACACCTTTCAAATGAGATCTCCATTGGCTGTTCATAGTATAAATACAGTCCCATGTTAGCATGAGGACTGTGAGAATAATAGGTTCGATCTTGTTGTTAACATTGCTTTCATTCTTGAATTGCTCGGTAAGGAGTCCGAGACAATGCGATAGATATGCACAGTAGCTTTTTTCATCCTCGACGTCGTCCGTTTTTCGGTGGGAAATTGATGCGCCTACTGCCAGTATCGAAGAAAGTAGGTAGGGCTCGCCCTTAGCAAACGATAGTAGAATGTCTCGTAGAGGATTGCCCTGGCCTTGGAAAAAGGGTGCTATTGAGTCTAGACAGTCATAGAAGAAAACCTCCAGATATTTGTCGTTGGCGCCCCCCAGTGTGAAAGAGCTGAGCGTCATGTTAAAAGTCATGATGCTGTCAACAAGAAAAGAGATAGGAACTGCTGGACGAGGGTTTTCCGGTGGCATTATGTTGAGCTCTGGGATATCGAGGTCAGACAGGTCTGTGGCCTTGAAATCGTCGTAGATCAGTGAGTCGTTGAGCTTCATATTGACGATGTCGTTGAGGTTTTGAATCAGCAGGTTTGCGTCAAAGGAATTGACGTTTTGCGTGGGAATCAAATTCGGAACGTTTAGGGCTCCAGAATTGGTCGTATTGATCAAAAATTCACTTGTCGTGTCTGCATTTGAGGATGCTGTTTTGGAATCTGTCAAAACGGGCTCTATCGGGTCCCCCTCAGGCTTTGTTTTCCGCTTCCGATTTTTCGTGCGAATTTCGTAGACACACTTCCGATTCAGCCTTGCACATTGCCAGCAAGTGGGCTTTCCCTCGTCACACTTCATCCTCCGTCTTTTGCATTCCGTACACCCGTTGCGTGAGTATTTCCTTTTGGTAACCTTACCATTGCTGGTATCGGCTGCTAGACTCGCTGTACCATTCACTTCCAATCCTCCCAGATTCACAGGCATCGAAACAGGTCCACTGTCGCCATTATTCACTCCCGTTCTGGCATCAGCACCATGCACAGGTGTAATTATTCCTCCACCCAAAGAGCTGCTATGCACTTGGTTGTGTTCCTTATCCATGGAGTTTCCGGCTCCAGTTCCCACCGCCATTTCGTCCAAACCCGCTACACGAGTGTGAATTCCTTCCTCATCGTCCTCCTCCACCATCAAATGGTGTCCGAAAAGTCCATTTCGGTGAGATGACGAAGTTGAATTTGCTGAAGTTGTCATCGATCCACTATCTGTATAAAGTGCTGGTGAAATGGAAGAAGGCGTCAGCGATGGGTCGATTGTTTTGGCATCAACAAACGACACCGAATTCTTCTCAAAGGGCTTCATAGAAGTCTCGAACCCTTGCAGATCGTTTATGTCAGTGGAGATGGAGCTTGATGGGCATCGCATGAAGTTCACAATTCAGTGGAATTTCGCCAGGTATCAATTAATTCCTCTGGAAAATTTGAGAGGACTCACGAGTACAGAAGGACTCACGAGTACGATGACATGCACTTGACTAGTAACTGGGACGACGTTAAAGCCAGATTAGCCGGTTGTTTGGCCATTGCTATCCATTCCGCACCGTATCTGGGTTCATGTCGGTCAACTTGTTCAAGAACTTCAGCCGTACTGTGATTCATTCGCTGTAGACACCGGGCGTACCATATCCAAGCGTCACCGAATAGTGGGGCCGCTGTCGCGGCCCTCTGGAACCATTTGAGAGCCTTGGAGTACTGTGTATCGATGAACAAGCCAGTACCTATTGCCACTAGAATTTCGTGGTGCGACCCGGTGTGCTGCAGAGCATCTTGGTACGCAGTTTTGCGCTGCGATTTTTTGGCCAGCAATTTGAGATTCTCAGCCCACAGTAACGGACTGTTTGGGTGAGTTCTCAGTCCTTGGGACACCAAAAGTCTGGCTTGCTCAACGTTACCGAGCTCTCGTTCCATCTGAACTCGCGCCACAAGCAAGAGCTCCTGCTCTGGTTTGGCATTAGAAATTTTCAGCAAGGCGACATCGAAATCTGAACGGGCCTTGACAGGCTGGCCAAGTAGCTCCTTGTCGGCTCGTGCCAGTGCAGTCCATAGTCGCGCACTTTGAGGAAACTTCCGAGTACCTTCATAGTAACTATCGCGTGCTTTTGCAAACTGGTTTAAATCTTGGTAAATTTGGCCCCATTGAAGGAATAGCTTGTCACACGCAGCGTCAGTGACTAAAAATCTTTTCTCCAAAAGCTCAAGAGCCTCCTGATTCCTGTTTTGAAATCTTAGGAATCCAATGTAACGATGACACACTCTTTCGTATCCCGTCTGAGACTCCAACGAATCGATAGCTTTCTTGAATAGTTGGTCTACAATATCAAATTTCGAATCGACAATCAGCAACTTGACCTTTGCAAGGCAAAAATCGATATTTGATGGTTCGAGCTCTAAACTCCGACTAATAATCTCTAGTGCTCGAGAAACGTCCTTGTCCGCTTTCCACACTTCCTTAGAGTATTTTAGTGCCAGAACCGGGATTTCTCGCAACACGTTTCCTTGGTTCCCAAATAACACATTTTCAAAAGTGTTATATACTTCACTGCTCAGGCCTGCGACTCGACCCAATTCTAAGAACTTGTCCCAAAGAATGATTTTGAAAGGTTCCCTCTCCAGCACGTATCTGTAGGCGAAGCATTTTACAAGGCCGTTGTGACTAATATCATTAATAAACGCAACAATTTTGGCAGCGGAGCCAGATGCGTAGCAGGTGTCGATTGCAATTTTCACAAGAGCTCGAATTGTGGTAATGTAGATTTTCGAAAACTGCAGCTCCACTTGAGTTGCCTGCTGAAACCACAGTTCAAACGTCACAGAGGTTCCATGCTTTGCCAGCTCTTGAGCTCCTTTTTTCAAAATTTTTACAAGCTTTTCGAAAGAGGCATTGCCAGATTTTTCCTCGAGTTCCGTGGCCAAAATCCAAATTTGAAGTTCACTTGGGTTCTTCTGTCTTGCAAAGTTCAACGATTTCCTGGCGTCAGAGTGATCTTGCAAATTGATCAGAGCAGTAAGTAGTTCGATGTTATTCGGTATCAGTTCCGTGGCCTTTTGCAATATTTTTATGGCTTCCTTTCTATCACTTTCATATTCAACTGCTAGTTTCCATAGTTCTGAGGAGGTAGGCAAATTCTGAAGAGCTTTACGAACAACTCTGACTTTATTAATCTTTTCATTTTCTAGTTCTGCGGCCTTCTGCCATAATTTCAAACTTTCGTCGTTGATTGTAAGGGCCCTTGCCACTAATACCTTGCAGTAGTGCTGGTCTGTTGCGTTAAGTCTGATATTTTCAAGCCAAATGTCTTCGTCTCGCGGACATGCTTCGCATCCTTCTTCGATTAGACTCTTAGCAAGTCGGTACTTTTTCGCTTTCTCCTCTAATCTTGCAGAGGCAATCCAGCCCTGTGGTTTGGATGGATCCGATTTACGGTACGAATTTAATATTACTCGAAGTCTTGCAATGTCCTGCAAGTCAGTATTGACCTCTGCTGTCTTGATAGAGTCGCCAAGCTCTTGGAGCAAAGCATTGGTGGTGTTATGGTTTGATTCTTGACTAACATCGTTGAGCGATTCGTCAAGTTGGCGACCCAAAAGCTTTTCCCGCTCTTGCGTGAGTTTCGTCAGGTCAATATTATCGCGTATCAAAGTGTCCGGCGCAGCGTATGTTTTGCGTTCATTTTGCAATTCGACTCGTTGCCGCTTGTTCCGTCTAGTGAAATCGCCGGCTTCTGGTAGATTCCACCATTGTTCGTCACTGACTGTGGCCAATGACCGTTTGAGATCCACGAAAGCTTGTGAAGCAGTCTTAGTGTCTGTGTTAGTATTTCCTGCGCTTTCTATGGCCGCTTTTTTACGTGTGGAATTGCGCGACAATCGGGCATCCACTTCTTGATAGATTCGATCTGCTTCTTCATCAATTTGGGATTGTCCGCGACCTTTCGACGCCAAAGACAGCCCGTTGGAATTCTCAAATTGTGTTTTAGAGCTTATCCTGGAGTTGCGGTCCTCTGCAGCATCGTCGCTTTCGGCGTCGTCCTCAATCGTTTTTTCTCGATCGTCCCTAACTCTTCCTGGTACTTTTCCAGACCCAATATCAGAGCGTGTGGTAAAACCTGTAGCACCACGACCCACACCAGCAATATAGCCTGGGGGAGGTTTTTGATTCAAAAACGCGGGCAAGTCCATGATCAAATATAGGAGCACTTGTAGTTGAATTCGAAGTAATCGAGCAGTGTCGGTCATCTCATCGCATCTCATCTCATCCGTATCGAAAGAGCAGAGCTCATTTAAAAGGCACGTGACCAAACCAACATGTGACATTTACTATACACGTATGAAATGACAATATGCATAAATTATCATCGCTATAGACGAAAAGTCACATGTTTTGAAAAAAGGAGGATCACGTGAGAGTTTTATCACTGGGACAACAATATCCGCATTAATCAAAGTAGCGAAAACCATCTACTTGAGCGTGCGTGTGTGTTTGAGACTTTTCAGTGTCGATTTTTGGTCTACTCTGCTACCGGGTCTGCTCACTCTTAAACCCCTAAACTATGTTTACTTACTAAAAACACCTTTCGTAAATCCTGTGTCTTTCCACGATGATAACACACTTTTTCAAACTCCTCTGAGACTTCCTATACGCCGAACGAGCCACCCAGCCACCCAGCATAATCATCCTGCATCCATCCATCGAGTACCAATCCTGCGTCACAAAATTCCTGTTTCTTGTCACACCTATAAATATTTCAGATCTAAATGTCACTATATTGAGTAGACGATATATTAAGTAAACTGACCATCACAACTACAATACACACACAACGCACACAAGGGAAACTTATTCTATGCCCCAAAGGACTCATCTTGAAGCTCGTCAAACACAAACCACTCTGAAACCTATTCCAACCCGTACCTGGCCGGTGCTCCTCCAAATAAAATAGGCTCAACTGTAAATCAGCCGTAAACCGCCACATTTATTATCAAAACACCCAGAATTTTAATTGGAAAGCCATAGTAATTATCCCAATAAGTCAGTCGCCGCACATTACGAAATTAAACTACAAGTTTATAATTCTGAGTATGGAAAGCCTAACATTTCTAATGTATTGATAATATATTAGAAATTTCGTAGGACATGATGGACAGGGTCTCGAGCCCATCGATTATATAAAGGGGAACCTTTACAGAGGAATATGGAAAATGAGGAAATGATACCAAGAACATTGTTTGCCAGCGCCAAAGCCAACGTCAAGAAAACAGCATCTAATTGTTTTCCAATTGACCTTGTAACTCCGCCGTAAAGTTTAAAGAAATACCAGGTTTTTCTTTTTCCCTTCCACCAAAAATAAAGAAATGTCCAAAGTCGCAATTATTATCTACACGCTGTACGGCCACACGGCCAAGCTTGCCGAAGCACAGAAATTGGGCGTGGAGGCTGCAGGCGGCCAAGCCGACATCTACCAGGTCCCAGAAACGCTAAGTGACGATGTGGTCAAAGCCTTGGGCGGGCAGCCAAAACCCGATTACCCAATCGCTACCAACGAGACGCTCACCTCGTACGACGCCTTTTTGTTTGGTATTCCAACCAGATTTGGGAACTTCCCAGCGCAATGGAAGGCATTTTGGGATGCCACCGGTGGTCTATGGTTCAGCGGTGCACTACACGGCAAAGTCGCCGGTGTTTTTGTCTCCACCGGCACTGGTGGTGGTAACGAGACCACTGCAGTCAACTCGTTGTCTGTCTTGGCACACCACGGTATCATCTTCGTTCCGCTTGGATACAAGAACGCCGTTGCAGACCTAGGCAACCTCCAGGAGGTTCATGGTGGTTCTGCGTGGGGTGCCGGCACCATCGGAGGTCCAGATGGCTCTCGTGTGCCCTCTGAGCTGGAATTGAGAGTCAACGAGACCCAGGGACGTACGTTTTACGAGACCGTCAAGAAGTTCATTTCGTAGACTAGAGGATTTGGCTGGCTGAATGACGAGAAAAATAAGTGACTTTAGACACTGTTCTATCTGATGAGTTTGAAAACCGCCGTTGCAGCAACTAATAAAACACCCACGGTAACACCAATAGGTATTTTTTTTGTATGTTAAGCACGTAAAGAACTTGTTTTTTCAAAGCTCGTTGATCGGGCTAGGGGTGTCTTGTATCTGCGCTTCTGCACACTGACGCATTTTATTTAATAATGGGATGCAATTTTCATTAATCGTTCTGGAATCCATGTTTTCTCGCAAACACGTCTCATATTGAGCCATCAGCGACCCACAATGGCTCATCACTTTCTGTACACTTGGCACTTTCTGCCTTATACACATGGATAAGTCTCTCTGTCTGTAGGCACACAATGTAGGGTCTTCCCGGTTTTTCGACACACATTTATGGTATTCCATGAACTGCTGAGGGCAGTTTCTGGCCACATCTTCCATTATGAACTGATCCAGCGCGTTGGACATAATTTCGACTGAAGTTGATGGTTACGGTGAAACGAGACTTTGCTTAATAGATGTGCAACTCCGACAAATCTCAGTTGGTTGATCTTTCGATGATGATTTCAACTGATGTAGAGAGTATTATTACCAAGAAAGGTCACGTGACTGCATTATCACTATCTCGAATGAGCTTGAAGTCGCAAAATAAAGTCACTCTGTTCGATCATCTAGACCCAAAAGATGGGTTTCCAATGGGGACCTTCATCAAGCTGCGACAAATTCACCTAATCTCCAAGAAATTGGAAAAACTTGATTTTTTACCAATTTTTTTAGCAAAAACTGGACCACATCCCTTCAAAAATAACTCATTGCATTCCAATCCATTCCAATGGCGTCCAGTTTCGAACTCGCATCCTTTTCAGCATCGGATTGAGCCCATCACCACCCTATCATCTGACAAGAGCTCATTACGTAATCTTGATGTTTTCTATCATAGGACCCTAATGATAATAGTGAAATTTGACCATCTCATCGCCTACTGACAGATTAACTCATCGCATGTGCGAAAGTCATCCTTTCCATGAACAAAGCTCATCTCAGATGGCGTTTAGGTAGGATCAACGGCCGCCAGCTCTATGATGTGGCACTCCAAAACGAGCTCGATAAACTTGCAGAGGCCAAAGCGGTGGTATACAACTATCGAAAATCGTCATTAACCGTAGGTGTGACGTCAGTGTCACTGGATCCTTCAGGTCAGTTTCTGCTGGGTAGTGGCGAAGATGGAAGTGTCGGTTTGTGGGCATTGGACGAAAACTACATTGAGAACACGCTAGTCGATAAACGGATCCAGTTTGCCCGTGGAGAATCAAAGGAAGCAACCGGCGATGACACTGGCAAGTCGAACTCCAGGACCCATATTGTGGCTAGAAGACCTGTGAACGTTTCTGGACCTTATAGGCATCAGCCTCAAAAGTTTTACGCATCCATACAATCCAGTGCAAGTACCCCATCACCCTTTCCACACGAGACGTACCATGCGTTTTCGATATCTACGGTAAAATGGTATGATACGGACAACGGTCTTTTTTTCACGGGAAGCAACGACCGAAAAGTCAAAATTTGGGACACCAATACGTTCCAGGTGGCATCGTCGCTCGACGTGGCGCATCGAGTATCGCAATTGGACACTAAAGGTGACCTTATAGCCATTGCCACGGAGGACTCGCATCCGCGTCTGATTGACCTCCGATCCATGAGCGCAACCATCAGTCTTGGCGTTAAACGCGTCGACATGAAGTCGGGCATCAACACAGCTAAGTTTTCTCGTGACAAAAGCACAACTGCTCAATTGATGGCCACTGGTGATAACGATGGAAACGTCCGGATCTGGGATCTGCGTAAGAGTAACCGCGCGCTTTGTGATCTCACCGAACCAGACTCCATGTCCAAAGCACACGCGCGGTGTTGCAACGACATTTGCTGGAATCCTACCGGCGATTTCGAGCTTGTAACCACTGGAAATGACGGCAAAAACAAGCTGTGGTCATTAGACGGAGAGAACAGGAGCTACGTGGTACGACAGCTGGGCGCAACAGACTTGATGGCCAACCGTTTTCGCCATCGCACTTCTCAGTATTTGATGTGGGAGGGACCATACGTGTTTTGCAACTCCGACCATGGAGAAGTTGTCGTTTACGAAGGCCGCACGGGACGCCAGTTGCATACGTACCAGTACCCATTGGGGGTGGGACATAGGAAAACAACGCCCCGATTCTCTTGTATGGCTTTGCAAACTCGACTGAGCAATTCAATTGGCGTGCGTCTGATATTGGGCACTGATCACACACATGGAAAAATATTGGAATATCGCAGTTGAGGAATGTCAAACAAGTTTCGTTTATAGCATGAAAGACTCAGCATACCAAAGTCCCAAATCAGTTCGGCGCTCTGCAGGCTCGGAAGTGATTATTACGAACCAGACTCAAACAGAAAGTGGGACGTCGAGTCAAGGCATTGATTAGATCTACCGAGCTTCTTATAGAAAGAGTGCTCTCGGCTTGTGTTGCCATCACCATTCACACATCTATACCTACTGAAACATAGAATTGGCCAATTTACGGATTCTGTGCTTATGACAGAATTGCTTCGAAGTCGTCCTGTTATAGGACTATAGAGAGAAGTTTATTCGCCCAAGTCTGATAGAAATTGATACATGATTTTTAGACGCCATGTAACAGCTGGAAAGTGGTCACCAACTGTCCAATCGTCTAGCTCCTGCATACACCGAGACAAGGAAAGCAGATCTACTTCTTACGTATGGCGCCAGATACATGAACAAACGGGCCGAGGTCACGTGGCACGATGACAGTGTCTCGAAATCTCACCTTTCAGAAGGAGCTTTAACGAACGTAGTCACTGATCAGCGTACTCGCTGGATTTTCTTTCTGAATTAGTAAGTCTGATCTTCCCATTGATCGTTTTATGTTTTGAAAGTTACATACATCACCAACCAAATTTCTGGAGAAGCCAATGTGGCTCGAACGCCTTTCGGAAATTTTATTGAATCCATGCACGAAGAATTCGCCATACAAACAGTAACTAGGTCCGCAGCACATTTTTTCACGACTTCCTTCTACTTTTCAGCTTTCACCTCTTACATGTTTCATAAATTAATACTTATATAGTATAGTAATGCTATAACACTCTTACGAGAAGCTCACCAAGCATAAAGACATTGTTATATAGATCGCTCAGAGCTTTTCCATAGTTCCTTCAACACAAACTGAATTACAAGTTACTGCCCCATAAAAGGTGCACAAAGTCTGGGGATTTTGGTATGAATTTCAAAATATTTTACAATATTACCCTCAAAAAATGCGCAAAATTTGGTTCTACTCGAAACCCAGCTCTAGTCGCGATTATTTACATCTTTAACCTCAAATAAATACCACTAAACTACATCTAAACTGTCTGGCTTAAAACGCTGTCGTCGAGTATAATTTCACCTGCCACGTGACCACCAGTCTATAATTTCAATATTAATATGAGAGTATAGTATTCAGTGTGTGTGCCCCTTTGCACAGCTGAAGTAGACCAACGCAAAGGTAAATCACAACCCTGGTGGAGCCAAAAGTGGTTGATCGAGGTGTTCAGCGTCTCAAAAAAGCTCGTCAGAACGTTTGAGGACAGTCAAGTCGCCAAGCTACGACTCTTTTAGCTCTCTTGGTTGGCTATATACAGCGGTGAAAAGACCGAACCATATAGGTGAGAAAAAAAGCAGAGTTGGCACGAATGTCGAAGGAAATGGCGGGAGCCATGGGTGGCGGTGGTAGGGTAGGATCCAGAAATGCGGTATCATCTGCAGGATCGGCAGCAGACAACGGCATAGACGACGATATGGGCCCATCAGTGTCGATGGCAGTGGAAGCAGACGACGATGAGCATTTTCGGCGCTCCACATTCAATCTCAAACGCACACGGTCCATGGGGCTACTGGATGCACGTTCGGAGTCTTCCTCAATAGCGGCAGAAAGTCCGGAATTGGGGGAAGACTCGTCATCAGACCCATCGCCCATCGTGCTATCAGAATCAACATCTCCGCCGGCACCAGAAACGGACGATTTCATGGTTCCACATGACGATAACGACATTGTGCATGAACCAAAACGGCACGTAGACTATCTGTCTCACGAGTGGAAGGAATCCGAGATCTCACAGTCGTGGAAATATATCATTTTGTCAAAAAAGAAAAAGAACGAAGATTTGGTCAACGCAGCACGACTCGAAAATGCTTCTTGGCGTACATGGGCCAAGGCTCGCAACCATCTGCGCACAGTAAGCCCCGAGACTGTAAACTGGTCCAAAGATTCAGATGTCACCTGGTTGTACGGCCCTGTGGTGCGACAGAAATCTAACGACAAAGATGCGAGTTCCGATGTCGAATACGGCTACGGTTCCGATGACGAAACGTCCAAAAGGGTCACCACGTTGAAAATGAAGAAAAGGGCGAGCACTGGCCCTAAGCCCATCTTGAAGAAAAGAACAGTATCAGAGATCATCGAGGAAAATTCTCGTTGGAAACTCAACGTGGCGAGGCAACACAAGAAAAACCTATCCAGCACGCAGGTCTTGATGGATGGATACGGCAACCATATGGATGCAGCGGATGATTACGATGCTTTGGCAGCAAGAGTAAACGCCCAGTACTACTCAGTTCAAGCTGATCCTTCTACGGCATCACCCAGGCTTGAAGATCAAGCTGAACAGCACGAATGGCTAGAGCAGCCAAGTGATCGTCAAACCTCTTTCCCAGGTGATCATATCGAGGGTTCCAACATTTCACGGCCAACATCAGCACATCAATCGCCAGCACCTGTTTTAGAGTCTATTTTGACATCTGGTGCCAAGCGGAACCCCAAAAACGTTCACGAACAAAAAAACAGACATATTCATTTTAATGACCGAGTGGAACAGTGCATGGCGTTAGCCATCAAATCCGATAATGACGACGATGACCTTGATGACGACGACCACAATTACAATTTCGACGATGACACGGTGTACGGACAAGGGAGTGAAGGATCTGTTCATCACGAATTCACAAATAGTAAGGGAGGTCGTTCGAGTCTTCTGGATGATGGTAATGCTGTTTACGGAGATAAATCGAAACAGGAACTTGACAGCTCATCTTCAGATGAAGACGAAGAAGAGGCAGGACTTTTCATAAATGCAAGATTTTCTAGAAAATCAGATGGCGCGCAGAGCTCACCTAGCGCTTTATCTGCAAATTCTGAAAGCTCCAAATTTAAAAGCTCGGGAACTCCAATCATAAAGCCTTTACCCGCGACCACATTAAACTACGGTTCAGACGAAGAAGACTTTGATGATGACGACGAATACTACGGCAACAATGCAGTTTCTCATAATGTAAACACTTTCAGAGGGTACGACTACATGTATGACTACAACTCTGTTTATACAGGGGATACTTCAGGCTTCATTGCTGCAAATAACTACGATATGGTTGATGTTCCTGAGGGACTTAGAACTCCTATCGAGGACCAGGATTCAAACTCACATTTGATGGTTCAGGATTCGAACGAAGAGAAACTGCCGAGCGGGCCTGCATCGAAAAAGGCGTTTTCTTTGGACAGTGACACAGATTCTTACGGCTCCAATGGCGAATCACAATTCATTGAGGATTCACAAGATAGGAGTAGCGATGACGAAGCTGCAGATGTTGCGAGTCTTCCAGCTCTCAGAAGGACACCTTCTCTAGGGGTGTCTACTGCTGCTTCGCTGCAAGACCTTCAGCCTCAACTTCCATCAATACCTCAGACGCATAGTTTTATCACGGGAAAGCCGCTACGACAGGTCAATCAATCGTGGGACACTGCACCAGAGGAGTCACCAAAGAGGAGCCCGGATGTGCCAAAAACGGCAAAGGGATTCTCCTTCAATTCAGATTCAGACTCAGGTTCAGATTCAGTTTCGGACTCATGCGGAGACAGCCAAGTAGAGAATATCAATAGCCCTGTATTGGGCTCTTCCGCGAGGCGTAATAGCCTTGAAAACGAAAATGAGAATACTGCAGGTAGTACCAAGCCCGAAGACTACACCAACATCTCTTCCAAAGCCAATCCTACCTCCCATAGCGATCCGACTCATGGGACAGCAGTTTCGCCCATTTCTAAGACTCAAGGACAACGGGGGCCGAATGACGCCCTAAGGAATATGGTCAGTCCCCCACTCGACTCCCGCACGTCACTATCAGACGTGGCTATCTCAGGCTACATATCGCCGCGCAACGAGTCTATGCAATCTGTCGTAGCAAAGCAAAAGATGGCGGCTGTGAATAACGCATCAGGTGCGGAAGATGTTGACCATATGAACAAAAACTTGGAAAATTGGCACTTGGATCATCACGAATATGATGAGGCTGAAGAGGGGGACTCTAGTGCAGAGAACGTCCAGAAAATGATGAGTTCAGCGCGCGAGATCGCAAGCAAGTACCTCCACTCATGGAAAAAGTAGGTTAAATGATGCTTATCTGGAGAAAACATAACCAAGTCCCAATTTGAGATCCGAGAAGAATAAAGGCCAAGAAGGGAGGTTTGCCCTTGATAGGCTGGAATGGGCGAACCTGACGGGTTCCAGTTGATCGCGAACTTGTCCTGAAGCTTGCGAACATACACCATGTATACGTATACAATGATATTAAATAAGGTCAACTTCTAGCCATATTAGAAAGTTACTTGAGAACTGCAGGAACAGCTAATGCCTTCTAAAAGAACCCATAGGGGCACACTTGCCGTCGACGTTCACCCTAGCTCTTGAATAATTAAGGATGCTCAAAGGCTCAGCGCCTTTGAAGCCAGCTTCGGCCTCTGTGGATCGCACAATGCCATCCTTAAGAGTTCCTAAACCTTCACAAGTTGACCTGGAATCAAGTCCAAGTGCAATGCTGGACGATTCTACATCATTGAATGATGACTTAATGAGCATTAACAGTAGTATCAACAGGACTGACCGGCTGAGATTTTCTTCAGGCAGACTGAGTCCTGGAAGCATGTCATTAAGACAGAGTTTTGATTCATCTTCAGTATGGGGTAGACAAAGCCGATTCAACACCCCCGGAAACGAGGGTCACAGCGGAAGTATGGAATTTTCACCCTTGGGTAACAACTCCGTATATGAACTGGTCTTGAATACAAGACGCAGAAATTGGTTGAAAAGGCCAACAGTTGATGATATACCGCCTATCATTTTGAGCAAGAATGAAGTACCGGAAACATGGCGCGATGATACTCACAAGTTCGTCAAAGATATCGAATCTGATTATGCCGTCTTTGAACACAATAATAATCTGGAAACTGTTAAGGGTTTGGGCAGATTGCGATTGGAGGAAGACGAAGGCCTAAGGACTACACCATCAGAAGGAGAAAATGGCCAAGGTGATGGAGAGATTATCAATACTCAGCATTACGGTACAATCAAACGGCTCCCGAACTTTTATTTCAACGAAAAGCTCGAGCTGGACGACACCCGCACCTTCAGGAAGATCATCGATGATCTAGATCTGCGCGCTGACAGCTTACGATCAACTTCCTCTCAAGATAGAAAAGAAGCGTATCAGAGCATAAGAGATAGACTTTCAGATTATCTCGACAGCATCGAAAACCTACTTCTGGCGGAGATCTCCAAGTCTTCTAACAGCTTTTTTTTCGCTTTAGAGGATGTGAGCAAGATAGAATCGAGAGCAGCAAATACAATCAAGAAGCTAGCCGCGATATCGGAGGGATTAGGCTCGGTAGACAGAGATCAATTCCAGTCCCAGATATCGACGCTGAAGAAGAAAATAAAGAGGAAAAACATTGAAAAACTCGAGCAAGGATTACTTCAAGCTAAGCGTATCACGGATTTCGTTGCCGATTGTAAAACTCTTTTCAAAGAAGGCAAAAGTCAAGAGTGTTTAGACATGGTGAAGCATGTCGAGAACCTGATCAAAGGTGACGACGATAATGACAAGCATATACAAGAAATGACTAAGACGTGGCCCTACAAGCTATCTGATTTGAGATCCGTCTCGACTTTCGTGAAAATCGGTAAAGAATTAAAAGGTATCACTGATGACATCGGAATGGCGTATTCATCAGAATTCTGCGATATATTAATCGATGATATTAGAGCCAACTATTCACCTGAAGCAGAATTGGGGGCCATTTCAATCGATTCTAAAGTATCAAAAAACACTCAAAAAGATGCAGACTTGGCCAACCGAATCAGGAGCTCAGCTGAACGGCTAGTTCAGTGCGACAAACTGGCGGACGCTATACAGCTTTACAACGAGAGATTCATCATAGAGTTAAAAAATATCATCAAGGACCTTCTTCCCAAGGAGCCTGAGCACAGCCCAGACCTAAAGGAAGAGCCTGCTGACTCCAGGAGTTCTGGCAATGGCTCGAAACTCTCGCGATTGATCAGAGCCCTTACACCCAGTGAGTTCCAGGAGATGCTACTAAAGATTTTTGTTCGTGAGAACCAGGCACTTTGGCGACTTTCCAGGCATCAGAAAGTTCTTCTTGACGTAGCACTCGCTGTTTATGCTGACAGTCCGCGTCAAAATGGGTCGAGTTCAGAATCGATAATACAGCTAGATATCAATCCTGCTATTCACGAAGGTATACGAATTGTGCAATTACGAATGGGAAAGATCATTGCAGTCAGGCGGGATCTCAGTAGCAGGCTGAGGTACGATCACTTTTTGAAACTCTGCAGTATATGCTTCTGGTTCGATCGTGAGTGTGAAAATATCACCGGTGAATTTCTGACGCAGTACTTGAAGGACGTGCTAGCAGCACAAATAAAGAGCTATGCAAGCAGTCTGAATGCTCAAAACGCACAATCAGTACGAGCTGCTATAGATCAAGAGGCATGGACTCCACGAGTAGTGGAGCCTGAAGTGCAACAAAATGTTAATGAGATAGTGTCCTGTGTACACATGACACCTACTAGCTGGGCTAAACTTATGAGCCTTGATGGCAGTAATGGTGAAGAGACTGGCGAGACACAGTCTGAAACTGGAGACACAGAGAACGCAACTTCCAAGGGTCACAAAAAGTCTGTGGTGGTGAATGACAAGACTTTTGTTGCGAGCAATGCTCTGTTGGAAATAATTGCGATGCTCCGAGCAGTTTTGGTGTTGTCTGCCAATTTGCCCACTTCATTCCTGGCAAACTTCGAAAAGATGTGTTACGATTTGGTAATGTATTTCAACTCGAGGTCCATGACGACAGTCTCCACAGGTCCTGATAATTTTCCGTCGACCAATTCTGGCAAGAATCTCAGCATCCTGGGAGAGTCTTTGGATTGTTTGGCGGAGCTTGCAGCAATGATTCAAATGTTTTACCAGCGGATGAGTAGTAGCCACAGAGACTGCGAACCTATGGCACCAGAACTTTACCTGCAGCTGTTCAAGACCTTTCAGATATCGTCGGAAAGACTTTACCAGGCGCATGCTCCTCCACCTCCAATCTAGCAGGCATACGATATAGGAATGCAAAGGAGCTCTTGGTTAGTGCAACAAGAATGCTGACTCGTCAGTCGGCCGTGGTGTGACCTGGGCGGCTAATTGAGCATGGAGTCTTGTCATGAGGCATATATCATCGTATACGTAACTCAGAGCTTATAAAAGCAGAATTTCTACCTCACTTTAACTTGTCTACTTCCTTGAACATGGTCTAGCGTAGTATCCGCAACAGGAGAGCTCTGTCAGAGGGACCCCGACTGAGGAGGAATCTTATCTGGACGTAAGAAGCTGGGCTGGAACGCCCATGAAAATCGCAATTTTTCGTCATGGTTTTAACAGCCGTTACGACCTTGGGCGGCTATTTTAAGACAGTATTTGTAAATGAGGAGAATGCGTAAAGCAGATGGCTGAGGGTTTTCTCAATGACCTGTTTACGGCTTGGGGCGCTATTATTAGAGCCTGTCAGGTAGAAAGTGGGACGCTGTTTGATATTCTTGGTGTTATTTCATCAACTCACGATTCGCTAAGAGTTGAATGAATTTCGACCATATAACGCTGCCATAGAGTGGACCAAGAATGCGAAAAAAAGACTGATTTACGGGTGCTGGAATGTACAAGGCACTAGCAGAATAGTATGGTCCCATGTACCTTTAAGTTTCCGGGTCTCAAAGAGTTGCATTTGCAAGCCTGTGCGGATAAACAATATCCCCACGACACTTAGTCGACAGAGTGATTATTCAAACATTCTTAGCGGTCCTTGGAAGCTACGAAACGCAACAAGAAGAACCTATCCATGTTGATACCGTCTTTCTGCTCGAACCGTTCGATTGAGGTGTGAAGAACATGAATATGTCACGTGCACGAGTGATGGTGGTTACCCTCCCGTGGGCATGTGAGATAACTTTCTACGGGTTCTTGACTCTCAAGCTGTGTGTGTGAAGATGAAGTGGAACACCCATAACAGAAGGAACACATAGGCAGATAACAACGCCAATACCACGCAAACGCAATCCTTTAGTGGTTTCCCAACGCCGGTGTCTCTCTTCCTATCTTGCTGTGTCGAAATACAACCGAAACTCAGCGTATTTCTTTCCGATTACGGTCCTGTTTTAGTTGAAAGGAGACCAGTTTGATTTATCTGGATTTTACTCAACTTTCTTTGACCGGAGAAAAAACAGTTACCAACTTACCCTGTTCGTTACAGTCGAAAACCGTTAACAACGCACGAACGAGCTCTTTTTCGAGAGCCTTCCCCGATACTTTTTGGTGTCATAGACAGGGTTATCCTTGGAAAACAAAACAGACGGGTTACTTACCCTGAAAACGGCAAGCAAACATCGCATAATAAGCGGATATTAGTTCGCACTGTGAATCGCTGGAACGAGTAGCAATCCTTTTATTCATGTCACCGGGCCGCACCCATCAGGAATCGGTCGAAGAAGCTGTTTTCAAGTACGTCGGCGTCGACCTGCAGGGCGGGAAACACGGCGACGAAACCGACAACTCAAACGACACTTTTCATCGAAATGTATCTTCGGCAATACAGCAATCTCAGCATCGTCTGAATCAACAGCAGCGACAAAACGGAGCTAGTACCGTTGAGCAAGGTATCATGGGCTCGTCTTCAAACGCAGGTAAGGAATATCATCATTCACGGGTAGATCAGCTTTTTGCCCGCGATGCTCAAAATGCCAAGAGTACGGCAGCGGCTGCAAATGCAATGCTAACGTCAAACACTGCACACACCGAAAATTCTGGACCTACAGGTGCTGCTAGTTCTCCTGGCACAATTCCTGCTGGATCTTCCACAGCTGCAGATGTGGAATGGTTTCTGCGGCATGAATTAGACCCTGAGTCACCGGCCACAGCAGAATTAGACGTGCGCGGATCACGAGAACCACAGTCAGTAGCTGCTGCAGCTGTAGCTGCTGCATTTGGTTCTTCTGGGGGCATGAATAGTGGTCATGGTAGTAGAAGTGCAATTGATCGCAAGAGGTCCCACGTTTCAGAATCCGGAAGGCCGGGTACGATAAGTCCTCTCGCTGAATCTCACTCTAGCGGGAAAAGGCACAAAAGATCCTCTGAGTCACGGCACTCTGCAGGTGGCGTGCTGCGTCAGTCTTCTAAAATGCCCCATATAGGCGCTGTCGATCCCGAATTGGCATCTCTTGACGATCCAGAAGATGTGACGGAGCATGAACAATTAGTTCGTAAAGCTATACTTGATGCTGACTCCATAGCTCACCATCCGGATTTCCAGCACTATCTAAACACGGAAGACGAACCAGAGGACAAATCCCGTCTTTCAACTGACCTTCACCACACGGATGCTCACGCTTTTGGACGAAAGGTCGAAGTACTACCCAAAGTATCTGGAGATGATATTGTCATGGGCGGTCATAGAATTCCACTCAATGCATCGGGTTCGAGATTACAATCCGGAACTACTCGTAGTCATGGTGACATTTTGGGCAGTAGCGGACATGGGATGTCAAGAAGCTCCTCTGCTGCAGGCGTAACGACGAGTGATCAGGAGATATCTCATTTGATTCAAGACGCCGCAGCCAAAGCGTCCAATTTCATTAGTCCCCAAAGTCAGTCCACCGGGAAATCGTTCGACGCTGCCGAAGAACAGGCGTTGGAACATTTTGTCGGGGAATACCAAGCCATCAAAAATTTATCTCGCCGCCAGATTTGTGAGCGTATATGGTCTAATGAGCGTCGAAAGGATGATTTCTGGACGAACATTTGTAAAGTTCTGCCTTATAGAACGAGGTCTTCGATCTACAAACATGTTCGCCGTAAGTACCACATTTTCGAGCAGCGCGGCAAATGGACACCGGAAGAGGAACGGGAACTGGCCACATTATGTCTCGAAAAGGAGGGACAATGGTCTGAGATCGGTAAAATTTTGGGAAGGATGCCAGAAGATTGCCGAGATCGTTGGAGGAACTACGTAAAATGCGGAAACAATCGCGCATCCAATAAATGGTCACCACAAGAGGAGGCCCAGCTCAAGGAAGTAATTTCGGAGCTTTTGGAATCTGCTGAATCGCCCGAGGATCACTTGTACGATCCTATGGATGACCCCCAGATCGAAAACAAGGAGAAAAGAATCGTTAAAAAGAAAGACTCCGCTTCTCGAGACCTCATAAACTGGACAGTTGTAAGTGAGCGTATGGGGGGAACACGTTCGCGCATTCAGTGCCGTTATAAATGGAACAAGCTTTTGAAAAAACAGGCCATGAACAAGATCAAAACTATCAGTGAAGAAGACAAGCTGTGGATTTTAGAGAAACTTAGAGACATGGGGTTTACAGAGGATTTACAAGTGGATTGGGACGAGCTTGCCAGGTTGATGCCCGGAAAATTATGGTCAGGAACCGAACTGAAGTTATGCTATGAAAAGCTGAGAACAGGCGTGAAGTATCACAAGGATCGGACTATCAATCAAATTTGTAAGGAATTAATCGGTATTCGCGATGAGGGATTGCCATTGGAAGCCGGTCATATTTCAAGCTCAAAGCGTTAGAACTATGTGTAATATGTAATTTGGAGATTGATATAAGTAACCTTGAGTCTGGACAGACTGTCTGTTAAACTAACGGTAAAGCTGCAATAATCGAAAGCTTGTTGACAAGAAAGATTCTTTCCTATATTTAAAACATTATACATAATATTCTAAGAAAGAGAATAGGTGCGCATTTAAGAGCGGTTTTGTTCTGATTTTGATACGATGTGAAATTCAGCTGTCCAAAGATGCTTAGAACTTGCTGAATTGCTTGTTAGCCTTACCAGCTGGGGTGGTGACCTTCAAGACGTTGAATCTAACAGTCTTGGAGATAGGTCTGCACTGACCAACGGTGACAATGTCGCCAACTTCGACACGGAAAGCTGGAGAAACGTGGACGGAAACGTTCTTGTGTCTCTTTTCGTATCTGTTGTACTTTGGAACGTAGTGCAAGTAGTCTCTTCTGATGACGATGGTACGGTGCATCTTGGTGGAGACAACAACACCAGACAAGATCTTACCACGGATGGAGACCAAACCGGTGAAAGGACACTTCTTGTCGATGTAAGAACCCTCGATGGCGGTCTTTGGGGTCTTGAAACCCAAACCAACGTTCTTATACCATCTCTTGGTACGTCTGTTGGCCTTGGCCTTTGGGTTGGTGAAGATGTGTGGTTGCTGACGATAATGTTAGTAAAAATGAAAGATCAAGATTGGTTGACAAGCGGATGAGAGAACGGTAAGCGAGGGAGAGCACACATTTATGTTTTAGGCTGGTTTTTTCAAAAAATTTCTAAAGCTTCCTCCATGTTGTAGTCATCTGGTTGAATATTTTCCGCACGGTCTTTCGATTCAATAATTTCTCGAACGCTCCATTCGTCACAATACAGGCCGATATCGCATTCTAGCCGTGTCCAAGCGTAGCCCACATTGCACTATTTTGTCCACTCGTCCAACGTTGCTCTAATCTTCAATTCCTCCATCCGCTTTGGTACGGTTTCCGGTGAGTTTGCATACCTTTTGGAAAGCTCTTTCAGCTTGCACAGTCAATTCAGTAGACATCTTGTTGATCCGGTTTCTGAAGGCCTATAATACAACGATTTACACCAGCAGTTTAGCTGAATTCACTACTTGATTGTTTTTGTCAAAGTTCCAGGACTGGTGAGATCCTGGAGGATTCCGCTGCGGTGCTGCGTTGTCGGAGAGGTGTCAAGCCAGGAGCCTAGCTGGCCCTGGATTGGGCTGGGCTGAGGCTAGGCAGGGGTCTCTGGAAGACGTCTGCCTAGCATTGAAAAACTGTAGGCGGACGATGTCCAGCAGGGGCGGTAGTGTTGCAGGCGGAGGCTACGAAGCTAGGGAGGGCTACGCGGACTGTCCGTGGCTACTTGGAAGGGAGCCAGCTGCTGGGGCGTCTGTCTAGCGGTATGCGTTCAATGGATACCCACGCAAATGGAATCCAGTGAAAAAGGACTCATTTATTTTCACCACAATATTTCCATTATTTATGAGAAATGTTAAATGTATGGGTGTTGACAGTCACACCGAAATCTATTTCTGCGTATGAAGTGACGTTTGTACATTATACACATTTCTTTCTGATCATTATGAGAGCCAAGAGACAAGCAAGCAACGTTTGGATTCAAACCTTATCCCATTGAAGTGCCAAAAGCTCTCCTAGAATGTTTTCTCTTATTATGTAATGTATTATCGAGAACATGAAAATTAGATGCCCCGTTAAGATTGTTCTCTGGCTCATTACGATCATGCTTGTAGGTTTTAAGCGAGCGCTACAGGTAACACGCAAATAACGGAAACGTTGTATAAAATGAACACGATTTTCGGGTCTTTCAGGTCAAAATAGCTGTTCGATCATACAGCGCTAATTTACACAGCCTATCGCAAGCGAAATTTGCTATTTTGATAATTTCTCGCAAGAACAGCAGACTTCCGTCGTTATGCTACTGCTCTAAAGTATATCTATTTGAAAATATGCATAATTCCGGCACTCCAAAATAGGCTTCATTAAGAATAGATGGTATTCATATCATGCATCTAGGTACCCCACAGGAGCTCCCGGTACTACCCATTGGTGCCCAATCTTTGTGCGGCGTTTTTCCAGCGACAGCGTCACAAAAATCTAGCCTCCGGACTTCGAGCTGTCACTTTGGTGTGACAGAATAAAAAATCCTAGGGCACAATATCTCGCAACACTTTGTCTTTTGCTTCTGTCCATCACAAAAATCCTCAAGACTTTTGAATACCAAATCGGTTGTCCTTCCAAATTCTCAGTCAAACGTACTATAATGTTCAACAGACAATCTGATTTTAATAGGACTTTGCTCACTGGCTCTTCAAATATGTATGAGGAAACCGAGGACGACACAAAACAAATTTCGTCCAAAAGAAAGCAGTTCAGAGCCTGGCTGCACAGTCTCAAGGAACACTCTCCCTCTGTGGAGATAAATGACGAAGAAACTGTTTTCATTGATGCAGAAGATGCCTTTTTGAATTCAGAGAACCCTTTGTCGTACGTTCCTGTGCTCAGTGCCACAGAAGCAGAGGAATTTCTCGGCACACCGGAGCGTGCGACTAAAGAGTATCCCCATGGACGTCGCCTAAAAGCGTTTTTGAGAGAACACCTGAGAAGACCATCGAAGCGTCGTCTTTTAACTGCTCGACCGAGACGTCCGATTGAGTGTCACAAAGCACGTTCCATGGTTTTTGACATGAAGTATCATGATCCTGCATTATTTGATGGTGGCTGTTCTGATCAGCAGCAGTGGGAACGTACCGAATTATTCGGCTCGCTTGCAACTGATGCTTCTTCAGCTTCTCCTAAATTTTACCGCATCGACCACAAAATTGAAAATTCAGACCCTCACACTTCGAAGATGGACCTGCGGGCAGAGGACAGGTCACCTATTATTCTAGCTGATAGAAACAATCACTTTGTTGAATCAAGCCTTGAATCCGAGGGTAGGGAATCCAAAAGGCTCATTTTATCGGCCGCTGACATCGCCGCGAATGAGAGACTTACCACCGCTCCTCCTCAGAGTGGCGGGAGTCCTCTTAGTAACGGTTTCTCTATCCCCGAACCACGAGGTACCAGAATCGATAACTTTCTCTTCATGAATCCAGCGGACAGTAACGACACAAATCGTGTGGAACGTGAAATATCAAATGTGTTTGACACTTTGCCGATAGAACCTGACTCTGTTGTGGATCCGGGTTCACCAAATTGCCTTGATGAAAGTGCGCAACCCGGTGAAAGACAAGAAAGTTTGAAGAGAAGTTTTGATCCTCCGGCTCAATCGAGTTCTATAATGAAGCGCCCTTGTCTCGACAGAGATTGTGCGGCTTTTGGCGACGCTGAAGACGAAGCGAATGAATCTTTCCGCGAATCGTCCTCCATTTATTCGGATGCACCTCCTTTTGGTACGTCAATTTGCGAAACTCCATCTACAATGCTAGAGAACAATCCGCATATGATAAAAAATCCTTATATCAAGACTTGTCACGATTATGAGAATAATCATGATGAATCTTTTGGGGGGTTTCAAAGTCGGGAAGCATCTCCGGCGGCTACTGTAGAAAATTTACGGGAGCTAGTAAGTTACAAGGATCTCCCACCAATCAAGACCCCTTCGTTTATCCCTATTTCAAAGCTAAATCGTGCGAATTCCAATGATTTTGATAACTTTACATCAGAAGGAAAGTTTCATGGGGTTGTTGAAAAATTCAAGTCCGCCGTCCACCACCAAACGTCCCCAAACTCTGACACTAAGAATCATGGGCTTGTTGATTGCAGCGATAAAAAAAATGGTAATGAAGACAATCATTCTAGCGAGAATTTTACCGCCCGCAAAGGTCACAATAGTAAGAGCGGGAATAAAAATGGCAGTCGTTCGAGCTCTATGAAAAAGAAGCGTCAAACTTTCAGGCCTTCTAAATGCGAGGAGTTTGAAACGCAGAAGTTGCGTGTCCCTACGTTCAGACAAAGTTTGCGAAAAATTGATGCATTGGGGTTATTCGAAAGTGTAAGAAAGGGCACATTGACTGAACGCGATCTGTTCAATTTGTCAAAGGAGAGATCTGAGGACACGTACGATTTTCGTGACACTAGGTTTTACGAGTCCCAATCTTCAAAATCGAACTCCTCTGAATCTTTAAAAGCACGCGAGGAAGTCACAGTCTCCAGTGTGAAGTTTGACAAGTTTGCACACCTATTGATGTACGATGTTCGGAAAACCAGCAAATTTGAAAGGCCCGAGACCTCTCAATCCTTCAGAGCTACTAGCATATTCAGTAGGGAAGGGAAACTGACACGATCTCTTTCTGACAGCGGCGCACAGGATGCTAGAAAGCTTAACATAAACACAGGAAAGCCCATTTTGAAACGAAAGATCAATGAGCGTGCCGCCGTGGAATCCTTGAGAGCTGAAGATTGTGACACTGTGGAAGTCACCGATTTCCTGACATTTTTCAAAAGTCACGAAGCGCGCCGTCGCAATGAAGAACATCGTTTGAGCAAAATTCGTGAACAGCAGCTCACCAACTACTATGCCAATGATCACATCTATAACTCAGTTCGAAACGGTGACGTGAAGTCTGCTCTGCTTGATTTTAAGAAAAGTAAAAAAGCGACGGAGCACAACATTGGCCGCCAACTACGCGATCCTATTGCAAGAATGCTTAGCTGTCCTCGCGAATCGCAATGGCAACGCCTACATAAACAAAGTACCGTATCACAGAGCTGTTTTTAGTCATGTCACTCATAGACCATGAAAGACATTTAAATAATGTTAACCTGACACTATTATGCAAAACATACATATTGCAGCTTAAAGATTCTAGTTTGGAATCAGGACCAGTGGATTTATTGCCGTTGCAATGCTTTGTTTTGTACTTATGGCGCAACTCGAACTAGTATTCGAAAGATAAAAACTGGGATGTAAAATGTGATCTCTTCTGAAGCAGTTGTATTTAAAAAGATCTGTATAAGTATCAGTAAATTACTTGCCTTCGGCGTTCTTTTTCTTGTTAGAAGTCGAGTTTTTTGGTAGTTCCTTCGTGAAAGGAAGGAACTCAGGTTCACCTGGGATGTACTTTCTCAAAACTTCTGGAACGACTAGACCGTCTTCAGTTTGGTAATTTTCCAAGACACAGCACAGAGCTCTTTGTGTGGCACACAACGTTGAATTTAGACAGTGGACGTATTTCTTCTCTCTGTCACCCATTTTCTTGATACCACATCTTATTTCCAAGTTTCTAGATTGATAATCGGTACAGTTAGAGCATGACACCAACTCTTTGTATTCCTGCTGGTATGGGAACCAGGCCTCCAAATCGTATTTCTTGGCGGCCGCATTGTTCAGTTCACCAGAAACGATACCTACAACACGGTAAGGCAAGTTCAATGACTGGTAGAACTCTTCGGACATTGCGATCATTCTGTCAAATTCTTCCCACGATTTTTCAGGTTCAGTCAAAACGAACTGCTCGATTTTTTCAAAAGCATGAACTCTGAAAACACCCCAGGCGTCCTTACCGTGAGCTCCAGCTTCTCTTCTGAAACATGACGAGTAACCGGCGTAACGAACAGGTAACTGTTCCTGAGGCTTCTCGAACCATTCGTTCGAGTGGTAGGCAGAGATAGGCTGCTCGGAAGTGGCAATCAAGTATTTCTCGTCGTCACCGTCCAACACTTTGTAAAGCTCTTCATCGAACTGTGACAATTGAGCCGTCCTCTTCATGACTTCTTTGTCCATCATGACTGGAGCTTGCAAAGGTGTGTAACCTTTGGAGGCCAAAAACGACAACCCGTAGTTGATCATGGCTTGGTTCAAAAACACACCGTAGTTTCTGAAGAAATAGCCTCTGTGGCCCGAAATCTTCACACCACGTTCCGGGTCATACCCGTCAAGTCTGAGAAGCACTTCGTGGTGCGACAAACTCGCTGGTTTCCCGGAACAAGAAGCAGTGGTACCCACTTCTGCGAGGCTTTGAGGTTTCCAACTACGCACCAACTCGTTGTTGTCCTCGTTGTTCGACACAACCACCGAGGGGTGTACGATGTTACCCACTTGAAACACTTTTTCCTTCAAGCCCAGGTCTTGTTGCTGTTCCAGCTCGCTCAATTTCTTCTTTTCAGCTGCGATCTCATCTTTCTTGGCCAAGAGTTCCTTAGGGTCTTCCTTTTTCTTAAATTTCAAACCGATCTCCTTTTGCACTTTGTTCTGCTCCTTGTTGAGCTCGTCCAATTGGAATCTAGTCTTGACCCATTCCTTGTAATCCGCAATGATCACATCCACGATTTCCACATTGGCATGTCTTGCCTTTTGGGATTGTCTGATAAGTTCGGGATTTCCTCCTTTCTCCTCGATGAATTGCGTTATATCCAACATTTTAACTTGAGGTAAGTAATTGAACTTGTTGAAAGCTTATAAGAGCTATAAAATGGAGTGTTGTGAGGCGATTGGAGGTTGTGAATCATCGTGTAGATATCGATATTCTTGGATATTCACTGGGATAGATTCGAAAATTTGAGAACCAGTCACGATGTACGAGGTGGCACTGACGAATTTATGAACTATTTGAATGAAAGTGACACATTTTGAACATGTAGTTTGAAACCTGTTCAACTATGATTCAAAATAGTTGATTGTGGCAGTTATTTGTTTAGGTGATTATTTTTGGTGTATTTTTTCCGGGCACTTTCCTTTTGTTTGGAGGACTTTGACTTAAAGTTTAAATGTGAGTTAAAAATTTGAAATCCTGGGTTTTTGGTGAAAGTGAGTGTATGCTGCATCAGGCCAGTGAAAGCGTTCTCTTTATTATTGGGAATGTTCAGTTAAGTGGATAGCGGGGGTTACGTTTTGCAGTGAGTTTACGAAACTTCTAACGATATGTAGCGTTTACTAGCAAAGAGTCCAAAAGCAATTGCACAGGACGGACGGAAATGGCGAATCAATTAGGAACATAGGTTCCGGACTGAGGTTTACTCGGCGGTTGGACGACACTTTTACGTTTACTACTCTGCGTTTAGCACCTTGTCACTTTAACCAGGCTTGTCATCTGTCATATGTCACATGATCTATGAAGCTTGTTTTCAAGTTCAAGTGTATCTGAAGGGCAATGAAGTAGTAAACACCTGGATGTCCACCCGAATACGTTTGCAGCATCGGGCAAATCTAAAACGTCTTCTTTTTTGCTTTGCTTTGGGCTTTACACTGCCAAAATATAAACCTTTGTTAACATGTTTGTCCCTCTGTCCAAGCCACGTGATATTGATGACAGCGACACAACTCATAGAATAGTCAAAAATTCCAGAGGTATGGGGACGAGCTTTCTTCGAGCACACTGAATAGATTTGGTTGAAGTCCAGCAACGTGTATGAACGTCTTTTGTGGCACAAACGGGCGGTATATGGGTTTCATTGGTCTTCAGGAACCCGCTTTTCTCCTTGTGCAAGAAGATACTGAGATTAACAAGAGGTGATGGATCAATTTGAATGCTAAAATTTCGGAGCTACTTGTTTCAACGCTAAAAGAAAGCTTCCGAAAAATCCACTACATACGTCGAAATGGATTACGAACATTACAATCGGTGCCTTACTGGCAGGGAGCGTTTTTTTCGAAAGCTTGTTGTTGAATAGTCTCACACGACAATTGTAAGGCTTCAAGAGTGCAACATGCTAGCATTATGGTATATGCGCTTTGAATAACAAAAAATGATATCCGAAAATCTCTGTTTGATGGATGAAAGGTATTTATCGAGGTTTCTCGTCAAATCAAAACTCGTGCGAAGTAAATCAGCTTAACAAAGACCTCATGAATGCAGTAGCACGACTAGTACCAACGTCATGATATCTTGAGGCATTCAAGTGTACCCGGTATTTTTCGACTCGCATACCAGAAAGATATCTTTCGCTTGAACCCACAGCCTCTACCCGAGCTCAAATGGTTCTTTCCGCTACATATCGTACTAAACAGAGTGCTTGCAACTACTCCGTATATACTTGTTATTCTAGTTCTAATTTCAAGTTGAATTCCCGTGGTCTAGTGGTTACGACGTCTCCTTTACAATCATAAAATCGGAGAAGATCCCGAGTTCGAACCTCGGCGGGAATAATTCCAACTTGGGTTCTATAACCAATTTTTTTTGGAAATAAAGACGATGTCTACTTTGAATCATGAACTTATCTTACAAACATCGAAAACTGATAGTTCGTCTTACTTTTTTAACTGTATATAGCCATAATCTTCGCATGGAGCCCTTCATAGTTACCGTACTGGACTGCAACGTCAAACATGGACTGGTATCACCCGTAAGTGGAATTCCACACCCTGATCACGAAACAACGGCGATGATGTTTCCAACCAATGTCAAGTACGTTTTTGAAGACGACGAAGAATTGGTCGTCGAGCATGAAGAGGACGGGATCGAAAACGTAGTAGTGGTCGAAACCAACGCAGAACTTGAAGTCACACACGTAGAATTGATCAGTGACCGGTTCAAACAGCTAAGCTGGAATACGACTCAGGATGATCCACATGAGTTGCATATGCGTGTCTTGTCAAGATTCGAGTCCCTGGAGGATGAGGAATTGCCATTGGAGGAGCTAATACGGATTTATAAGACTAGAAACGACCAGCTACATAGTCTTTTCAATACACTGTGACGACGGCAAAAGAAGGTGCGGAATGTGCTGGCTTTCCGGCAACAAAAATGGTGTTTGGTGATGATGTTCAATGGCTCCCGGCTACGTGAGATCCTGTAAATTGGCTGGCATGGCACGAATCTTGACACTATAGTGGGCTTCGATCTCACGCAACCTTTTGGCATCGTCTCGGGTTATGAAATTGATAGCCACACCTTTGCGACCAAACCTACCACTACGGCCAATACGGTGAATATAGTTTTCTAAAAGCTCTGGTAAATCGTAATTGATAACCAAAGACACCTGTTGTACATCAATCCCACGAGCCCACACGTCTGTAGAAATAAGAACGCGCGAATTTCCCGACCGGAAATCGTTCATCACACGATCACGGTCTTCTTGCTTCATGTCACCGTGCATCGCGGAAACGGCAAAATTGGCCTGTGCCAGCTTCGTTGATAGCCAGTCCACGACTTTTTTCGTGTTACAGAAAATAACACACTGGGTAATGGTGAGTGAATCGTACAGGTCGCATAAAGTATCGAATTTCCACTCTTCGCGATCCACGTTAACGTGAAATTGCTGAATACCTTCTAATGAAATTTCGTTCTGCTTTACAAGAATTTTCACCGGATCATTCATGAATTTCCTAGTGACCTCTAAAATGTCTCTGCTCATTGTGGCGCTTACCACCACCACTTGGACAGATCTCGGCAGTTTGGCGAAGATATCGTATATTTGATTTTTGAACCCTAAAGTCTCGCTCAACAACTCATCTGCCTCGTCTAACACCAGTAATTTCAGGTGTCTAGTGTTCAAGATGCGTCTTTTGATCAGATCAAGGACACGACCCGGCGTGCCACTTACCACATGACAGCCTTGCGTCAGCTTCTTGTTGTCGCCCTGCATCGTTTTCGTTCCACCAGTGACGGCATGTGCTGAAATATTCATGTAGTCCCCGAGGTTCCCCACCACTTGGGAAATCTGTTTTGCCAGTTCTCGTGTTGGTGACAGAACCATACTTTGTAGCTCTTTAGACTTAAAATCTAGTACTTGCAGCATTCCAATAGTGAAAGTTGCCGTTTTACCAGTTCCTGATTGGGCCTGGGCAATCACATCACGGCCAGAAATGATTTGGGTGATGGCTCGCGACTGGATCGCAGATGGTGCCTCGAATCCATATGAATATATTCCACGAAGTAAGTCATCTTTCAAGTTCATGGCTTCAAAACTCGCACAAACCTTCAATTTCGACGAGGTTTTAAATTTAAGTTTAGAGTCAGATTCTCTACTGAAAGACATTTCGCAACCTGATGTCAAAGCTTCGGCTCGTGCAGTAACTTTCTTTAACTTCCTGAACTTCTTGAACTTTCAGTGTGCTTGCTCATCTCATCTCATCTCATCGCCTAGCAGAAAAATTTCGATAACAGAATAAACAAACCATCGAAAAGAATAGGGCTTTCACCCATTGATGCCCCGCATTATCGTATCTGTCGGTGGTGGCCACACTACTGAAATTCACAGGACCGTTTTGCATATTCAAAAGGCACTTTTGGAAGCTTTTGTCGACACAGCAGTGGTAATTGCAGATCTGGACAGCACGTTCAAAAGTGATGGTGAACGCAAGTATTCAGACCTGGACTACGATTTTGAGCAGATCTTGGAGCGCGTAAAGGGTGCGGACGTATTGCAGGAGTGGGAAGTAGTGTTGGTTGGCGGCCGTTACGCACTTTTTGACTCCCGAATCAACAAATTGGCCAATCTAAAGGTGTTTCTAGATAGCGACGGCGACAGTCGATTGATAGACCTTATTCAAAGACGCCAACTTCAACTGCAGGGTGCCGAAAAGCTTGCTGTGCTTATCCAGGAGTATCTGAGCGGTCTGCGCCCCGAAATGCACAAATATATAGAGCCCACCAGGGCTCACGCAGATCTCATCATTCCCAGCCACAGCGAGACCGTTGGAGCTGATATCCTGGTCGATAGCATTGTGAAAATCGTGGAGGAGAGCAAGGGTGGCGGTGTTGCGATGCACACACCAGCCCGTTTGTTTCCACAGCTCGATTTCCAGGCTGAGTCTCTCGATCTCGAGAAAGAACAGTACTACGAATTGAGCTAGGGTTAAAGATCCCTTTTCTACCTCTATTTACACCTTTTTTCAAGCTGTTTGCAAGGACTACTACCCCGTAGAGCCGCAGGATCTTTCTTAAAAACAGGCTCGGGGCCCTTTCTTCTCCGATGTCATTGACACCCGGAAAAAGCCTTGCAACGTTCGTCAACTAGGTTTCGGAACGTTATTGTGTATTTGTTTGTATCAAAACATATATATTCAAACTACACTTGTTTTGCATCTCACGAAGAGCACTGCTATGGGACTAAGCGGCGTCTACTCGGATGTTCATGGATGGTTTTTGTTTGTTGCAGTCAGAATATAGAACATCTACATGAATTATAATACTGGGTAGATTTACAAGTTTTAAACTTGAATTTAAACTTTGAGCTCAAGCATAACGTAGACCAAAGAATACCACGGATGTGGACCACTTTGAGGGGAGTAAGAGGCGTCAAAACGTTGCACACTCCAGTATACAATGGACTGGATTTGAAAGCACGACAAGATCTGCTTTTCCACATCAAATTACTGGAAAAAGTGATGACATCGTCTTCCTACGACAAATCGCTGTTGTACGCTGGAAAATACAAGAAAGTGCCACAATTGATCTCTGGGACAGATCCAGTTAGGATTGGGTATGTTTTAAAAGAGTTTGCGATATCTTTGCAGCAACAAGAGGCCGAAAACCCGGCTATCCAGAGAAACTCAACTGCCAAATTGGGCAAAATTGGTCTTCAATTGTTCACAGATTGCCATCAAGACAACGTCACAGTGTTGGGAATAACACTCACACGGGCCCTAGTCGAGCGGTACAATCAAGTTCCACTCAGGGACACATACGAAGGGTTGAGAAGTGCATTGGCCAAAGTTCAAGTTTTCTTGCAAAAAAGTCGTATTGTGTTGGAGAAACGATCTGAAATCGATGTGCTGGTCGAAAGATTATGCTCCCACAAACGGGATGCCTCAGTTATCCAAAGAGTGTTAGCGGCACTCGATTACAAGCTTGTATCCAATGATGTGGTGCGAGTTACCCGCGGAAGAAGAACTGAGGACGAACTAGAGATCTCAAACGGATGGAAATATCCGGGAGGTATTATAGACTCGAACGACCCTTATTTGAGATCGTTGCGCATACCGCAAAACAAGCTCGTGACGGTGAATACGTCAATGTTGGTGCTGGTTCATGACGGAGAGCTTCGAGACGCCAATAATGTGCTCCCAGCACTGCATTATGCCTCGAAACAGGGCAAATCCATCGTCTTGGTGGTCAACGGCGAGTGCAAGGGCGATGCCCTTGCCGCTATCACGATTCATAATAACAAGAATTCAAGGCAAAAGGTAGACTCGCAAGCCATCGTCTTGAAATACTCTCCTCGAGACCACAATGGGGTCAGTCTCCAGGAAAACATCGATTTCCTGTCGTTTTTGAGGCTGCCGCAAGGATTGGGAAGTGTATATTCGCCCAAGTTCAGCGAATACGTTCCTAGTTCGGCATCTGCATCACTGTTTTTCGGCTCGCTGGAGTCACTTAAAGCCACTACGGGTGAAGCATTTTTGTACAATCCAGGAACCGAGATACAAAACGATGCCTTGCGCACTACGATCACTTTGCATGTTGGTGGCCACAGCGAGCTTGAAATTGACCACAGAAGGTCCGAACTGGATCACATCATCAACAATATTATATGTCATGGTCTGGCACAGGGCTGGATTCCCTCTCATGGAACTGCTTTGGCAAAGGCTATCAGCCAGTTGGAAGACGTGACAAAACAGGATCCATTGTTCTTAGGCCACCAAGCGGTAATTGAGACTTTAACCATCCCGCTAGAAAATGCATTGCGCAACAAATACGGCATTCACAGGTTCGAGGCCGCTACATCAATCGCCCGGACCATTCAAGACCCCGAATTCGATACCGCATATCTCCCAGAAAGAGGTTCAGCATTGGAGAAAGGTATTCTAGAGCCCTGGAACGTTGCAGATCGCGCGTTAAGTGGTGTATCCGCTTTTCTCAAGCTCATCGCGAGCTGTGACGTTTTGGTGACCCGATATTTCGACAAACCCAGAAAGGACTAGTTTTTGAGGCATCCGTCAACTGAAGAAGAGGTATAGACTCAGATGATCCGGCAATGGAAACCGGGCTACCTCTACGTCCGTCCCAAAACACCTGTAAATAGCCGCCGAGATCACAACCACGTGCTGCGAGAATGACCACGTGACCACCACTTCTGTCTTTTTTTTTTTAAAGTCAAACTCTGTGCCGAGTCAAAATCCTCGGCATTTTGTCTTATCTTCTTATGACTCGGACTCGCGGAGTCACTTTCCGACGATGAGCCAAAAACGCCCGTTTGACGTGCCAAGTACTAACTTATAAAGGATGCGCATGGAGCTAGTTGAAGATACCGAGAAACTTGCACCAACTTTGATCCCATAGAAGCCCAATTCGAACCCCAACCAATTGGAGATAGTTAAGTTCGTGTTTTACTACCGAACAGCTTCTTTCATCCCTTCAAAGCTCGCTTTTACGATGATTTTCAAAAGATTCAATTCCGGCTCTGTTGCCGGCATTTTAAAGAAAACAGCGCTGTATGATCTACATGTCAAAGCTGGTGGTAGCATGGTTCCATATGCTGGCTATGCCATGCCAGTGAAATACTCGCAACAAACTCATATCGAATCTCACAATTGGACTCGTTCTCACGCCGGACTTTTCGATGTTTCCCACATGCTGCAGAGTACATTGAAAGGCACAGAATCTACACAATTTTTACACAAAATTACGCCAACGGATTTTGAAAACTTGCCCATCGGTCAGGGCACGCTTTCTGTCTTACTCAACGCCAAGGGCGGTGTTGTGGATGATACTTTAATCACGAAAGTGGGCGAAAACGAATTCTCGATTGTCACCAACGCAGGGTGCATTGACCAAGATGTGGCCTTTTTAAAGTCACAGATCGAAGGGTTTGACTGTCAGTGGGAGCCCGTTCGCGACAGAGCGCTTCTAGCGCTACAGGGTCCTCAGGCGAAAGACGTGCTGGGCGCGATTGTGGCCGGGGGTCCAGATTCACTCAAGGATCTGTTTTTCGGCCAGCGTAGACAGTACACAGTGGAATCTGGCGGCTTTGGAATGGATGTGGCTCGTTCTGGGTACACCGGCGAGGACGGCTTTGAAATCTCCGTCGCCAACGACAATGCTCTAAACCTGGCCACTCAGCTATTGTCCAACCCGGCAGTGCGGCCCATTGGGCTTGCCGCTAGAGACAGTTTGCGGCTGGAAGCCGGAATGTGTCTATATGGCCACGAACTGGACGAGACCATAACACCCGTGGAGGCGTCCCTCACGTGGCTGGTGTCGAAGAGTCGTAGAGATGGGACCTCGTGTGTGGGTCCTAAATTCAACGGTTACAGCCACATTATGGATCAAATTAACCACAAATCGGCCACCAAAGCTCGTGTTGGGTTCAGATACACGGGACGTGGACCTGCCGCACGCCAGGGTGCCGAACTCTTCTCTGCTGACGGCGACAAGGTTGTGGGCGTTGTTTCGTCCGGCAGTGCTTCTCCCTCCTTGGGAGGAATCAACATCGGACAGGCTTATGTGGACAAAGCCTATCGCAAGACTGGCACCGAACTGCAGGTGAGTGTGCGTGGCAAGAGGTTCCCCGTCAAAATCGCACGCATGCCCCTGGTGCCTAGTCACTTTTACCGGCCCGAGTGATTCATTCAAGGGTCCGCCTTTGTTCTGCATGGAATGGTTTCTCACATGCACCTATGTTTCTTTTTCAGGCACCAAGCTATAAGCCAGTTGGTTCATCGACAACGACAAGCTGGTCAAAATAAACCTTTACACCAGCCACCCAGCACTTTTTCCCCCGATAACTATAATACAGCCGGCCTAGCAGCCCCGTTATCAGAACGGCTCTTTACTTTCACAAGCGTTGTGGCTTTCACCGTACCGTACACCACGCTGATCAAAGTCGGTACATTATTACTGCATGCTGAAAAAATTTGATGTAAGGAAGGAGTCTCGAGGATATAAAAGGCACCGACATCATCGAGCATCACAAGAAGGATAAACTGTGGCACAGTGGGTAAGGATTATCATCGTTAAGCGTTGAAAGCCTTTTACCAAAGGTTGGATTTGCTGAGCTGAAGATAGTTAAATTCGATCGGGCTACAAAAAAGGCTTGTTGGTGTGAGATTTTGTAGTAACTTTGCACAACCAAAAGGAAGACAAGATGGATAAAGATGGGAAGTTTAGCACTAGCGTGGATTTCTCGCAAGTCTCAGAGGACAGAACGGAGGAAAATGGAACATCCAGGTTGAGAAAATGGACGTCGTCGTTCAAACGTCGGGAACCAGTAGTTATCGACGAGGACGTAAACTTGGAGCTGTGGGACGAGCAGAAACGTCGTAACTACGAGCTGGCTAACCAGCCATACCGCAAAAGTTTGGACCAGAGGCATTTGACGATGATTTCGATCGGGGGAACGCTGGGTACCGGGCTTTTCATCGGGCTGGGGTATTCGCTGGCGTCGGGCCCCGGATCGTTGCTGATCGGGTTTTTCATCGTGGGAACCATGATGTTTTGCGTGGTGCAAAGTGCGTCAGAGATGGCGTGCCAGTACCCTGTGTCCGGAAGTTTTGCTGCTCACACGTCCCGTTTCATGGAGCCCTCCTTGGGGTTCACCGTTTCTACCAACTACGCACTGGCTTGGCTCATATCTTTCCCCTCTGAATTGATCGGATGTGCCATCACGCTGCGCTACTGGAACACAAGCGTCAATCCGGCCGTTTGGATAGCCATTTTTTACTGCTTCATCATGGGCCTCAACTTGTTTGGCGTCCGTGGATACGGAGAGGCAGAGTTCTGGATGTCTCTGTTCAAAGTCATTGCGATTGTCATTTTCATTATCATTGGTATCGTGCTCGTCTGTGGCGGAGGTCCACAGTCTGATGGTTACATTGGAGCTCAATACTGGCATAACCCGGGTTCGTTTGCCAAACCGGTTTTCAAAGGTCTCTGCAACACTTTTGTATCTGCAGCTTTTTCGTTTGGTGGTGCTGAGCTGGTCGTTTTAACGGCTTCAGAATCTCGTAAAATCGAATCTGTCTCGCGCGCAGCAAAGGGCACGTTTTGGAGAATTGCTATCTTTTACATCACCACTGTAGTTGTCATTGGTTGTTTGGTTAAATACACCGACCCTCGTTTACTCGGCGGTAACAGCAGTGAGGATTTGAGCGCTTCCCCTTTTGTAATTGCTTTGAGCGGGCAGGGCTCGATGGGCGTCAAAGCGTCGCATTTCATGAACACTGTTATTCTGATAGCGGTGCTATCAGTTTGCAACTCGTGTGTTTACGCTGCCTCGAGAGTAATTCAAGCGTTGGGCGCGTCGGGTCAGATCCCAAGGTTCTGCGGTTACATTGATCAGAGTGGAAGACCGCTAGTTGGTATTGCTATTTGCGGTGTTTTTGGTTTGTTAGGGTTCCTGGTTGCTTCTGACAAGCAAGACGAAGTGTTCACATGGCTTTTTGCGTTGTGCTCTATCTCATCGTTTTTCACATGGTTCTGCATTTGCGCCTCTCAAGTTCGTTACAGATTAGCGTTGAGGGCACAGGGCAGATCCTCGGACGAGATTGCGCACAAGTCCATGCTGGGCATTTACGGTGGAATTTTGGGTGCGGTGCTAAATGTCTTACTAATCGCTGGCGAGATTTATGTTTCAGCATTTCCCTTGGGCGAGAAATCCAGTGCCGAGCAGTTTTTCCAATACTGTATGAGTATTCCCATCATGATAGTTGTCTACGTGGTGCACCGCTTGTTTTTCAACAGAAGTGCACGTTTGCTGACTCCGTTGAAGGAAATCGATTTGGACGTTGGCGCTAGGACCACCGATCTGGATATGCTGAAACAGGACGCGATTGATGCCAGGGCCAAAATCGCTGCCAAGCCGTTGTACTATAGAATTTATCGATTCTGGTGTTAAGATAGGTGGGTTTGTCCGTTGTCGCTTCTATAGACCATATTAATTTTTTAGCATATACGGAAATCTATTACTCGATAAGAGCAGCAACACAACGAAGGCTGCCGTAGCTTCTGTATGTATCCTTCAGGAGACCATTTACTGGATACACACAACATCACCAAGAAACGTCATTTTGAGAAGAAGTGATCTGCGTCTGAGGGAAAAGTGATCTACGAAGTCCTGCGATACCAGCCACGCATACCATCACCAGCACCTTTCACACAATAAACTCTACCATTCTATCTAATTCCCTCAACAATATCACTTCCTCAGATCACAAGTCCAGTTCTTGGCAAAACTCTTCATCGGTGACTGTCATGACACATTAATCAGAGACCTGCCAAAAAAGACCGGTCTTCACACTCTCACTGGAGCCGAATGCAGTTGTCGAATTAACTCACAGATATTTGAATAATTTCCACGTATATATAGAGGGTCTGGGCTCTATATAAACTGTATTGTTCTCGATTTCTGTTCACCATTGTTGACCGATATTAAATGACTCTTTTAAGCCATTATTATCATCTGGCAGATAACCACTATCTATCTCATCGACCCAAAAACGCATAAAAAATAGGCCAACAAAGACATTTTAAGCAACTTCTAAGGCTATTATACAGCACGTTAGAGGCTATTCAGATCCTTTTTTTTTGAGTTGCTCGAGCCATGGAAAATGAATCGTGCTTCAACAATTGAAAACGGAGGAAACGACGATATACCGTCACTGCAGACATATCCTTCAATTCAGTCGATTCAGTTATTGGAAAATGGCCAAAAAAACGATCAGGAGTCTGGGGGCGATGTCAAAAATCTATCTAAACATTCAAGTCTGCGAGCCAGGGACTTGATGGTGGTCCGAAATGAAAGACGTGGGATTCTAGCCAATTTGGCTTTGGTGCCGGAATACAAAGATGCTCGCGAGTATCCGTTGAAACTGAAAAGATTCATCGTTTTGCTAGTGGCATTTGCCACTATGATGGGTCCAATGGGTACAAGTATCATTTATCCTGCAATCAATAGTATTTCTAGCGATTTCAAGACCACCACAATCATGGTCAACGTCTCTGTGGGAATTTATTTATTGAGTTTGGGTATCCTGCCCATTTGGTGGTCGTCGCTATCAGAGCTTCGCGGTCGTCGAACCGTATACGTCTTGAGCTTCTCGTTATTGTTTGCATTTTGCATCGGGGCCGCTTTATCTCCCAATATACGCGCGTTCATTGTATTCCGCATGCTTTGTGGTGCTTCTTCAGCCAGTGTGCAGAGTGTGGGCGCAGGAACCGTGGCAGATCTTTTCAAGCCCGAAGAAAGGGGCAAGTATCTTGGATATTACTATTTGGGCGCGTTGAGCGCGCCTTTGATCGCTCCGATTATCGGATCTTTGCTCGTAAGTCGATGGAATTGGAGATCCACTCAATGGTTCTTGGTGATTCTGGCTGGTGCCACGGTCTTTTTGCTGACGTTACTTCTTCCGGAAACGTTGAGACTGCAAGATAGTAAAAGCGCGATAGCGTTGATTCTGGCAGAAAGACGGCGTGGTCGCAAAATCGATCCCGAAAATGCTTCCAGTGACAATTCCGAGAAAGCCAACGAGAAAACCACGATTTCTGATGCTGAGGCAGAAGTGGGACTCGCAGAAGTAAACAGGGAAGAGGAAGAAAACGAGATTTCTCGAATAATTACTCAAACGAGCGAAGTGGGCCATTATCCATCTCATGAAGATGGTCCTCATGGGGATGTCATGGCACCTCAGATAACGAAGCTTAACACAAGAGATCGGAGACTGGAGCATCGTTTACGGGAAGGAGAGCTCAAAAAGTGGAAAACCAACGTTGAGGATGAGTTGGAGAGATTGGAAACAGAACGCAACAAGGCCGGTTTGGAAGAGTCTGAAGGGATAAGGTCGCAGTCTCGCAAACGTGCTTGGATGAGTGCGCTTTATGTGTACTTGGTGAAGCCACTGAAATCACTACATTTCCTTAGATTTCCGCCGGTTATGTTGGCGATCACATTTTCAGCCATCTCGTTTGCCATCTTGTACTTCGTGAACATGACCATTGAGTACTGCTATTCACGCCCTCCCTACAATTTCAAGCCCTTGTACGTGGGTCTTCTGTACATTCCAAACTCCGTGACTTACATTATTGCATCTATTTATGGTGGTCGTTGGGTAGACAATCTGCTAAACCGTTACAAACAGAAGCACGGCTTTTTGGCCCCAGAAGCGCGTATTTCATGGAATGTAGTGACAGCTGCGGTGTCATTTCCGATCTCCCTTCTCATTTTTGGATGGTGTTTGGACAAAAAACAGCATTGGGTCACCCCGTTAGTGGGAACTGCACTTTTCGGCTTCGCATCCATGATGACTATTGGTGCTACAGTCTCTTACCTTGTGGATTCCTTGCCGGGAAAGGGAGCCACCGGCGTTGCTCTGAACAATCTCATTCGACAAATGTTTGCAGCTACGGCTGTTTTTGTCACAGAGCCCATGCTCAAAGGCATGGGAGTCGGATGGGCCTTCACAATGCTGGCTTTCATTGTGATTGCTGCAAGTTCGGTGTTGGTTATTCTGAAGATCAAAGGTGACTACTGGCGGGAGAATTTCGATTTACAAGAATTGTACGACAAACTGGAATAAACTCGAGCAAAATTAATCAGAGAATCTAGTACTAGTGGTATGGACCATTCAGGGCAATTTTTGGCAGCATCGGATTGATGAGAACTAGTTTTGACTTGCGCAAAAATCGAACCATGTTCAGGAATTAGGTCGCCAGTCTGACTGGGAACCTAGCACAAAAGGGTATCAAATGTATCCTTACGATCATTAGATGACTATGGATTAACTAAAAAGCATTATATCGCTGTTCTTGAGATCCAAATCACCATATTTTCCCAAATTGTAACTACAAAACTCATTTTTTTGAGTTTTTTCCATTTCAAGGTCTCGTCTCGCACATTGAAGGGTCTCATTGAAACCGCAAAGTTCGTCTTAACACGAAAGACACTTTGTGACGCCTCAAAACCAAAATCTCTGAAATTTTGTCTCGAATGCCAAGATTTCATCAAACTGAAATAAGCATTACATATTACTCAACTCTATTGAACTTTACTTAACTATTACTTGAAAGATCAAAAAGTATCGATATCTACTTTGAATCTTGCTGCTAGTCCGATCAAAACCGCCAAGACCATGACGGTGAGGGTTGTAGCCCAAAGAGCGCTCAAAATTGTCATAACTCTGGCATCCATTGTGATATTTATTCAGGGGGCATTGGCCATCGTGGTACACCAGTTGGTGGCGAACTTGCTACTTTCTAGTGATCCGATTCGTCGACAGAAACATCTGGACTACACGAAGAAGAAGTTTATTTTACTATTGGTAACAATCTTGACAATTGTGGCCCCTTCGAGCGTGAGAATAACGACCGATGGTCGTACTATGCCCAAAAACCTGTTTTCCAATGACATACACACCGGAGGCCTATTGTCAAACTTGAGAAGAAAATCACTTTTGATTGCAAACCACCAGATCTACACCGATTGGGTCTTTTTGTGGTGGTTGACCTACACCGGTGGACTTGCAGGAAATGTGTTCATAATGCTCAAGCAATCGCTTGCACGCATTCCTATACTGGGTTACGGAATGGAAAACTACAAGTTCATCTTCATGAACCGTAAATGGAGCAAGGACAAGATCAACCTGGCTAATCGATTGAGCAATATGGATCACAACGCAAGGGGCGTGGGCGATTTGGCTGGGAAACACTTTTCCGCCAAGACTGAAGAGGGTCTGGAGGTTTGGACTGACCAAGATCCCCATTATGTCGACAGAAGCCAAAAAAGCTGGCCTTACTCGTTGATCATCTTTCCGGAGGGCACAAATCTGAGTCAGAATACTCGTAACAAGAGTGAGATTTTTGCAGCTAAGGCCAATCTCGAAAATTTCCGAAACTTGGTAATTCCTAGAAGCACAGGACTCAGGTTTGCATTGCAGGAACTCAGGAACAGCTGTGAAGTGGTTTACGATGCCACTATTGGTTATTCCGGCGTAAAGCAGAATGAATACGGTCAGGATATTTACCAATTAGGTAACATCTTTTTGAAAGGCCAAGCACCGGAGCTGGTGGATATACACCTCAGAGCCTTCGAACTCGATGAGATACCCATAGATGACGAAAGTAAGTTTTCAGAGTGGTTACTGAAGGTTTGGAGGGAGAAGGACGAACTTCTGGATTATTACTACGAACACAAGAATTTTGATCGCGGTCCGGGGGAAACTAGCCAAGTCGTTACTGGAACCTGTAAAGTTCAGCGCTTAGAAATGATACAAATGCTGGCGCTTCCATGTTTGACTGCTTTAACTATAGGAGTTTTGATATGGAAGAAATATGCTTGAAAGAGATGCTAACTGTATGACTAGAGAGAAGCGCTTGGAAAGTCGCTAACGTGCTAATGGTGACCAATAATATACCACGCTGATACTGCGAGCAGGTCTTGCAATTGGGATTTTTCTTATTTTTGAGTCATAACTTGACGGCACCCGAGTTGATTTCGATCCAGTCGGCGTTCGTGAGCGGTTTGTACTCGTTTGAATTGCTGAGCCAATACAATATCTCATCGCCGCCAGCACCATGAGGTAAAACTTGGTTTTTGTAGCTTTTCTTCTTGATCTTATGATTATCGGTATGCTCAATTTCGTCGACGAACTTGACAAAAACGGGTAGCGCGTACTTGGGAAGACTTTTCTTTAGATTTGATAGCATTGCATTCAAGAACTTCATGTCACCACGCAAATTTCGAGCTTGTGGTGCTAGTTGTAGAACTGCAAATCCAGCTCTGCCTTCGTGGTCGGGTACCTTTACACCAACAACGACGACTGCAGCGACCTGTAAGCTAGCAAAGGCCATGATCTGGTCCTCAACTTCCGTAGCAGATACGTTTTCGGATTTCCATCTGAAAGTGTCACCCATTCTATCTACGAAATACCACAGCCCGTTTTCGTCGGATCTTAGAAGATCACCGGAGCGATACCAAGCATCACCTTTTTTGAAAACGTCGCGTAACACCTTTGATCTAGTGGCCTTTTCGTTTCCGAGATAGCCTTGAAAGGTAGCCTCTGGTTTCTTGGGCATGAATATTTTCATTAACATTTCACCAGGCTCACCTACTGGTGCTACCGTGCAAAGGCCTTTATGATTTCTGTAAACCGTGCTTTCATCTTCGGGATCGACGCGAACTATGGTCTGTTGAACTGAAAGAATCTTGTTAATAATGGTTCCATAACTTCTGCACGCCCCAACGCCAAAATCTCCTTTTTGGAACGTTGTGGTGGCGAACGGCGCCTCTGTTGAAGCATAGAATTCTCCGATAACCTCGATATTGAATCTATTCCTAAATTCTTGCCAAATGTCTGCTCTCAAGCCATTACCGTAGGCAACCTTCACACAATGCTTTGATTCATACTCTGAAATGGGCGTGTGCAGCAAGTAACGACAGATCTCACCAACGTATTGGATATGCGTAGACTTGGTCAGGTATGCTTGCTTCCAAAAGGAGCTCGCTGAAAACTTATTCGAGACGGCTACGCACCCGCCTTGCGAAAACACAGCACACACCCCGAGAAGGGCTGCAGTGGAATGATACAGTGGCATCGCTGTGAAAACGACAGAGTCTTTCTTGATTCTCATGATGTAGCCGAATAAGGAGCAGCCAATGACGGCTTTTCTCCACGACATAATAGCTGACTTGGGTAATCCTGTAGTGCCAGACGTGTAAATCAAGCATGCGGGCTGGAAATCGGTGCCAAATGACGGAGAGCGCTTTTCCATAGCTTGCAAAAATTGAGGAGAGTTTACATCCATGATAGTGGTGTAAACTTCTTCATCAGAGAGATAGTATAATTTGACGTGTGGCAATTCACTGCGTATGGCATCCTCGGTTTCTTTTATGCCATCAGCAACTTGCAAGTCCACAAAGACTGCTCTTACATCTGCTATCTTTATGGAATGTAGAAGAGGAGCACCTACCGAGTTGTAATTCAAAAACGACGGAACTGCACCAATATTCCACAGCGCAAACCACATGAAGATGAACATCGGCTTATTAGCGTAGTCCAAGGCGACTGTATGATTTTCTCTCACGCCATACTTGTGGTATAAAAGGTATGAGAGCCGAAGGACAATTTCGTATGTATCCCGATAGGTATAGCATTCCATTTGGAATTCACCTTTCTCACGGAGCGGCCTTGGATAAGAAATACAGGGTAGATTGCCATTTCTTTCGACGTTATTCATGAAGGTGTACCAGAATTGGAATTTACCTCGGTATACGCTCCATATGTAGCGGGGAACTGCAGTCAGAAAATATGTTGCAATATACCAGTCGTCGCCTATTCTGTACCGTTTATCCAGATTTCTGAACCAGGAGCCGATTGGGACCGTCAACACTCGTATCAACCATACTATGGGAAGAATAATGGTTCGAACAAGGAGTTTTAATGTCCGGAGCACCACAAAACCAAACTGAGCTGTCATTGCAAAGCCTTAGAAAACTTTGATGCCTTATAACAATGCTGCTATTGATGTTTGGAGCTGATATGCCAAAGGTAGGGCACCCTTTTCAAGTAGCTTTAAGTTCTTACGACGGTAAAAGCTCAAGAAGTTTCTCTGTAACATGAATTTTCCATATATAGGGACGCCTTGTACGATTTTTTAACCAGAAAGACATCTGCCCAGTCAAAGAAGCCAGAAGCTAGCCCATTCGAGATCTCAATGTTTGCTGTTCAGCGTAGAGTGATCACTCGGGTACTTTGGGTCGAAAGAATCGTTTCTAGCTCGTATTTTGTCGATCTCTTTTCCTAAAGCTCTTCTATCTCTGAAATACAGGGCCCAAAGAATCAGACAATTGACAATGAAGAAGGAAAATGCGGCCCAGGCCATGGTGCTTGCCTTTGTTCCCACTTTTACTTTGAGAATGCCCATGGATGCGTGAGGAACGTAGTTTTTGGCGGCGCGGATTGCAACATCGGTCCACATAGCACCAAGTCCCCACAATAATGTTAAAAGTGGGCTCAGAAATAACAAGAAGGAGTTGATATACGATTTACCTGGCAGTTTGGGTACTGTTGCACACAATGTGGCACAAAACATCACCAAGGCAAGTACTATAACTGCCATCAGAACATAAGGATGAATAACCTTGACGGAATTGTCCTGGGCAAGTTGCAAGATGTTGAGCTCCATAGTATCAGTGGAGTTTGCCGTATTCTTGGTATCTGAAGTGCGGATGTTGAAAACCTTCACGCCCAGGTCCTGATACAGAGTTTGGTTGGAGACGGATTTCCGGTTATAGCACAAGGTGGACTCGCTGGAGTAAGCCTTAGGCAGGTCAACAACGCAAATTCCCATGTAACCAGCACAGACCTGGATTTTTTGAAGACCGGTAGTGGTATTCTGAGCGTCAAACGAGGTGGAAATGATGTTGTACAGCGGCGATTTTGACGAAAACTGGAAACTTGTCAGATACGTCGATGCTTGGGAGGCGCTGTTGTTCCCTACCAGCAAGAAGATAAGCATTAGGATAGCGATGAGATCGCACACCATTGCAAAAAATCTGGGCATTTTTTTGGCGAAAAACCATGCAATTGTGAGAGGAAGCATTTTTCTGATGATGTTTGGTATATTTCCAGTTAACCTGACCATACTGCCGGGGTACTTGTTGGTGAGGAGCTACTGATATTTATATACTGGTGGGTCACAATAATATGAGTGTTGGATATTCTGGACTGCTAGTTTCAAGTTTGATACAAGCTTGAAACGTTGTCTGCAAAGGTTCCAATACGACAACAAGGTTTCAAGATGATTCATAGATGGCGAAGTCATTGGCAGACGATACAGAAGCGTTACCGATTGTCTTGAAACAACTGTTAGGTACGATATGTGCACCAGACCTGTTCTGGACGCTAAAGGTTGGAAACATTGACTTGATACACAATTTTGGGCTTTGAAGCAAGCCCAGTAGGGGATTATTCAGATAGGCTGGTGTAACTGGAACTTCGTTCCAAGCCAGTGTGAGATACAAATAAAGTTGGAGAAAGTTTGGGCTAGTTCGGGTACCAAGAGCGGTGTTCTTAACCTCCTGGAAAGATCAACTTCTTTCACTTGCTACACAGTGCATTTGTTTTATGATTGTGTACATAACGTTCCACCGACAGAGCTGCTCACAGACCTAAGAAAGTCTATTTCCGTGACGTCTCACACTGTCAAGTAACTTTGAGAACATTTCACCTCGGAAATGTCCCAAATTGTTGTCCCCGTCTACTACGTGGTGCTTGACGATCGGAACATCCATCCTCAAGATCCTCAGACTTTGCTCTGGAATATATTCGAGTCTCGTATGTAATAGTTTTAAATGTCATTCGTTAAAGAGCGTCCCCTGTGTGCAACTTTATCAACCCAAAGAGGAAGCACCAGTGATAATGTCAACCAATTCGTTAGTGATAACGGCTTGTCTGGTTCTGTTGTACAGAATGGAGTACTTGTTGATCATGTCACCAGCGTTCTTGGAAGCGTTGTCCATGGCGTTTCTTCTGGCAGAAATCTCGGCAGCGTAACCATCAGCCATTGCTGTGAGGATTTGGTTGGCAAAAGTAAATTCGTATAGGTCTTGAGAAACTTTGTTGTCAGCATCAATCTCGAATTTGGCAAACGAAGGCGATTGTTCGATGGCTTCAACGTTGTAAACTGGTTTGACTGTGGGCTCAAACGATATCGACGAAGTTGGCTTGTTGTACACAACGTGGATCTTGGAGTAGCCGTCACCGAGCTTTAGGATCTCGTTGGCAATAAGAGCCGATTCTTCGAAAGTTGGAGCTTCTTTTCCCACACCGTTGAAGGCCAGTTTGATACGATCTCCATGAGTTCTTAGTAGTTGAGCCTTGACTTTGTCACCAACACACACAATGTCCGTCGAGGGTGACTTGGCCACTTCCTTACGCACAGCTTTGGCCAATTGCGAGTGAATCGATCCACAGAGTCCCTTGTCAGAGGTGACAGCCACGATAAGTTCGCGTGGAGTTTCAGATTGCAAATCCTTGGTTTCAGCATTCTTATAAAATGCATCTTCTGCGACCGAATATTCTCTAGCAGTGGCCTTGGCCTTTTCAGCCTTGGACAAACGGGTCGAGGCCACAATCTTCATGGTCTTGGTGATCTTCTCAATGTTTTTGATCGACTTCAAACGCATTTCGATTTCACGTAATGTGGCATAATTTCTAGCGGATGCTTGCATGCCAGACATACGGGCTCCCATAGCACCGGTTCTCACAAACATTTTCAATCAACTGGCGTGTGCGTTGGGCAGTAAGTGGGGGGAGAACAAACAAGAGGTTAGCTGGCTTGAAAGGCTGCCTGTAAGCTGGAGTTTGATGGACAGTTTGGTGATGTTCTTGGTAGGTTTCGAGATATTTTTCACTTTCTCGCTATAGTAAATTGAGGCCCTGGACGTGCGGGTAATGGAAAGAATACTGCGATGTGATTGGCTGGGAGCGAGAAGTCGACAAGAATGAGAGGCGAGAGCGTGTAGTGAGATTTCGGAGGTTGCTTAGGTCGTCTTGAGAGCTTACGGCTGGTATTTTGAAGAGTTTGGGGGAAGGTTTTTTGTTATTCGAGATGTATCACGTTGCACGGATGTGTCATTCAAAAAGTAGAAGATGATAAAGATAAGCCACTGTAGAGCGGTTTAAAGAAGTAGATATACAGATATCCGTAATGTTTCAGGTGTTTGATTCTCTTTATCTCTGCGTATGTTTGAAAATGTTCAATCAAAGTCACCACACACGATTATGACATCGCTGTATTAAAAAATCTCACAGTATGCTAAGGTGGGTTTCACCAAAACAAAACCGCAATAAATGCAGTTTTCTACTGTTATCGAGCCCCACAAGCACCCAAAACGACTCCCTACGTCTGTTGATTCGTTTTCTTCTATTCTGCAAGCCCACGTGATCTCTATGACGTCTCAAGCGACTCAATTCACAGCGACAGCGTAACCCAAAATGACATAGTTCCATAATACCTGACATGTGCCTAAAATACAGCCATAGTACCCGTGGAAAGCCTCTAATTATGGTCGAAATACTCAATTTTGATTAATTTACTATCACTATGCAATCTTTCTCACCTCACTCTCCTCTCAATATATTGAATTATTTTATTCATTCGGGTCCAAAAATCATTCTACGAAAACATCCAAGCACACCTGTCATTGCACAGAAGCTCAATCCCGGACTAACCTATTTCAAGGCCTCAAACAGCTTTCTAAAGAACAAAATTCACATTCAAAAAGCCTATTTCAATATCAACTCTTTCAAAACCTTGTAACTTACGCAAACGAGGTCCAATCTGGAATCTAAAAAATCCCAGGGATACCTGAAATTCTCTATTACCTCAACATCATTTCTCTACGTATCCAAAAGTCTTTGAAACTATTCATTGTGCGCTCATCTGGATTCTTATCTAAATTTAAAGATCATCATATAAAATATTACAATTTCAATTAACACACATGGTAACTTCAACAACCTTTTGGATAAACAAAACTCTTGGAAAACAAGCCCCTTTTCACCGTTTTAGAGACCCCTTAGACTGTTTTTATTAGTTTCATTGAAAAGAGCGAGTTTGGTTTGGCGAGAGTATCATGGTTCCCACCACTCACGATACAAAACAAGATGAATTGAGCTCCCTTACCAAACATCTCCAGGACGTCAACATCTTCGACAAACAGAAAATGCCATCAATGATCCATGGTAGAAAGGCCAGTACGTATTTGCGCGTATTCCAGGATGACGAAAGTACGGCCAAAAAAAAACCTGGAAGTGGCAGTCTGCCATCTGAAAAGCACTTGGCGTGCGACGACGATATCCAGGTGTCACAGCAGCAGCAGCATCACCAACCACCACCAACAAAGTCGCACTATCATGGTCCACTTCCACCGGGCTGGAAAATGAGCTTTTTTGAAAAGCGTACCGAAAAGCCACGTCCCACTCCGCCTCCCAGAAGACACTCATCCTCAACATACGACGTTCTACCTCGCTTCAGGCACATAGGGCTGCGAGACAAGCTCTCTAAAGCCTCTCATAGTCGCAGAAACAGTCGTTCTTCTTATAAAGACCCTGTAAGAAGCTCTTTACGCAGAATGACCAATAATGCATCCGTGGAGGAAAAAACATCTCTGTGGCAGGAAAAGACACCGCCCATCACAATCCAAGAGTCAGTACCGCTGGAGTCCGTACCTCCGGAACTTTCGGCCAAACCTGTAGAAGCAGGTATCGAGCCTGAAGTATGTGACAAACTCCTGACGCTGAAGCCAATTTCGTCAGCCACTTACTATCCGCATCAATCCAAGTCTGAGCCTCAAGGAGAAGGCCTTCTTGAGAGAGCTTCAATAACTCCGACGCCTCAGGAGCGGCAAGATATAGGGACACATATCCATATTTCTCCTGTAAAAAATCCAAGTTCGTCGGCAGACTCACAGCCAGAGCTTGAAGACGACGAGACTGCCGTAGATGTTTCACATCATGAAAAGCAAGATGACGACAGTGGCGATGATGAAGAGGTATACCCTTTAGCTGTCGAATTACAGCCATTTCCAAACAAGGTCGGAGGTCACACAGCAATATTCAGGTTCTCTGAAAGAGCGGTGTGTAAGGTTCTTGTACGTAGGGAGAATATGTGGTATGAAAACATCGAACAACAGCACAAGGAACTCTTAGATTTTATACCTCGTTACATTGGCGTACTAAACGTCAGACAACACTTCAATTCCAAAGAAGAGTTCCAGCGCGAAGTAGAACGAGAAAAACAAGTGAAACTCGTAAAGAAGCAACACAAAATGGACTTTTTATCTGGGAAAGTCTCACAACCACAAGATGTCATGACAGCGAGCGCACCCGTAGAGTTCAAGAACCCTGAAGTCCTATTGGACGACAACAAGCATATTATTCCAGATTCATTGTGGTACAAATATTCACACTCCCCAGAGTCAGCGCCCGGCGATTCTTACCTTTCATCGCATAGCCTTGACCGTGAGGACTCATTGCTCAAAGATTCAGGTTCAACTGTAGTGAATACTAAGTTACAAGAGCTGATTTTGAAGGAGGTCTTTGCTCCAACAAAGCGGAAACCGCATACTCGTAACTCTTCTTTAGATAAGTTGAGCATCAAGAACAATCCTTCGGCAGCAGACCTTTTAGCGTTAAGCAGCAGCATGAGAAGAAACTCGCATGAATTTCAAGGGCCGGACGATGGTGTTCCCTCACCTGCTTTACTTCCGCGTTCTACTAAGGCCAGTTTGTCAAAAAACATTGACTCACACAGTTCTGTACTGGATCTCAAGCAGTTCAACCTTCGCAAAATGGCTCAGATTGATGCAGATGATCAGGACACGACTGAAGGACCCCTTTCACAGGATGAAGAACTACATCGGACAAGTTCTTTACGCCACGAATACAGTAATTCTGCGGATGGCGAAGACGGTGTGTTTTCAATGGAAGAGGAAGATATACCTCGCTCTAAGAGCACATCTCACAATGAGTCCGTAATGTTTGAAGAAAATTCTCACACGATCGTGTCAAAATTCATTCTCTTGGAGGATCTTACGAGAAAGCTTGATAAACCATGCGTTCTGGATCTCAAAATGGGGACGCGGCAGTATGGTGTCGATGCCGACAAGTTCAAGCGTATTTCGCAAAGCAAAAAGTGTCGCAGAACGACATCGCGGAAGCTTGGCGTTAGGATATGTGGAATGAAAATCTGGAACCAGGATTACTACATTAAGAGAGACAAGTACTTTGGACGACGCGTGCATATTGGCTGGCAGTTTGCTCGTGCCCTTGCACGATTTCTGTACAGCGGAAAAGACATCTGCAGCATCGTACGCCAAATTCCACAATTGGTGAGCCAGTTTGAAAAATTGCATGCTGAGATAATGGAACTCAAAGGGTATCGTCTTTATGGCTCATCACTGTTGCTAATCTATGATGGTAACAACACCTCAAAATGTAATGTCAAAGTGAACCTGATAGACTTTGCACAGTGTGTTACGCGGGACGACATAATCAGAAGCCACGATTACTTTCGTATACCGCCAAGATCACCAGAGTCTGAAGACCGGGGATTTCTAAGAGGCGTGCGAAGCTTAAAGTTCTACTTGCAATGCATATGGAACCATTTGACCAACGACAGCCCTTTGCTGTACGGTGACAAACTCGCTACTTACATCCAGGACAACAAAGAAACGTTGAGCAAGCCTTGGGATTGGCTGGATAGCTTCGACACCGAGCCTGAACAAGAGTTTGATGATCCCGCTAGCGAACTTCGCAAGAAATGGCGTAAATACGAACTAATATTCGATGTGGAACCTCGTCATCCTGAAGATCCTGATATTAGTGAATAGGTGCGAGAGGAAGGTATAAAGATAAGTAAACTACTAAATGATTGGCATTGAAGCTTGACCACATTAGCTACAGGTTGGCGATATGTATGAACGACGATAGTGTCCTGGAACTTGGAATTATAGCTGCCACGACAGAACTTGAGTTGTTCCGAGTTTAAGAAACCTCAGTCTCCCAGCTTAAAGAGACCATCCACATGTTGGGGAAATGTGGACAGCCAATGAGACTGGTTACGTATGGAGATTTCAAAACAAAAGTGGTCGTGGAAATATTGCGTTGTTGGGAAAATTGCACTTCTTATACTAATTTTCCATAGTTCTTTCATTTTTAGCTGGGTAACACACTGACTGAAACGAAAACAAAGTCATCATGCTAGAATCGCGAATCGTGCTCTTGACGGCAGAAAGATTTAGTTAAGGCTGATTCAAGCATCCTGATGTCTGAGACCACCAAGAAAGATGAATCTTTTTCAAATGAGATTTCAGAGGGTGATAAGTATTTCATTGAGCAACGGGATCTGATCTTACAGGACATAAGTCAGTCCATGGATTCGATATTGAATAATTTGAACGGGCTTAACATTTCCTTGGAGAACTTCATCGCAGTCGGTAAGGAATTTGAAAGCGTTTCCGATCTGTGGAGTAAATTCTATGCGGGCGTGTCAACAGTAGACGATGCTCAGACTTCTGAAGATAACATAACGGAAAACACGTAAAGCACCGGTCACTTGAAGGACGGGACGTAGGCGTTGCATTCATGCTCGATCCATTTAGCTACAGTGGAGTACTAAGGGTCTCTGACACTAGGAGTTTTCGAGCATAACACTTGAAGCGCTGTTGACAGCTGGAAGGTGATAGGGCTAGTCGAAGCCTTTTTTTCACAAGTTCGATTGTGTTCTGATTTCATGGTCAACACTTATGAGCCAGATCGAGGCTTTAGAAACTGTCATGAGGTCCTGCAAACAATGGATTAGTTGCTTAGAAGCTAATTCAAGCTCGTCGATTGTTAAGCTCGTCAACACAGATTCCTCATTGGCATTAGGGCATGATAGCGGAACTGATTGAAGCTGCATTTAGGACCGCAAACAAAATCCAATGCCCTATCCAGTCGTGTATTTCAGGTTCCTCTCAGTATCTCATAAATAGCTAACCGTTGAAGTACCACTTCACCAGAATAGCGCACAACTAGAGACTGAGTCCGTTGGATCGCACTTTCTCCAGAAAGCTAAATCCTTATAGGGCATCAGTTCCTCAAATTTCTAAATCCGGTCTCTTGGCCCAGTTGGTTAAGGCACCGTGCTAATAACGCGGGGATCAGCGGTTCGATCCCGCTAGAGACCATTTTTTGCCGATCAAACCAAGCATATCGTCTCAAATCTTCCTGCCGTTGAAGCACTCATGCAAATGCGGTAGCCCTGCCGATGTTTTTGACAGACCGGTACGATAACGCACTATTTGGGAGTCTACTTGGAAGCATTCTTGATTTGCCTTGAAAATGAGATGTTTTAAAGACTTATGCACGGCAGTCGCGCGATTTCGAAGATGCGTTCCAGACGGGTGCGAAGAATGACTGTAAGGGCGTTTAGGAGAGACTGCATCAGTCCCACTTTCGATTTCGCCGGTGGATTCGTTAAAAGTATCAGGTTCTGGTACTGTGATGGACACAGCTTTGTCTGTTCCATTCCTAGCTACACTTCCATCACAGATTGTTTCTGCAACGAGGTCTTCAGTCTGTCCACGGGATGCTGAGTTAAATGAAGGGAACTCAAGTGTCAAGTCTGGAGAAACTATCGAAGCGTTATACGAAATTTCAGTCTCACTTTTCAAAAACGAACAGTCAATAGTACTATCTTTGATGCTGGTATCAATTTCAAGGATGCTTTGTGCTCCTTCAGCGTTTGGAATCAAGGTTTGATCGCATTCCAACGTACGATCACTGTCTTGATCTTCAGCAGGACCCTGATGTACTGGCTGGTATTTTGAATGCTCTGGATCTGTTTCGTCACAGTACTTTAAATTTATTGACATTTGTCGAACTGAACCCTCGGAAAAATCCTTCCAGACCTTCGTAGTTTCAGCATCGAGTGAATTTTCGGCTTCACTAGTCTCACTGGATTCTTGAGATGACTCAATCACAACAATAGGCTCTTTATGAAGAACCAAAGTCTCTTCTTTGGGGTGATTCTGCTCAACTGTAACTTCGTCCATACATTCAACACCGAATACAGCCTGCACAACATTCTCCAATAAGCTTGGAGGAAAAGAAATGGTTTGGAAGCGCTTGCGCTTTTGGTGAGTGTGTTTTGGGTATTCGATGTCTGTCCTACGTCTTTGGTTATTTCGGTACCGCGGAACAGGACTTATTTGTGAATCCGGACCGCTCTCATCAACACGTCTCTCATCGAACCACCCCAATACCAAATTCGTAGATTGATAGCCCTCAAAACCAACCGTTTGAGATCTTTCCTCCAGCCGTTTAGACTTGGGGTACACTATATCAAGTGTGCTGGATCTTTTCAGCACCATTATATAACTATAAGCTGTTTACAAAGGCTACAAAGACTGAGTCGAGTGATTTGGACTTGACACGTCTATGTTATTGAGCCACTTTATCTTGCAGAAAGTGGTGAGTTAAGGTTAAACCTTGTTGGGCGGCTAAAATTCGTTTTAATTATCTTCCAAAATACAGATCATAATGTACGGATTCTTCGAGACCTGGAATTATATAATCTTGAATATATATATATATATATATATATTTATCAGAGTATAGAGACATCCAGAAACTTGATCATAGTCTGTGTGCCACGACTTTCGTTCGTGGTATCTAGCTTTCTTTCTTAATGTTAGCGATTGTGATTTGTCTTGGAGGGAAAGCTATCAATTGGTGATGCGATTCTTTCTGGAAGCCTTTTAAACGTGATGAGTCGACCGCCTGGGTCTAGATCAATTGTGTTTCCCATCGAGCATGTCCACCTCACAATTCCCGTTGGGCGATTCTTGGAGACTCTATAGGGAAGGCTATTATACTCCTGGCGTCTTTGAGTGGGCTCAATGAGGTTGTGAAGGGAACTTTTCTTGAACTTTTTTTATGGAAGATTTCAGGATATGTCTGAGAAGATTCCCCCACTTTTCGATCTAGATCCTACCCATTCAGCCACCCAGCACCCCTGCGCGGCGCTTGAAAAAAGTGCATTGGGCATCGGTTAGAGAAAAGACAAATTGCAACAGGATTCCTTGTTGTGTGTGTGCGGTAATGAAGCCAATTTTCCTCCTGCGATAGACGCACAATATAACCTCTGTAATGCACAGATCGCTATGGGTCCCGCGTTTCGAACTCGTGGTTTTCAAGCCACCTTTTGGACTTGGAAAAGATTGGCACAAATGCATTTTGCATTCAATTCGTATGTCTTTTCTATGGTTAGTCCCAGATCGATGCGGGTCTCGTGTGAGGTCGACACAGGCGATCTGTTCAGCGATACAGTGGTGCCGAGTTCATAAGGGGGAAAAGAACAAGCTTTTGTAAAGCTCGCTTTTTAACCTAGTTTTCCTTTCGATGCTCTCGACCATGAATTTCACTCTTTCCCCCATCATACTCTTCACTTTCCCATCTTTGGGGTTCCATTGATTCCTCTCGATACCGAAACTCCGTTTTTGGCTACAAAAAATCAATGGCGGTTTCGATTCATCACAGTTAGGATCGCTTTTTCTAGCTTCGACATCACCACAATGAAAAATCGAAGGATCTGAGAACTTTGGAATGAGTCTCAGGTTGGCGTCGTTAAGTTGAGATTGCGCATCACTTGATGGCGCGCTACTTCGAAAATTTTTGGAACTCTTTTTTGTTTTCTTTTTGATCTATCTTCTGAGAATCAAAAGGGCATCAACTCGACTAACGTGGCAGCACCGAACGGTCTCTTGAATTTGTAGAGCGTTCTTCAGTTTATTGGAATCGCTAAGTTGGCATCTAATTTACACCGTTTTCAAGCCTGTGTAGCTCTACGATATCGATAAAACATCTTGAAGTAACGAAAACAAGCTAGAAAACCGTCAATTTCCAACAAATCTAGGGCATCAACTCACAACTTAACTGAATCGTACCCAGCCTTAATCGGGCTATCTTCTTGTCACTTTCTTTCGCCGATGACGTGGAATATCTTTATATGTACATATATATTAACAAATATGCCAAGACCAAAATTAACTCATCGCATCGTTGAAAAATTCAAACTACACAGGAGCTTACTGAAAGCGTTCAAGTACTACCAGAAGCACTCTTATTGGTTATATCAGTGCTTCTTCTCGTACCAGGCTCACTGTAAATAAGCTTCACGGGTTTTCCTGGGATCTGCTAGATTATCAGCACTTTTCGCATTTCAATGGAACTTAAGACTCCATCGGAAGAAAGCTCCTCAATTTCTCCCGGACCGAAAGTAAAACTAATCATGAGCAAGCTTCGAGCAGAATGCGAGCTGATGTTGATGTTCATTTTTTTTTCGATTTTGGGAAACTACTCAAGATTGGGACTAATCGAACTCACCGACTACTCAGGTGCATACGTGCGAGGACCGACTGTGATGTGGGCTAATGTGGCAGCTTGCTTCGTTATGGGGCTGATGCAGGAAATGAAAGACCTCAGCTTGTTTTCGCCGCTACTCTTCACTGGTGTTACTACCGCTTATTGCGGGTGTGTGTCATCGTTCTCCAGCTTGATGGTCGAGCTGTTTTCGAATGCTGCGAACGTTTCAACCGCCCGTGTACCTTCAGGACTACCGAACCGCGCTTATGGAATAATGCAATTTCTCGCCGTTCTGCTTACCCAATTGCTGGCGTCCATTTGCAGCCATATATTCGGACTTCTAGTAGCCAGAGAGTTTGCACCTCTTTTGGAAAGTTCTGGTACACAAGAGAAACCCTTGGCATTTCAGCGTATCCGCACCACGTTCGATTTCATTTCCAACGTTATCCTCGTGCTCTCGGTTCCGCTCTTGATTGTACAGATCGTCCTGGCTGGTGTGTACGATAACTACTCCCGCTTTTGGACTTTGTCTGCGGTTTTTGCCTTCCCAGGAGCCGTGCTGCGGTACGTGTTATCCAAGCAGCTTAACCATCGCTTTAGGCACTTTCCCATGGGCACTTTTGCGGCCAATGTGATAGGTACACTTATTTTAGCTATCATCACGCTCGTTACCAAAGGAAAACGCTCCGACGGTTCAGGTATCATCCACTCGAACACAGCCAAAACCGTGGTGGTGGCTCTTGGCAATGGATTCTGCGGCAGTCTGACCACGGTGAGCACCTTTGTAAATGAATGTCAGATTCTGCCGTTCCGCAGAACCATGATTTACTATTTCGTCTCGATATTCGTGTCATTCGGCCTAGTAGTTGTGATTGTGGGATCTTATGCTTGGACAAAAGGTCTAGAAAACTAACATAAACTCTACACCGTGATAAACAAAGCCTGGATGGACGAACAGTAACCTTTGGAGAGATTCATCGAACTTGACGCTATCACCAACTATACGGCGACGAGTACTCATGAATGTACTCGAGTATCGAAGCTAGGATAATAATACCCACTAATTACAATTGATTTATCAAAGCTAGACTCCGGCCACGTCTCGTCGTATCACCTAGGACTCCCATTTCCATCGCTTCTTTGAGGATACATACGAAACCGCTGGAGATCAAACTAACCATCATGACTGAGAAGACCCCCATCACCGAAAACCCGATCATTTGTATGCCTTTCTCTGTTCAACTCTGCCTCCTTTACACGACAAGTTGTACTAACAAACGATTGCTTCAGTCGCTCCTGAAACTTACCAATACGACAAAGATTCCCTAGACGAGTCCCAGATTGACAATGACCCTATTATGCAGTTCACGAAGTGGTTTGCAGAAGCTCAGCAAGATCCCAGTGAGGCTATTCCTGAAGCCGTGAACTTCGCATCTGCTGAACTCCCAAGTGGGCGAATCTCAGCTAGGGTACTATTGTTCAAAGAGCTTGATGAGCGTGGATTTACGATTTACTCCAATTGGGAGACTTCCAGAAAGGCCCATGACATCAGCACAAACCCACAGGCAGCTCTGACATTTTTCTGGAAGAACTTGCAAAGACAGGTCCGAATCGAAGGACTTGTCGAGAAAGTAAGTAGAGAAACTTCAGAGAGATACTTCAGAACAAGACCACGCGGTTCCAAAGTCGGTGCTTGGTCCTCGCCTCAATCGGCTCCGCTCAAGAATCGGGAAGAACTCAAGGAGCTTGTCGAGAAGAACGAAACCCGTTTCGATGGTGTGGAAGATGTGCCGTGTCCAGAATTTTGGGGTGGTGTCCGTGTGGTTCCACTTTCAATTGAGTTTTGGCAAGGGAGACAGAGCCGTTTACACGATAGAATGGTTTTCTCCCGCGAGACAGAAAAGGATCCATGGAAAATCACCAGAATTGCTCCTTAGGACTGGAAACTAAGTGTTTGCATTTTCGCCAGGCCTGTTTCCTTCTCGATAATCAAAGTTACAATGCAAATAGACTATACAGAAATGGCATCTAGCACTTGCCGTACGTTAGTATGGATGCTCTTATTAAAGGGTTCGATCTCTTCAGCAAATGCCTGCAATCGTATTTGGATTTGGTCGTTCTCAGCCGGCTGAAACGTTAAACATCCAGAACATGCAAAATAGCAGCATATTAAAACAAACATATTTTGGTTGAAATCTTGCTGTGAATGCTGCTCAGAACATTCGAGGATTTCCTGCAGTACCTCGTATGTCCGTTGAACAGTGCTGTGGGGCACAATTTGTACAAGACTCTTGATTTGAGCCAAGTTCAAACATAATCCCAAGTGCAATACGAAAACCTCAATCAAATCTCCTTGACCGTGTTGCAGTAGAAGGGCAGAGTTAGTGAGGGTGAAAGCAAGGGAACAATGTAACACATCTGCCATTCCATCACATATTTCAAATGCATCATTCGTTAATCTCACGAGAACTTTTACGAGGTCTTGGTTGGTCGCCTGCGAGCAACAAAATGGTGTTAGTGCCTTGAGCCATTCCGATCGAGACTTCTGATGCATTGTGCTTTTGGTAAGAACTTTCAGGGCAATAACGAATGCATCACTGGCGTACGATTGACTATTTTTCAACGCTTGTAAAATAGTATCCGAAGCATTGTAGTCGTCTGTACTCTTCGATTTGTCTAGACAAAGGTTCCACAGCTTGAGTCCATAGAATAGGCCTGGTTTTCTGTCGGTAAGTTTTAGGAACTCTTCGTAATTGTTTTTGACGTGATCAGTGCAGGCGTCGGTGGAAACGACGCTTAGCTGTTTTAAAAGTGGGAGTACAAGTTCGTGAAAGTTTATTTGACCTGATGCAATGTTTTTAGGGTTCACAGCGACTGCGTTGAGGATGAAAGAACAAACGTGCAAAATTAAATCATTGGAATTTGCACACAGACCCGTGCACCATTCCCAGATTTCCAATTGACTCTGCTTCACTGCATAGTCTAGCATCTTAGTGTCATTTAGCATATTCAAAGCCAAGCCAAGCAGGCTAGCAATTTTGGTATCAGAGTTAGTCTTCGAATTTTCATGCAAAAAAAATTCCAATTCATCCTGGTACTTCAAAGCTTCCCCCATGTCGCGGAGGTGGTTGAAATGCTGCGTAGACTGTGACTGCGAACCATCTATCTCGTCATCTAAATACGTGCGTTCACTTTCCGGCAGTGCTTCAACAATGCCGATATCGTCGTCGATGTCATCGTCATTAGCGTTTTGCACAATGGTTCGAGTCTTGCCGTACAATTTTTTTGACGCTAGATCGGTAGCGGTCCACACCTCAGACGGTTCTTCAAGTGCAGCAAACGCGTTCTCTTTTGTAGGATCCATTTGCGATTCTCCCAGCTGCGACAACATGGTGTTAGCTTCATCAATGGTGCTTTGGAAACTTTTCTCGGCTTGACTCGAAAGGAAAGTCTGCGAAACCTCGCAATCGGGCTCATCTGCATCTTCGTAAATCGCGTAAGGTTTTGGATGAAGCGTTTTCTTACGTTTTTTTAGCACTGGTTGATCCAGAAAATCGAGCAGTTCCGGTTGCAACGTGTTTGGCAACGTCTGGCGTTGATCTGGGTTGTTCACGGCTTTTGAATCCCTGATTTCCGCTGTCAAGTCGATACTTGTTTTTGGAGTTATGAAATCGCCGCAGTCTTCGCTTTCAAATGACTCTGAAAGAGCTTCGTCTTCGCTGAAACTTGCACAATGTGTTTCTTCGTCCCGTCGCGTCCATTTGGACCTACCCAGCCTGCCGTAGGTCTTCATTCTGATAGCTTTTCCGCTCGAAATTCGTGTTTTGGATCTAAAGTGTCTGTAGTAACGTAAATTAACATTGTAGCAGCATTTCATCATCTATCTAATGATAGTTGATCAAAAGTCGAAGAAAACAATACAAAGTATAGCATATTGTGCTCCTAGTAGCCATGTACACTGATCTCAGCAATAAGCTTGTGCTGGAGGCAAAACGTGCGCATCAATTGAGCCTAAGTTCGGGTCCAGAGCTGCTTCCTATGTACCAGGAAGAGCTGGTAAGAAATATCGTACGAGAGGTGAGCCAACTGGGGAAAAACGCTGAGTTCTTGAGGGCTCAACAGGCACAGAGCAACGAGGAAGACAAGGTAGCCCGTTGCCAGCAGTTCGTGACGCTCCTGTGTATGGAACGCAACAAAAGATGTTTATTAGCCTACCAAAAACTGCGAAGTGACGCATTGGACACCCTTGCGTGGAATCCAAACGGAAACGGCGCCGCAGATGCCACACAGAGAAACAGCGCCAATCTTTCACACCATGAACAAGAGTATTTGAAGGACTATGCACAGCTTCTCACGGAAATGAAAAGCGGCGACTACACGGATATCGACCTTTCCGGGTCACTAACGCCTCCTAGCGACGTTTTTATCGACGTGCGGGTGTTAAAAGATGCAGGAGAGATACAGACGGAATACGGGGTGTTCAATTTGATCAAGGATTCTCAATTTTTCGTTCGGCAAGCGGATGTCGAGCGTCTAATACAACAGGGCTACTTAAAGAAACTGTAAGTGGTGGTGAGGACACAACGAGTGAATTTACGGCCTCCAGGGATATTTGGAGACCGGTAGGTCAAAAAAAAAGACGGGTGACGACTCAATGCTGAAAAGATACATCATTGAGTTGCTGAAACACAATACACTCAAAGACAGAACAAGGAGACGCTAATGAAAGATCACCCACGCTGTCAATTGCAAAATTCAAAGCCCTAACCGCTGAATCTAGGTACAGTTGGCCTCGAAAGCTTGATCGAAGCCGTCCCACACGTGACTTACACGTGACACATACCTTGATACTGTCATACGAATCAATAAATGAACAAGACTGTGCCAGCTATAGAGAGAGAAATACTTTGACAAGAGAGCTTGAACATCTAGTTCTCTCTACAACGTTTCTGTCTCCATCTCGAACCGTTTCTCAACTTCCACAATGATGTCGGCATCGAAGAAACAGTACTTTCAATTGCTTCCGGACAGACTGAAAAGTTTCTTCAAGAAATACCCTCCAAGCGTGAAATACAGCGAAAAACCGACCTCGATCCAAGCGGTAGATGCTAACCCATTTTTGGCCAACAAAAACCCTGCAACGGGCAAATATCATAACCCAAAGTATTCTTTGAGACGTATGAGTGATCTGTACAAGCTGGCGCATCAGTACGGGCTACAGGAACTGCTGCCACCCAGAAACAAACTGTTTTTCCAGGAAAAATACGATCAAAAGAAGTTCATGAAGGGTGTGCTGTTACCAAAGGGCCACAAACACGAGTTGGCGCAATCTGATAAGATGCGCAAGATGCAAGAGGCTATTCGCAATGCGGACGAGTACATTCTGGAGGCCAAAGGCCGCAAGTATGCGAGGAAACTGGAAAAACGAAAATTGGGAAAAACACCTAGCTGGTTCTGAAGTCGGCACTCACTCCAAAAAGCTGCTTGTCTGCTTTATAAATCGCTTGTAAATACAATTACATATTGCACAACTATCTGCTTTTCTTGTTCGGACTAGTATGTTCCAGCGTAGTGAGCGATCTTGAAATCTCAATAGGGCCTTGAGATGAGATGAGATGAGCAAAGCTGAGCTGATTTTGAAGGAAAACATGTGGAAGTAAAGCCAGCTACCGATGTCTCGCGAGTTCCGTTTCGACGAAAATGTCTCAGAGAAACAGTTGAATCACCAATCAACTTCGCTGGTCGTGCCCAGCATCACCAGAGCGAGAATACACAACTCGATGTATTACAAGGCCAACCTTGATGCAGCGTCCCTAAGAGGCAACAGCATGCTGCAATTGTCCACAACCATGCTTAAAGAATTGGGTACATGTCGTGGAGCTAGTAGCCGAATGAGTATCGTGTGTGGAGGTGTCGAATTCAAGTGCCTACTGATGAAATTGGTACACATTAGGCCAACATGGGCTCAATTGCTGGTAATCTTGCAAAAGGGTCATGAAAAGCACTCCAGGTTTGATAACAAGTATCTGGTGGTATTGGTACTTACGTATTTGCGCTTGCAGTACTATTTTCTACCAAGGCCCTCAGAGACTTCGCATTTGAAAGGAATTCGAGATTTCAACAAAGATCAGAACGTAACGGCTGAAAATCTCAAAAATCTGCTACTTCTGTACATCCGTGACTATCGCAAGGTGAAGTGTATGGCGCTTGATGCCGACTGCTGGGTACAAGGCGGGCCACAGAAGGTTGAGATCAGACATATCGATGAAATTGTCGATTGGCTATGCACCGAGAGTCAGATCTGGGCTCTTCCCTTGGGGCAGTGTCAATGGTGCGATATTTATGCAGAAAATGAATCAGAGAGCGAGAGCGAAACTGACAGTTCTGAATCGGGGTCTGACGACGATTAAGAAGAGGTATTTTTCCATTTGTCTTCATTCAAAAACTCTACGCATTTCTTATACACTGCGTCATTCCCGAAACCTCTCGTGGAAAACAGCATGCGGTTGTTATACAGTGGGATACACACTAACGAGCGCCGGCACTTTTCTCGTTTTTTTCCTGCATCTCACAGTGCTCGTCTGGCACGTTTGGCAGGTCCACCGTTTGTGTCCATTCGTCTCTTGCGCCCAGAATCGTCTGCAAGCTTCCCTGAGTGTCTCATTCTTTGCAGATGTCTTTCGTCCACCAGCAGTGAGTCTAAGTTCAGTGCATCTGGCAGGATAATCTGTCGAATAGTATTTCCCCGGATATTGATATACTGCAGCGCTGTGGTTTTTTGTTCTGCATTATGCTGCCCTCCGCTCAAAAACACACCTGCCGCGGCGCAGTTCCCGCTTTTATTGGGTAGTGATAGCTTCACGTCTGTAAGTGTCGCATTCATCTGCGGAGACACAGTCTGTAAAGTGCCCCAGACCGTGGTCCCATTTTTCAATTCCACAGTTACTTGCTCATTGCGCAGCTTCATCAAGAAGTGTACTAGTTTCATGCTGTCAGATCCCCAATGGCTTTTGAAACTGAGTTGTAGCTCCTGGAACTGGAGCTCATCGGATGAGCAGTTGGTCGACAGTATAGTTAATATTATGGTAAAATACCGAGAAAGTTTCAGGAGCATTATATACGAGAATGGAAAAGATAAGATCATGGTCACATGACACACTACTCAACGTAATGAAGATAACAACACTAAACAGGCTTGTTGAGCTGGATTTTAGAAACCGTTTGATGGTGAAATGAGTGGCGTTAGGAAGTTTTTGTCTTTTCCGGTTGCATTTCTAAATTTTGGCTTCGGAGCGACAGTTGATCTTTTTCTAAATTGCATGTCAGGCGAGTACGAAGTGATGTGAAAAAAGGTTAATGTGACGTTGAAAACTCCAGCGTATTGTAGTTGTTTGAAACGCCTATCTTATGTATGTTTCTTGTCATAAACAAATTCAAGGCTAGGGCCCTATGTATTTCATGTTCTAAGTTTTTTTTATAGCCAATTCGACGTATCAGAAAGCCTTTTTTTTCGAATGCTCTTCAGCAGCACCACTTGAGAAAACATGCTCGTATTTAAGCCGTCGCAAGCTTGGACACAAATTAAACACTCGGTGTCCTTTGAATCGTGTGCTAGCTTCGTTTTCTTGCCGCACATTTTGACGTTTTTTCGTTATCGGGCATATGCGGGCCTAGAGAATATATTGATAAGATCTTCCAAGTATATAACTACAACTATAACTGTAAGTTAGTGCATGCAAATAGAGACTATTCGAAAAGACACCAACAGACATTAAAACTAGGGCCAATCCACTTGAATCATCAATAATCCGCGTCAAATGTCCATGCAAAAATCGAATAATAATCCTGTCTTGGTGTACAACTCGCTGCTGGCGCGTCGTCCGTTACTAACCAAAATTGCAACCGGGGCAATTCTCAGCGCACTCAGTGAGCTGATTAGTCAATTGACCACCACCAGTGCTCAGAAAACCGACGAGAATCTCAAAGGAGGCTTTCATAAAATCAGAAGCCTCTTACAAAGGCCGAAATATCAGAAACTACTGCTGATGCTTTTGTACGGCGGCGTCGTCAACGCTCCCATCAACCATTTTTTCTACCAATGGCTCACATTGTTCACCAACAAGCGTATAGCACCTAAATGGAGACGCCTCGCACAACTATGCGGGTCTTGGTGCGTCATTAGCCCCATCCAGGTTTTCGGACTCATCACCGCACTTACGTTGGTAAATTTGGGACCCGGAGAAAAAGATGGACCTGCAAGTAAGAAGCTGAAGGCAGTCCAGGATAGTTTGCAGACTCGTTATGGAACCATGCTCACCAGCAGCATTTTGAGCTCTACCGTTTTTGTTTCTGTAGCACAGCAGTTTATTGCTCCCGAAAAGTGGTCGGTTTTCTTTAGTTTTGCATACGCTGCGCTGAACACAGGCCAAAACATATACATGAAGCTGTCGTCAAGCCAAAAATGAGAGTCGAACCAAATATAATTAGGGTGTGCGATCTCGACTATGATGTTCTTCGACTATAGTTTGCACGCACAGTTTAAACGTAACACTATCGTTTTTTTGAATTCTTGTTTCTCTCTTGTCCCATAGAAAACAGTCATCCGGATACAGGTTGAGCACTAGTTTTTTGATCACCACTCTCGGCCTTAGCGAAATTATTCGGCGAGCTTGCTTCCACAGAGCCGTCCTTCTTTTTACCCTTCCCCTGGGCCTTCTTCTTTTGTTTAGACTTTTTCTGGGCAGGCTTTTTCTTGGACTGGACGTTGGAATCAATGGTAGTACCAGGACCACCTTGATCAACTGCTTTGCTCTTTTTCTCCATCTTCTTTACACGGTCTCTTCTTTGAAGCTCACGTCGGCCCGCTTCCTCAATGATCACCATGTTCTGCTTGTTTGACGCGCCCTTCGCATTGCCGGTGTTTTTTGTTTTCTTCTTGGGCTCCGTTACTTCGCCAACAGGCTTTTTGTTCTTGGACTTTGTCTTCTTTTTGGTCTTATTCTTCTTAGTCTTTTCTTTGGCTCCCTCTCCGGCCAATGCAATGACTGCACGTTCTCCTTGGTTTCTGATTCTAGCTTCGTCTTCTAGTTTACGATCTAGTGCTTTCTGCAACGGCTGAATGACGCTGAGATCAGAGTAGCCATATTCCTCCTTGTGGTCGTTCATCAGTGCCATGGACTTCAAAAACGTTTGAAAAGTTTTGTCCTTTTCAATCGTGCCCTCCAGAACAGCTTTATGGTTCTTCATGCCCTTACGATCCTCGTTTTTGAGACGTTTGACATAAGGACTCATGGCCGTTACAGGAACCATCGAAGTATTACTGTCATCCGTGAACTTTAGGTTCTTGATTTTCCCCACAAATTCATGCAGTTTTGAAAGCTCGTAAAACGTCAGATACGCCCTGGAGTATGTAGGAAGCTTGAACGGTTTTCTGGAATAATGACCTTGAACATAGTATTGAGAATCAACATTGTCTGCCAAAAATTGGGCTCCGGCGCCCAATTCCTTCTGTAGCGTTTCAAAAAAATGCTCACTGGTCAGATCTGGCGGCAGCAAACGAATCACAATTTTATGCTGGGCAGCCGGTACCGTGGTCTGTTCTTTGTTGCGCTTAGATTTCTTCTTAGATTTTGAGCTTCCCGGGCCGCCTGCAGATGTGGGACCTTTAGCTTCATTTTTGAGCTTTTGAACCCCGGTTTTTTTCTTGTCTCCACCTTTACCGTCAGCGCTACGCTTTAACTCATGTTCAACGCTACCCCGGGACCTTTCATCCATGTTCTTTCATAGGTTTGAGGTTCAGTTCAAGTTATGTTCTGTGAATATCGAAAATTTTCCATTATTACATGGATTCAATGGGTAGATGCCCTATTAACTACAAAGTTACAGAAGCTCATAACGTCGATGAAACCCGCTATAGGGCCCGTGCTTGCTCAATTTCTCCACAGCATCGAGTCCGGAGATTTGGGTTGCTTGGACATAAATTTGAACCAGAATGGACGGCTCATCGCCGAGCTACAAGCCGAACTACAGAATGGAATCAATGACAAAGATATAGAGGCTATCATCGAGAACAAAAAGTTCGAAGGAGGTAAATGGACCAGGTTTAATATGCTGATAGCGAATTTCATACGTTTTTGCAGAGATGTCAATCCCTGGTCGCTCTGGGAAAGTTCGGATCTAATCTTCAATTACTACCAGGACTTAACAAATTGTATACTGAACGATAATTTCCCAGTGGATCCATTAGTTACCAATTTTCAGCATACCACGGAATATGTTATACCGCTGGCACGGGAGTTGGATTCTAGCTACCGCGAGCTGGGCACGCGAAAACATCAGTTTCTAACACACATTTCGTCTGTCGTCACTAAACTGTTCAATAGCATCAAGCCGCGATACGAAAAGCCTGCAGCGCCTTTTGAGGATTTGCCTAGGAAACAGCAGATTCTTCTTTACACTGCAAACAAGCTGAACAACATCTACATGCAGATTGATTCTCCTGCCTCGTGTGCTAATATTTTTAAAAACGTCAAACCCAAATCCGCAATCGAAAGCTTCTCACAATATCCCGTGCGCGAACAGATAGAGTACCGCTATCTACTGGGCCGGTACTACATGCTGAACCATCGCGTTTCCAATGCGTTCCACCAACTCAACAGTGCCTTTAATCTGCTGGTGAAGTTTACTGCACACACAGCTGCCTTAGATCCCTCAGTCCAAAGAAATAAGCAAAGGATCTTGAGGTTTTTGTTGCCGGTGGGAATTTTGTTTGGTAAAACGCCGGCTAATTTGGAAAACCAGCTACATGGTGGTGAGAACGACGCCATTCAAAATTATCTGGAATTATCGCACATTGTGAAAACCGGTTGTTTGCATCGTTTTCATGTGTGGATGGCCAAAAACGAAGATAAATTGCGCAGACAGCGGCTCCTTCTCCTAATACTCGAAAAATGCCCTCTTCTGATATATCGCAGTCTAATTCGCCGTGCCATCGCCGACTTCTGTTTCCCAAATGACAGTAACAAGATATCTTATTCATTTCTAGAAATCGCTCTTAAGTTTTCGTTGGGCCTAGAACAAGGCTTGAAGCCAATCTACACCATGGTCCACGTACCAGCGAACATTTCGAACGCACTCGAGTCTCTCGTCAACATTGGCCTCATGAAAGCCAATTGTTTTCCTGTCAGCCAACAGTGTGTATTTCCCAAGACCAACAAAATCGATTCTGTTTTTCCGTCCGTGAACGAAAAGCTGGTGGCCTTTTTCCCACTAAACAGTGACGATGTCTGGCTTGATGATTGAAATCAGAGACCTGACATTTTCTCACCAAACTGATACTACGATCTCGGTAGAAAAAGCCCCAAATTTTTAAGCGCTACCAAGCACAATAAAAGAGAAGACTGCCGAGATCCCCATACAATACCATCAGGGATCACAACGCAATTAAATCTTGGCCATTTCTTCACTGACGTTTTAAGATGTCCAGCCAACTTTGACGACGGAAAAAGATTGTCACTTTTTCCCTTCCTGTCACATTTAGGACATAACCGTGAAAGAGTACTGTATAAAAATTTGTTGAATTGCAAATTGATAATATGGCAACCTAACAACACAACATCGAGCTGACATCAAAGAATAGCAACTAAAAACACCTTTAAGCCTCATTTGAGTCTAATTTGAGTGGCTCAGAGTTTTTCACGGCTGTTGTTTTATTAGGACTGCTGAAAATTGGGACTTTTAGCGTCGATTTGGGGCCAAAACTTTTGATAGAAAGAGGTTATTCGGGAGCCATCAAAAACTTGGGATAGAGTCCGACCTAGACTTGCAAAGTGATAGATCATACGTTGATCTCATAAGAACTATTAAAAGCTTATAAAACACTGCAAAGTGGCGTTCAATAGGTGACATAATGGTGGAAAGAGGGCCCGATCAGTGGCTTGAAAAAATAAAAAAATGCCAATCGCTCACAGAAAGTGAAATGAAGCAATTATGTGAGATGGTTAAGGAACTGTTAATGGAAGAATCAAACATTCAGCCCGTGCAGACACCTGTGACGGTATGTGGTGATATTCACGGCCAATTCCACGATCTTTTGGAGCTTTTTAGAACCGCAGGCGGATTTCCAGACGAAATCAACTACATCTTCCTTGGTGACTACGTGGATCGTGGTTACTACAGTCTTGAGACTTTCACACTTCTGATGTGTCTGAAAGTAAAATATCCGGCTCGGCTGACTTTGGTGCGAGGAAACCACGAGTCACGCCAGATCACACAAGTTTATGGATTTTACGAGGAGTGTCTAAACAAATACGGGTCAACAACAGTTTGGAAATACTGCTGTCAAGTGTTTGACTTTCTAACGCTGGCGGCAATCATTGACGGCAAAATCCTGTGTGTGCACGGAGGTCTGTCGCCCGAAATACGCATGCTGGACCAGATTCGAGTGCTGTCAAGAGCTCAGGAAGTTCCACACGAGGGTGGCTTCTCGGACCTGTTATGGAGTGATCCTGATAACGTGGAGGCGTGGCAGGTTTCGCCGCGTGGGGCCGGATGGCTATTCGGGAGCAAAGTGGCGCGCGAGTTCAATCACGTCAACGGCTTAAATCTCATAGCTAGGGCACACCAGTTGGTCATGGAGGGATTCAAGTATCATTTCCCAGAAAAGGATGTCGTTACGGTGTGGTCTGCCCCCAATTACTGTTATCGCTGTGGGAATGTGGCGAGCGTAATGAAAGTGGACGAGGATCTCGAGCCCTCTTTCAAGATCTTCTCCGCAGTGCCCGACGATTACATCCAGGAGAACAACCACAATAACCAACGTGGTGGCTACTTCTTGTAAGCAGCAGCAGCAGCAGCAGCAGCACCATCACCACCATCATTTTTCATCATAATCATCATTATCATCATCATCATCATCATCATTGACAAAACCGACAGCAATAACGATTTTTTCACATTTGTACAATAGACTATCAAGTGTCTTACTTTGGGCCCACATACACTGCGTGAGATGCTGCTGGACTTTCTGATTCTTTTCTGCTCTTAATGACGATCACGACCCTTGGTTGACGGTTTGACAATATTTTTTCACTGAGACTGTTGAAGAGCTCGCGAAACCGTTTCTCAATGGTCTATGAGAACGCCACGATGCTTTGGGTATTTGATATGAAGCCAAATCTGGCGGGATATTTGATTCGGGTGATTGGATTTACGCTCAACATCAGAAATGGGCCAAAAATATGCCCAAAAGACTCAAAAGAGAGAAGAATTAAGGCCAAATTTTTTTTGACCATGATGCGAATGTAAATCCAGTCTACTCATTAAAAGCGTCCATATATTTAGGCCCCATTGGTAACATTCGTGCGCTCACTGTGACGTTAAAACCATGATTCTTAGCCCGTTAACCATCACTCTGTACGACAATAATATCTCAGATTCGATCCACAAATTAATTATAAAAGAGACAGGGGTCCAAGTTCAAGCTCACCCAATGTTCAACCACTTTTAAAGCATCTCAAAACTTCACTGTTGGCTTGATTTCCTGTCAATTCGGTGGTATTGACGCTTAGAAGCTCTTAATAGCGATATTTGGTGGACTTTCAAAATCCTGTTCTCTTATTATTTTGAATTAGAATGACTCGTTATTCTGTATTATTGTTGGCATTTCTGTGCGCTTTGGTAACTGCCTCGCCTGTTTTCCCAGCGTTTTTCAGCTTCCCAGGCACCCGGTCTGGAAACAAGCCCATTTCGGGCGATTCGCCGCTGCAGCAGTGCGATGTGGACGAAAAACAGGTTTTGGATATCAAATTGGTCAATTTGTTGCCCAATCCTCCCGTTCGTGGGGAAAACGTCACTGTTTCCGCTGCAGGCTACGTGAAAGAGACCATCGAGAAGGGCGCGTACGTGGACGTTGAAGTGCGTCTTGGATACATCAAGCTGCTGTCACAAACGTACGATTTGTGTGAAGAACTTGAGAACAACGATGTCGGTGGTCTCAAGTGCCCCATCAAAGCGGGCGACTACATGATCGAAAAATCTGTTGAAATTCCTCAGGAGGTGCCTCCAGGGAAATACACCGTTTTGGCTCGCGCCTACACCGAGGATGACGACGAAATTACTTGTTTGAGCGGCGAAATTTACTTTCCAGCTTATTAAGAAAGTGTGAGACCTGCTGTGATAATGGAAATCTCGTAAACCCGTAGCCATTGCTTGTATTGTTAAACAAACAGCTGGGCTGTTGTCAAAACAAGAGCTAGCAAGCGCGAGCGCGCAATGAGAGAAAGAGAGAGAGAGTATCCACGTGTGGACAAAAGACACTTTTGTCGTAAAACATGACATCAGCGCTCGAACGGAAAAATATATTACGTAATATTGTAATTCAAAAATGCACCCAGACATCCTCAAATTTACTCACGTGACTTTTCTAAAAATCAAAGTCATATGACATACGTTATAGTTTCACACGACTTGCATACTTACTAACTCGTCTGAATGCTACTACACCTTCCTCCAATTCAACATCTACTACAGTTACTGATCACCCACTACTCAGACGATCTTAACCACTCCAATCTCTAAGTGACTTCCAATCACCATGCTATCGGTATCCATTCTTTCCAGAACTCCAAGTTCCAGGCTCGCAAGCTGCTTTATTCCTGTGTTCAATTTCCGCAACTCGGTATGTCATTACAGTTCCGATGTTCGGCTCAGAATACCACCAATCAAGCGTGTGGGCGAAACTTTGGAACGCAAAAAAGCCCGGTTGGTATACCAATCCCGTAAAAGAGGTATTTTGGAAACGGATTTGCTACTCTCGCGTTTTGCAGCGAAATATCTGGACTCCATGACTGCTGAAGAGCTTGAAGAGTACGACTCATTGCTTGACGAGCTTGATTGGGACATTTACTACTGGGCAACCAAAAAATACGACGTAACCCCGCTACCTGAAAAGTTTCAGGATTCAAAGCTGCTGAAGAAATTGCAGGATTTCAGCGAAAACAGGGAAAAGGTTGTGATGAGGATGCCGGACTTAAGCAGCAGGTAGGAAATGGTGGCAACCGCCATTTGAGCATGTTGTGTGGGACCTAGAGGGTGAAAGAAAATATTCCTGGGCTTTCTTGTATAGCGTTTTAGTAAAATTGTTGTTTTTTTTTCTGGAGAAGTTGGGAATGTCACTGCAACCGCTGCGCTGCGGTTATGGATTTGGAGACAGTATTGGTCACTGAGAGACCTGAAATTGTCACACAATCGGTATTGAGGCGTGTAACCGTGGGAAGAGCTGTTGAAGCTTAGAAAAGAGTAAGACGACCAAAGGGTGAAAGCAAAGAAATGAATGAATCATCACTGCTCACAGTTGTGATAATAGACGAGGCAAATCTGGTCTTGAAGCTCACAACGGTAAACGGTTCTTCGCTTTGGAAAAGAACGTACTCATGAGTACTCATCCGTACTCATGAGTATTCAAATTTTGAAAAATTGGATATCGAAAACCAGTCCCATCTCATCATCGACAAAGACATAGAGCTTCAATCGAAAGTGAATCCACCGGAATAGCACGCTCAACCGATTCTCACGAACCCCTCCAATGGCCGGTAAAACACCCGTACCTAGACTTCCTCCTTTGCCCAGGTTGAAAGTGAAGAAACCGATTATTCAACAAGAAACTAACAAATGCTTGGTGCTCATGTCGAATTTACTGCAGTGCTGGTCGTCCAACGGCCACATGAGCCCCGTGTGTGAGAACCTCGTGAAAGACTTGAAATTGTGCTCGTCTGAAAATGCCACGGGAAAAAACGCTGGTGTTCAAAAAAGCAGCATCAATTACCATGCAGCAAGACTTTACGATCGGGTTTCTGGTAAACCTCACGATTGAACGAGGACCGCTCCTTAAAACCCAAATTGAAGCACATCCGCTCCATCATTGTACATAATCAATCATCGGGAATAAAATAATGAACTGTTACTCCCGCTGTCCCAATATTCTGAGCATTTCTCTTTCTCTCTCATCTGCGTATCCTACCAGCTCTTTCTAGAGAGTCGTTTATTAAAAACCATCCAGGATGGAAATCAAGTTGTCCGGTACTTTGCAATAACACTTCGTCAGCGTCTGTGAGTTTTGATACCTTGACTTTGTTGCACGGCGTCTCCTTCCCATAAGCGTTGGAGATTTCCCACTCAAAAGGGTTTCTTTTTCCGCAACTGGTTGCATCGTCATTTCTAATCTTCAAAGCAGGGTTTGGAACTGTAGAGTTGATGCCACCTATTGACGTAAATCCCTTTTCATATAACCCACATATCTCTTCGTTTGAATATAGCAGTATACTCCAGACATTAGCCAGAGTCCAATGCAACAATGGCTGTACTCTCATGAATTGGGGCCAGCCGCTGTCTGTTTCCTGGATGCAGCACAGATCGGCCCCAAACGGGTCTGTGTATCGTATTCCTATCACAATGGCTTTGGCGGTGGAATGCACTTTCAAATAGTTTTCGAATGCTTCTGGCATGCTGGTTTGATTTCGGGGTGATTCGTAAATAGACAAAAAGTATCGTTCTCGAGCCGACTCAATCGACTGCTCGAGTGTGTTGAATGTTTCTGCCTGGTTGATATACACGGTTGGCAAGAATTGCAGCGGAAACTGGTGATACTGTGAATCATACTGCGAATTTCTGGTTTTAGTGATGAAGAACTCCCAAAGACACGATAAGTAGAGGATTAAAAGAACTTGGCAATCTTTCCCACCATTGTATGAAAACGATAGTTGATTACCAAAAGGATCCCACCGACTGAATACTTCCTCCAGCAAATGATATCGAGTTAACCGAATAGCCTCTTGAGTCGATTCTACAAGCTCTGAACCGTTTGTGACAGCTAGGTAACTGTTTGTAATATTGTGACAATGTTCTGAGATATCGGCAAGCGTCATTTAAGTTCGGAACAAGCCTTTGCTGTCAATAATTATGGTACTTTTCACCTTGATTCGTGTGTCCAGCAGAGCGCTGATGAATTAATGGCTAACTGCTTTGAATATAGTACATAATGATGGAAGAATAATGCTAGTTGAAATTCACAGTCTATGTTGAACCCTGGCTGTGAGGTCCGTAGAGTATAGAGCTTCTCAAATACTTTGAGCCTGACCTTGTTTAAGTTTCTTTAGGTAGTCCTCGATGTAGTTCAAATCTTGGGCATTTTCTCGACACCAAACAACACCCACGGTAAGAGCCCCTTCTGAATCGCCAGAATCGTCAGCTATACCGTCGTTCATGTGTCTCATAGCGTTTGAAATCTCTGAAAGTAGACTCACAGTTTGTAAGTCACCCATGATGCCATTTACAGTCATTTCCGCAACCAATTGTCGCACTTGGTGTATCTCCTGGAAATTCTCCCACGCCAACTCGATAAGCAAGTTGTAAAAGTCGATGTTGCAAACGTTCAAATACAGGGAGACATCGGAAGCGTTCCTGCACGTATTGTAAATCACAGATATCAGAGTGTATCGACGCTCAGATGGGAATGAAAACTCATTGCTGGTCAAAAGATGCCGAATAACAAACGGTGTTGTGATATGAAATGGCTGCGGTAAAGAGACCGGGTTCTTTAAACAAGTTTGCTCCAAATGGTCTAAATCGTCGGTTTCAAGCTTTAGGTTCCGCCCCAGATACTGTTTCAGAAGGTCTTGAACGATTGCAAGACAGTCTCCATCGGTTTGGATTAGATTCTGTAAATGGAGCAGATAAGGACTCAAAACTTTTTCCAAAGTTGCATTTAAACGGTTTTTGGCTTCGATTTGTCTTTGCAGCTTCGGATTGATGGTTGAAGTCGTGGTATCAGCACGCTCAGGAGGTGATGTCAACTTGAGATCTGATGCCAGTATATTTTCGATGTAAGAGGCTGCTGAAACCGGTGCATAGTCTCCTGCATTTCTTCTGTCCTCAGTGGTGCTAGGCTTTTTCTCTTTCGAAAAATATGTCGGTGTCAACGAAACCGGATATTTGCGAATATCTTCCGTTGTCATTCTTGCAAGGGCACTAGATTCTTCCATGTCATTACCCACAGCTTCGCGGAAAAAATTTAAGAGCGTCTCATCAGCAGAAGCAGGTTTTTTGGTCTCAAAAACCACTTGAAGGTTGTCTCGTTTTATTCCCGCTGTTCCTACGTCAGATTTGGTACTCTCTTGGCCCAAAATTGGCTTTAGGAAGTCCTTGGATCTCTTCTTATCCTCGTCCTTCTTCATAATCTGTGTGAAGATCTGTTCGAATAGCGTTCTTTCCTGAATCGACGATACCTGCTCGTCTTTGAATCCATCTGCTTCTCTAGATTCTACTTTTTTGGCCTGTTTCTTGACCATGGTGGTCCCAAAATACCTGAGATGACGCCCAAAAGCTGGCTTCACGCCCGTCAATCGTTTCAGCATCAATAAAGCACTTGGACAAGACTACAAAGACACTTTTGCATCGGGTATCTATCTCAGAATGGGCTCTTTCTGCTAGCTCGAAATCAAATTTAATATGTCGTTGTAAAGGCGATGAGTATTATTTCGAACGAGGTGCGAGTCCGACCTGGGGCTCCAATTGTGGATGATATACATTGGGCAAAGGAACTGGTAGATATTTCAAAGTCTACGGCTATATTCTATGGATTCTAATGTGAGTTTCAAATACTCATTTTGCTCGCAAAATGGGCATTTGAGAGCATTGGAAAGCTCATCTTAACATTGAGTTTCAATTATTTGGATGCATTTTGCAGCATTTGACAATAGCTAATCGCCATTGATAAAATTATAAAGTCCATGGAAGCATCGTAGGCTTCCGTCATTTGCGTTTGACAAGGTCCTTCCAATGTAAAATGTCACCAATTTCACTGGCGTCAGTAAAATGTGCAGCGCACATTTCTAGGGCGACAGCCTTGAAACTATTGCCCGCCAAATCTGCAGCATACACTTGACATATGAGAAGAGCATAGCAATGGACTAGTTCCGATGACGAAAGCAAATACTTGGAGAGCTTTAAAACCCCTCCAGTGCTCTTGTTGCCTTATCCAATCTTTTCATGCCCTCTCGAAAACGTCTTGGGTCGATGACCATATCGGCCGTGAGTCTCGAAAGCGAGTCCACAAGTCGTTCCAAAGCCCTTTTCTCCTCCGTTTGCATTCCCAGATCGGCAAATTCCGATCCAATCATTGTCCCCTTTGTAACGTCCAGCATTTGAGCAATGGTATCAATATCGAAAGACCGAACCTCACGTTTACCATCCCGACTCTTCCGCTTTTCGCGGCGATTTCCATGCGATTTCGGTCTGGGTCCATCAGGAGCACTTCTTCTGTTTTTAGAGGCTTTTCCTGTGGTTGTAATGGGAGGTACACCGGATTCAGTTGAGTTTTCATCAGGTATATCTTCGTAGTCGTCATCATTGCCGTCGATGGTTGGTGGGTCCTGCTCCAAAAGATCTTTCTTAGTGTTCAGTATGGATTCGCTGTCACGGGAGATAGGCAACGAAGGAGGAAAACTCGGCATGCGTGGTGGTTGTGGGTTCGATTCAGGAGCTGGCGAGATCAAAATGGTTTCATTCCGGTCGATGGATCCTTTCTGATGATTTGCAGGAACGGTGGGGAGAGGTCTGTGTAGATAGCTATCATCGTCATCAGGTTTACCAAATTGGTCTTCATCACCGTCTTCATAATCATCCATATTAAATCTGCTGGCGGGATCAATGGCGGAAAAGTAACTGCTAGATTTGTTGGTACTTGTTCGAGACGTGCTTCGCGAATGATCAAGTGCCATTTGCTCCTGTAATTGACTTTGAATGTCGTCAAGCCCGTTTTTGATAAAAAGGTGAGATTTTGGACGATTTCGGCTTCTGGGCGGAATTGATGGATTGTAGTCAGAGCTTTGCGAGCGATCGGGAAGCATAGCTTGTGTCCGTTCTGTGGGAAGATGTGTTCGTAGAGAGGGCACTATACTAGACACTAGAGATTGTGTGTCACTTGCGTCTCGTACTGAGCTTGGGATTGATTTGATTGTGGATGAGCGAGCAGGTGACTGAGACTTGTGTACGTCATCGGTTTTGCTCTCCAAGGGAAGGGTTTCATTGTTACGCAATGTTTCGCCAACCTGAATTTGTTCACTTTCGATGTTCCTGTTAGCTGGTGATAGTTGTTCTTGGTTGACAAACTTCAAAGAGCTGTGTGCATCGGAAATATTGTGAGAGTGGCCACTCTCGCTAGCCATGTTGCCTGATCCAACCGTCGAATTCTTCTTGTGATGAAAATGTTGCGTTGCTGATAGTTTTAAAGTGGTGTTCCCTTTTGGACCATGGTCTCTTGCCACGTTAACATTTGGAGAAGGTGCGCGAAGTCCTTCTAGATCATTGGGGCTCTTTTTCTCCTGTTGGTACGGTATCTCTTCATTTTGGGCCACAGTTTCTTCTGAAAGTGGAAAATTGACTGCTGAGTAGATGACAGGCCGATCATCGCGTGTGTTGTACGTTTTTTGATTCAGGTACACCGGAACCCCCTCATGGATACTTGCTGAGTAGTCTGAGATGAGACTCTCCCGATTTCCAGGACTGCCAAATTTGAAATTGGGACTTGTCAAGCCTCTTTCACTTGCAACATTTGAATGAGCCGCAGGAGGTTTCGGAAGACTGTCCAGCGACGATGTGCCACTGTTTCCTGTATTGGCACTTGTGGTTTTTTGGACGTAGAAGAGATCATCATCCTTGTCAGTGTGAAGAGAGTCGATCATGGCCGACAATCTCTTCGAATTAGTGTTCATTGTCATCATTACACTCCCAACAGAGACTCTGACAACAACTCTTACACTGCTCTGGGAACTTGAAATGGTTGGTTCATGTTCAAATCTTCAGTATCATTTGATTATCTCGAGACGCTATAAGCCCTCCAAAAGTAGTAATACGTAAACATCACCACTTTTAACAGTGAATGATCTTCGGAGCTCACATGATGATGGTCAAGTGTTGACGCGGGCGTCAGTTTGATCAACCAGTGATGGCGGTTCGCAGGGGAAAAGGCTCTCGTCAGAAACTTGGCCGGTCTGAGCATGACAACTTCAATTTGGTTGAATTTGCTCGACTGTTTGAATAAACAACTGCTTGAGCTTCGCCAACCCAGATTGTACTATCTCGGCAGAGCCTTCGGGGAATAAGACTTGCTGGCAATCTTTATTACCGAAAAGCGGCTCACTGTATTTGAGCCACTGTTCGTTGAGTTGGTTTAACGGATAGTAAAAATGGTAAGCACCATTATTTCCGGTTTGAAGTAGACGTTCTTGGCACCACTTAAGCTGGTCTTGGACAGGGGGGAGTACTTGTGACCATATAGAATCGTAGATGGGCCCGTCCTGAGGCATCTGTGAATTGTAAAGGTCATTGAGTCGGGACCATGTTCCAGCAAGTGCTTGCGCTGAAATTTGAAACGATTGGAAGTTGGCATTGCTAGAAATTCCCACAAACCCCAAGGTTGGATCCGCGATTGAGAAGGTGTGCAGATAAAGGCCTGTGACGCGGGAAATATTGGAGGGCATCCCGGCGGGACACCGTGGATCGGGAGTCATGAGTATACGGTAATGCTCAAGTAGCTTGTTGGAAACGAATGGGAATGTGTAAAGATAACCGGTCGCAAATAGAACTGCCGATACGTCTTCGATTACAGTCTCATCTTCCAGCTGTAAGGCAGGTTTTCCCTGTTTCTCGACAAAATGCGAAATTGCACACACAGTTGTTACTTTTGTTGTCCGTGCGAGCCACTCGTCAAACCAGTAGAATGGATTAGCCTTATTGTCAGGGTTTGGTGCCGTTTTCGCTGATATTATGATTTCTAACGAGTGAGAAGCATCTTGAAGAGGGACGAGACGCTTCAAAATGTCCATGGCACTAAAGCTTTTGCCAACAATAACAATTTTCTGTTTTTTGGTTACAGAAGCCTTGTGCAAAAGAGGGAGTCGCTTTCTATACCAGAAGTCAATATCGCGGACGTGTGTTAGGGTATCAGGGAAGCTTTTGTTGAACTCGTGGACGTTCGAGTCACCATTCGACGTTGCACTCATGTAGAAAGGAACATATGGGCACATGAAATGACCGTTAGCAATAACAACGGCATCGAACGTTTCGCTATACCAGTAATCGTGATCGTCCTCGGGTTGCCAGGTCTTGGCTACTATAACCCATTTTTCCGGCGACAGTTTATCGAGATATTCAACACTCGTGCGTAGCCGAAACGCTTTGGAGCTTTGATGTCTTTCAGTAAAACTCTTTATGTTTTTCTGCACTTGCTGCAAGTCCCCCAAGGGCGCAATATCCTTTCTTCGGGAATCCTGCGATGGGTTTCTGTAGTCGAGGTCCATGAATTGCCTGGGCGCATTTGTCATGAAATTATCGTATATCCCGGTTTTGTTGGAAAAGATTATTCCGTCACGTAACAGTGGTTTTCGTTTGACGTGCATGGGTTTGCGGACGCTAGTGGCAAGCAGTGGACGTAAATTTGGAATTCGTCCATTTTCCACAAGAGGAGAGTCTTTCTGAAAAATATTTGCGGGAGTAACACAGCCCTCTGCCGGTTTGTCCAGTGACTGCAATTGCTGGAATACCTGTTCTGAGTTCAGATTTGAACCAGGAGTATCGCTCCAAACACCGCCTAGCTGGTCCCGGACCTCGAATCCCACAATTTCCCAGTTTTGACCTTCTCGTCGAGCCAAATTTTCAGCTGCGATGAGACCAGAAGGGCCACCGCCTATAATTGCAACTTTTTTGATAATACCCATTGAATTGTCGCGACGCGGTTAGCTCAGATGTATGTATAAAAACTTGCTCTATGCTACTTGAAACAAAAGCTAGGAAGCCGTTGAAAAATGCTCCAGATGTATAAATGTTTGTAGAGTTGCTTTAACGAATCCAAAGTGACCTCAAGATGGCTTCTTATGCCACCAATTGATGGTTTACCATTTTATTTCAAGCTGGAATCATCTATCTTAAATCTAATAAAGTCGGTACTTAGTTAACGTTTAAACAATAATACCATCATCAGAACGAAGACAACGAAGATTTAAGTCAAACGGCTACCAATTGAGCCCATGGAGATATGAACAAAGACGTATTTCCGCTGTTAGATCTTCAGGAACTTGTTGTGTGCCTTCAAAGCTGCGATTTTGCGCTTGCAAATGAGGAAAACATATCTAGACCATCATCCAAGTATGTAGTTACACTATATAAACAAATCATAGACAGTTTCTCAGGGATATCTCCCGATACTCTCATAAATAATGGGGAACTGCTTCTGGAGTCAAGCGGAACCCATATCGACGACGATCCAGTTTATAGAGACACGCTTCAAATGCTGACACTGAACAAGATCTGCTTCAAGTTTTTCGAGGACATAGGCGTCCCGGACTTCAATATGATGGATCTGTACAAGCCTGAAGCGCAGCGAACTCAGCGATTTTTGAGCGCTGTGGTAAATTATGCGCGGTTCAGAGAGGAACGCATGCTCGATTGTGATCAGTTTATGTCGCAAACAGAGACATTACTGGCACAGCTTCGTCAAAAACTCGACGATCACAATTTCCTGCAACTACAAGTTCAAAAATACCAGGAACTCTCCACTTTTGCAGATGGCGAAACGCTAGGCTCATTGGAAAGTAATAATCGTAACCTGGAAAATCAACTGAAGAAACTTACGCAGGTTCAGGAAACTTTCTCCATCGATTACAATAACTATAAAAGTAACAAGCGCAAGCTGTTGGCAGACTTAGAAAGTCTTGGTTTTGAGCTCATAGAGTTGGAACTGCAACGTGGTAAACTACAGCGTTACTCCGAAGCGGATATAGATAGCTTGCAGGCGGGTATCAAAGAGCTGTCTCAAGCCTTGGAAGAGCAAAGTGAGAGCCTTTCTGGACTCCAAAAGCAGCATCGCAATCTAGCAAAGGCTATGACAACTTTTCAGACGATTACTGCTGAGCTCTACGAGCTTTTAAAGATTATCTCCACTGATCTACAAAAATCACATCTCCAAGAAGTGGGTATACTCGAGCTCAAAGATCAGCTTCTGAACAATCGCACCAAATTAGAAAATCTACTCACCTCTGGGGTAGCAGTGAAACTTACCAATTTACAAACACAGTTGGAAAGTCGCAAGAAAAGCATCCGGGAGCTTGAAGAAACTACCCGAATGGAACAACAAGAAAACTCCAACATATTACACAGTTTACAAACCCAGTTTTCGCAAGAAATTTTACCTGAGGTCCAAAAGGTCGACGACCATGTGGAAAATCAGCTCTATGGCGTTGTCATCAAAGGTCTGGAAAAAGACATGCAAGAGTTGAAGGACGAGTTTAAAAAAGAATCAGATGCCATAGAGCTCGAGTACTCACTCTTGGCTACCCATATAAACAATTACATGAGCAGCATGCTTCAGAGGATACGATGAGGCTTGACAAAGAAAATAGAATTCCAATGCAGTACCGTCACCGCCCCAAGTAATCCTACTCCTCGTCTTTGAAAAAAACTTGGATGTATAGTGTTAGATTTCCAGCGTCCCAGTAGGTAAACTTGGTGTTGAAATCATCCACAAAAGGCTCATTAGAGGTATTGAACTCAATTGCGCGCAAATCTTGGTTTGGCACTTCGACCGCTACTGTTTTGAAAGGCTCAAAAGCCACCAAAATGAATTTTTTGTCATCACCTTGCTCGTTTGACATTTCTAAACTGGACATCAATCTGACAAAAGGACGCTCGTCCACATCGAGCGCGCGACCTTCATCTGGGTATGTGAGCTTCATTGCTATTCCTCTGGCATTGGAAATTGGATCCTGTACTTTGGCCACTTGATAGTGTGGGAGAAGACCGTTGTCTTTGATTTGAGCTCGCAGTTCTTCAACCTGTTTCTGGAATTCGATTTCTTCTTGCGAGAATTCCTTCCGCTGGTTGTGAGCAGCACTTGAGCCTCTTCGCAGCAAGTTTAGCCCATGCTTCTTACCTTCCAAATGCCTCTCCACACTAGACCATGACATATGCATCGTATTGCAAAGCTTGCATACTAAACGGCCCGCATGATTCTTATAAATATAGGGGTTCTTTTTACTGAGCTCTTCATCCTCTTTGCTAACGCCTTGGAAGGAATATGGCACATCTTCTCCGTCCCTCAGCAGTTCCTCTACCTGTTTCCTTCTGTGCAGGTTTTCTTGCGAAGCAGATGCAATACCGCCAGAACCTTTCTTCGAACCAGCCCGATTTTGATAATCCATGTTTTGAAGAAAAGTTGTGACCACTAACTCGGTACAAATCCCAAATATACAGCCGGTGTAGCGGCTTCTCCTCGTTCAGATATTACCCAGATATCAAGAGTTACCAGAACTTTGATTTCAATGAAGATCACTGCCAATTACATCTTATCACGTTATACTCTACAAATAAAATTTTTAGACATTGAGGACGCTCAACTGGATCAAGTCAAGCATATTTTGCCCGGAATCTTGATGAATTAGATGCGACCTCTCTTAGAACTATTCAAGGCCACGATTACTGCTCACTGCTAGAATCTTTTTCTGATTCGTCAGTAGATTTGGCATGAATTTCGTAAGTACCTCTTTCGTGCAACTCACAAACATACTCTGTTTCTTTAAGAGCAAGCCACTTATCGTGAGGCATGGACCAGCCACATTTTTGGGTTACAAGGGCCGCAACGTCGTCACAGTAGCCCAGCAGCGACAGGTCGAACTCGGCATGTCTTACTGGATCTTTGTTGATGAGCACCTGGGGCACGTATGCGGGGATCATGTTGACAATTTCAGACACGGGCGCCACTTTCAAACTGGTGCCAATGCAAATGAGAAGATCACATTTCAAGACGTCGTCGCGAATGAAACGGTGAAATTTTGAAGGTAGCGCTTCGCCGAAAAAAGTGATGTCAGGCTTCAAAACACCATAGGACTTGAGTACGTTGCCAAACAGACTATTGAAATCCTCGCCTTCTCTTTCTTTCGAGCCAGGAACGTTTGTAGGAAAAAACTCTTGACGTTTCTTATAGCAATACGGACACAACGGCAGTTCAAGATTTCTTATGTTGCTGAAAATTCTCTCCCCCGGGAGCTTCCAATGACAAGTGACGCACGACGCGGTGGCAAAAGAACCGTGACATTGAACCATTTTCTCGGACTGTATGCCTGCATAGGACTCTAGATTATCAATATTTTGAGTGTAATTTCTCAAAAGCTTACTCTTGTCCTGAATCATGCGAATAAAACTGTGCAATGGGGAGTATATGTTTTCAGGCGGTAAAACCATATGCGCTATGTTGTAAAAAACGGATGGGTCTTGCATGAAGATCTCGTAGTTGAACACATCCTGTGGGTCATCGAGACCCAGATGTCTGATCTTGGAGTAGAAACCTTCAGACGACCGAAAATCCGGGATCCCTAAAGAAGTGGAAATACCGGCTCCTGTCAGAATGAGGACCTTTTTCGCAGTTTTTAGTTTTTCAACAAAATGGTCTAAAGAGTGGAAATTTGCCAAACGCATTCTAGTGCTCAGCACTTTGTTCATGGCTTTTTGTAAATCTTTTATTAAACGCACAGCGTGTTTTTTCTCCAGGGGATCATCAAAATAATCACTCTCATCGGGGTCCTGGCTTTTCTCCTTTCCGTTGGGCTGCTGAAACTCAGCAGATGACACCGTACCTTGCGGCAGAGTCTCGTTTTCAGAAACGGCTTGAACGGCTCCTAAAAGTTGTTTGTCCTTAATCTGGAAACCCAAAAGCTTTATGAGGTGGTAAATGTACAGCGAGTTGAGGTCTTCTGGCAGATGTGAGTCCAGAAACCGGCCTGAACCATGATATTTCAAATACGACCGTGCGGCCAATGACTCCTCTTTGCTGATGAAAGGGAACCTGTACTTGCCTGTCAGTGGATTACGAGTAATTTCGACCGCAGGTGCCGGGTCAGCCGGCATGTATTCGTTGAGTGCGTCTAGGATGTCTTTTGAGTCGCCAGCGTCTGTTTCTGGTGGCTCACGTTTGGACTCACCGGCCTGAGTTGGCACGTAATCATCGACCACGTCTTCCAATTCATCTGCTGGCGGTTCTTGGTCAAAAATCTCCTTTTCCTCGTCTTGAACCCGCGATTTCTTTGCTCCCTCATTTTGAACGCTAGAGACATCGTTGGAATTCGTGCTAACTTCCGACAGCGGCCTTTTCCCAACCGCTCCATCAAACGGACTGTCAAGACTCATTTGGATGGGATGACAGTAATTGAGAGCCTGAAACCAGCTTGGCTCGTAATAGTAGTAGTCTTTGGTGTGGTTTTTAGATGTAGCCTTTAGGTGATGAGCAGGGATTTAACTTGTTTAATCTTTGAAAAAAATTTGATTAAGTTCGTGTTTCGTGCAAAGTGAGTACATCACGTGTAGATGTGTGGGTGTAAGTCGAAAAGGTCAAAGTCGAACAAGATATATCCAATTCAACATCGATTTGATCAACCATTAGCCTAGGAGAGGGTACCAGCATGCCAGGCTTCAAGTTCCGGATAGTTTGCTTCACATCTGAGGCTCCATGCTGGTATTTTTTTTCTAGTTTTCCGGCCAGCGTCTCTCGTAGCTCCGTTCATCTGAACGCCGTCGGTCGTTCTCTTCTGTAGATCATCCATTTTGTTCCGACCTGAAAACGTCCCGTTTTCACAATGGCCTTTCTGTTCTCACGCTACGAGAAACTAACCATGATGTCCGCCCTTGAAATTATCCGACCCGTCGAGAGTATCTTCGGCAGCACCAGCCAGTGGGCCCACGCCAATTCTGGCCAGGGCTATCTCAGCACTCGTATTGTCTAAATTGATATCGTTGAGCGCAACGCCTGTTTTCTTACTGAGCTCTTTGACCCGCAAAATTAGCTCCACTTCTTCCCGGTTGCGCGCGTCCACTTGTGCCTGTAATCTTGTCATGTATTCCACCGCCTGGGTCAAAATCTGGCCCTTGTTCGGCTTACCGTCTTTGGTTCCTGTACCTTTGGGTTTACTACTGCTTCCAGAGCCTCCACCAGTGATCCCGCCACTACCGGGTGTGCTGTGGCCGTAATCAAGCTCCGCAATATCTTTAAAATCTTTAGAGTCCTTCCGACGATAGTATTCCTGAAACATATCCTCTGGTATTACTTGCAAAAGCGATTGCATCTTGTCATTTAGGTTATCCCTTCTTCGACGGTCATTTTCCGTCGTAAGACCAGCGGTTGAAGGCAGAGAAGACGCCTCAGATTCCGGACGTGGTACAGAGCTCATAATAAGCAAGGATAGACAGTCAATTGGAGCTTTTTTACACTACTTTCCCAGTTCTTTCGATGAGTCGATTAGTAGTAATGGCTTCAGATGTAGAAGTTAATTTTAGTTATTAATTGTCTATCTAAAAATGGTCAAAAATGTCAAAAACTTAAGAAACTCGGAAGCAGCTGTACCAAGGCCTTTATTTACTAGCTACCGGTTAAGAGACTGCTGTTTCCAAGCTATGTACCAAGTTTGAGCCAAATTTGAGAAAACCCTGGAGTTCGATCGCCAAAAAACCAAACAAGATGACAGTGCGGGCTCGAAAGAATAATCCGAAGAAGATCACCAAATACCTCTAGTTGAGCTGGTATTTCAACACGGAATCCTGCACAGTCGGCTCCTGCGACCCAAGATTTTCCAAGATCAATTGTTTGACGGCATCGGAGCTGACGATCTGAGAAACAGAACGACGCAACAATAACAGTGCTTCGAGAGTCGGGGCATCGAAGGATTGCTGAAAATACTCGAGCCAGTCAAAAGTTTCATTTTCAAGTTGGTCCAATGGTAGCGAGGAGAATTGGCGCTCCAAACCCTTCAATGCAAGCTTTTTCGTCAATTCGTCAATTTCAGTGGAAAACTTGATCTTCTCCAAAACACTTAAAACCATCGTGCCAACGGTGCTGTTAGTTGTACCATGGATATCGGCAAATTTGGCTAGTGCTCCCACACAGAGAGGAAGTTTCCCGCATCTCAGCTGATATTCGAATTCCAGGATAAAGTCCCTGGTGGTGTCTGTAGCTTCCTTTGCGAAATTTGCGTAAAAATTGTCGTAAAAGTCTTGCAATGGGGTTGTGGTTGAAATGAGGGTTTCACCCAAAATGTCATTGTCTTTCTCAACAGTCAAAGTCGTTTTCTTGTCCTCATCAATACGTTTTTTCAAAGCAGCAGCGTCTTTTTTAGCTTTTTTGGAGTTCTTTTTAGCCAAGGATGACTCCCCATCTTCATTTTCGTCATCTACAGACTTAACGTGCGAATCGTAAAGATCGAAATAAAGCTTGGCAGCGCCCTTGGTAGCCCTCACATACATTGGTAAAGTAAAGATGGACTTTCCCCAATGGTACATTTCCAAGTAAGCTCTGGGAACGCCCTTCCGCATACAGTAAGAGTGGAAATCCAACTGGTCGTCCTCAAACTGCTTAAAAAACTTGGCAATCGCAGTCCATCTTTTCAAAGCTAGACCGCCAAACTTTGAAGTCTCATACGCTAGAAGACGGATCTGGTTTGCACGCTCCAATTGAGCTTCCTCGTCAGTGCTCACATCGCTCTCTTTTAACTCGTTCAATTTCTGTTTTTCAGCCAAGTATAATCGGTAGTATGATTCTGCTTGTTCACCGACAAACCACGAAGCTTCCATTAGATGCAAATCCATAACTCCATTGACTGATCCATCGTTTTTTGTGAAAATGGACACAACTTCGACAGCTTTTTCGATAAGGTTTGCTCTCAAATAGTACTTCACTGTTTTGGTGTTGATAAATCTATCCTGCAAGTCCAGTTTTCTGCCTTCGTTTACCGTCTCAGCTGCATCTACAAGATGTCCAGCATGCTTCAAAACTCTTGCTTTCAAAATGTAAAGTTCCACCATGGTGGGCGTGTGGTCCAAAGCTGCATCAATGTACTCTTTGGCCTTTGCGAAGTCCTTCAAAAACATGAAATGCTGACACATGTAATAGTTGGCCCACACGAATGCGAGCGGAGACTGCTTATGATCGATATTTGCTAGGAACGTAAGCACAATTTTCCCCGCTAGTCTGGAAGTACGCTCGGTGTCTTTTCTATACAAGGGCTTGACGTTGTTGAAAGTGGCAGGAACACCACGTTCAATTTGAGGCAAAAGGTATTCACTTAGCTTTTGAGTGTATGTTTCTTCGTCCTTGATAAAAGTCAACGGGATGAATTTAGGTGGTTCAGCACGAGGATAGAACCTCTCAAGGTTACTGTATAAGATGCTGCGGCGTTGATCGTCATTCTGGACACCCAGGGCGATCTCTAGAAGCCTGTAGTAACGGAAATTGTCTGGATTTCTCTTTATCAAAGTCCGATAAACTTTTGAAGCATTCATTTTCTCATCAAGTTTCATGTATAGACTGGCACGCCTTTCGAGCCAAGCGTACTTGTCAAACACTTCCGGTTCGATTTCATCCAGATGTTTGAAGACACGCTGCAACTTATCTTTGTCATCTCCAGCAGCACGGAAAAGAAGATCGTTCTTGTACATGAGACACTCGTTATGCTCGTAAAGCTCAGCTTCGCCAAGCTTCCCCTTGGCTAGTTCTTCCAATTTTGAGAGCACATTGGAGGCCTCCTGTGGCTGGCCATTCAAGTCATGTGCGATAGCCAGCGACGTCCAATTGGCCCGGTATCCCATAAACTCTTCCCAATAGCTTTGACGAGCCCTTAGCAGATTTTTGTAGTCGTGTTCCTGCGCGTAGAGCGTTGCTAGATCACGATAAATCTGCTTGTTCTTCGATCCATTGTCTAGGGAAGATTGGAAAAACTTGGCAGCTTCGGAGTATCGTTTATTGTTTCTCATGTAAATTCCTAATATGTGAAGTCCAATAGGTGATGGCCCACCCACAGTACCTTTTGCAAGAGCTCTATTCACATAAGTTTCTGCCTCCTCTTTCTGGTCGGTGCAGTACAGGTTCAACGCCTTTAAAGCCAACGAATCCGTATGTTGCGAGTTTTTCTTCAAACTGGTCTCCACCAACTTCAACGATTTTTTGTAGTTTTTAGCCTCGTAGAGCTTTAAAGCCTCCAAAAGGTTAGCATCCTCCTTTGATCGTCCAATGGGCAAGCCATTGGGTCTGGCAACATTACCTACACGCCGCTTAGACATGTTTTTACAAGGCGATTGTGGGTGTCGATAATAGTCGGTACTAACTGTTCTTTGAGTCAAAAATCTCTTGAACTTTGAAAACTTATGACCCTTCGTTCGGAGTGACAGAATGTACACAGAGTTTTGGCTTCAAGCTGCTGTGGGAGCAGTGGTGGGAGTCAAGCGGAGCACTTAAAGGTAGTTTTCACGATCTTTTCGAGGTACTATTCATTCTTGACGTCGTGACCTTTGAAAGCGGCCGTCGTGCAGGCACTTTCATAGCCTGGTATCAGGACATAGTCGATTTCACATTGAGAAAGCTTAGTCCGACTGGTATTGTTCTGCACAAAGGTATCAGGCTCCATAACACCGACAAAAACAGTCCGGATGTTTTTATCCTGAGCCAAGATACGGTCCACACAAGGCAACTGGCCACTCAGACGCAGCGAACATGGTTCCATGGTTGTGTAAAGTGCGCTTCCGAGAGGAACCTTGGATTGTCCTGTGGCGTCAAAGTACTTGTCCAGCGCACATTGTTCTGCGTGTGTGTTGCCCGGAAGCTCCCTCGAATGCCCCACGGCCAAAACCTGACTTCCATTTACCAAAACAGCGCCAACGCTGAAAGCCGTCGTTGTGGGGCCGCATTTCTGCGCCTCCTGTATTGCTAGTTCCATATATTGACGATGTGGCTGCAAGGCCCAGTCAGGGAACTCGGTCTTGTAGGACCACAATCTAAGACCCTGGCTATCAAACTCGGTAGATTCGTAGCAGTAAGCATGTAACCAAAGGTCCAGATCGTTGGGACCTGGGTCCGTGTACAAGTCGGTTTCACACTCGGGACATTTTTCGTCCAAAAGAAGCTCACCTTGAGAATCCGGATGGTACCAACTTTCCGCACACTCAGTTTTGCCAATTTTGGAGAGCGCTTTTATGACACTGGAGTAATCGTCAATATGTCCTTTCCCCAAGGTGGGCCCCCAAACCTGCGGATTGGAATAAAGAGGATCATTAGCGATAGGGTGGCCCAAGTATTGCAAATGAACACGAATTTGGTGCGTCCTCCCGGTATGAGGTTGACACTTGACCAAACTGGTATGGCCATCGTAGCTAACTCGCGTGAATACAGTTTCGGCCTCCTTAGCACCTTCCTCGTCTGGGTTGCACACGGCATTGAGTGCAAGCCGGGGTTCGACACAACGGAGGGCTTTTGAAACGGTCAGACTTTCAACTGGAAACTCTCCAACAACACGAGCGATGTATTCTTTTTTAACCTCTCGAGCCTTCAACTGTGTCGCCATGCGGTCTGCTCCGGCGGGAGTCTTAGCCAAAAACATGAGTCCGCTAGTGAGCCGGTCTAGTCTATTGCATGGGTGTACTGCAATACCCATTTGACGTTGCAAAATTTTAGTAATTGTATTGAAGCGGTATCGGCCTGTTGGATGCACAGGAATACCGCTAGGCTTATCGATCACAAAGATGTCCTTGTCTTCGAAAACGATTTTCACCGGCCGGGACGTTACTGGCGGTTCGTGACGGTGAATATTGTGCATTATCAAATCTCCGTTGCGAACAATCGATTCCAAATTTGCCGGTTTGTCATTTAGCATGACAGATCCCTTGGCAATGGTCTTTCTGTAGTAGGATTCTTCACGGTCACGGAATTCGCTCACGAAAATATCAATGAGAGGCCTATCGCGCCACCGCATCTTGCAGAACGTCTTATATGTGAAATAATATGGCACGATTTTGCGCAATGGGCCTTCTATTTTGACCTCGTACTCGGGATCCACCTGTTTATTGCGTAAATGATTGGATTCCTGAACTTTAATTTTGAACCCAGCACTGTCCCGTAATTCGCCCATGCACGGTTTCTTCTTTTTTTTGAGCTCCACGGTTGCATTGGGCTCGCTGGACTCGTTCAAAACCCTAGTGGGTGAGTTGGATATCGAAAGACGTTTCTTTAAGTTTCTCGGCTCTCCAGAGTCGTGGGAATCTCCAAAATCACTCATTAAAATCCTGTATTGTTTCTTCAACTTATGCAATGACGGTGTCTGCCTTCGGAGCATGCGCAGAGCCGTTGCGTCTAGATCTTCAATCAACTTTCGAGAAGAGCTGCTGATGCTCATCGCCTATCGTGAAAATTGAGAAGTAGTTTGAAAGAATTCGTTAACGACGATCACAAAGATTGATTAGGTAATCTATGGAACCGATGATTACTATCACGTGCTTGAGAATTAGAATTGTTGGTCACGTGATCGTCTTCCATACTAGCCAGATAGCCAACATCAGTGCTACAGCTTTGATTTGGCGTCCATATAGTTCGTTCACGAGGCCCGAATAGCCCACTATAGTGTCAGTTGCTGATCCAACGAGTTTGGCGGTCCACTGCTGCGCCTGCGGTGCGTTTTGGGTTGGAAAAACGACAGGTTCGAATTCGATATGTGGCGCTACAAGTTCCAAGGCCACGGGTAGATGATCCGTAAACTGCAATGAAGCGTTGCGCTTGCGAGAGGTGTAGCTCAGAATCTTGGGAGTTTGTTGGTGGGATTGGAAAAGTACTCGATCACACCAGGAAGGTGTGCGGGTTAAATTGTAATGCTCGTCAGGGGACGTCAAAGAGAACTTGTAAGTTGGGCCAAAAGTAATGGGAGCTTCCGTGAAATTCGCAAAAACACGACCTGCTTTACGGCCCAGACTCAGTTCGTCGTGTTCAGCCACGGCTTGTTGCACTAAAGCCAAGTTTCGGAAATCTTCTGCGTTATCCGTCCATTTGCGGGATCGAAAATTGAAGTCACCACAAAGAAAGACGTGATGATTAGCAAAGGAACCCAGTTCACGCTGCAAAGCATCTACCACAGTGTGGTAGTCTTGCTCCCGCTTAAGAAGCTCGTTTTTGCCCTCGTTTGCAGCGAGATGTGCAGTCATGAACACGAACGAGTCACTTATGCCACAATCATTGAGTTGCAATGTTACTTGTACCGCTGCAGCACCTTTGAGACTCGAGTAGAGCACCCCACACTTAACAGACGCCTTCAAAACGCTCAAAACAGAGACATTGGTAGCGAGTATAACTACAAGGCCAATTGCCCCAGTGCTATGAAGGGCCGCCAATTTAAACCGGCGACCTCCGTTCTGTGCATTTAGAAGTTCCACAGCTTGTTTCCCCACTTTTTGTAGCGTTTTCTCCACAATTTCAACAAACGAGCCATGCCAGATGGGCGTAAGTTCCTGGAACCCTAAAACGTAGATATCATGCGATTTTTCAGCTGGAAGAAGCGTTGAAATAACTGCTTTCAACGCTATTGAATCATTAACTGGTAGTACCTTTCCACAGTTGAAGGTAGACACAAACAAACTGTACCTGTCTGACATTTGGTTTTTTCTCTTAAACTTTCTAGATCTTTAGACCCTAATTGACCGTAAGGTTCTTGAATATTCATTAGAAAGAATATACATCTAATACTATGAACTTTACATTAAAATCAATAATTATGGTTGTAGAATAAGAAATTGTCACTTTTAAGATGCTTTTTTGACTGGGCATCGTCCGCCAGTATAACCAAGGCCTGCTCCACTTTTTCCCGGAACGGCGATATGTCCTGAGCAACCGGTACCGACGTCACAGTGAATTTATTAACAGATTTGAGAATTTTACCAATGTGTAAACGGCTATTCCCATTCTCTGCAAGGGTGTCCAAAATGCGCCCTCTGTTATCAAAATTTTGAAAATCTTTCATTCCTGATTCGTTGCTTCTTTTCGTTCGGTTGCTCAATTACCATTCAACCATTCAAAAAATCCAAGAGATCCATCCTTTTCCCAGAAACATTGCCCTCATCCGAATTTTGGCTACTGCTAGCAGAGCCAGAGTCATTGCGGATCGTACGTAAGCCACGATCATCACTAGCATTTATTACCGATACCCGTCTTTGACCAGTAACTGGTTCCGAAACTAAACTGTGCAATGGAGACTGTGTGTTTTGGGTGTTTTCCGACAAGCGTGAAGAACTGTGTCGTGCCTTACTGAGATGTGCGTGTGGAAGAGGCGCAACGTCTGATGGTTCTTCTGGATCAGACCTGGATCTCGCCATATCGTAGTCCGGCTTGAAAAATGACTCGCCGCTCACTTGAGTCTTTTTTTCCGATAAGTTTTGCAGTGCCACACCCATACCTGGGATATCACAACCCCAGTCACGCTGACTGGTGCGTAGATCATAGTCGAGCTGATCCAGATCCACGCCGTTGAGCATGGGTAAAAAATGCACAATTCGCCATTTGAGTGGAATGCGAACATACCCCTGGTTCTCGTATAATTCTTCCCCTGTGGAACTAGAGACATAAGAGTCTCGCCTGCTGTTGTCTACGTCCAGTACTTCTTTGAAGGCCTCAGCACAGCTGAGTTTTGAGCTGTGTGTGAGGTGAGTATTTTTTTGGTTGCCCAGATAGTAATCGTCCCAATACGCCGCATCATTGCACCTGTCTTCAAAATCAAAATGTTTTCGCCAACAACCCTTGGCGAAACGGTAGCAGAACCAAGCAATCCTCTTCCATCTCTGAGGTTTGTTTCGCCAACATTCCAGCTTGGACCACCTGCCTCTATAGTACCAGCCCTTCTTGCCCATTTCGCAGTTGCACATTTCGCGAATGGGCTTTTCACCTATCTCACCCTTAAAAGCATAGGTACCGTAGAGCTCCTTTGTAGTGATAGATGCCCAAGAATGCCTCCAAGGCCGTTCCCGGTATAAAAACACTAAAACGTCGACGAAACAGCTGAGTGGCTGCATAAAAGTTGCGATATACTCGAGCCATATCACCGGACCGTGTATAATTTCGTAGTTATACTGAATAACGTCCACGGCGAAAGGGAAACTCCAAATCACGACGTAGGAGAACGGATAAATGAAGATAGACCTTAGCTGTCTCTGGATTTGAGCCCGTCTTTTCTTAAACTCTTGATACGTTTCAGATTGGAAATTGTGTTGAAGTCCTAAAACATGATCCGACCCGCCGACAGCAAAGTTAGAAGCTTTCTGACCCGATTGAAATTGACTTTTTTCTTCAAGCGGGCTGTTTTTGAGAGGAAGAGTTGGCAACATTTCGTTTCCTGAGCTCGCTAGTTCGGGGAGTGATGGAGAGCCCGCGTCGCTACCCGAAGCATCGTCTTTAGGCAATGAGGATTTGGTATCACGCTTGTTAGAATTTACTGAATTTTTTGAGCGATTCTTATTCAAGTGACGACTCTTCGAGATGGGTGAATTTCCGGTACTTGGCGCATGGGAAAAGTAGTCTTGCGCCCTTCCTTGCTCCATGCTGCTACCATTTGCAGTCGGTTTTGAAATCTTACCACGACACATGGGCGTGCGGGGGCTCGTATTTGAAAAATGGGAGTTCCGTTTCTTGAAGTGATAGGAGAAGGAGTTGGAGCCGCCCGCTGATAGTTTTGACTTCGGTATCTTGGTTGAAGTCCTTCGTGTCTGAGAAGGACTTGCTTGCAACACACCCTGATTACTTAAAACTTGAGCAAGGGGTCCTACCTGCCCATCTTCACTTAGTTTTTGAGCATCTTCTTCCTGGTCCTCGTCAAAAGAAAAGAAGAAGAAATTGTGAAGAGTTCGATAAAATCTTCTTAAGCCTGTTTTTTTGCAGAAGTATTTGAGGTATATGCGAAACTTTTGCCCTGCGCTCAAAAATTTCCCTCTATAATGGAGAATGCGATGGATATCCACGCTATCGTTGTGTCTGAACGAGCCGATCTGGTTTTTGATCTTGCGATTTTCTCTTGAAACAAAAATGTAGATGCTGATGTATATCGTGAAAATAAGCACAATAATGAAATAGCGTGGGCCCCAACTCAACACGATACGATACCACAGAGGGTGTGGTGGTAAGTAGCACCATGCACTCATCGCTTTGTAACCACCCTCTCTAGCCTGGTAAGGGAAATCGTAATTGTTATTGTTCAGAATAACGCGGTCGTTCAAATTCACAGGTATAAATGTATTGAAGCCCACAAAGGCAAGACTTGCAAGTATTGTTGGGAGCATAAATGTTGCAGGATATAGGTACCTTCGTACGCGGAACAAACCGCCCTCCATATTCTCACTTGCGTTGTTCTGCCATTTCCAAGAGGGCATGAAAATGAGGAGAGCAAAATGAATGGCGAAGATAGCTATTGCAAAGTCAGCACCTTCGATGGTAAAAGCAGTCATCCATCCGAGCGTGTTGTAAAACGCAGGATACCCGTAAACTTGGTTACGGATCAAAATTGCGACGGGATATATCAAGAGCACCAGTGCCTTGAGAAAGTCACAAGAGATGAGAAATAAAATCAATTGATGCCGAAATACCTTCCGTCGCCGATCGATGCATAAAACGCAGTACAATCCGGCAAAACCAGCCAAAATCGACATTGATGATGACGTAATTGCTATCCCGCGCAGTCGGAGTAGCTGTCCACGATCATAAGTCGAGAACATCCCTGGAAGGCCCAGCAACTGATTGACTGTCGTCGTATTCCATGTACGATTTAAATGAACCGGCTCGATGACATGGCCGCCGGCAAAAAATGTTGTGTTTGGCAAAGACATCTCAAATCCAGAGTGACAACCGTCTAGTCAGCAGATTCCAACTGGTCGGTTGAAGCCTTTTGGTTTCCACTACTCTTGAAGCTGAAACTTTATGGTAGTGAAAAGGCTTTATTCGTAAGCACTTTATGAGGAAATGGATTAGGCGAAATTTGACCAAAGTGGAGCTCAGCAAAAAATATGATGGTATTTGGATAGGCCATAAACACTTGAAACTGGTCCCCAATCCTGTCCCAAAGTCCTGAGTGGTCTACTTGCGGATGCTTCTGTCGATAGGCTGCTGGTGATGTTGAAATTGTCAAATTATAGCTACCCTTGAGCACCCGTTAAAGATTACTGAGCACTTTGTACGACATATATTGTAGGTAGGATGGCGGAAAGGTAGGAGAATAGGCGTTCTCTTGTATGTGTATCTCGTCATTGCTTCTTAAGAAGGGTTGTTAGTTCTTTGCTGTAAGCTTTTAGCTTTCGTTCGTAAAAATTCGAGAGTATTTGTTGCCTAAGTTGAGAAACCTTGAAATTTTCGGATTTTTGAGCTACCAAAACGCTCTCTTGTGAGTTCGGTAATCGAGCCAGTAGTTGGATTGTTAGCGTCTTTTAATCTTGGTATCTCTGCTCGTTTTTCAGTCGGTTATGCCTTGCGTGACGTATTCTTCACCAGGCTTTATAGTAACAATGATTGGTGCAAAGTGACCAGATTAGAGCTTACTTCACACAACCATAGAGACTGCAGAACTGAGTCAAGTCTTTAAATATGTTTCTTGCCTCTTGCGTATTCCAGTTTCAATGTATAGAGGTTTGCAAATCGTGGAGGGCATCTTGTAGAACATTTAGGAGAGTGTCTTTGATTCTGAGTTGCTCGTTATCGAGATCGTGAGCGTAACCCAAGATCCCAAGGATAGACGTTACGCGTTTCACGTTGGAATCAGTGGCTTCCCGCTGCTCCTTTTGACGTGCCAAAGCCAGGTGTTCGTGTTCGACCGCAATGTGCTCCTGTTGCAGAGCCAATTGTTTATCGCGGAAGTCTTCATTCGCAACCCGCACAGCGGCTGCAATGTCGATTCTCCGCTTGGTTGGGTTAATGGCATCTGCTCCAATGCGACTGAGATCTGCTAATTCAGGTTCCACACTTGCGAGGCTGGAATCAATTGTATCGCCAATCATGTCGCTGACGCTACGTTTGGCACGCTGTCCTTCGAACTTCTGCAACAAAGTTTTGCGCTCCTCGGCTTCGTATTTCAGTTTTGTCACTTTTTCCAGAATAGAATCGACCCTTGGAACCCCAGTGAGAACAAACGGTTTTTTGATGTCACCAATGAAGAGACGCGAATGGGCCTGTTCTAGCAGGTATTTGAAACGCGTCTTGCACTGTAATTCGGTGGGGACTATCTGCGATGGAAAGTCCAAGGATCTCAAGACGTCGTACCACACACAACCCCATTTTAGCGAAATGAAACTGCTTTGTTCCAGCTTCCGTAAAGAAGGGTCATTGCAGTTTTCAAACCCGTAAAAGGGCCCAATTTCGTAACAATACTTCAGAAGATTGTAAGTTGAAGCTGTGCTCCATTTGAACTTATATTTTTTATCATTGTCCGCTGATTTATAGTCCATTTCTTCCATCAATTCATTGATGGCTGCATTTATTTGCAATTGAGCAGTCTTAAGGTCTCTTATCGTGTTCAAGTGTTGAAGAAGAATCTGCTGATCCCAAAATCGCACGGATGGTTCCAAATCTGCATCACCTACTTCGGGGTCGATTTTTGCCATTGGGTCCACATTTCCCACATCTGCGACTTCTGAAATACCCACTACAGCAGGATCTGTTCTGCTCTCGACGTCGCTTTCTTTACCTAGTTGATTCATCCTAACTGGTGCGTTCGAATCCACTTGATCTTTGCCTAAATCCTAACCGTTTGGTTGTTGCGACTGTAGGTTTTGAGTCGAAAAACAAGTGGACGTCTGTTGTTTTTCCTAGTCCTTTATATACGATTGAATTCATCGATTGAGCAGAAGCTCGAGTAGATGTTCGACTGAAGCATATAATAGAGAGTCAAGTAGACAACCGGGAAGAGGACGTTTGCTCGCACTAGTAAGACACTTGGCAGACGAGTAAGCCATAAGGATTGAGGTTGGTGAAGTTGGTATTTGTTGAAAGTCATGTTCAATCTGTGGATTTTGAAGGTGTTTCTTGTCGAGTGCGATGCTATTACTTCTTAGCGTGTGCTGGACCCTGACTGCATGGAGAATGGAATTGGTAGCTTGAGAGGAGTCGTAAGGGCACTTTGGGGCTCAGTTTCGCCCTTAGACATTTACTTCATACGTATCATTCACTTATTTATCGTTCATCACATCAGATGCGGCCTTTACTACCTTTTCGTGAAGCTCTGCAGGACCACTGGATGCAATGACACCCTTGGACAACAAAGTTCTACCCTTTGAAAAGTCCAGAGGCTCGTTTTTGAAGCTTTCAGTGTGCATACCACCCGCTTCGTGCACCAGCACGTTGCCTGCTGCATGGTCCCAGATTTTTTCCTGGTAAGACAACTTCAAGGGCAATCTGAGGTAAACGTCACCGAGTCCCAAAGCTAACAAACAGTATTTTACCTGAGAGTCTAAATGCAGCGATTGAGAGATACCAAGTGCCTCCTTGACCTGCGATTGCTCTGAGTGAGCAGAGTGACCCTTCTCAACACCCTCTAAAGAGACCATAGGGTTGGTGGAGGCCAGCGTGCGGCAATGCACGGGAGCCCAGTCAAATTCTGCCAAGGTAGGCGAAAAGAATGCACCTTGGCCTCTAACGGCACGGAAAATGTATCCCAATTCCTGTGCTAGACCAGCGTTTGCGTCCTTTCCACCCCATTGAGAAAGCTGTAAATTAGGGCATCCAATACATCCAAGCTGTACAACGCCATCCACGATCAGAGCAAGACACACCGCGTACTGTTCACCACGCAAAAATCCCTTTGTGCCGTCAATGGGGTCCAGGCACCAGAACCTGGATTTTGAACCTCCTTCAAAGTCACCTAAATCTATCACCTTGCGAACGTCATCGAGTGAGTCCAATGGAAATTGCGAGCTTGTGAACTGAAATTGACTTAGTGGGGAGCCTGAAGCACCAAATTTGTTTTTGTATTGCACATCGGTGGCCTGGATTTCTCTCAAGATTTTAGTGACGAATTCGCTGGTCAATCCTTTGGACTCTTCTTCTCCTACAATCTTGTCGTTAGGAAAGTTTGCTTTGATTGCATTGATGATAATAGCCTGAGCTGCGTAATCACCCACTGTTACGGGCGAGGTGTCCTCTTTCGTGATTGTGCTGTCCTTACTGGCGATGACCTGAGCTTGGATGCGTTTGGTCAATAAAGACGTCTTTCTCAATGCCTGAGTGGCTACAAAAAGCTCTTTTTCGAACGGCATTACTCAATTGCTAGCAGAAGGTCTGGAAATTCGTAAAGGGCCAAACAGAGAGTCAATTGGTTCATAAAAGTTTCGTCAAGTTTTCTACTTTGACTAGTTCAGGTGATATTATTCAAATTACGAGAGTTATCACATCATAGGTGAATAAACGATATCATGTGAGGGCAGTTGATCTGGCCAAAAACAAAGATAATATCTATAACTGCATTGAAATCTCAACGAATATGAAGCATAAAGAGAACGATTGGAGCGATTTCCATCGATGTTGGTTTCCACTGTTTCCCATAACGATCCCGTATGTTTCGCGTATTTTCGTTGATAGTGATATTTGAAGGATCAAGAGGTTTAAGCATCTTTTAGGCACTGTTGATGATTGGAATACTAACAGTTTATATATAGGAGCATACCACACTTCAACCATTTGCATTCCTTATGTTATAGATTGTTTCGCGTTTATGAACTACACAGTGTCAGATAGTAGATTGGAGTTCTATCACTCTGTACTATAATGTCACGACGACAGGTAAGTAATCACCAGTAGCGACATTTGATAGTGGATTACAAGTAAGTGGTCTTGATCTTCTACATCTCATTCTTGCCTATCTTGACGGTGTTATATTGTCCGTATGCTATTTGCTTACTCCCACAATTCTATGCTCGTGACTTTCAACTGCAGCCCGTTTGGTTCGGTGCTGTGCTCTTCTGTACTTACTACCCAAATTCTACATGCCTTTGATAACTCCGCTCCCCAGTATTCTTTCCTTGTGATAAATGGTGCAGTACTGACCAGCAGCCATTGCCCTTTGCGGCTCGCTAAGCTTGACGTTAAAAACCCCATCTGTAGCTGAGATTGCGGTGACCAAAATCGGGTCCTGGAGAGATCGATACTGTATGTATACTTCCTGGTTTTCCACATGTTTCGTAAGAACGGAATGAACGTTGTCAGGATCACCCAGAGGTTCGAAATTTGTGACCATTAATTGGTCAGAGAATAGCATTGGGTTATCACGCCTGCGACATATTACAATTTCATTTGTGTCTTGCAGTTTTTGCGCTACAAACCAGGCGCCTGAGTAGCGGGGATCGCCTTGTGGCATCGATAAGCCGATTTTTTGCCCTATGGTGTAGTTCCAGAGCCCTGTGTGTTGGCCCCATATTATCTTGGAGCTATTAGCCTCGTCTCGTGTAATTACGTCGCCAGACTGCGTCGGTAGATACTGTTGCAGAAAGCTCTTAAACTTGTTATGCTGGGAGTTTGCGACAAAACAGATCCCTTGCGAATCACGCTTATGAGCAGTAGGCAGCTGCAGCTCACTGGCCATCTGTCGTACCTCTGGCTTTGTAAGTACTCCCATTGGAAAACAGAGATTTGGTAGTGCCGTAGATGGGATCTGCGATAGATAGTAACTTTGGTCTTTTGCCCTATGGAAGGCCCGTAATAAATGAATTTCCCCGGATAAAAGTGAAGGGAGTGCTTGTGCGTAGTGGCCGGTTACCAGCCAATAATTATTATTTCCTAGCTTTGAATCTAGATGTGCTTTGAGCTTGCCAAATTTGATGAACTTGTTGCACCCCACATCTGGATTCGGTGTGAACCCTTGCTGATATCCTTGCAGCATAGGTTCAAACACATCCTGCCAGTAATCTTGCTCAAAATTGACACGATCTACCGGCAACCCCAGATGTTTGCCGACCTTTTCGACATCCTTCCAATCCCGTTCGTGACAGGCCTCTTTTCCTGGACCAACGGTGTCGTCAGCTGCAGACCAATTTTGCATGTAAATACCTTGTGCTTTAGGAAATCCAGCAAATAATGCAGCTGCAACAGAGGAGTCCACTCCTGAGGACATAGCCACTACGATGTTGTCAAATTTACCTGGAACCCTCAAAGACCCATACCCCGGTAAATGCCTCGAATTAAGCCCTGAAAGTTTCAGAAACTGTGCAAGACATTTAGTTCTATCCATCTAAGTATCCCGTTGGATCTAATTCCACTTCTAGGTGCTTCTTATGGGATCTTAAAGGATGTGATTTTTGAGCTTCTCACTACTGACATTTTAACCGGTTCTTTACTGTAATGAAAATATTGAAAAATTTCAAAGCGATGAGATGAGATGAGCTATGCGATGAGCTATTTAAACTCAACTAAAGCACTACAAAGAAAGCTTTTTGAGACGTAATACAGTGTAAAATCAAACTCTGCGACTGCATATTACTTAGTGTGCAAATAATGGCTAAACTCACGTCCAAAAGACCTAGAGAAGAGGAAGTTTTGTCCGATGATGAAGGTGTTGTAGACATCGCAAGCAACATTGCACTTGATGGAGACGAGAGTAGCTCCAGCGATGAAGACAGTGACAATGGAGAAGAGAATGAAATTCGGGATATCATAGAATCTAGTGATGACGAGAAGGATGAGAAAGAGCGTACCTCGTCGAAGCAGAAAAAAAGCACGGACGGGAAAAAACCTAAGTCGGTTTTAGCCTTCCCAACTTTGGAACTATCAGATGATGAAGATGCTACAAGGACAGAAGGAGCTCAGGATGCTGCTGATGAGGTCACTGAGTATTTTTCAACCAACAGCAACGCCAACGCCAAACACAAAAAAGGTTCCTTCGCCAGTTTTGGACTATCAAAGTCTATTTTGTCGAATATCGGCAAAAAAGGATTCCGCCAACCTACTCCAATTCAGCGTAAAACCATCCCGCTGATTTTACAGAGGCGTGATATTGTGGGTATGGCAAGAACAGGATCTGGTAAAACTGCCGCGTTCGTGCTCCCCATGATTGAAAGACTCAAGTGTCACTCTGCTAAGATTGGTGCCCGTGCCGTCATTCTTTCGCCTTCGAGAGAATTAGCATTGCAAACCCATAAGGTGTTTCGTGAGTTTGCGAGGGGTTCGGATCTTCGTGGTGTTCTGATAACTGGTGGTGAGTCGTTAGAAGATCAATTTTCCGCAATGATGTCCAATCCAGATGTTCTCATAACCACTCCTGGCCGTTTTTTGCATTTGAAGGTGGAAATGAATCTCGATTTGAAATCCATGGAGTACGTTGTGTTCGATGAAGCTGATAGATTATTCGAAATGGGTTTCGAGGAACAGCTCAACGAGCTATTGGCAGCTTTCCCTTCCAACAGACAGACATTATTATTTTCGGCTACACTGCCCGCTTCTCTAGTTGACTTCGCCAAAGCGGGGCTTACGAATCCCGTTCTAGTGAGACTAGATGCTGAGACTAAAGTGTCTGAGAATTTAGAAATGCTGTATTTGACATCCAAGAATGAGGAGAGGGAAGCAAACTTGCTGTTTCTACTGCAAGAAGTCATGGAAATTCCGGTTGCCACGGAGGAACAACTACTTGAATTTCGCGAGAAAACGAAAGAGGATGATGACAGCGATGATAGTGACGCTGCTGAGAATAGCAGGGATAAACGCAGCAAAAAGAAACATAAATCTGGGCCGCGGAAAAGGCTACCGGCAGCAAACGAATTACCTTCAGAAAAAGCTACCATTGTTTTCGCTCCAACAAAGCATCATGTTGAGTACATCTCACAGCTGCTAAAGAACTGCGGGTATCTTGTTTCTTACTTATACGGAACACTTGATCAGCATGCTCGTCGCCAGCAGCTTTTCAACTTCAGATCTGGCTTGACAACAATTCTGGTAGTGACAGATGTGGCAGCTAGAGGTGTTGATATTCCTATGTTGGCCAATGTAGTGAATTATTCGCTGCCTGGTTCCTCCAAGATTTTCGTGCATAGAGTTGGTAGAACAGCAAGAGCCGGTAACAAAGGTTCTGCTTACTCTATCGTTTCTGATAACGAGCTACCATATCTCTTGGATCTAGAACTGTTTTTGGGGAGAAAAATTTTGTTGACGTCGATGTTTGAAGCCACCACCCAGATGCTGAAATCCAAGTGGATCAGTGAAGGCAACTCAGAATTGACTTTCAAGCCACCGAAAGTTTCATACACTAATCGGATGGTGCTAGGTAGCTGTCCGAGACTTGAACTCGAAACTTGTGGGGATCTATTCAAGAATCTTTTGCAATCGAGCTTTGATTTGCAGCAACTCAAGGCTGTTGCTGCTAAGGCTGAGAAGCTTTATTTCAGGACACGGCCGCCTGCGTCCCAAGAATCAATGAAGCGTTCCAAAGAAGTTGCGTCAAGTGGGTGGGATGAGCAGAATCTCAAGTTTGGCAAAAATGTCGAAAAGGAAAAGCTCGATTTCCTAGCTAAACTTCAGAACCGTAATCACAAGGATACTGTATTTGAATTTGCTCGTAATCACGACGACGAAATGGCAATGCTCATGAAGAAAAGACGGAGACAAATAGCACCAATCCAGCGCAGGGCTCGTGAAAGGAAAGAGCTTCTAGAGAAAGAAAGAATGGCAGGCTTAAGGCACACGGTAGAGGATGAAATCTTGAAGGGCGACAGTAACGAAGTTGGTTACTCTGTACCCGAGGAAGTTTTGAATCGCGCATTTGAAGACGCCGATGAGGTCTTAGAGAGCCAGAAACCAAACAAGAAATCAAAAACCTACAAGGACCCCGCTTTCTTCCTATCGCATTACGCACCAGCACATGAGGTTCAAGACAAACAGTTGCAATTGACGACAGGGTTTACGAACGATGCCGCCAACGCTACTTTTGACCTGCACAACGACGACAAGGTGCAGAACCATAAACAAGTGCCCACTGTCAAATGGGACAAAAAGCGCAAGAAGTATGTGAACTCCCAGGGCTTGGACAACAAAAAATACATCATGGGCGAGAGTGGCCACAAGATACCTGCCTCGTTCCGGTCAGGAAAGTTCGACGAGTGGTCCAAGGCACGCAAACTCGGGCCTATCAAGGTAGGTGCTCGAGAATCAAGTACCACCTCGAAACTGCTCAACGACCCTACGGGACCTGGTGGATCGCAGAGAACTGTTGGTGGAAAATTCAAGCACAAACAGGTCAAAGCTCCTAAACTTCCCGACAAGCACAGGGATGACTACCACACTCAGAAAAAGAAGGTTGAAAAGGCCATTGGCAGCGGTATTTCTGTCAAGGGCTTCAACAAGCCGGGTTCTACGAGCGAGTTGAAGACTCCACAGCAAATCTACAAGGAAAGAGTCGCAAAGGAAAACCGCAAGGCCAAGAACGCTCGTCCTTCCAAGAAACGCAAGTACTGAAAGAAACTACGCCTACAAAGTTTTGCAAGTGCTTTAAATACAATTAGATACTTGAATACAGACTCCTGTCAACAATAGCTGGCTATCATGGTATCGAAGCTTGATGATGGACTCTGAGCGATCACTTTTTCCTTGTATGTCGTCCTGGATGGTTAAGCATTCAATATTTCATACTATTGAACTAAATCTCTAGGCCAACATCTCAGATCAAGAAAGCCTTACAGGACAACACATATGGTGGCTTATGAGAATGCTAGACAGAATTTGGAAGAGCTGGAGTTGATCGAGAATGCTATAAGTGCTCGTTTCAAGCGAAACCCGGAGCTATTCTATAGAAATGTAGATCAATGGAAAGCGATGAGCCTGGAATGGGAACATCCCGATGAGCCGCAACAAAGCAGGTCTGAAAACAAAATTTATATGACAAAGAAGCCCAAACGCAGCAGGAAACAAATAGTCGCTCAGGAACATGAAATCGCTTTGTTTTTGGATGCATATCGCAAAAATTGCGACGAATTGTTAAATCTCGAATTTGAAGATGCAAGAAAATATCAAGTTTCTGACGGTTCTATAGACGTTCTGTTGCGTGAAATTGAGGCAATTGGAGATGGTTCTGATGGCAGCAAGGATCATAATGACAATGGAGACTATTCTGCCGATATATACGCAATGTTTTCGAATTCGACGTCTTCTGCGCCAGATATAAGGTCAAGAAAAGCGCAAGATGTGGACGTGATGGCTATTTTTGCAAAGGATGAACAATACGGAGAGGTTTTGGATCTGACCACATTCCATCAGCAGTGGCTGGGCGTGGTTAAGAGGGGCGACGTCACTTTTTTGCAGTTTTTAACACAGATGGAAAAGTTCCAAACCAAAGAGTTTTTGACGAATTCAGGAACAAACCGTAACAGCGGAGCTTACCGGGACTTTGTTTCACTGCTCTGTAGCTATATCGACGGGCTCGCTCGGCGTGCATACCCGATCTTGGATTGGAAAAGTGTGGACACAAACGTGGCGACAGAATTTCGAAGCTACCTAGAAACTCCGGTAATCGACGAGCAAACACTGGTCTACTACTGTATTGCATGCGATAAGCACTTCAAAGTCCAGACTGTTTACTTGGCACATCTCTCGGGTAAGAAACACGCTGGAAACCTGCGTAAAAACGAACTATTTTTGGCCCAGGAGCATAAACTGCACAAGTTCTGTCAATTTTTAGCGCCGGAGCTATCACACACGCGAGAATTTGTCGAGAGAAAGCTGGGGTTTACGTCAGTCGAGCGTGAAGCTGAGCTCGAAAGGATCACGGCCAACTATGAGGCACCTATCTACACCGTGTCTGAGCCCGAAGACCACATTCCAGAAGGGACAACTTCAGAAACACCAAGTAATTTGGACAACGCCCCAGATTTGCCTCTTGGGCCTGATGGATTTCCGATTCCGTATTGGCTCTATAAGCTACAAGGGCTGGACATTGAGTATCGATGCGAGGTGTGCGGAAATTATGTTTACAAAGGACGTCGCCAGTTCGAAAAGCACTTTACAGAGCCCCGGCACACCTTGGGTCTTCGCAAACTGGGCGTAGAACCCTCTGCTACGTTCCAAGGTCTTACAACAATTGCGGATGTGCAAAAATTGGCTTCCAGCTTACAATCGAGGGCAACCAGTACAATGGCTCGTTCAAAAGCCACCAAGATGGATGTGGAAGTGGAAGATCAAGATGGTAATGTTATGACACAACAGATGTATGAAGAACTGGAGAAACAAGGTTTATTGTAACTGTGCTTTGCTGTGGTGTGGTGTGGTGTGTGGGTTTAAATTTACACATGTATCAAACGCATGTGACCTCGAACTTTTCAAAAATCACACGTGACCATTGTGTGGTCGCCATGTGAAAGTCACACGCCCCGAAAAATTTCAAATGAAAATTAAGACTACTTGAACAATCATCAACATCATCACTAACATCATCGAGCCATCTTAGTTAACCACTTTTAAAAGTTATTCACATCCCTGCTTCAAGCCCACTGTGAAGCTAGAAGTAATACACAATGGTCTCTAAAAAGAGCAAAAGGAGTAACGGCAACCTCAAGAAGGCAGCAGCAGAGATCAGTACGGTTTCCGGAGATCAAGATGGGTCCAAAAACGACCTAAAACAAACCAAAACTGATTCCAAGACCGCAAACGAATCGAAAAGGTACAATTTCTTGGTACGTACGGTGTGGACTTTTATTATGATCAGTGGTTTTTTCATAACGTTGGCTTCAGGCCATTTTTGGTGTGTACTTCTGATCCTGGCTTGCCAAATCGCGGCTTTCAAAGAGTGCATCCGGGTCACATCGATTTCAGGCCGTGAGAAAAACCTGCCGTTCACACGTACGCTAAACTGGTACTTTCTGTTCACAACTATCTACTATCTGGATGGCAGGTCATTGTTCAAGTTCTTCCAGTACTATTTCATACACTACCGGGCGCTCAACTTGGTGGCCATGAACCATCTGTTCATTTGCTACTGTTTGTACGTTCTGGGATTTGTGTTTTTCGTATTCAGTTTGCGTAAGGGCCATCTGAAGCTGCAGTTTGGATCATTGTGTGTAACACACATGGTATTGCTGTTGGTCGTTTTCCAGGCCCATCTGGTGATTAACAATGTGCTAAACGGTCTTATCTGGTTCTTGTTGCCTTGCGGATTGGTTATCGTTAACGACATTTTTGCGTACTTGTGTGGAATCACGTTTGGACGTACCAAATTGATTGAAATCTCACCCAAGAAAACGCTGGAAGGGTTCTTGGGTGCGTGGTTTTTCACCGCCATAGCCAGTGTCATTCTCACACGGTTGCTCACACCATTCACATATATGACCTGTCCTGTCAAAGACATCAATACCAATTTCTTCACCCCGCTAACGTGCGACTTGAATCCCGTTTTCCTTCCCCAGAACTACAGGCTGCCGCCCATTCTGTTTGAAAAATTTGGTATCAGTAGCGTCACCATCAAGCCTATCTATTTGCACGCATTAAACCTCGCTACTTTTGCATCCTTGTTCGCACCCTTCGGTGGCTTCTTTGCGTCGGGTCTCAAGAGAACTTTCAAAGTTAAAGATTTCGGCCAGTCCATTCCTGGCCATGGTGGTATTACCGATAGAGTCGATTGTCAGTTCCTCATGGGCTCATTCATGAATTTATACTATGAGACCTTCATTAGTGAGAAAAGAATTACCGTTGACACCGTGATTTCCACTATCCTACTCAATTTCAATGAAAAACAGATTGTTCAGCTCATCAAGATCTTGAATGAAGTTCTATACAGCAATGGATTTCTCAGTGATAAAGCTTACGGTCAATTATCGGAATTGTATAATATTTAACTGTCTAATATGACAAAAATCGGACATTGACCGAAACACTATCGAACCAAAGGTATTAAGACGCTCAGTAATTAGTAGCCTGGTAGCTAAGCACTTTCCATTTTTACAGATCCGTCATCCGTAACCGAGGTCAGTTCAGTTTCTCTAGAAATCAGCAAATGGACACCAAAGCAGTAGATGACTTCAACAACAAACTCCATTACCACGAACATGCTCAATGAGGTTCTCCAGTCTCCATTGAAAAAGCTAAACTTGTGGTAGGCGCTCATATTGGTGGTCAAGACGAAGGAAGAAGCAATGACATAGATGAACCGAACTAAAAAAAACGGCATTGCCAGTAAGACAATGAACACTCCTGTAGATTCGATTCGAGTCGCACTATTGCGCACTTGGAGGTACATTACCAAACCGCTTGCAACAAACGCCAAATACAGTGCGAGGTAAAGAATTGACGAAGCTTTCACAAGAGCGATACCTGTAGTCATGGAAGACCCTCCATTGGCCCAATCATTGTATCCAACAATGGCGATGATAGCAGGTACAATCACAGTAATTCTGATAAATTTTTGGAAACGTTGTGGCAAATCGCCTGTTGGGCAAAATGCCCGTGTCAGCAAAATCAACGGTGCTGTTGCGAGCGATGTCAAAATCGCTCCTGTGGTGACAAGACTAACCGAGGGGTATTTTGTTGCGCCCTGGCTGTTGATTGCGTTGACAGTTTGAATGGCTGCATGGACACTCACGGCGCAACCACTGATCTTGAGAGCAGAAATTGAACAAAGTATAGCTCCCTTGCTCAACTGACGTCTTCTCAACAATGCCCCCACAGAAGCCACTAAAAGGATGCTGTAAAAGACGAGTTCCACCACTAGCACGGTGTGTTGTTTATTGTCCCAGAAAGTAGTCTTGGTAGTCATTTTTGAATATCAGTCGCTGTGATGTATGTTATTAAGTTGTTGTATGTTACTAAGTTGTTTGCTTGGACAAGATAGACTATTGAAAACAATATAATACTGCTTCCCACCAAGACTCAACTCCCATTCTTATACTTTTCCAGATTATAGTTGCTGCTGTCGAGATGCTTTCAGTCTTGTTTCTTGGTCCAATGGCAGCCTGTTCTACCGCTACTGGAACTCATACCTGCGCCTATCTCCTGACTTAATTTCAACGCTTTCTCAGCCGCGGACTGCTTGGAACCTTGTCCTGTGGTGGTTGCAGCATGCACGTACCAAGGCTTTTCAAATTATCTGAGCGCCAAGCCTTTTCTCTCTTTTTCTTTCTCGACTTGTTTCTTCGCATAACCTTTGCAATTACCGGGGTCTTGAGAAATTGAACGGCACGGCAAAGGTCCAAGAGGGTCCTGCAGTAGTTTCTGTTTGTTTTCGTAACAGTCCAAGGCCTGATCAGCGTGGGTTGCAATACCCGAATGGATATGCTACAAAGGCTCCTGCAGAGTGTAACTAAAATGCGGAATATCGGTAGGTGCATTTGTTGGCTTTTGATTGGTTACAATGCATCCGTTAAGCCTTGGCAAGGCTTGGCCAGCATTCGCGAGCGCGCGCCAGCGCTCGTAAGCCTCTCTAAAGCGACAGAGGATAAGCCTCGAGAGAGGCTTGGCGTGTGCCAGCCGGTCGAGAAAAAAATTAATACAGTGAAAGCCGACTCGAAGAATAGGTCAAGGGTCAACTGAATGGCCGTACCACACCTGGTTCCAAAACAAAGACAATGACGAGGCACTAGAGCACTCTCTGAATTACTGGGAATCCAGTTGACCGGCCAGCTTGATTGTTTGCGGTTCTTTTTCGTAACTTTCTTCTTTGGTTAGTGTTAGATTGCGTGTACTAGCAATTACCAAACTGATGCTCTCATGGCAGCGTCAAAAATGTGGAAGAGTCGCTGTTAAGCATCGCACTGATCGGAAAAAGGTTGCAAATCGTCTGTTACCATACCAGGTGGGGTCTCAGAGCTTTGGAAATTCAAAGAACAGTAGGTTTCCGCCAATCATCCGAAGGTGCATGTTTTCGTAGATGCGGCCAGATCCACCACGGGGAGACAGCTTCGAAAATCCAGTAGAATCTCTTGTATCCAATTTGAAGCAACAAACTTATTGCTTAGGTTGAAAGACAATTCCCGTGCCATGACACTTCGCAGACAAAGACTCTCGACCCAACGAGCATGAACAACTTTTCGGGATTTTTAGGTGGGGACAAAAAGCCGCCTGGTGGCCTTTCCATTTCAGCAAATGCAACACACGCTCTATTGGCAATCAAAATCTTGTTATTCGGTTCCATTCATAGCTTATTCATTTTCTACAATTTCACTTGTTTTTGACCGTTTTGCTCGGTAAGAGTCACTACTTAAAGCTGGAAAACTGCCTAACAAAAATGCAGAACGATCAGGCCCATTTTTAAATGTCCTTTTAGACCGTAATCCGCCTCTAATTTAGTGTTTATGAGCCTGTCTGGGTGGATGCCACTATATGAAATAAATGTGCCATGCAATCATCGCTCGAAGCTCATCTCATCTCAAATATCACCGTGAAAGAAGAAACAAAAAGCATCACCGAAGCATCGTTTCCAGCTCGCTTGGAAGCCGCAATACAAGTTCATTGGACTGGCATGGCGATATTTTCTCTTGACGAGGACATCGCAAGGCTAACCGTCAATGGAAGCTGTGCTTTGATCGACAGCGAAGATGACGATTTCGAACAGGAAACATCGGGCGAAATATGGCATAAAAATCTACTTTCCGTGGGACCACAGCCGGAGCAGCCATCGTCGCAGGTACATCTCTCGATACCTTCCAGCTCACCTTTGAACATAAGCAAAGAGCGGAGACGGTCTTCTATCTACGACAAGATGAGCGTTGTTACGCCCCCAAATACAAGACGAGTGCAGATGACTCAAGCCGAACCTATGGGTACCGGGTGTACTTGTAGTACTGCTACACTTGGAAAACATGGCCCGCGTGTACTGGAAGATTTCACACCTATCAGGGTATTAGGCCGAGGAGCGTACGGGAAAGTACTGCTCGTCAAAGACTCGCATACGAACCGTTTGTTTGCGATGAAACAACTGAAAAAGGCAGAAATACTGATCCATGACGAATCCTCGATGTTCGAATCCGAGGAATACGCACTTGAAAAGAAACTGGAGCGGACTTTTGCAGAAAGAACAATCTTGTCGAAATTGGAGCATCCCAACATCGTGAAACTTTTCTACACGTTCCACGACCATCATCAATTGTATCTGGTGCTCCAATTCATTCCTGGGGGTGAGCTTTTCTATCACTTGAAGGAGCAGGGTGTATTGGATGAAGACACAGTAGCATTCTATGCTGCAGAAATAAGTTCTGCTATCAAATTTCTACATCAAAGGGGAATAGTTTATCGCGATTTAAAACCAGAAAACTGTCTTTTGGACGAACGGGGACATCTGGTGCTAACTGATTTTGGACTCAGCAAAAAAAGCGCCAGTGATCCCGCTAGTCAAACAGATGGTATCGAACTACAAGAAGGAGAACCTGTTGAGACTCTCTATTCGATCATTGGCACGCCTGAATACTGTGCCCCAGAGATTCTCGACGGCAAGCCCTACACTCAGAATTGCGACTGGTACTCTCTTGGATGTTTAGTGTATGATATGCTTACGGGAAAGCCACCATACACGGGTCCCAATCACAAGGTCATATTGAACAAAATCTTAAAGGACAAAGGACCTAGGATTCCGACATTTTCTAGCGAAGGTATGAAAGATTTCTTGGGATCTTTACTCCGAAAAGACGTATTAAAAAGATGGGATGTTGATAGATTATGGGCTGTTGACGGCCCAAAGCCTAAGAAGAAAAAGGCTGGACAAGCGAAAACCACAAGCTTTCAGTCTCACTTTATATTCCGTAAAATTGACTGGACTAAACTGGAGAGTGGGGAACTTCAGAAAACGACTAATGGCCCAATTTTGCCTATCATTACAAACTGGGAGCTGGCTGAGAACTTCGACACAGAATTTACGAATATGCGTTTGGACAGTGCAGGTGGATGCATTGATCCCAAACAAGAAGTAAAACCGGAACACGCTCATCTTTTCCAGGGATTCAGTTACGTTGCGAGCTCAAGCTATCTGGAACGCCATTTTTAACGAGCTGGGTCTGAAAAGCCTATCGCAATTCAAAAGCATAATGGTGTTGGGGGAGGTTATGGTATTTTTTAGCGTAATTGTGTAGTATAGCATAAATAATTTCAACTAGGTGATAGAGAACGTTGATGATCGGGTTCGACGCTTAAAGAACAAATCCTGAGGCTCTTCGGCGCTATTGATTGCTTGTTTTTTTATATTGATAATCTTGAGATATGCGTGCCAGGTTTTTCGTTCAGTTTTACCCTTTAGAATGTGCTTTCCTATGATATAATTGATACGTTGCTTTACTTCGTCATTGTCGTCAAGCTGAGAGCCTGGGAATTCAGAGTTCGAAAGAGTCCCTGGCTGTAAGACATCTATCAAATTGTCTACTGGTTCAGTGTCGCGATCCATCCATTTGTTTCCGGCTTTGAAGCAAGTTAACAGGTCGTTTTTGGTGAAAGAGTGAAGCGACATTAGTTGCTGAACAATAGAGCTTACAAGTTCCAAACCAGAATGACCAAATGTTCGGAAAGACGAATAATGGATTTGATGTTTGTTTTTATACTACATTGTCGCAAGCAGAAAATGTTATTGACTGACATGTCAACGACGTAAAAATTAGAGAAGAGGAATCTGAAGCTGAATCGTGTTCCGAGAGCTTGAGCCATGCCGTATAAATGCCTGGGTCACTTTCTTCAAACTTGTGCCATTCAGAAGCATCATCGAGAGCGTAAACTCTTCACTTGGTAGAGGGGCATTTTGATCAATCTGAAGAGAAAATACCCAATCCAGTGCGTCCGTGCAAAAAGTTTCTCGGAAGAGAAATCATTCTGACAGTTGATTCAAATGGTTTGCTCGTCTCACAGCCCAGTTGCTGGTTCACAGTGTTCAACGTCACCAGTGTTTTCGACCCAGCGACGAATAAGTACGAAATGATATTTCAGGACCCTGTGATCGTCGGTTTCCATGGATGCCGAACAATGGACGCATTGAAGAGAGTGGACGCGAGACCCAATCCACCGGTAAAAGAGACCTACACCTACAAAATGTTCCCCATAGCGTTGCAAATGTTAATGAAACTAGACACATACCTCGCGAAGAAATTAGGAAACCATTGGTGTCAATTCCAAAAAAAAAAAAAACAAAAGGAGCCAGAACTTCAGCGGTCGCTCGGAATAACTCGAAAAAGCTTGTTATGACATATCCAACGCACTGTTGGAAATTTATTGTAAGTGTATCTTGTAGTATTGAACTCAGTCTATACAAGAACACCAATCTTCTTTACCCTGTCGTTTCCTTCGTACGTCTTTTCCGGTCTTGTCCTGGCTCCTCTAACTCTCAAAAACACCGCCCAAATTTGGTACAGCTGCTAATTGAATAAATACACAATCTTCGCGACGGCTCACGGTTGTTACATCCTCTCCCAAATCCAACAACCCAACTTTCACCTTCTAACCTTTCAATATCAAGTTCCGTGGCTCCAAAAAACTACTGTCAGACTCCAAATATTGCAAGCAGTTCGGAAAAATTACTGCCAGCGCTGTGTAACGTCTCTATCTTCCGCTAGATGTCTTTTCGATTTGCTGACACCTTTGTTTGACAACAATAGTTACTATCAATATCTAGAAATATTACTGAAAGTACCGTCTGCTTCGATCACGAAATATTCACACCTCCCAAACCACTCAACTAGCCACGTATGAGCCTTTTTCAAGCTACCAGAGGCTTGCCAAAAAGAGTGGGTGCAAGCTTGGATCTTCTTGGAACGCGTTTGAGACAGTCAAATCATGTTTTTAGGCGAGGTAAACCCAAAGCCTTGTCGACCATCATTATGGCCATAGTAGGTCTTATCGCAGTGATAGCAGTAATTCATGGAGTTCATCGGATTCACGATGGAGACATCTCTATGGACATGCTGCTTTATGATGATGATGGATACTCGAACGGAAAGAACCAGGGCTCAAACGAAGAAATAGATTCAACGTATTCTGATGACTACGAAAATATCAATGCAGGCGTGAATCAGGAGCACTATGGAATAGTGAGCAAAGCGGTGGAGGAGACTTTGAAAAGGATAATGAAGTTCTCTCCTGACGGTAAACTGGACACTACCAGGAAAAAAGAGTGCGTCATCGCCGATGTTTCAATTACGGACACTGCCCAATTCCACAAATTGACTGAAGAATCCTTAAGCAACTGCGTGCAAATCTCTGACGATACGTTGGGCAAGCTGCGCGAGGGTTTTGAAGGTTTTAGAAAATCCATTGCGGACGACTTATTGCCTTTGTTTGAAGACGAAAACGAGTCTGCTTTCCACGGCGAGGGAATCGTGATTGTAGGAGGTGGCAAATACACACTGTTTGCCCTGCCTGCGATCAAAGCGATCCGTCAGAATAGCGGGGTCAAAATCAAAGACAGCATCCCAATCGAAATCATCATTCCTCCACAGGACGATGCCGACAAAGGATTTTGCGAAAACATATTGCCAGTACTGGATCCTACTGGGCTCACCAAGTGCGTGTTTCTAGATAAAGTGCTGAAAAAGGAGTCGTTGCAGCACTTGCAGGGCTATCAGATCAAGCCATTGGCTTTGCTGGTGTCGAGTTTTGAACGAGTTTTGATGCTGGACTCAGACAACTACGTTGTCAACTCGCTGGAGGGCTACTTCACTAATCAAAAGTTTGCTGAAAAAGGTTTGGTCCTGTGGCCTGACTACTGGCGTCGTTTGCACCATCCCAAAATCTACGATTTGCTGAATCTGCAGCTGGAAAGAGACCGTAAAGACCGGAACTCGATTGACGACGGCACGCCAAGTTACATGTTTACAGCAGACGCCAAGACCACACCATTTCACGATCTAGCCAACACGATCCCTGATGGTGGCACAGAATCAGGCCAATTGCTGCTTGACAAGAAAAAACACTTGAACACGCTACTCATGAGTTTGTACTTCAATTACAACGGACAGTCTTATTACTATCCTTTGCTAGGCCAAGGTTTTGCAGGTGAGGGTGACAAGGACACTTTTGTATTGGCTAGCCGGGTTCTCCACGGTCCCAACTCGTGGCACCAGGTGAAAACGCCAGTTTCTGCAATAGGCCACTGGACAGACACCAAAGACGAGATCCGAATTCCGGACGCAGAGCTCAACAAAGCCGGCGACTCCAAATCTTTCAGAGGCACTGCAATGCTCCAGCACGATTATATTGAGGACGCTAGGTGCCATGCCATTGCTCGCGAGGTGCTGGGAAACAGCTACCGTGCCAAAGAGGACAAGTTCTGCGACGAATGGTTCAAATCCCACAAGGCAGACTTCAGTAACAACGCTGATGAGCGCCATAAGCAGTGCCGCGACAGTTCTGAGGTGCGTGAAGCCTACTACGCCGACATCCGAGACTCCTACAACATACAAGACTTCCTTGCCTTTTTCAAGTACACTAAAGTCTCGTTCGTCCATTCCCATCTGCCCAAATATGACCCATGGGAGTGGTATCAGTCCGGCGATATGATGTATGACGGTTCCAAGGCCTACAAGAATCACCAGAATGACCCTCAGTACAAACCAGCCGGCTCTGGACACTACCGCATGTACGGATCAAAGCTTTCCGAAGTTACCGATTACGACCTTGAGTTGGCCAATTGGGATGCGTTCAAGACTTACTTGTGCGATATGAAAGACGGCTACAAGAACTTTGGATATTTGTCTGCCAAGATCGCTGCTAGCAAGACCCCAGTCAAAGATTACCACGATATGTGCACCTACATCAACGATCGAGTGACTTATTTGAAGAGCACTTCCTGGGATGATTTGAATGTGTGAAGCACTGTTAAAAACCCTTGAGCTCACACACAAGTGAACTAGCTGCCAGAGTACATCGTATTTAGTTAGTGACGAGCTCAAAAGTATTAAAGCTATCATTACAAGAGAACGAGTACTACTCCTATTTTTTACCCGATATATATTCATGTACCTAAGTTGGTATAAAGTTTGTCAAGTTGGTCAAGCAGATCAAGTTTACTCAAGGTAGGTTAGATTTGGTCAAGCAGATCAAGTTTGGTCAAGTTGGTCAAGTTTGAGTATCTAGAAGCATATATAAGTGCATGTATTTAACTTCAGTAAAACCAAGCTTTACAAAGTTCATTGCGGGCACAGCAGGCATTGCAGCACGCAGAACGATGGGTACTACTACTACATTTAAATCGTTCGTGTACTCTACGCACGACGCCGCGGATGCTACCAAGGTTTTATCGGTGCACCAATACCAGCCAAAGAACCTGGACAAGTTGGTCATATTGCGTACACTGGCGTTCCCCGTCAACCCATCGGACATCAACCAGTTAGAAGGGGTGTACCCTTCGAAGCCCGAGAAAACGCTGGAACTGGGCACCAAGGATCCCAGTGCCATTGCCGGAAACGAAGGTGTCTTCGAAGTAGTCCATGTGCCGAGCAATGTCAAGGATCTCACCCGAGGAGATATAGTGATTCCACTGCAAGCAAATTTCGGGACATGGTCGAGCTACCGGACCTGCACCGATGCTTCGCAAGTGGTTAAAGTTGAAGGCTGCGACAAGTTCGCAGCAGCGTCGATTGCAGTGAACGGGTGCACCGCGTACCAGATGCTGAGCAACTACGTGAACTGGGATCCTAATGGAAACGACTGGTTGGTCCAGAATGCCGGCACGTCGTGGGTGTCGAGACTGGTGACCCAGATGGCCAAGTTGCAGAACATCAAGACCCTCAGTATCATCCGGGACAGAGACAACTTTGAGGAGGTAGCCCACGAACTGGAATCGAGATTTGGCGCAACCAAGGTCATCTCAGAGTCCCAGAACAATGACCGGGAATTCAGTCAAAACGAACTGCCCAAAATCTTAGGACCCGATGCCCACGTCAAGCTGGGGCTCAACTCCGTGGGTGGCAAATCGTCAACTCAGCTGGCCCGCAAGCTGGACGTTAACGCCACGATGTTGACTTATGGTGGAATGGCCAAGCAGCCCATTACTTTGCCTCCATCTTTGCATATCTTCAAAGGTTTGAAGAGTTTGGGTTTCTGGGTCACCAAAAACTCCATAGAAGACCCCGAAAACAAGCGTGAGACCGTGGAAACTGTGGCCCGTTTGTATGCAGAAGGTAAGCTCATTTCACCTGAGGAAAAGGTCACAAAGCTCGAGTGGGACCCTGTGTCTACCCCAGATGACAAGGCGCTCGAGTTGATCAAGCAGGGTATCACTCACAAGGGCAATAAGAATGTGGTGGTGCTTAAATGGTGATGTGGCTGTTTTATTCTATATGCTGTGACAAGACGACTGTCTCTTTGACATGACTTGTCGGTTACTTTGCTACATACGTTTTATGACCAATCGTTACTTATGAATTATGCGTCTCGAGAATAAGCCTTTGCCAAGTGGTGGCGACCCAGTAGTAGTCCTGCTACGCTGATCAGCAAGTATCCTATAACTTCCCACCTTGTAACAACCACATGGGCGCTGTCGAAGATACAGTCGGCCAAAGCTGTAAATACAATGAAACCAACGAAGCATGTGGAGGTGAACTGCAATGAGACTCGATCTGACAAGTGAACCATTGCCCAAATCATGGGGAGGTGACCAGCAAAGACAGACAGAAGCATAAAAGCGGAACTCGACAAAGTACTATTTTGAGCAAAGGGACGTCCAGCACTGGCTAGAAAAAGCATTGGGCCCACTATAAGCAAGTTGGCAATTCCAAGCTGGCTAATTTCGATGTTGGAGATGCAAGATCTTTCTGCATGCGTCAGAAAAGGCCGAATTGAGGTGGTAGACTCATTTGGAGAAGCTGCACTCCATTTGTTCCACAGAACAAAGAATGGGCCAATTGTGAGGGCTCCCAACCCACACGTCAAAGCTCCTTTGAGTCTGTCAAACAGAAAAGGATCGTCTAACTCGCCCGTGGCTTCGTTCACCGACAATTTTCCAGCAAGGAGGTCGCAAGTGCCCTTCGTGTAGGAGACAATGAAAATACCGGTCAGAACTATAAGCATAAACGCAAAACTGCGCCCGAGCTTTTTGCCAGGTGCCAGTCCCATCACTACCAGCAGCAAGGACACGATTTCAAACATGGAAGTGCCGTGCATGATGGCGACGTCGACGGCCGGTGACAGCCCCAAGGCCACGAAAAACGTGTATCCTGCAATCACCAGCAGTAATGAGAGGGTAGTGATTTGGACCAATTGCCGGAAATGTGAGGCCAAAGTGCGATTCGGCCTCGAACGGCCGTCATTGTCGGCCCCCAGAAGCTCTGCACCTACCGCTACAGCACTGAAAGCCCAGGACCCACTCCTGCCCTCCAAGCGGTCTTTCACTCGAGAACACAGCTGGGTGAGCGGTGCCACAAGTATCCACGATGATAGATGTACAAACAGCAAGTAAAGAACGTCCTGTTGTGTCGGCCTTTGTTGTTGCGTCTCGTATGAAACGTTGTAGACGTGTGAGAGCGTCTTTGTCTGTACAACGTAGCCAAGCACGGCCACGAGCCAAAGTCCAGCTCGCATGACGATGGTGACGAAGTGCTATTGAGGGAGTTTGTTTGACAAACGGCACCGTAGTTGTTAATACCACGCGAGATTTGGTGAACAAGTAGGTTTTTATACGCATAGACCGTGGCTTGGTGCAGGTTTAAGTTTAAATGGTATGGTTTGTTGCTCGTTTACAACTCTCGTATAAAAATCCTCGAGACTTCTGCTTACGCAATCTTGCATAAGATCTGCATAGCCGCCGCTGACACATGTCGTTAGTCATGTGACCGTCAAATGTGGGTATGAATGGTAATTACCGCGAACGTCAACCACGAAAAATTGTATGACTTCGTGGCCAAGCTGGTGAAGGCGTGCGACTGTTAATCGCAAGATCGTGAGTTCGATCCTCACCGAGGTCGTCAATAATAATTTTTCCTGCTCATCTTTTTTTTCACTTCTCGAGGTTATCTCTAATAGGCTGGGGAAGCTCGAACCTAAGACTGTCATTGGGTTCAGAACCGGAGGCCACTTGGAGCTGTTCTCGCAGAATTCGATTGCGCTCATATAGCCATACGAGGTAATTATAGCCTATTTTACCACGGCCACAGTTAGTAATCGACTAGTTCTGAAGTTTCGTTTGAAAGTGCTCGGAAAACATACTTCTTGCATAGATCTGCATCTCTGAACGTCGCTGCTTTGAAGATAAATCGGGAACCATCTCTACCAATGTGTCGTAAGTTTCTCGCATAGCCTGGCGCCGCCTTTGCTCGGAGGAAACATGATTTTGACGTTTTTGGTCCTCTGAAAGGGAGCTCCCGCGTTGACCTTGCTTTCGTTTTCCGGAATTTTCAGGGGAAATGTCAAAGATTGTGTCAAGGGTCATTGATGAAGCCAATATGTGGTATGTGGGGACCAGGTACTTGCTAACGCGCGTGCTTACTGTGGGTATCGAGTCGAGTACGATCGAGATCGCTACATCAATTTTTTTTCACATGTTAATGAAAGATTGATAAAATTAATGCTGAAGATCGAACTGGAGAGTTTGTAGGAAGAGAATAGCGCATTCGAATGAGTATATCTCCTCGAGAGACATGGTAATCGCGTAGTGCGTCTTTCTCCTCTCAGAATATAGCCCCTAAAGAAGTGAAGCGTTATCGCTTGTGATTAGTCACATGGCTTTGTACCTGCTGTATGGTTTTTGCTGGATTTAGTGAATTTCAAATAAGCTTGCGTGGCGTAATGGCAACGCGTCTGACTTCTAATCAGAAGATTGTGGGTTCGACCCCCACCGTGAGTGTTTTTTTTTGAAAAAAATTATTGTACAGATCACGTGCCTTTGCTGCTTTTCACAATGGAACCAGAATATCATATGAAAGAGGGCCTAAATTACAGTTTAAGAAGACTGGTTCCAGAAGTAGAAGAAACATGCTGGATCCTGGAGATATTTTAACACACGCACATGCTACGTGATGGTTACTCACGATACAGTTCATTTTCGTCTAGAATGATTGTTGCTTCTTGGTACTGTTAATTTGATATATACATGAGCTTCAATAAGGCCCCCATAGCTGCGTGCTGGGGCTTACCGCAGATTTTCCACGGTTATAATCTGTGACTGAACGGATTGAGTGCTATGGGCGGCTTCGCTTTCAGAATTTTCTAGCTGCAACTCCAAAGCGGTCTTTTTCGCGGCCTTACGAGCCAAGGTCTGATGACCACCGGCTCTGGCTTCTTGAATCTGCTGCAAAAGAGGGTCATTTTCTTTGATCAGATACCCACGCTTGAGTGGATTACTGTAATAGTCAATATCTTTTCTTTTGACAGGTCTGGCCTGTAGTGGGATACGTCCATATTTTTCCAAAAACCAACGTGGACTCAAATGCGCCTTCAACCCCAGTTTGTTGTAGTATCTGGCCGTAAACTCTCCTCCTGCACGCTCCAGAGCTTTAATAGCACCTTTGGACGCCCGTGTGGCCTCTATCTTCAACGGAAGATTGAAATACTCTTTCCCGTCGCCCAACAGCTTGACACCATCTTTGATAGAGCCGGTGACAAGTCCGAGATCCTTCATTTTCTTCATATCGAGCAACTCGTTGGGCTTCAAATTTAAACGACCCTTACGATGAAACCACATTACACGATCCAAGTTGAGTTCGTTCAGCTCCAAAGATGTGACATTGGTGAACCCAATTTTTGGGAAAAGCTTATAAATGGGCGTTTGACCACCTTCAAACCACGACTTCACTTTTCCACGGGCCTTTTGACCCTTTTGACCCCTAGCAGACGTCTTACCTTTGCCTGAAGAAGGACCACGACCCACTCTTTTGTACGTTTTGGTAGAGCCTTCTGACGGCTGTAATTGCGACAAAATCGATATGGATCGACATTGAACACTCCACAAATGTTCTAGACCCTGATGAGATCCCTTGAGTAAGGTTAAGGCACGAGTCAAGAGCATCTTGGGCTTATCTAAAGGATACAACTATAAGTTACGCTAGTTGAAGACATCTGAACTCATCTTTAAGATCATATATGGACGTCAAAAAATTTGGTTCATAATTGCTCGTGCTTCTTACTGTCTGTTATTAACGCTAATTTTTCATCGGTTTCCAATAACAAGCTTCTATGGCCAAGTTGGTAAGGCGCCACACTAGTAATGTGGAGATCATCAGTTCAAATCTGGTTGGAAGCATATATTTTTATAAATTTTTTTTCAGTTTACACTTGATACTGCGATATGACACACTATGCTAACATGGTGAAGATGTCGACAGTAAAGGTCATTTCGTGAAATTGAGTTGAACCGATTTGTTCTTAGTTTATATGCTGTCTAAAATATATGTTAAGTTTTTACCTGCTGATTCTAGAATCATGGATTAATGCGCTTTTTTCAAGTTTCGTCAGAAAGGTTAATGGTTCCCATTTCTGTAATCAAGCTCGTCAGGATTGACTATTCGTAGAGGCCCGTGCTCTTGCGTAACATCTGGTAGTGAGCCGTCACTGAGTCTGACGCGGCCAAAACTATCGTCGAAACCGGGCGTTTGACCAGAGTAATCATTGTTCATAGATTTTTCACCTTCTGAGGACGAACGGCGCAAAGAAGCATTGCGCTGCGCAGCAGCAGCCATTGCCGGCAAGCCACTGTCGCCGAAAGAGTAGGGCTGATGTTGTTTTGTTTCCTCCAAATCCATTTGTTGCTGTTTCCGGTGACGCCAGTATAGAAAGAAGACCAATGCAGCCACCAGGAATGCACCGCAAATGCAACCGATAACCACGCCGGCGATTGCACCACCTGAAAGTGACTTTTTCTTGTTGTTGTTAGATTTTACAGTACCGGAATTGGTCTGTCCCGAAGATCCTGTTGCGCTCATTACCGTAGTCTGGGTCACATACATTGTTGATCGACTACTGTTTGGAAGAGTGGCCACTGTGATAGCCGACGTTATCATGGTCGTTGGAGAGTTCGACGACGAGGAAGACCCAGAACTGGAACTGGATCCGGAAGTTTGGCTGGACCCACTGCTTGGGGACGAACTACCACTCGAGGTGGAACTCGTGCTGGAAGAACTTTGCGTAGACGAGGAGCTGGAGCTGGAACTGGAGCTGGAGCTGGACGACTGGGACGAAGATGATGAAGATGACGACGAAGAAGACGAAGGCGAAGAAGACGACGACGAAAACGAAGACGAAGACGGTGCGCTTGAAGAGCTGGAACCTGCACTCGTGGAACTGCTTGCACCACTACTACTGGACCCGCTGGAGCTGGAGCCACCGGAACTGGAGCTGGCGCTCGGTATTGAAACGCCGGATTTCAAATATACTTGGAAATACCCACTTCCACCGCATGTGTCGTAAGGCCATCCGACACACTTTGTGCTGCATTGGCCGGAACCAGCGGCCGAAACCGACGCCAAAATGGACGCAGAAGACCCACAATAGCACGTATCGCCTCCCAGAAGCGCCACGACGTCTGATCCGCTGCATTGGTTCTGACAGTACGAAACGCTTTGGTATGTATATGAGCCCTTGGAGCTGAGACCGGACCCCAAATCTGATTGTTTGTAGCATCCAACTTCGGAATATGTCGTGTCAGCACGCACCAGAGACACGAGAAGGCCTCCCACAAGCCAGAACAGCCCTTTTTTAAGTCCGAACGTCAACATATTGCCCAGATTTTTTGTTGTCACTTGTTCTGATTCAAGAGGGCTAAGAATATACGGTTTTCGGGCCCTTAAAAAACCTACCCACTCCTCTTGTAGTTGTGAATACCACCACAACACTTAGAACGCCCTAAAATGCTGTTCAAAAGCCGGACTTCGTCGATCAAAGTTGAAAGAAAGTGTTTCTACTAAAACCTTCAAATTTAAATACTTAGTTATACATGTTATGAAACTTTAATTGTTCACCGCATATTTTGTTTATGCTACGAAAAATCGTGGTTTTTCGGGAAATTTGTTCTAGACACTTTTTTTGGAAGAAGAGTCGTTTTGAACGGCTGAGTCGCAGTGAGTAAGTTACTCATGGGTTTGTGAGTAGTTGAGAAGTGGGAGGGGCGGGGGAAGCGCAGGGGGGAGAAGCGAATTCATATTCAGATACAAAGAAATCTCTGAATTGGTCAGTGCTTCGCTTTCGGTCAGGATTCTTCTTTGTCTGGTTTTTTAATCATTAGGAGAAGAAATTCCACATTAAGAAGCAGGCTTGTAAATGTTGGTGAGACGAATGAATGTGAATTAGTAGGGTCAAATGACATATGAGCACGAGAGAAATACGCAGCGATCTTGATAGAAACTGACACGGATGTTGAAGTTTTTAGAGTAATGGGAAATGAGAGTAGGTCACGCGACGGCGCCAGCGTCAATGCGGGAGAAAGTGATATAGAAAATGAACTAAAACAGACGTCTGATACGGCTATGAAAGGTCCCAAGAACTAGTCTCTTCAGGAGAAGGTGCCTCACATTTGGTGTGAGACCAACTTGTTGTTGATACTTTTGTCCGTCTAGCGTCAGCTCCATGACAAAAACACACACGTGACACAACGACAGCATCAAAAGATCTAAAACCAAACACTGATCTAACGAAAATGACATCAATTATACCGAGTGGTGCCACTTTTGAATCATTGGATTATTTATACACTAGCCAGTTGACGTGATTGCACTCGGATCGCCTGAAAATGTTTGCCCCCGACAAACGACGGAACATCTCTCAGAATTGTACAAGAAGGGACTTTTTATCCAGTTTTCAAGCTCATCACGGAGAAGTAACTCCAAACTCAATAAAACAACAGTCTTCAACTTACTGTAATGGGTTGAACTACTTTAGGAACCTCTGTCTGTCTAGCGTCAGAAGTATGATGAAGTGATTACACTCACGTGACGTGACGACAGCTTCAGAATCAACAAGTTGCTCAGAGAATCTAGAACTACTACTGGTCTAAATGGAACGGCATTGATTGCACCGAGAAATAACACTTAAGTTCAATAGTATGGCTCATGAATTAGCCTATTCCCGCTATTAGAAACCGGAATCCTTGAATTTTTACACCCGCGACCGAGAATTTCCAAGAATTTGTATAAGAAGGGACGTTCTATCCTGTTTACAAGCTCATCAAGTCAAGATAACTCCAAATCAAGAAAATAGCATTTTACATCTCACAATAATGGATAGCACACCGTTGTGGACATTAATCGTGCACTCCCCCAAAACAGTCTCAACATGAGTACAAACAGTTGAAGTACCTGACATTCCATATTCTCGGTAAAAATGGCACACAACCTCGATACCTTATCGTTTTTGTCCCGCTTGTACAAGAGAAACCAACAGCAGCTCACGGTACCATCTATTCTGACGTTATTACACAGGCACGTGATCTCAGAACACCTAGAAATGTATCTGACGCCAGCTATTTACATAGACTGAAAATTGACAGCAATCGCAGCAAATAGACTTCTCAGTGAGCTTTCAAAATCTTCTACCCTTTCCTTCGGTGAAATGAACTCCATTTACGACAGGTGTAGCTGTCCAACGGTTGGGGATGGTAAATAGTGACATTGATACCTATCTCTATTTCTGAACCACTTGAGACGCAATTTTATTTTCCTTCAGACGTATCAAACTGCCACACTCAATACCGTAACCACTGCTGTGATTTCAAAGACTCAGGTGTAAATTCTCGAAAAACGTATAAAGTTACCCCTGCCTCACCACAACCCGCGAGCGGCACCAAACCACTCATCCACATAACTTCGCACACACGCCAAAAAATGTACAAATAACGCAACAATGAAACCGTTCTTACAAGGCTTGATTCTCTACTGCTTTTCTCGCTCTACATCACTATACACGAAGAAATTGGTTATTCAAGACTTACAGCTAGCTCATCGCGCACTAATATCTTGTTCAAATCACTGAGAACACCGAGCATGAGTTCTCTCAAACAACTACAGCGCAAATCAGCGATCAAGAAACAAGTCTACAAACCGATTCTCGATAACCCTTACACAGATGAAGCTCACAATTGGCCTTATGTTCAGGAACAATCATTGATCGCAGAATTGGTGCGGAGTCACGTGACCACTGTTCTACAACAAGCACCAGATTCTTTAGATGTACGGTTTGGATTCAACGATGTGGTAAAGTTCTTACAAGGATCACCGTCTAAGGACGATCTCGTCGCTTCTCCCCCATCTCGGGTCTTCTTATTCGTGTGCAACCGTGATTCTATACCTTCGGTTTTATTAGCCCAAATTCCAATATTGGCCCGTGTATCGCGATACGAAGTGGTGTTGGTACCACTGCCGCGTGGATTCATCTCACATCTGGATGAATGCTGTCCGGCGAATCAGTATCACGATGGGATGCTATTAGTGGTTGAAAACTCAAATTTTGACATACAGTTCGCTTCCCAAGTGGTTAAGAGGGTGGGTCACGTGACCCCGCAACCATGGCTCAAATTCAATGAATCACGTATAGCTGTGATAGCTTCAGAGGTTTCTTTGAATTCCAAATCAGCCAAATCTTCCAAATAGATCGAGAGGCAGCGTCTTATTCTCTTCGATTCCCGCCAATTGCTCCTAATTTGTGAGTTTTTCCCAATTTTTGAAATATTTTTTTTTTTCAGATTCAGAGCTCATCGGCAGTTTCTAGAAAGAACTACCATACTAGCTCGCCTCCAAATTCGAACGGCAAGTCAATTCCAAGACTCATTTATTAGAGTCTATTATCCCTTCTTACAGTAGATCGTTTGCTGGCAACCGTGTTGTCTCGTCCTTGTGCTGTCTGTCTACTTCCTCTCCTATAGCATAATATGGTCGTTCTCAATCCTAATAACTGGCACTGGGTTGACAAAAATACACTTCCATGGACTGAATCCTACCTACAGAACTTGCCTGCAAGCATTTCATCCGTGGTTGCACCCAATGGATCGTACACGGTGCGGCTCGTGAAACTGGAATCGTTGACAGGCGATTCACACGTTTCCCAACGCAAGGGCAAGGTAATCTGCTACTTTGATCTCAACGTCCAGTTCGTATCTCAGGTGCTCGAAACGGAAGCGGAAACAGTAGTTTGTGAAGGCAAAATTCTGGTTCCCGAACTTGTGCACGACGAAACGGATTTCGAAATTCGACCAGAGGGTTTTGGAGAACACTATGGGCTGATCACGGAACAGCTGCTCCCAAGTCTCCGTGCTGCACTTTGCAAATATCAAGCAGACCTTATTGAGCAACATTCTCAGGATGTACAACAGTCGTGAGGGGATTTTCTTTTGTTAGTGCATCTTCCATAGCGATCCAGGATGCAACAGATGTACAAGCGTTATAAGAATAGATATACATAAAAGTACAGCGTAGCGCTAAGAGCAACAACGCCCTTAATAGATGAACGGTACAATCTTGTAGGGCACAGCAGTCTCATACTTTTTCCAGTCATCGCCGTATTTCACCTTACACAAATGCTCATCTCTCTTCTGGCGATGGATCAGCAGGGCAGCGAAATACAACGAGTAGTAGTACGTCAAGGGTGTCTGGAAACCAGTGGCAAGACACCAGCTGAGTGAAATCAACCAATCTCCAAAATAATTCATGTGCTGGGACATCCCCCACCAACCGTCACACAATAGCTTGGTACCACGTTTCGTGTCGATACTCTTCAAGTGTGGAAGTTTGCCCTGGCGGAAGTGTGACTTTTGATTGTTGGAAGAATGGAAGATATAGTACCCGAGGGCCATCAATGCCACTAGAAAACTCAAATATGGGCCCGTCAAAACTATGGGCGAAACGGTCAAATAACGTGCCTGCAAAGCGTAGGTGAAGGGCACTAAGGTCAAATCTCCAAAAGCAAGCATGTAGCCAAAGCCATCGGTAGTGATATCCATCATAGTTAGACAGCCTTCCTCATTTAGGACGCCATCGAAAACGTAAAAGCCCTGTGCCAAAGTGACAAACAAAATTGCATTGTTCACTTCGCCGGTTTGTAGGTAGTGGTGGTGCAAACAGGCCACGTTATTCAAAAACCACAACAGCAGCCCTGGACGCAGTTCGCAAAATAGTTTGAGATCAAAAGGACCTATCCGAGGGTTTAGTTCGCGGCCGATGAACCAATCGTAAACAGGATTTCCAGTATTACCGCTCACAGATAAAATATGCTCTTTCGTACCGCGGCCGTTTGCTTTGAGTAATGGAAAAAAGCTAAAAGCATACAAGAAAAAAGACATGATGAACCCAAAAATAATGGTGATAATGCAGATATCGGTTTGATTGTCGTACAGATACTGCAATTCCGGCATTTCACCCTTAGTCAAATGCCATCTGATCGCTAGAACCGCAGCCAAAGTGGTTGTAAGGGCTACCCCATTGATCTTGTACCGCAGTTTAGTGCCATCCCTAAGTTCGACCCCTTCCATCGTACGCCCTGGCAATGTTACATCAAAAATTGCCAGTACTCCAAACCAGGTCAAATAGTAAGTCCATAACTCACGATTTGTCAAGTACCACTTCAATGGCTTGATGTGATTCCAGAGCTCAGCAATATCAAAATTGGAAAATGCGCCCTCAATGTAGTAATCGGGACGAATCATTTGATTGAGCACAATCGATAGTAGAGGGAGACCAAGGGCGATGCCCAGGACTCCGGTTATTCCATTGAACTCGTAGCTCGTAGTCCTGGGATTTAAGGGCCCAACTTCTTTTGACATGCTGAATTAATCCTAGAATGTGTAAACTGATAGCCAAGATTGCAAAAACTTGAATAATTCCTGTTATACCAAAGCTCCTTCCTAGTCTGACCTTGCCGACTGCAAAACGGTGTGCTTTTAATTTATATGCCATCATATCAGCGCTGCTCGTTTAATTTTCAAAAATAACCCTAGGCCATGATGCATGGATTTAATGCGGAAAAAAGGGTCTGTAGCAATGCGGGAAGGAACAGTAGAAGTAGGGCACTTGATCATTGATCGCATTGTGCCTCATTTCATGCTCTTTTTGACATCTCTTGATTTACGCATTCAATCAAGCAACAGTTGATGAAAAGCAACAATTTTTTGACACTTTCGTCACAGCTGGCGACCGTAAGGTCCAAAGTTAGACTCGGAATCGCATCCATCGATTCCGTGCTGATCACATTGCTCAAAAGAAGCACACCTTGAATATTATCAATCCAAATTCCATATTTGAGACCGAGACTCCTAAACTGGTTGGACCTCAGTCTTCTCTTGCCGGAGTCAGCTTCGGAAATTCCAAAGCGGCGCATTTTGGCTTCAAATTCAGAAAGCGAACCACCAACATGGAACGCTAGGTAGGAGTCCCAAAATTTGGTTACCAATTGGGAAAACGGAGCAAATTCCACATGATGACCCAGGATCCGGTTCCATTGTCTCCATTTGTAGACAATGTCGTATATGGTATCGTTGACGTAGCACTGTATCAGACGTGACAGATTGGCACCAAGATAAGTTGCGCTGCTTGAATGACTGCCGTCTTTGTAGGCGTCTAGGATTCGCGCAAACTGCTGTGTGTATTGTTGGAGTAACTGTTCGGTTTTGAACTGATCCATTTGGGTACTTTGAAGGATTTGGGGAAATACTGAAACTTCGAACTCTGCATTTCTGGTCTTAAGCCCTACGGTGTGGCTCGCTGACGTTCGCACCGACAAACACGTTTCGTAGTAGTTCGAGGTGTGATTGGTCTCAAAGCACAGTTTGAACAGTTGGAACGGGGCAGTACAGCGACGAATGTCCAAAGTTAGATCCAGGTCACTTGGTTTGCTGTTTAGCACCCACAGTAGCAACGAAAGGTTATGGTTCTGTCGTATTCTTGCGTCCCTGATTGTCCTTTTGAAACGCAATGGAGGCACAACAGGACCACTGGAGCGAACGACCAAAGACAATGGAAGCGACACTACCGTGTCTTCGTTGTATTCAACAGTTTCCCCTCGACTTATGGCCAGGGATCTTTCTGGAGTGCCGATAAAGGTTATCGCGTCGTCTACCATCTATATGAAGAACTCAAACAAGGAGTTTGCAACGGGAAAGGAAGATACACAGAGTATATATGGCTATAGTCGTTTAGATGTATGAGGAAGAGCCAGAAAGCTGTTTGAACAGCTCTTTACGTTGCTTTGTCTCAGTCGTCGATGGGTTGTTTACAAAGGAAAAGTCCAACCTGGGCGGCTATTGTTTTTACCAGCTCAGATCCGTATATTGTGATACTGGAAGTGAGCATCACCATACACGAAATATCTTATTCTTCTCTCAATATAGACTTAGCTCTAGGCCATATACCACCTATGAACAGCGCTAAGAACAATGACTCGACCAGAGCATGCAAATAGGGTTGAATAATCGCAAATAATGCATCCAGATAGTGAGTTAACGGCCTGTAGTGCTGCGATGCACATTCTAGAGGCCCAAATGATGGAGAATCCCTTTTCAAGCGACGCAGCAAGGCTAATATCAGAATATGCAGGCATGATTCGATTACTGGTGGTAAGCGTAAGTCAGCTTCACCGTGGACTTCGATTATCATGGCGTAGGGGATCAGCACTGAAGATGGAATTAGAGAGAGACTTTACGGCTTCGCCGCTCGCCGCTGAACATATTGCAGAGGTTATCAGAGCCATAGATCTGATAACAGCGTTGGAAAAACGATACAGAAAAGAACAGACGCAGAACCAAGCCGAGTTTCGTTCACATCTTCGGGACCTGCAGAAAGAGGGCTACAAAAAGTTTGAACAAGACGTCACAGGGCATAATCATCAAGTACAAACCGATACAGCAGCGGAAACAGTACCGGTTGTAGAACCCGAAAACAAAAAACACAAGCTTCTGTCAACAAATCGCAAAATAACGTCCTCGTTGGTGCGGACAAGCCACATGCTGCGCAGCTCTGTGCTTCAAAGCGAACTCAACGTTTCTGAGCTACAAGAACAGACTGCGTCGCTGCATAAATTGAACGACAGGTTTGATTCTCTTTCTGGGATTCTGACGACCTCTTCGAAAGTGGTGCGAGTAATTCAAAACTCGTCGGGTCAAGAGAAGCGTCAGATATACTCGGGACTAAGTTTTCTGGCGTTATGCATAGGTTGGGTACTTTGGAGACGTGTTTTCAAGATGCCCGTCAAACTTGCATTGTGGTTATGGTTTCGATTTTTCCGGTCGATCCTGACATTTGCAGGAGCAGTCCCAAAGATCGAGGTAGGTTTTGGTCCCATTTCGGTTGCCAACACGATTGCAACACTTGCAACAGCGACGGATGTCGTGCAGAAGGCTATCGAAACCACCCAAGGCGCTTCCGACACCATGGCGGCGATGGTAGGTGATGCAGTGGACGATGCATTTTCCAGAATACGCGACGAGCTGTGAAGGAAGGCGCGTAGACGGGGTGATTTACGAGATGTGTATCGACAATTCCTACAAGACTACTTTTCGGATAATGGAGTTAGCTCTGCATTTTTCACCATGGCCAAGAGTCTTAGAGCTGTGGAATCTGCAAGTGAAGAAAGGAGGCTACCAAGTATTCCTAAAAGACTACTTTTTTGAATAATGGAGTTAGCTGTGAATTTTACACCATAGCCAAGAGTCTTAAGGCTGTGCAATTTGCAAGTGATGAGAGCACCCATTGAAACACTACAAACTCTTCGTAAGATGTTGACCACCTCTTTCCCGAAAGACAAAAAAGCTCTTGGATTCATGACGTGTTATTTAGTTGAAGCGTGTGAATCTTGTTGTAGTCCGGAGATAGCGCTACTGTTACCGTGCGCTACTGTTACCGTTGAACTGGAAAGGGAAATCCAACGGAACCGTGCGGACGGACGGCCTGGAGCCACACACCGCTCGCTTCACACGGCGTGCGATGTACACCATTAATTGTTCTGTTGGTATGGTTTCCACACGGGAAGTAACAGCTGGCAATAACCACTATGGGGCTTAGGAACCGTAATCCAACAAATAGTACAACAGGAATTGATATTGTTTGTAACCACGTAGCTTGGTTACTGTTTCGAATATGAGATATCCCTGTCACGTGATAATTTCTCTCCTTTGGACGAAGTCAATCCCCAATTCTACTCTCACTACTAGGAAGGCGCAGTTGATCCTCAATTCTACCTTCTTTACTACATAGATGAAACCTTGGCTGAGTCTCAAGAAGATATCGACGAACAACACACCTATGCCTCTGGATGGTCACGTGCTTCCTTATGACAAACAATTTTGTTACCACCTAGTCCAGATCTCACGTGTGCTAATTTATCCTCCTGCCCCGCCATCAGCTTAGCGTCCCAGTCCTTTTACTTATTGTTAACAAACCAACGCTTATGTCACTATAGCCCACGAGTACCGATCAAGGACAAAGTACTCGCGCTTTTGAGCTTACAAAAGCCCGCATCACTCCGTCATGCAAGTTCGCCGAACTTGCATGATACCTTGTGCGCCATATTCTAAACAATGACGTACGAAATGACATGAACGTTCGCCGAACTCGCATATACTTTTGCACGAAACTGTCACAGTCACACTCACAGCAACACTTTATACTCCACGCTTAGCTCTCCAACCGCCCTCTCCAACCGCCCCCTAAACACAGATCTGAAAAGTATATAAAGAGCCATCAAAACTTCAGGACCTCCATCTTCTTTCTCTCCCTCATCCACCACTATCTCAAACTTCTTGATTCCTACCTGTAAAAAAAAAGACTATGAGCTAACCCTCACCCGACAAGCACGAGGCTAAAAAAAAACTTGGTAAAAAAAAAAAAATTTCACTTGAGGCGCGACTCGTTGGGTTCAACCGATAAATTCACACCCATCCATATCCATACACAGAAAATTCGGTTCCCACGCGTCCCAAAATTTTTATCTTGACCGTGGCTCTCACCTTTGGCCTCACAAAAGACAACTGTTAAGATTACAAAACAACCCCGAAAAAGTTGAGTTTTTGAAGTATATAAGCACACCAAAAAAGTAGTTGATTTCTTGGCTGTGGGGTTATTGGAAGGGTTGTTTTAACGAAAAAAATTTAAAAACATCCAGTTATCATCAGTAAACAACTCTCAGAATACTATCTCTCCTCCGTCCCTCCGTATTGGCTCTAATCTTCAATGACAAAACACCAATTCTCGGAGTCCGCAGGGCCGTTTGACGGCCAGGCAGGCGCTGGCCATGGGCCTAGCGGTGTTGTTGACGAGGTCGACCCTGATTCTGACGCAAACTCCTTCTCACGGATCCAGATAAAACCCGTGAACGACGAAGACGACACTTCCGTGATGATCACCTTCAACCAGAGCGTTTCGTGGTTCATCGTGGTGCTGACGTTTGTAGCGTCCATCTCAGGGTTCATGTTCGGTTACGACACCGGGTACATTTCAAGTGCTTTGGTGTCGATTGGTACCGATTTGGACGGCAAGGAACTCACTTACGGCAACAAAGAAATCATCACAGCGGCCACGTCGCTTGGTGCCCTTATCAGCTCTGTAGTGGCAGGTACATGTGCAGACATTTGGGGCCGCAAACCATGCATTATGTTTTCCAATATTATGTTTGTCGTGGGTGCCGTTTTGCAAGTTTCAGCCCACTCGTTCTGGCAAATGGCCGTTGGCCGTTTGATCATGGGGTTCGGTGTTGGTATTGGATCTTTGATCTCGCCTCTTTTCATTGGTGAAATCGCTCCCAAGATGATTCGTGGCCGTTTGGTTGTGATCAACTCTCTGTGTCTAACAGGAGGTCAGCTTATCGCCTACGGTTGCGGTGCCGGACTTGACAAAGTCCACAACGGATGGCGTATTCTAGTTGGATTGTCTTTGATCCCAACCTGCATCCAGTTTATATGCTTTTGCTTTTTGCCCGACACTCCGCGTTTCTACGTTATGCAGGGCAAACTCGACAAGGCTGCTCAAGTGTTGGCCAGAAGCTACAATAATGCTCCAGACGAGCTAATTCAGCAGAAAATCATCGAGCTCAACACTTTGAACCGTGTCATACCCGGTAAAAACGTTGCCGCAAGAGTCGTCAATACCATTAAGGAACTCCACGTTGTGCCTTCGAATTTCAGAGCCTTGGTTCTCGCTTGCGCTATGCAGGGCATTCAGCAATTTTGCGGTTGGAATTCGCTCTTGTATTTCTCTGGCACAGTCTTTGAAACTGTGGGTTTCAAGAACCCCGCTGCTGTATCGATTGTGGTTGCAGGCACCAATTTTCTGTTCACCATGGTGGCTTTCTTTGCCATTGATCGTTTTGGCCGTAGAATCATTTTACTCATTGGCTTGCCGGGTATGTGCGTGTCCCTCGTTTTGTGCGCTATTGCATTTCATTTTATGGATATCAAATTTGTCGGCGGCGGCAGTGCCGAAATCAAAGAGACTGGATTTACCGCCTGGGGCATCATTATTATTCTGTCTATCATCCTATATGCCGCATTTTACGCCTTGGGTATCGGTACCGTTCCATGGCAACAATCCGAACTTTTCCCTCAAGAGGTGCGTGGTGTTGGTACATCTTACGCGACGGCGACCAACTGGGCTGGTTCTTTGGTCATCGCGTCTTGTTTCCTGACCATGTTACAGAACATCACACCGACGGGAACTTTTTCATTCTTTGCAGGGTTGTCCTTTATTTCGTTCTTGGTCATCTACTTCTGCTACCCTGAGTTGTCGGGTCTAGAGCTCGAAGAAGTCCAAACCATCTTGAAGGATGGCTTCAACATCAAGGCTTCTCAACGTTTGGCCAAGAAGCGCAAACAGCAGTTGTCGGATCTTAAAAACTCGGCGCATGACAATGAGCTGCAGAGCTACAACAAGGCCAAGCCTTCCGATGAAATAATGGAGAAATGAAAGCTCACTGTGTGAGCAAATGGAAGACGTATCCAAGATAACAAAAACCACCTTTACGAAGAACAGCGCACATTTTCCGTAACTGGAACAATCAAACAAAACCGTCGTTGGACGTCATGTGGCGACGAAAAGATGCTACCGAAGGCGGAAACCGTCAATCGTTAATCAACGTGTGAACATTTCTAGAGTTCTGAACTAAACAAACTTTCAGGATCAAAGAAATTTAAAGTGATAGAACGGAAACCTACACCATTGTCCAAAACCCAAATTATTGGATGTGGTGTTTCCAAACTTTTAGTTGGCTAAGTAAAACTCACGTGTAAGTTCTTTATTATTCTTTGCAATATGAATCATCTTTTCCCAAACTGACGCTAAATTGATATTTTTCAACTTCCCATAGTTAAAAAAATTTTAGTCGATGCGATGAGCTACGATCCTAAGAACACCTTGTGGAAAGAATATCCATTTCAACCATCGATAATGGCTTCTGTTACCTCCAAGAACGGTAAGAAACATGCTCTTAAGGTGAAGGATAACAAAAGTGCCAAGAAAGCTAAAGTTGAAGTCGAATCTTCGGCTAGCAGCGAGGACATTTCTTCAGCGGAGGATGATGAGGAAGAAGCCGATGAGCAAGACGAGTTGGATGCAAGTTCCGAAGAAGATGAATTAGATCAGGATTCTGGCGATGAATCAGACCAGAAAGAAGCAAAGGTTGATTCTGATGACGAGGAAGACTCAGTAACCCAAGAAAACTCAGTTGGTGATGATGACAAGAAAAAAAGTGAGAGTGAAGGTCCAGGACAACACGCAGAGCAAAGAAAGCTACTCAAAGAGCGTAAAATGCAAAGAAAATCCGGTGCCGAAGTTCAGCAAATCAAGTCGCTTTGGGAAAGACTGCGGGTGAACAACCCACCAGTGCCAAAACCAGTACGTGAGAAATTGGCCAACGAGGTCTGGGAACTTTCAAAAGATCGTATAAGTGATTTGGTGATGAAACATGATGCATCGCGTGTCGTGCAAACACTGGTAAAATACTCCTCGAAGGAACGCCGTGAGCAGGTGATTGAAGCGTTGAAGGGCAAGTACTACGTTTTGGCCACCTCTTCTTATGGTAAGTACCTTCTGGTCAAACTATTGCATTACGGTACAAAGCAGTCCAGACAATTGATCATCGATGAATTGCACGGATCCTTAAGAAAGCTTATGAGACATCGTGAAGGTGCTCACGTCGTTGAAGATCTGTACGTGTTGTACGCTTCCCACGAACAGAGACAACAGATGATCCGCGAATTCTGGGGTGCAGAATATGCGGTTTTCAGAGATGCTCACAAGGACTTGACCCTCGAGCAAGTATGCGAGAGCAGCGCAGAGAAGAAAAACATTATCAGCAAGAACTTGATTGGCACCATCACCGCTTCCGTTGAAAAAGGTTCCGTTGGGTTTCAGATTTTGCATGCCGCTATGGTCGAATACGTCAAGATCGCGGGCGATAAGGAGATCTCAGAATTTATAGAGGTGCTAGAGGACAAATTTGCAGAGCTAGTACATACTCCAGAAGGAGCTGAGGTCTGTTCTACCCTAATAGCAAGAGCTACAGCTAAGGAGAGAAAAATAATCATCAAGAACTTGAAAGACCATGCGGACAATTTGATCAGAAACGAGTTTGGTAACACTGTGTTGACCACTGCACTAATGTGTGTGGATGATACAGTTATGATGTTCAAGTCATTCGGACCCGCCATAAAAGACCGTTTGCAAAGCATCATCGTTGACAAGTTTGGAAGAAGACCCTTCTTGTACATACTATTGGGACTTGACGGAAAATACTTCTCACCTAATGCCAAGAAAGAATTGCAAAAATACATTCAACTTTCGGAGAAGACGTCCAAGAAGCCTTTCGAGCAGAGAAGACGGGAGCTTCTGAATAAGTTTGCGCCCATGTATCTCAGCACCATTGCCAAGTACTACGACCTGATTTTGGAAGAAACTCTTGGGTGTCAGTTTATAAGCGAAGTGCTTGTCAACGATGAGTTTTACGAGCAACTTGGTGAACAAGACCAGCAGAAGTTCCAGGAAGTGATCGACACCATTGTTGCCTATTTCAAAGGTGATATTTCCGAGGACACTCATCCGATTCATAGACCTTTCTCGGTCCGTCTATTAAAATCATTGATTCAGGGCGGAAAGTGGAATGCCAAGGAAAGGAAGCTCGAACCGTTGCATAAAGTTCAAGGGCTTGGTCCCGAATTTGCCCAGAAATTCTACGAAGCCATCATTGACGAAACAAATTTGTTGGATTGGATCAACAACGCTGACAGCTCTTTTACCGTCGTAGCACTTTATGAGTCGCTGTCCAAGGCCGGAAACAAAAAATTCCTAAAAGACTTGAAAAAGGTCGCTAAAAACATTGACAAAGACAGCAACGACAACAAGGGCGGTCGTCTGTTGGCAAAGCTAATAACTGAGAATTCGTAAGGGACTCTATCCGATCGAAACTTGTACATTATATATAAAGCCCACCTTTTAAGAGACATTATCTTTCCCTACGGCTTTCTTAAATTCACAACACTACAATATCCCATCTCATCTCATCTCATCTCATCCCAAGATGTTCAATGGGGAAGCAATTACATTCATAGAGCGTTCTGTCAACTCCCACTTGTAGTGTTATGAGCAATGACGGTAGCGATCAGCAATTGAAAGTTGGGGGTACCGAAAAAGAGCCAACCAATGAGGCCAGTTACTCAAGTGATAACGACACAAATGAGAGAGAAGGTGGCTTGAGCGAAACTGCAACAGTAGAAGCTTCAGAGGGCCCTCTGAGACTCGACACACTCATTGAATATCTTCCGACTGGATGTTGCCCAACTAGTTTCGATGCACACGACAAAAATTTATATTTAGGAACACAACAGGGCGATCTCTTGCACTATTTCGAGATGGAGACTAAAAATTATATGCTGGTTTCACAAACCAAGTTCGATCCCGAGAACTCTGAGCCAATTGAGGCGATAAAAGTCCTCTCGCTAATTGAAATCGCTTTACTTCATACAGGAGGGTCCTTGCACTTCTTTCTCCTACCTGAATTCGCACCGGTCCCAAATATGGACAGTATACCCAATGTGAGCGATTTCCAAGTCATACGCTACTCTTCTAGTTCCAGTGCGTATCAAGTTCAACTTTTTGGGCCAGAAGGAGCCAGAAAAGCTACCATCTACAAAAATCGTATTGTAATGTCCGATCCAGTGTTTTCCAAGCCGATCTCACATGCCAAAATCTCGCGAAGGTCGATGATGGCATCCAACGGTGGCAATTACGAGCTCACAGACTTAAAAACAAAAGATACTTTCCCTTTATTCCACGTTAGCGAGTCAGGCGGCGATTTAAAGCCTCTGATTGAAATTTATAGTACTGATGAGTTTCTTGTGTGCTGTGGTAATTCAATGGAGGAGAGCGCGATGGGCCTTGTCGTGAATCGTCAAGGTGATATTTCACAAGGCACTATAGTTTTTGAAAGGTATCCGCTAGACGTCATCATTGACCTCCCGCTGATACTTGTGGATTACGGGAAGCATGGCATCTACGTATATCATCTGGAGTTAAACACTGAGCCGAAGATTGTGCAAAAACTTAGGTGCACTTCTAGTGACAGCAGATTAAGACTAACAAGAACGAGCAAAGTCTTCCCAGTCGATAACCTCGAAAGAAAGCAACAAGTTGTTGAAAAGCTGCGTTCCGTCCCTTTAACCCCAGGAACCCACGAGTTTCGCATTAATCAGGAGAGAGCACATGTGATGGACAACTACGAAGAGAATACATCCTCACTGATTTATTCTTCCGCAGGCATATATCTACTTAGCAAGGAACCCGTGGTTTTGCAGATTAACGACTATGATGAGCCAACGATCGAAAAAATTGAGATCATCCTCGAAGAGTATCGAAGGCTAGCTTACATGGGATCTCTCCTGAAACTGACAATGAATTACTTACGTTTGTTGCAGCTCTTTCTTAAAGTTTTGCATCGCCAAATGATAGACCAAGAAATCGTCATGGAATGGTGTGCCAACGCCTTCGATTTGGACCTGCGTATTTTTTTTAACCTATGCGGTATTGAAGTTTTTGGCGACATTTGGGTGCCTAATGGCCTTGTAAACTTCATCCACGAAACGCGCGGACTCAAACTGTGCCATAAAATTACTAACTTCGAGAAACAACTCGAGGCTATTCGAAGCGAGCTCCGAAATGAGAAATTCAAGTCATTAAAAGATAAAGAGAATGTTTTCCGCAGTATTGACACCGCGATTGTAAAGTATAATGTGGAGCGCAAACTTAATGTAAACCTGGATCAATGCGAGCCAACGAGCTACCTGGATATATTAGCTCTACTCAAGAGTAACAAAGAGCGTTATAACCCCTTGATGTATGAGATTTATCTTCGCGTTGGTGACTACCCCAACTGTTTATCACTTTTGAAAGAACAAAAGGATGGCACTCAAGTAGGCGCCTTCATTATTGAAAATCTCACGAAGCTACAAAGCAGTAAAGGATATGACCGTAACACGCTGCAGAAGGACATCGTATTTCTTATAGAGACCCAGACTAGTGGTCCCGGTCGTGAACGTCTGATGAAAGACATTACTGATATAATGAGTCGATCCAAGCTTGATGTCAAGGATTTGATATCCATACCTGATAAAAATGTCACCAAAATGGCAATTTTGGAAACTTTGGGCTCCAATGACGTCAGTGACAAGCATTTTATGATAGAGTACTACGTCTCAAAGCTTCGAGAAGTAATGGAGAAAGGCAATTTATGGGAGTTCTTCGGTGCACTATCCGCATCCTATGCTCAAGATCAAGATTATCTGAAGCCGAGCTTGAAGACGTTTCTGGATATGAAACTAACTTCTAGTCATGAGTGTAGCGAATTGCTACAGTATGGGGAAAAGTTGAGGTCATTGATGTATGCAGATGATGATAGACTTGTCTTCGATGCTGTCATTGAAAAAATCAAACTCTTTGACATCGCTAATATGCTTCTCTTTTTTTTGGTGAAAGATGAAGACAAGCACTTGATTTTCGAGCGAGACTTGCTGGACAAGTTGATGACCTATAATGATTTTGAAACTATCGACAAGCTGGCAACTGAGAAGGACATGATAAAAGTTTTGAAATTTTATTTGAAGCTTGAGTCCAAAAAAGACTCATTTATGCTGCTCAAGAAACATTTGAATAAGCATTTAAACACAGTAGCATCCACTGAAGGCCTAATTGAAGTGCTGAAGCTAATTCCAAATGATTATGGTTTTGCAGATATCATGGACCCTCTAACTCTAGTGCTGGTAAAAATCAATACAGTCCTCACGAACCAAGAATTGGAGAAGGCACTATTGAAGCACGAAATACGCGAGGATGTTGAACTTCTTAGCCGATTAATGGAAGAAAAGGACCTAAAGAACTGAGCTGTTTTTCATTATTTACATGTTTTTAATTGTGACAGGGTGGATCTCGGCCGGAGTTGAATCTATACCTCGAGCTGGGACACCGGTTTGAGCCCTGAACATACGTTAAACACGAGGTTTTTGCTAACAACGTCTATGTTGGATTTTTCCAGACTTATTCTCACAACCTCACTGTTTTGTACTAACTCACCTCTTTTCTTGGCATTTTTGGCAATATTTTCAAAAGATTTTTGGCTAGCAGGCGATAAAGCACTATACTTTCCCTGTACGGCTCTTTCGAATTGACTCAGGTCTGGAGATACTGCGACATTCTTGAATAGTCTTTCCTTGCCCAATGCCAAAGACGAGGCAGGTATATATTTGCCAAAACCTGCGCTATTCGGGGTCAAGGAAACGTTGAGTGGTTTCTCGGAAGGGGAGGTTGCCACTCCTAAGTTAATCGAGCGCGTCAGTGGAAAATCATTTTTTCGCAAAGTTGATAGCCCATATGAGTTCATTTTTGATAAAGAACTGAAGGCCAAACTTGGTGCGTACTTAAGGAGCCCAAGCGGTGTAGGTTCATCCGGAGAATATTGTTGAGAAGGCGTCGATTTCCTAACTTTAGAAGCAATTCCTTCGACCGAGGATGCCGAATTGGTTTGCCCTGGAACAGTGCGCTGTGATGTCCGAGGTGCACGAGGTTTTCTTCCCGGTTGTTTTGAAGTTTGCTGGAATTTGTTAGAACGGAACTGGACACCGCTGGTTGAGTCCAAAGCGTCCATTATACCTGTACTGCCCGAGCTCATGTCTCCACTGGTAGTCTCATCAGCTCCGTTCCTTCTGCGTCTGAATTGTGACTGTCTGTTCATAACACTGGCGTTGATACCAGGTTTTCTATTTCCATTTGCATTAGACAAATTTGAATCGTTGGTTACAGGACCTTGAGAAAAACCACCACTTCTAGAGCCAAATTTTTTCCCAGAATGGTTTCTACCCATCTCACCATTCTCATTGGCACGTCTAGGGGCTCTTGACCTTGGATTTGGCCTATTAAGCGTTGGTTTCCTGGCTGCAGTCTCTTTCACTCGTTCAAGCACATTTTTCAAGAAATCCTGGGAGATAGCGCCGCTGTAAAGTCTCCTGGATTGCCCGAATTTCCTAGGTACAATCATAACTGACTCCGAGACTCTTAAAAGCTCTAGAAGGGACTCGTTAATGCGATGATTTGTTCAACTTTCTTGAGTTCATCACTTATATATTCAAGAATTTTTCAGCAGCTAATAAGAGATGAATATTTCAACCAGACTAGAAGAATAGCTGAACAACAGAATAGTGTGTCATTGCGAAAAACAAAGCAAGGAAAGACTAAACGTTGAGGTTTATAAAATGCAAAAGGTTTGAAAATTATTCGACTTATATTTGAAAGAGTTTCGTGGCAAAACCAGTATTGTGGAAGCTAGAATAATTTGTTATTTGTGGGGTCGAAAAAAACGCTATAAAATACGTTTTACCTGAGCAAATGGTCTGTTCTGTTACTTTTGAGAACTTCCTTGGCACGTAAAAATATATCGATGTTTACAAGAAATCAACTTTTTTGAATTGTCCACTTGTGGTATGTTGTAGCTGTCGAGAAGGAAGACGTTATAAGGCGCGGTTTATACCGTGTGACCATCCTCAGATACTTCAAATGGTACATTGTGCTGGTTCAGGGCCTGTTGCAATTCCTTTACAATAGATTTATTTTTATCGCTGCCGACTAAAACAACATTCTGGATCAAACTTATCGGTATATCCTCGGGTGCCAAATACACATCGTTCAACGACCTGAACACTTGGTATTTCTCGCACAGATCTCTCACTTTCAGATAGATGTAAACGTTGCTGGAAGTCCGCATGCCACTAACCACCTTTTCATCCAAGCCGGTGACACCAGCCGCTAGATGTATGTGGTTTCTGCGCATCTTTTTAAGAGAGCCGGTTTGGAGTATGAGTCTTAGATTGCTGAAGTTGGTGCCATGCACAAGTTTGGAAGGGATTTCTTCTGTGGCGGAGATTTGGTGAAGGACTTCGTCAGATGGTGTCACTTGTGCGAGAGAATGACCTTGTGTGGCACATATGACTGTCTGACCGTCGTGGCTGCTCTGCATATGGAACCGTTTCTTCACGTTGTTAGCCACCACCCGTTCAACGTCTTGCAGCGTGCATTGTAAGCTTTTCAGCCTATTGTGTCTAAGCAAAAGCTCAATGGAGACGTAACCGTTGTTATCTATGGGAAGCCCCTCATTCACAGCGCCATGGCGAAGGAGATATGCCAAGGCCTTGGAGATTTGGATATCCCGTTTATTTTCAGACATAGCTAGCTTGTTCTATGTTTTCTGGAGCTCTAGTGGGAGTAGCGATGCAATGAGATGTAATGGCATGAACGAAACATTTAAAAACAAGTTGCAAAAAAATGTGTAGCCCGTGCGTGAGCTGTAAATGGAGGAGTTTCAAGACTACGTTTTTGGTTTGTGCTATATTCTTTCCCTTAGTTAAAGATCAGTGAGTCTGTCTAGTGTATACGTAGATGCATGTATTTACAGATGTTGGGCATCTCGATTCAAAAGTCGAGAATTCTTCTCTTTATATATAATCTAGTCGTAAAGTTTCTCACCACCACCGCAACAGCCTCCACCTTTGGCTGCTAGGGTTGCTTTTGCTTGTTTTACCGTTTCGTTGTCGCCCAGTTCGGTGTCTTTATGAATGTTCAAAGCATATTTGTCGCCTTCGGTTTTCTTTCCCTGCACGATATTACGTCGCAAGAACTCTGCAACGTCGTTAAGATGACTTATCTGCTGTTCCGGGGATAGTTCTGGGTTTGGTGGATGCACCATACCATCTCTCATTTGAGTTCTTGCAGCTAACAGAACTCTTGTGTCTTGACTGAATGCGACTCTTGTAGCTCGCAGACCGTTTCTGTAGGCAGCCAGCGCAGCCATACGGGTACTCATGATAGTTTGGAGCGGTTCGTCGATGGAAGAATGGTGCTGGGTGATGCTGTTGAGTGATGAGATCAACGCTTGGAAATCCATGGTCAATCGATGACATGGGTATTATAGGTACTAATTATGTTAAATTCATGAGTGTGCTCGTGTATCGTGATGAAGTCCTGTAACGCCTATTGAACAGCGGAAAACCCGGAAGGAATGCTGTCAGATAATCGTGATGTGTATTAGTTACCTCAGATCTCATTTACGCTGGGATTTTCTCGTTTTTTGCCCACTCGAAATGCCAAATTTTGACAATTTTAGAGAAAATCATTATGAGAAATAGAAGTGAAACGCTATTAGAGCCTTTGACGCATGCAACAACAGGAAAAATGTCTCTTCACTGTTGCGATCACAATTTGATGCGGTCAGTGGTCTCCCGATTGTCAAATGACTGCACTCTCCCAATGGACGACACTATAGTACAAAGTGACATGCTTTTTTGGTATGCTTCATGGCCATGCGTGATAAATATCTGCTGCACTGAACTGCAACTAGAGTACCCTCTGGGGTTTTATTCCCGAATTTGAGCCAGCTAGGGGCTTAATATCGTATTATGTATACATGTGTTTAGAGGTCGTTATACGGTGTATGCGCAGACACCGTATTGAAAGTTAACGAAACAACGAAGATTGGAAACGGATCCCAGCCTTCATGCGAGAACTTTCAAATTGAGAAGATTCGAAGTGCTGAGACCAGTGTGCAGGAAAAAATAGGACCCAATCAGCGCTCTGAAATGGCATATAGAGCCACACACTACTAGCACATGGAATAGCTGGTGACTGTGGCCAACAAAATCGAATTTGCCCGGCAAAAGTGCTTCAGGTAGCCGCAGTCCGTAGACCACAGCACCCACAATGTAGAAAAGTGCTTCCCATAGCACGAAACGGAGCTGAACTCGCTTGCAGGATTCTTCAATTCCAAATTTGACGAGACCAGTTACGATCGGCACAACACCACTGAATCCGAACAGCACGAAAAACGCGGCCCGGAAAGCACGCCAATTTTTGGCGTTAAAACGATCGTTCAACACAAACGCCGCACACACTGATCCCAAGACAACCACAACGATAGTGAAGAGCTTGAAATGGAATAAATAATCGTGGAATCCATAGTACAGCAGCGATACCATCGAACAGGAAATCAGCACAATGATGCCCATGTAGTCTACTTTACTCCAGGCGTCGCTGTGTGCCTCGGAGTGCTGCTTCATGCAGTGGAAGCAACTACTGCACATTAGACATAAAAAGGCTCCCAGAAGGAAAAAGTTGATCATGATGTAATCGGACATCGACGTTGATGGGAACTGAGGAATTAGGACAAAATCCGTAAAGAAGATTAGAAGCGCTAGGTATGTTCCGCCAGGAATCAAATGGGTGTAAATGTTCACGGACTCGTTGTGGAAGTAAAATAGCGATTTCACACATTTCATAAGAGACCGGGTTTCGCGCACATAGCCCCGGAGTATTTTGTCATTGTCACGTTGCCATTCGGGTAGTTCTTCGTAGCTGCAAAGCCCGTGGTTTCTGGCTTTACATGCAATTTTCACTCCGTCCCCGTTTCTAACTTTCCCGGGCGGACTTCGCCTCTGTCTGACCGTGCAAGTAGCACTCATTGAAACCCTAGAATAAGGGAGCTTGCCAGTTACTGAACCGACCCTTTGAAATGATTCTCAAGGCACCTAAGGCTTGTTTAACCATCACCTTTTATATTTAAAGGTTTCAACATCACTATAACCCAAATTTCGTTGGGATTAATTTTTCAGGCCATTGGTAGTATACGACAAGGCGATGAGCTGTGTCTTGGCCAAACGTAGAACTCAGCTTTTATTGATTTCCGATGAGAAATACAGCTGTAACGTAGAGGCTTGCCTTGTGTTGAGATTGTTGCGATTCGCAGCTTTCGAATGAGCCTAATGGTAAAATGTTGCGAATGAGTCTTGGAGCTTCAAAACGGCGATATTAGTATGACGTGCATGTCCAACAATTTTGATGAAGCGAGTTATGTGTGTCTGTCGAGTGGATTCTGTGTCTGGGCGTTCTTCTTTTAACTTTTGATCTTTTGCAGCAGGGTGAGAACGTTTGTGGACGGTGCCACGCACGATTCTGGCGAGTTTTCGTTGCGCTTGGAACTTCTGGATTCTGACTCGACAGCGATATCTTTCGTTTCTCCTAGCACAGCCAGAAAGTCGTTTTGACCATTCGTTTCCTTGCAATTTTCGTGTGGGACATCACTTTTGCGCGATCTGCGTAAGGCATTCTTTAGACGATGGGCCAACTCAAAAACACCACGTCTTCTGAGTGGTCGCGGAAGCGCAGCTTGCTGCTCATCTTTGATATCTCCAGGGAAGGTTTGTGTGGTCATGGGAGAAATCCCATCGTTGGACGGGGATACAGTCTTTAGTCCGTTCAAAAGTAGCAGCAACTCAAGCTGTTCCGTGTCATAGCTGAACTCCAGGGTGCTGTGTTTTTCTTCTTTCTCCAGGCAACTTGTCCAAGGTGTCGTTGATCCTGACAGCCACGACCGCAGTCGACGGCGGAACCGCAAACGGCCCAAATATTCTTCTGCATCCTGTTCGAAGCACTGTACCAGCTCTGTTGTTGCCATTTTAATGGACCAAAAATAGCTGCCAACGAAGAAGATCTAATTGTAACTGAACCCACCAGGCTGATTCGCGACAACATATACAAAACACTACAAAATTGTCCAAGTCTAGGGCCCTTTTGACAGATGTCGCAAAACGTCACTCAAACTTGACCAAAATTGGTCCATCTTGAACTATAAAACCATCCTTAGGAAGCCATCAGGAGCTATCCAATCGATTACATTGCGATTGACCAGTCATACCGGTTGAAAAGGTTAAAACTGCTGGTCTTTTTCAATTCCATCACTCTTTTCTGACGAACTAGGTCAGTAATTTGTAAATTTAAGTTAGCAACAATTCACTACTTTCATACATCAATCCAGGTAAACAATCAGCAATTCTGTTGCGTTAGACTTGGTCTACAAACTATTCAAACTGTTTGTGAAGCTGTTTGGGACCTATGCAAAGCTCAGTGCTACTTTCGTAACTTTTCAACAACAGAATTTCACGGCTAAACTGCATTGCATTTGAACTAGCACCATGTCTTTAGACTACGAAAGACCACTCATTCCAGGGGACCAAGATCCGACTAAGGCTCCAGGACTTCGTCTGGACCATCGGTCAGTTTTGGCTCAATCTGAAATCTCTGTGAATTCGGTTCCAGGCGGACTCAGTATCGCCAAACAGCATGGCTCTTCCAGACATTGTTATGGTCAGAATTTGGCAAGGCCACCAATGGAAAAAGCACTCACCGATACAAGCAACTTCATTCAGATCCATGGAGACTCTTCCGGTCAATTTAAATCTGCAAATGGTGCTGATAATATCAGCCTAAGCAGCAACGGTGACCTGGACAGCAGTGCACAATCAAGTTCCGAATCCTTGGTTCCTACAAACAATTACACATCCTCTGTCAAAGAAATGAACCTCTCGGAATCAATGCGCAAAAGACGAGACGAATGGGCTGAGAGAGGCGCTGCTAAGATCGTCAAGGAAGTTGTGAACCCAGAAACAGGAGTCATGGCAAAACACGTCATCAAAAAGGGTATCAAAGACTTTAGGTTTGGAGAGGTGTTGGGAGATGGCTCTTATTCTACCGTCATGCTTGCCCGTTCCAATGACAGTGGCAAGAAATATGCTGTCAAAGTCCTCAACAAGGAATATCTTATACGTCAGAAAAAAGTCAAGTACGTCAACATCGAAAAAAACACACTACAGCGATTGAATAGTGGGAGAGGTGTCATCAAGTTATATTTCACCTTTCAGGACGAAGCCAGTCTCTATTTTTTGCTTGAATACGCTCCAAATGGTGATTTCCTTTCTGTGATCAAGAAACATGGAACCTTAGCTGAGGAATGTGCACGATACTACTCTGCTCAGATCTTAGATGCCATCGACTACCTTCACCACATGGGGGTAGTGCACAGAGATATTAAACCTGAAAACATCTTGCTGGATAAAGATATGAAGGTTAAATTAACTGATTTTGGTACCGCCAAACTTCTCGACAGAAACGGTGTTACGGATTCTTATGATCTTTCTGAGAGGTCGAAATCATTTGTTGGTACGGCTGAATATGTATCACCCGAGCTCTTGAATGACAACTACGTGGATTACAAATGTGACATTTGGGCTTTTGGTTGTATCCTTTTCCAAATGATCGCTGGGAAGCCACCTTTCAAGGCGACTAACGAGTATCTCACATTTCAAAAAGTCATGAAAGCACAATATGCATTCACAGCAGGATTTCCGCTAGTCATCAGAGATCTGATCAAGCGCATTCTGGTGAAGGCCCCAGAGAATAGATTGGAAGCTGCACAGATCAAGAAACATCACTTTTTCGGTGACACAAATTTTGACGATAATAGTATTTGGGAAGATCCTGCTCCCGAGATTACACCTTATAAAATGAATGCTAAGGCTATGCAACCAATTGCTGCTCTCGACAAAACTAAACCAAAGCTTGTGATCAACATGCCGAAAAAACAAAGCCGCTCACAAACCCCGTCAGCTCCATCAACTCCTGAGCCTACGAACGAAGCCAAAATTCCGGAGCCAGCGAGGCCCTCAACAGATGCCAGAACTGCTCAGATCTTAGAAAATGCAAAAAGAGAGATCCAAAATAGACGTCAGAATAACCGTAGAACAACAAGTGCGGCTTCTGCGGCCGCTTTAGCGCTCATGAAAAATTCGTCTAGATCAACCCCTCCTCCAAACTCAGGAAGGTCTGAATCTTCTGGCGGTGTACCTTCTAGTGATCCTCCGTCTCCTAGACCTACACAACTCCCTCCACCTTCTCGCGTAGATCGGTCGCAAACGGGTGGCATTAGCGGATCTTCTGCCACAACCCTTTCGGTACCTCCCATGAATAAAACCGATATCCTGTGGTCTTTCTATCTGAAAAATATCGATGAGCGGGTTCTCAAAACGGGCGAAGTGGAAATGACTTGCATGAAATCTCTACTTTTAGAGAAGAGGTTATCTAAAACCAACGCATCTCTGGTGGACCTAGGGCGCTCCTCACAAAGAACCACTTTCTTATCGCAGGTCGCGAGGTCGGGAGGCGGTGTGACGGGTTTCAGATCCGACAGTGGTTTTGATAATCTAACTGAGAAAGACTTCTATCTCGAATGGACCATTACTGACAGCGTTGTGGTTGACTCCTACAAGAAAAGCGAACCTGAGGGTGGGGAGACGCATGCAGTGTCCCATAAATTCAAAAAGTTATTCCAGGCGAAAAACGAAGAGATTCCAAGAGTCACAGACGTTATTCCATCTTCAGATTTTTTGAGAAGATTTATGGTAATCACGACGTTTGGACGTTGCCTTGTTTTTGTCAAAAGAAATCGAGTACAACCAGAAACCAACCTGTCCTTCGACCTTGAGTTCGATATCGATTTGTCTCAACGAGATGTGAGGATCAAAGAACTTGTTGTTGAAGGTGATGGCTATGAAGTTAGCGACTTCCAGTACGTTGTGGAGACACCGTTCAAGTCATTTGTCTTCAAGTGCCGTGCCAGTGACTCAACATGGCTATCAACTTCAATAAAAAGCGTGAGGCTCAACCACGATAGAAACGTGGAAAAGACCAGATTAGCAGAACCCTCTGGAATCGCCAGTAGAGCGGCAAGGCTCGCAAGTCCGACATTGCCGTCTACGTCCACATTTGCAGCCAAGGCATCTCCGACATTTGTAAAATCGTCGCCCAAGGCATCTGATCCAAAATCTCCTGCCAAACCGTCGAGTCCGGTAGCATCGCTACTTTCCACCAATGGATCCAAATCAGGTCGCTTGTTTGATACATTTGTTGACAAAAAGGGCAAAGAAAGTAAAAAGACGGTAAAGCCGGTGCCTTTGTCAGGAAAACTTACTAACGGGCTTCCATCAGCCGGTACGATAAACGACAGGTCGCAATTAGTCCAAGACTCCACAGGTCAGTATACATCCAGGCAACTTCAACGACCCACATCTTCAGGCAAAGGATCAAGGCTTCTTGAAAGGTCTGATCGGCCGTTCAAGAGATGAATCTTTATACGATCGCAAATATTCATAATGGCGAAGCATTTCGTGGAGGTCGTCTGTTGATCGCAGGAATGACGTGGAAGCTGGGAAATTAATTAGTTTACGTACTATGCAGTCTCTTCGATCTTAGTAGTGGCCTACTTGCACGATACGTATGCTTGCAGCAACCATTGCCGCTATTTCATCGACCATTACGCACGCAGGTACGCACGCAGGTACGCCTCACTGTCCCTTTTGAGAAAAGTGTCGATGGCATATGGCCACTGAGGGGAAACGCCTCGATGGACCACAAATGGGTGGACTAAGCACAAAGCTCTCCAATGAGCTTCGATATAAGACTAAACCTTCGAGAATTCACGGGCTTAGTGGCAATCGTCATTAATTGGTTTCTTCCTCACTTGATTCTTCTGTATCAGATCCACTGGTATCCTCGCTTTCTTCGTCAAGTTCTTCGACAGCCACTTTGTAACCCTGGGCTTCCATAAACTTTTGGACAGACTCGAGCTTTGAAGGATGGCAGCTGACGAACATCGATGCCGTTTCTGAGCTGAACATAGGTAGGAAATACTTGGAAAAGACATGCTTTAGTTCTCCCACCTTGACTTCGCCAAGTTTGCGCAGGAACGCTTTATTGAAATTTGGCCCTCGCTTTCTACAAATGTCGTCCACGTACTTCATCAAGGCTGCAGAAAAGAAGTCGGACTCACTTGTCGCAATCCCATTAATAATGCTGCTTATTGCCCCTTGACACAGTTGGGAGTCAATTGCACAATTCCCAAACGCATAATCCTCAACAATCTTATGAGCAGTCTGGTAGCAGTTTATAATATCTGCACCACGATAAACGGAGAATCCGATGGCATCTGACTCTATCATCTTCAGTATGTTAGCGCCATACGCAAAACCAGAGCCGCGAATTCCCTTCCAAAACGGACCTTCCACACAGCTCAGGTACTCAGCTGCAAGACATATCGCGGCATAATCAGAATGCTTGTAATCAACGTTTATGCCCAAGCTTGTGGCAAGTGTCATGTATGATGACTCCGAGGCGGGGGTGGTAACAATATATGCAGTGCCCTTTGGATTTTTTCCCAGAACGGATAGCGAGCTCAACAAGCGGGGAGTCTCTGGGTATTCCACAACAGAAGGGTTTCCTTGAGTCCCTTTTGATGCCAACTCTAACCACGGCGTATACACATCTTCGATCTTTTCGATCCCACCCAAAACAAGTACGTGATAGGAGGTGAAATCCTTGACCATCTCATTGCGCATATCGTTCAACTTGGGTAGGATCTCTTCGCTGAATTTCCCTTCGTCAATATGATCAATTACATCTTCGATAGAGTCCTCAACATATAACGCATCAGTAGCTTTCTTGGTGGTTCTCTCAGTGTAAAAGTGCCTATTGAAGAGAGAATCGACCATTAAGTCGCCCTCTCTTTTGAGTTCAACTATTGACGTCCAGTATTTTTCCAGGAGAACTCTCACTCTTTTCTCATCAAATACCATGTCAAAAAGACAGTGTTTGATCCACTTTACAGCATTGGCGTAGTTTGAAACTTGAGCCGATATCTTGAACTCAAGAAGATCGGGGAACGCACCGGCCAAACCCAAATCGATTTCAGAATCGATGGTTTCCGCTTTCAGATCGGAAACGACCTTCTCGAACGCAAGCATGGAACCATCCTCAGTTTTCATTGGCATGGAAAATAATTCACAGAGAACATGGTATAAAGGCAGTAAAGTGACATCAGTAACCTTGACAGTATTGAGCAAAACTCGCAACTCGATAAATTGAGAAGGGAATTGCTCGAAATGTAGTGAAAATGGGAAGTTTTTTGGCATCTGATCCGAAAGCTTCTTTGCCCAGGCCTTCGAAGACGCATTCTGGAAAGACGGGACGGTCGAAAAACTATCTGTCTCTATCAATGATATGCTGTTTTCCGCGTCCGCTATCTTAAAATCTTGCAATAAATGGGCAGGAATCTCTTTAGAATTGTGCGACACCGCGTTTTCCAATTTGACCTTGAGTTGATGTTGACCTCCTTCTCCCAAATCTTTTTCGGCCTTCTCAGTTCTTGCTTTTTTCTGCTCTTCAAGCTGCTGATACAAAGTAACACTTGGCTTTCCTAAAACAATAACAGGCTTGTTGTCAACAAACAATGTTCTCAGCAAAATCTGCCATTGTTCTTGAGACCATCCTGCAAGCGTTTCGAAATCGTTCAGATTTTTCAGAGTGTTCTCCAGAATTGAACCACGGTCATCACCGTAAATGAAGTCAGTTATGCAAGTTTGACTTAAGAATGTGAGCCCATTTTTTTCACAATTCAGAACGTACTCCCATTTCCCGTTCTCTACAACTTGTTTCATGCGTGCGAAGTCAATTTTATGGTTTCGAAGAATTTCGAGGATCTTTTCTTTGGCTTCGTGCATCCGTTCGACGGGTACACCATGAAAGTTGAAGTTCACAATAGTGCGCATGAAATCATCAGTCCAGTATTCTGCCAAATTTGCCAAAGGATCATCGATTTCAACAAGGTGGCTATTGAATGGAGCGAGTGCAGTTTCGGTGAAATAATCCATCAGCATAGAAACTGCAAGATCCTTGAGATGTTCCGAATAAGGCTCTGCGATCCATGACATTAGGATTTCACCTTGAGACTCGTCAGTTTCGGGAAACTCGATCTCAGAAATACTAGTTTCGGTTCTTTTGGCTGGAATCTGAGATTTTTTGGAGTCCAAGAATGGTCTGGAGCGCACACCGTTAAAAGTGGGTAAGTCGGCATCGAACTCGGTTACAATGGACAAAAGCTCATCTTCTGGAACGTTACCAGCGATAATGAGACACAAATTCTCGGGTGAATACATGTCTTTGTGAAATTTGCGAATTTCATCGTTGGTCAGTTCTCTTAATTTCTCAGTAAGACCACCAGTTTCGGAGCGGTATCCGCTGCCTTCCTCAAACATTTTCCGCTGTTTTTCGAGCATAGTAATGAACCAACTTTGTGATTCGATTCCCTCCATTTCGCTAAAAACCACACCTTTTTCTTGCAAGTCCTGTGGATCCACATGGTATACCTCAGTCGTGCACGCCTGATCTGTCAAAGTTGGATGCAAGACATGATCCAGATACACGGGAAGCAGTTTTTTAAAACCAGGCCATCCGGCCGACGATAGCGTGTAAACGGTTTGATCAGTGGCGGTCCAAGCGTTTGTGGATGACATACACAAGTTTCCAGCTGTGTCTAGCAGGCCTTTGTATGGATACTTTTTGGACCCCATGAAAATCAAATGTTCCAGTGTATGGGGTGCTCCGGAGTCTGTTGGGCATTCTGTGGCTACTGCAAAGTATCCTTGTACCAAGGGAGATGCCTGGTTATGAATATGAATCAATTGAAGACCAGAACGAGATGAGATGAACTTCGATAGATGATATTGCGGAGCATAGTCCAATTGGAAAGAGACCAGCTTGTTGAAAGTCATTTTTATACGTGAGTGAAAACTTGAGTTGTTGGCTTATAGCCTAGTTAATTCGCTGAACGATACTCCTGGCTGAGTATTGCTGGTGAAAGTTGTATTTTACTCGAACACCTCATCGGTACTTCTTGAATAAATTTCAGTTATATATTGGACAGCTAAAGACTCGATGATGACAGTGAATTGAACAAGCAAGAGAAGAAGCATATGATTGTGATGGGTACTGAATTAAAGAGAACCAGCAAATCAAAATAATTGTAGTTGAATCGATGAATGGGTTTTGCGAGAAATTGCGGACGTGGGCGATTTACAGGTGTTCAAATAATTCGGTAAAGAAGACATGGCCTCGGGATAGTTGTGAGCGTTCTTGGAAGTGTGTTCACTGGTTGTGGCATGGATTTGATTCACATAGAAGAGTGGGCTGATGACTTTTGTATTGATAGTTAGAGTCTTTAGCTAGCAGCGGAATTCAGAATTAAGAATTCGAAGTGGCGGCGTCAGCGATGACGGAGGGTGTTTGCTAGATGAAATATATATAAAGAAACGGGTGGTCACTTGCTTGGATGAAACAATAATCTTCCGCAGCTTGTGTTTCCATGAATGAAGTGGGATATCATGCAGGGTGTTTCCTTTTTTCACTACTATGAATCGGTTCTCACTTTTTCACAATATGAGCTGATTGTTACTGTGAGCTGAGTGTTAGCGTCAGCTGAGCGTTTTCTTCAGTAGCTCTTAACTTTCCACAATCTCTGGGCAATTCTCAACAATAGCTATCATGCACACAGGTTTTCTTAGCACTGACAAAGATTCAATTGACATACGACTCTTCACAGCAGCATTGGCAGTGATTCTAACCATTTCAGAGCTTTCGCTGTCCTGGCTAGCAGCAACAATGACAGTATGCCAGGCCCGGAACTACCTTCTACTCTGCACCCAACCTTACAACCCGTTTTGCGATCCGTTTCGTATATAGCGACGATCCGTTTTCAAGATCCGGGTTTTCACCAACATTGCACTTCTCACTGCACTCACCACACAAACATCGCGGGAAAACGCAATACTGTTAGCATCATCCGTAACTTTCCAAATCCCTTGCAGAAATTGTGGTTTTCCCCCGTCTCTAATTTCTATCCGAACAATACCGGAGCATTTCGCGGGAAACTAAACCGCTCCACCCCGGAAACATTATCACGACCCTGTCACCACACGACCCTGTCACCACACCACCGATACGGATGTTGTGGTGCGGGCTTTTGTTCTGTAGTTTTCAATCCCGTTCCCGGTCGAAGCCAGATCACTTTTTCCCACCACGACGCCCAAGACCAAAGTGAGAAAAAATGTTTATACACGCATCAACGTCAGCAGGTGTCATTGAGTAGTGAATACCGTGCCAAGCAACAAACAACAAAAAAAACCTGAAAGCATAGACCCACACAGATCATTTTGCGTATCATTGTCGGTATCTTCCGATTTGCGCTGTTTTCATTGCCTTCTGTTCTTGCATCGCTTCTTTTCCGGACGGGGAAGGACTTTTTTTTTTTCCGTCTCATTTTAGCATTTCCCGTGCAGTAAGTAGTAAATCAGTAGGCTGATGCAACGTCGTCAGAGTAGTAGCAGTAGTGGCTTGTTTTTGGAGCTTACACGATCACAATAGCTATTCAAATGGCTCGGCTGAGGAAAAAAGACGGCACCGGACCTGTCACCAAGCCGTGAACGGATAATTCGCGAATAACAAGTATTCTGTAAGCCAGGTTGGAAGACATGTATATAACAAACGACAGTGTCGACTACGGATTCCTGTGTCGATGATGTCTTGTCTCGTTCACGGTATTCGTCTGTTGTAGACACACACCTTTTGGTAATACTCCTACTACTACTATAATTGATAGAAAAGCTAAAAATAATGTACCAGCTTCAAAACCGCTCGTTGCTGGCATCAGATAGAGAGCGGGCTCTTTTGACACAACAGGCTCGTAGCAAACTGATACGATGTGCACATAGCGATAAAAATACGGATCTAAACTTACGAATTCTGGTAGGCCACGCTAATTTGCTGGACCGTCTGGCATTGGAAGAAACGCAATGCGATGTCCAAACGTACAACTCGACAATTTTGGAAGAGTTCCAATCGGATTCCGAAAGCTCCGATTCGGGTTCCGATTCGGGTTCGGACTCAGAACTCGAATCTGACGCAAGCTTCGACGAAGAAGAAGACTTTGATTCGGATTTGGAAGATACCGATGAGTACTGTTACCGTCATAATGACAACGACGCTAATGAATTTCAGTCGCCAGCGGTGCCTTTGTACGAGATAGCCAAACACATTTACCGGCCTCACGACAACGAGAACGATAACGGTAACCGGAGCATGCGTTGCGAAACGACCACAACCGTGGTGACGCTTGCCAACGATGATGACGACGACGAAGACGATGATGATGATGATGATAATGGTAACAAATGGAGCGATGTCGCTTTCGACGACGACGACGACGCCGACGCCGATGATGAAACGGAGCGTATTTTGAGCTACTGGGACCGTCATCACCAACAACAGCGCCTCCACCACCATCACCACAGCGCGGTAAAGATAGAACGCGTTCCCGCGATACCTCTGATGTGCTAAGGATTCTACTTCTTTCCTTTCAGCACTTACGACGATTTTTCACGATTTTAACGACCCCCACCACCAACATCCGAAAAGAACACGATACACACTGCTTGTCAAGCCTGCAGATCTTCGTTGCTGTACTGTACATAATAGTAATCAAGAGCAACGGGAAATTCTCGACCTTCCAGGCCCAGCTTTGAACTTTACATTCTTTTTTCGTGACGCCGGCCAGAGCCATCTACAAATTAATATTCAACTAATAGATATATGAACAATTATAATAGAAATATAGACTAGACAAGAGCCACTAGAGACATAGAAGGGTATGTAACTAGACCGGTAATGTCCCTGGCTTCTTCCACTAAGTCTCAATGTTTCCTCTATATGCACCGGGAAAGATCACTTTTTCGTAAACTGTCGCTAACGTGCTAACTTGTCAGGAAACAAAGACACCACACACACACACCAGATTATCAGTTATCAAAAGCGTTTCCGTAAGCTGTGTAACCATTCATTATTGTATTGCACGCACATTATTTCGTAACATCCTGACTTTACGAGCCTGCTGTCTCTGTAGGTCGTTTTGATAAGGCCATTGTTCTCTCGAGCCAGCTAATTACAGCAGCGATAAGATTACCTAGATTATACATATATAGCGTCACCAGACTCAAGAGCGGAAAAGAGTCATTTGGACTCGTTAGTTGAGCATACAAAAGCCGCCTATCCGCTCGAGAAGACTCGTTTGTAACGTTATATAACCACTTTGTACTGAGCTGCTCAATTCGCACATGTCTAACGACTACACACCATTAGACGGTTCTACAAGGCCTTACAGAACCAGAAAGAATTGGATTCTTTCTGCATTTGCATTTGTTATAGTGCTCTCGGTTTTTGGAGCCTCTCGTATTGTCCACAATGCCTCAGAAACGCATCCCGAACCTTTGATGTGCGACAATGTGCATAAGTTGGACCATTTGCCCATTCAAAAAATCCAGAAACTACTCAATGACAAGGCCCTGTACAATGAGACCCTTGCCAAGCTACAGAACGCAGTCCGGGTACCAACAGAAATCTCCGACTCAGCAGTAAACCCTGAAGTGGACCCGGACCACGAAATATGGACACCTTTTAAACAACTGCACAAGCAGCTAGCCAAAGACTTTCCCACAATGTGGGACAAACTGGAAGTCGAACATGTCAACCATTATGGACTTATCATCACTTGGAAAGGGTCTAATTCAAAGCTCAAGCCCATTATGTTTGCAGCACATCAGGACGTCGTACCCGTTGAACGGAAGACGTGGGACCAGTGGGAACACAAGCCATTCTCCGGCGATATTACTGAGGATTCCGAATGGGGCACGCTTTTGTGGGGACGTGGTTCATTTGACGACAAAAACCAACTGATTGGCGTTTTGCAGACGTTGGAATATCTGCTGGTCCATGAACCTAAATTTCAGCCTCAGCGCAGCATCATTCTTGCATCTGGGTTCGATGAAGAAAGTGGAGGTCAGCTGGGAGCCGCGTACATTGCTAAAAACCTACATGAACGCTACGGTGATAACGGAATCCTCAGTATCATCGATGAAGGTGTGGTTGGCGTAAAGGAAGTCGACAACGTGTTGATGGCCGCCCCGGGGACCGCCGAAAAGGGTCGCTTCGACATGTGGATTCATCTCAACACTCCAGGTGGTCACTCGTCTGTGCCTCCAGACCATACGTCCATCGGGATTGCAGCTGAATTAATCACAGACATCGAAAGCGAGAAATTTCCAGCCCTTTTCACTGAAAGAAACCCTGTTTCGCAATACTACCGCTGCATAGCCAAAAACTCCGACAGTATAAGTCCTAGCGTGAAAAAGGACTTTGCACGGGCAATTCAAGACCCAAAAGCAAGAGGTCGCGTCTTGAAATACCTGTTTGAAACCGGAGGAAAGAAAACTGAGTATCTGTTCCGCAGTACGCACGCATTCGACCTGATTCACGGAGGAATCAAAGCCAATGCCTTGCCAGAGACTGTGTCAGTGTTTGTTGATTCACGGGTCGCTGTTGAGACCCCTACTGAAGAAATTAAAGAAGCGTTCATTGCTAAAGTTCTGAAAGTGGCTAAAAAATACAATCTTGGGGTCTCTACTCCAGACACAGTGCTTCTCGCAGCCACCTCTAACGGTAACTTTGTTTTAGAGTATGATGAACCGCTTGAATCGGCCCCAGTGTCGCCAGAAAACGAGGTATGGTCCGTTTTCGCCGGTGTCATTAAAACTTTCTACGAGGATGTGATTTTCCCAAAATCTCGCTACGACTCTCGTGAACTGGTCGTAGCTCCCAGCATCATGAGTGCCAACACAGACACCGCCCACTACTGGAATCTCACCGACAACATTTATCGTTATCAGCCGGGTTTTGCCATGGAGGACACATTGTCGACGATACATTCGGTGAACGAACACATCAACTTCGAAACAGTGATGCATGTAGTAGCATTCACATATAGCTACATTCATGCTGTCGATGCTTCGGAGCTTTGAAAAGAACGCTCGCTCGTCCAGACGAGTACCTCTTGCTAGCAGTACTCTAGTACTCGAGTACTGGATCTGTAAGTATAGTATATATTATGTATTAACCAGAACAGAAGTGGCAAACCTTATACCCATGAAGACTTAAACCCTAAAGTCGCACTCCAGACTGACCAATCGTGCCATTGTTAGCGTTCAAGACCACTCGAGTAGCAAAGCTTTCACTTTGAGCTTATAGTTCCTTTTTCCAGCGCTTAAAAAAGACCAAATATGTCCACTACCATCGCTTCAGAATATGCCAATGAAGTTAAAAATGTACCCATTGAACACCAATTCAACCCTTACTCTGACAATGGAGGTACAATTCTAGGTATTGCAGGCGAGGATTTTGCAGTTCTGGCGGGTGACACCAGACACACAACAGATTACTCGATCAACTCGCGGTACGAACCTAAGGTTTTCGAATGTGGCGATAACATTGTGATATCTGCAAACGGATTTGCAGCTGATGGAACAGCACTTGTGAAGAGATTCCAAAACAATTTGAAATGGTACCATTTCGATCACAACAACAAGAAAATGAGCATGAAATCCGCGGCCCGTAACATCCAGCATTTGCTGTACGGGAAACGGTTTTTTCCTTACTATGTGCACACAATCATTGCTGGGCTTGACGAAGAGGGTAAGGGCGCAGTATATTCGTTCGACCCTGTAGGATCGTACGAAAGGGAACAGTGTCGTGCCGGTGGTGCCGCAGCTTCTCTTATAATGCCGTTTTTGGACAACCAGGTCAATTTCAAAAATCAGTACGAGCCAGATAGCGATGGAACTAAACCTAGGCCGGTGAAGTTCTTGTCCGTGGAGGAAGTGGTACAGCTGGTGAGAGATGCGTTTTCGTCGGCGACGGAAAGACACATTCATGTTGGTGACGGTGTCGAGATCCTGATAGTCACAAAGGAGGGCGTCCGCACCGAGTATTTCCCACTGAAACGAGACTGAGGGCCAGGTTGTGTATGTGAAAGTAAGTACTACCTATAAGGATACATTCGAGTTTTTTTTAGTGCGAGTATGGCTGTATAGATGATGCTCAGAAGGTCGATTTATTCAATGAGGTAGTTCAAAGCCTGCGCCCTTGATGACCTTCTTGTAGTAGATGTAGAAGAAATCAGAGTACAAAGCGGTTTGCAACAGACCTGTGAATACCGACAGTTTCTCCAATCTGCCTTCGGTATAATAACGCCAGATCCAATTGGGGATGTACAACGCACGATACAGACCCAAGGCGAAAATGTAGTGAGTGGTCAACGTGCCGGCTTTGCCAGAACGCGACAGCATGAACAATTGCGGCAAAATCGCCACACTTTCAAGCCACAAGGAGAAACTCCAACACAGTTCCAAAACCGTGAATTTATAGTTGAAAACCAATGCCAATATGGCACAGGGTCCAACCAGGTATTTAATTTGGAACGTGTCACGAGCCATCATATCTTTGTAGGCCACTGCGTTCCTAGTTTTGCATTCCTGAATCAACTGGATGACTCTTACAGACGCCCCAATGAACACCATTTTCATCAGCGTATTGTACACAGATTTCCACCGGAACGTCAGCAGGTCCAAATACCTTGTGCAGAACACCAGAACATACAAAAGCTGTGTTTTCAACGAGATTCCGTCTACCTGTCGCGTTTTTTGAACGGTTCTCAGTAAAATAACGATACTTGCCAAGTGCGACAAATCACCCAAAATACGGAATATGTTGAACATGGCACTAGTGATGAGATACTTGTTGTTGAAAGAACGGCAATAAGAGGAGCGGAAAAGACGGGATTTTCACCAATGGAAAGCCAATTGCGTTTCAGTCTTTGAGGTGCTTAATATGCCCGATTATTGAAGCTCAAGTCAAGATTCAACCTGAAGTTAAGGTCCAAACTTGGATTTTTTGTTGAAGTTCAATGGTGTCTCTTGTATATATATATATATATATATATTATTGAAATTTGAAGGTCTTAAAATGATCACGTGACGGATATGGGATTCGAAATCGATCCTTCATAGTTCCCGTAAGATATCGAAAATGGAACTATCGTCGTCTTCTAGATTATAATAGTCAGTTTGGTCTTCAACGTCTTGTTCCTGTGCCGTTATGTTGTCGATAAAAATTTCACCGGTCAAATTAGGGTCAAATCCCGTATAGTTAGGGTCTCCCCATATATTGGCGGGCCCTGACATTAAGCTTGTCTCATGAATGCTGACATTGGGCAGCGTTTCGAGATAGTCACGACATTTGTGAGAGTCGACGGCATCTGGGGCACCGCATTTGTCAATAATTTGGGTCAGAATTTCGTTGGCTTGGCTGTTTAAAACGACGCATCCTCTACGCCATTCAATTCTTATTTCTGTAAAGACATCTTGGGCAGAAGGTTTGGGAATGAGGAAAATCAGCGTGGGGGTGAGCCGAACTTGGAACCGATGCGTCCATGTGGCTGTGGATTCGCTAGCGGCATCGATTCGAAATATTTGGATATTCCTGGTTGTGTGATCTAATTTGTCCAGAACGCTAGTGGACTGTTCGCCTGCAAACAGCTCAATTAGCCCCGAATCCATCCACGGCGACACAAACACCAGCAAGGTCACACGGGTGTTTAGATCTAGCGACTCCGATAAGTCGTCCACATTACGGATATTGGATTCTCGCCATTTTGGCAAAAGACCAGTGTAGCGTCCCACAAATGATGCCAGCGAGACCAGATCTCGCTTTCCATGGAACTTTCCGGAATACGAGCTTCTTTTGGAGTCCTGGAGGTCGCCAGCAGCGTCAAAAAGTATTAGTTCCGGGAAACTGCGTACACCCATTTCACGGGCAAATCCGGTAGCCCTTTTACCATCCACTTTCACCAACGCTAGATTGTCGTGGAACAGGGTTTCCATATAAGAAAAATTGGGCTCCAGTTCTTCGCAGTAACGGCACCCGTGCATATACAGCATGACCAAAATCGGTATTTTACTGGAGCCAAGAATGCTGTGAACATCGTCCGTCGTCTCAACGTCTATAATCGTGCCAAGAACGGTTTTCAAGGCGGTGAAAATTACCAAGAATACCACAATGCGACTAGCTCCATTGAGATGGTGTTCAAGTCTCATGAGACCCGGTATTTGCATGCGGGATAGTTAGATTTTTCCAGGTTGTCGGGCCTTACGGACGAAAAGTTAATTGAGCTCATCTCATCTCGTCAACTCTTGCATCCCACATCATGACAAAAACAGCTTGGATCTTCGCCAAACCAACAGCACGGCGGCCACAATGGGGTTTTTCTACGACAACAGCGTAATCGTGCTGATTCAAAAGGTGTTCAGACGGCCTGCGGACGTGACGATGTGGCTTTTTACCGGGATGATCGTCGTGGGCACCCTTTACACGATGATCGCTGTGGGGCCGCAGCCCAAGCCACGCAGAGACCGTTAACTGACAAGCGCGATGGTGCTTCAAGTATGCAAATTCCGGGACATTGTCTGGAAGCTGGATTTCCAGTTCCCACCGGGACGGGTTTTTTAGTGCTCATCCCTAGCTTACTATGTATGTACATTCAAATATGATACCATTCCAAGCAAATATTGATCCAAGAGTCTACGAATGTACGGAACACCAATGTGTTGAAATTTCGAAGGATGTGGTGGTGGTCGTGGTCGTCGTCGTCGTCGTCACACACTCACCACTCCCCATATGTGTCGTTTTCTCGTTTCTCGAGTCGATCCTCTGTTCAATTGCCCAGCTAACTCTTCTGGTCATTTATCTAGTCGATCGGAAAGCGCCATCTACCCGTTTATCCACTCATACATCTACTCGTTGCTCCAGTCATGCTACACGTAGTGGCTTTCCCACAATCGATTATAATAGCCATTATTAATGTCTGCAACTTACCTTCTTATCCATCACTTTCCCTTCTCCATTCTAACCACGTATACCAACGATTAACGCAGTCAAACACAGTTTAAAATGGTCAAAGCAGGTATGTAGCGGTACCCCACGCCTTCTGCGCGCTCAAAAACATATACTAAACCTTAATTCACTCTTCAGTTGCTGTTCTAAGAGGAGATGCCGGTGTGTCAGGTCTAGTGCATCTTGAGCAAACTTCGGAAAGCTCTCCTACCACCGTGAAGTACGAAATCACCGGTTTCGATGGGAACTCGGAACACGGGTTCCATGTGCACCAATTCGGTGACAACACCAACGGTTGCACCTCTGCAGGCCCTCATTTTAACCCTTTCAACAAGACACATGGCGCGCCTAGTGACGACACCAGACACGTTGGGGACTTGGGTAACATCTTGGCTGACGTCAAGGGTGTTGCTAAGGGCTCTCTACCTGACGTGCTTGTCAAGTTGATCGGACCAACCTCTGTGGTTGGCCGTACCATGGTCGTGCACGGTGGCAAAGACGATTTGGGTAAGGGCGGAGACGAGGAATCTCTCAAGACCGGTAACGCTGGCGCGAGATCTGCTTGCGGTGTCATTGGTCTCTGCAACTGAATATAACGATCCTCAATTTCAAGACACATATGTATGTACTCAAATATGTCCTATAATATTCGCTCAAAGCCTGCAGTCATTTCATGAGCATATGATTGGTGATTCTCCCCTTTTTTCGATCCAGATTGAACGTGGCAATTGCTACAACGCAATGCTTATTATGTTCATGCATTTTCTGTTTTTTTTGGTTGTTTGGTATGATACACGCTAGCTATTCTTCTATATACCGTACTCAGTTTAAAACTCGGCACGCTCTTGTGGGTTCCTTTCCTCGGCCATGAGCTTGTCTAAGACGCCAGCGGACGCGGCTATCAGTCCCAAGAAAGGTTGCGATGGATCCAAAACCTTTGACATGTACTCTGGATGATATTGAGTAGCCACAAAGTAAGGATGGTTGCGTAGTTCTAGAATCTCGCATCTCTGGCCCGTTTCGTCTCTTCCGACAAACATGAATCCATGCTCTTCTAGTTCGGGAACCAATTTAGGGTTGACCTCGTAACGGTGACGATGTCTTTCATGAACCTCACTGGCATCGTCGTACAATTTGCGGATCTTAGACCATTCAGAGTCTAATTGGAAAATCGTAGGTCTCAATCCAAGACGCATAGTTCCTCCCATGTTTTCCTTGTCAATTTCAGGCATGTACACAACACCTTGGTTCTCCTCGGGACAATCTGGGTCGAATTCCGCAGATGTTATATCCTTTTTGCCCAAAACATTACGAGCAAATTCCAAAGTGGCCACTTGCAGACCCAAACAAACACCTAGGTAGGGAATGTTGTTCTCACGAGCCCATTTGGCAGCCAAAATCATTCCTTCAACACCTCTGAGTCCAAATCCACCTGGAACCAAGATTCCGTCTGCTGAGCTCAACTTATTCCATGCGGTATGGAATTTGCCCTTTTCAGTCTCGTTGGTCTCAGGTTCCAAATCGGATGCTTCAACCCAAACGATTTCTAGCCTACGGCGACACTTCATGCTCGAGTGTTCCAATGACTTAATAACCGACAAATACGAATCTTTCAAGTTGGTGTATTTGCCCACCAATGCGATCTTGACGCACTCGAAAGACTCGTCGATCGAGGTTGTGAGGTCTTTCCATCTGCGTAGCAGACTGTCACCGCGCTTCTTCTCGTCAGCGTTCAAAGTCAAGTCGTCGAGCTTCAAACGTTTGCAAAGGTAGTCAATCATTTTCTGTTGCAACAGCAATAGCGGAACATGGTAAGTCGAGTTAACGTCGTGTACGTTCACGACTTGTTCAGGACCCACATGACAGAACATGGCGATCTTGTTGATAGTTGGGTCGTCCAACTTCTCGGAGCAACGGCATGCGATCATATCTGGGTTCAAACCTAGCGAACGGAGGTCTTTGATAGCAGCCTGAGTGGGTTTCGTTTTCTGCTCGCCGTGAATAACGGGAACCAACGACACATGGATGAGCGAGAAGTTTTCTTTGCCCACACGGAACTGGAACTGTCTGAGGGCTTCTACGAAAGGCGCACTTTCGATGTCACCCACAGTTCCACCCAGTTCAATGATACAAACGTCAGGTTCCTTACCAGAGTCGTCCACTGGCACTTTAGCCACCCGTTCGATCCAGTCCTGGATCGCATCGGTCAAATGCGGAACCACTTGCACGGTTTTGCCCAGATAATCGCCCTTACGTTCGCGAGAGATGACGTGCGAGTACATTTTACCGGTTGTGATATTGTGGTCCTTGGTCAAAGTGACACCTAGGTAACGTTCGTAGTTGCCCAGATCCAAGTCTGTTTCTCCTCCGTCGTTCAGGACAAAGCATTCTCCGTGTTCCAGCGGGGACATTGTCCCAGCATCGATATTCATGTATGGGTCAATCTTGATGGATGTCACTCGCAAGCCAAGCGTTTTGAGCAACATCCCGGTCGAGGACGCTAACACACCTTTTCCGATTCCTGAAATTACACCACCGGACACTATAACGTACTTCATTTTCAATAGCTACTGCGGTTTCGATACTCTTATTCTCTGACGGCCCACTGGTCTTTACCACGTACAAGTTATGCTGCAAAAACTCGACGTTTTTAAACGCTGGAAACTCCAAATCTACACAGTAAGAACTACAAAAAAAAAACAAGATCAAGACAAATGCAAGGGGTGAGTGAAGAAACGTAAGTGAGATTCCATTGATAAATAGTTCTGATCAATATGGTCAAAGTAGAGCTTTTCTTTCGTCTTTATATACTGTTCTTCTCGACAAGTGAAAAATTCTGAGTGGTCGCGTTGCACGGCTCATCGCCTCTGGAGAAGAAAAAGAAACAAAGGAAGAACGTGATACTATAGCGACGCGATGAGATCCGCATAGCGCCCATATCTGTTTGCGAAACGCGTGGACGTGTGGTACGTGGAAGAAGGTAGGAATACAGCCGCTAGCTAGGGAGAAAAACGGGCAAAAATGGTGTTGAATAGAGTAGTTTCGAGATTTTGTTAAAGAGAAGGGGAGAGCGGGGAGTTTGAAGAGCGTGATAAACTGTACACGGACCTTTGAGTGTCAAATGCGGGGATGAAGTGTGAAGAAGGCTCTGTTGTGAATTCTAAGCATCTTTTTGTTTGGCTTCTTGTCTCGAAGATTGAGTTCTGAAATTATATTGGCCTTCATCTAATGTATATAGAATTAATTTATACTGGCCTTGAAAATGGTGTCAGGATACAACAACCGTTGTACACCCTTGGTAATGACTCCTCTTGATGGCGAGTTGACACTTTTAGTTTAACGGGGCTCCTAGGTGTATTTTCCGTCACTCTATCTTGTTTACACAGAACGGAATTGTGAGTTGGGCAGAGCTTGGCCTTCAGACTAGCTCTTTGAAATTTAATTGCAGGTTGGTAAAGGTGGTACGGGATGTTCTATTGCTATAATTGCCACTTTTCCGTTCCTGTGAGAGACTTTAATAGTTGTTGACAATGCTTAGTGCCAAATCCTGTCGCTGTTACGGCGCACGTGATCTGATCACCCGCTAGCACTGTTATGAGCGGGAACACTTGAATATCGGTCTCGCCTAGAGTTTAAGCCTTCTCTGGCCTTTTAAGCGCATTATACCTGCATTTATGAGTGTGTGACCGTTTTGAACTAATAATAAGAGCTCAAGAATTTTTGGCACTCCTTCTCGTACGCAAATGGTGAAAATCTGGCACATCCAGAATCAATTCCTCTGCTGGGTTTGGCCACCATCCAAGCAGTTATCGCTACTGCACTTGAACCAACCTTCGCTACTTGGCAGTACAGATCCAACTTTAGCGATGAATAATTATGCGGGGAAGACCTTTAAGCAGCAGAAACTAACCAGCACAACATGACAATAGGGAACTTCGTGCCTCATTTTAAAAAAGGTTTTCAGTGGAGAGCAAGGTTGGCATTTTTATAGCCTCTGTCCGCACAATTCTTTCAATTTACGTCAATGCGTTTCTGGACCTCGAAAATAGTATTCTCAACACGAACAAGACCTTCGCTATTCGAAAGTGAAGCTTCCGATCACACCAAGATCAAAAGCTAGACTTATCAGACCTGCGTCTTGAGATGGGTCTCCAAATTCACATCATACCCAACTCCGGGGTTTTTCACGCAAAACTTAAAATGTTTTGAACCCTCCTTTGAAGCTTCCATATTTTTGAATATTCTTTTCCACACAGTTCTCATCCGCTTTCACCCAAGAACTCCAGCCACTCGTCAACAGTTTCGTTAGTGCCCTGATACCCACTTTGGACAATTATCGCGACCAGCAACTCTCTCAGCACTTCATTTTCTTCCTCCAAAAACTTTTCCTTACTACCTAACCCAGAGTCCTGTGTTTTTTCCGGAATCCCAACAATTTCTTCGTCTTTTGTCCAGCTTCTGACTTCGTTAGCCACTGGTTTGATTCTGTCAAGTAGCTTTCCGTACTTCTCCCGTTCCTCTGTTAAGCGCGAAACCAATCTTAGTTTCTCATCTTGGTGGCGTACAACGTAGCCGTCTTCATCGTAATTCTGTCTCATCAAATCAAAAAGTCTAGAGCTAAGTTTACCATCGTTTGTCATAGCTTTAGCCATTGGACTCGTCATAGCCATCGAGCATTGTAACTGTCGTCTTATTTCCATTGCCGATTTGTCTCTAGCTATCAGCCCTTTTCTCACAAGATACAATTCATCCAGCACCTCAAGAAGCTCCCGATATACCTGAACATGATGATCCTCTAGCTCTTGTATCGTTGACTCCATAGGCTTTGGGTTTACCATATGCACACTGGATAAGAATCACCTTAATTACCACCACTATTATATTCAGCCATGCACTGAACAAAACCCATCAAGAACTTTGGGAAGCTTTGAGATGACTGAAAGCTTGCCCCCAATCTACAATTTCCCACCACTGTATACATGCCAGCCCAATGTGTTGATCAGAGAACAGCAGCTCACTACATGGTGCGATCTACTCCTGGAGTTTTCCAAGAAGAATAAAGCTTGGTGTGTAAATCAAGAAGGAAGTATAGTTCGAGATCTTGAAACTGGTGATAATAGCATCTTCAAGAACCAAACGATTCAGAGAACGGCCCCGGCTCCATTTGTGGATCAAATTTGGAGCAGAATGGTGGAAACGCAAAAAGCCGTCAAACTCGATAATGGACAATACCTAATGCTCTGGAGAAGCCTTGAACAGTGGAGTTCCGTATTTTTACAATGGTTTGAAACAGCAGGGAAGCTAAACCAAGTAGTAACCTTGTATGAGCTACTAGAGGGTGATGAATCGCTCGAGTGGGAATTTCATGAGATGCACCATAAACTGTGTGAGCTGTGCTTGCAAAAACTGCGCGATAGAGGCAGAGCTACATTATTGAAGGAGCAAAACAGGATTGTGGGTGTGAAAGTGCTATGATTAGCGTTTCAGCGGTAAACGTTTCTAAAAGATGAGAAAGTCGTAACTTTTTTACACGAGCTATGTACATGGAGGATGCTTTCTGAGGAACATAAGGCGTAGAACGCGGGGCAAGAAAGAGTTTCTTGTGTTTTTGCTGGTCGCCCTCTTTCTATGAAAGCCCCGAGTATAGTCTGTTGTTGACCACAGACCAGTTTAAGTTATCTAGCACGTTTCTGATGTACTGGGCTCTGCCTTTGACCCCGTAATCGTGCAAATAAGCCTGGTCCCACAAACTCACAGCGATCAACGGCATGGTCCAGTCCTCGACTTTCCCGCCTTCTTTAACCAGAGCGCGAACGGCTTCCAATTGCGAAAACTCTTCAAGCTTTAGAGCTGAGTTGAGATCAAACGACTGATTGCGGGGGAAATAATAAGGTGTTCCGTTGTTTTGAATAGTGAGTATGTGCAATTCCTTGTCGCTGTTTTCGACCAGAAATAGCCAACCTTGGCCTAAGACGTCCGCTTCCGATCTCCTGACCATTTCTTCCTTGAATTCTTCCCAGGTGCATTTGTACTGTTCCTCGATGAGGTTTCTAAACAATCTGGACGGGGCTGTGCTTGTAGACGATGGTATTATGTTCTCAACAAAGAGATGGTTGTTGTGAGCTGCCGATGCCAGATTGAATATGTGAGTCTGGAATGGCTTTTTGGCCGTATTTAGTACTAAATGAAACGGCAAATATGCCTCCAACGACGTTCCTGCGGTTGCAAGTGTCAATTTATCACATAGGCTTTGTTGGTAGTCATTCCATGCAATTTTGAACCCAGAGGCACTCAAAACGTTCTGAATGCCTTTCTCCACTAAACTGTCATTTTTTAGCTTGGGAACGCTGTGAATATTTCTGCGAGCCACGAATCGAAGCATTTTGATACTTGTACTACGTGAACAAGACCTTGTGGAAGACCTAGAACCCCAGAATCAACTCGATGAGCTCGATCCTTTAGTTTTTCACTCACCATCGTCTATTAAAATTTTTGAAATACTGAAAAATGACCTAATATACTATACACTGGTGATCGAACAGGTCGATCAGGATTACAGGAATTAAAGAGCTTATCCTTGTTTGAATAACAAAGGCTCACGACCAGCAAATATGACAAGCTCGAACTCTTGAAATTGCTGCTCAACGGGAGCTGGCTTTGTGGAAATTTCCGCCGTTGAAGAAGCTTGCTTGTAGCTTTCGACACAGAATTTCGGAAATATTCTGGCAGCGTCAGCAAAGACTGTTGAAGAAAAGCTGTGGATAATTGCAAGTGGTTCATCTAGATTGCATATTTTGCCGTAATTATGGATATCCAGCTAAACGTAGTTTTAAAATCAACGGCTTTTTTTCTCTGACGCTACGAATGTCACACAACTCTTGGTTGGATTTGTTCGCACCCATGAAAGCCTTGATTTCAAGTTATAGAATTTGATAGCGATAGTTTATAAAGCATTTCTACAAGCATAGACTGTTCCCCTTAGCGTTTGTTCTAATCTTAAGCTTTATGTCAACGTAATCGGACTATATTGACGTACTATATATTGGACCTCTAATTTCAGCATTAACTTGATTTCGGGGCAATCGGTCTCCATACTGTCAAAAGGGACATCAAAAAGACACTACGCAAGCTGTCAGTTTATTTATCCTGAGCAATACAAGCGATCCAGCTGTAGGCTTGTCGAACGGATCTTCTAGCTGCAATATCGACCTCTCAAAGAACTTAAGCCTTAACAGCGCTCTTTAAAGATGTTTGCTCGATTGGTTGCCCGCAGGTGGTACTCGCCACTTCCACGAGCGACAAGGCATCGATCGTTGCCCAGGCGTGAATCAAAAGGTTTTGGAAACGATAACAATCCAGACTTATCAATAATCAGAAATGGGGAGCCTTCAAATACTATCATTCAAAGTCACCATCCAATCGCCACTACTATCCTCAATGAGCCTACAGTGGTCGTTGAAAGACAAATGGAGATGATGAACGTTTTCCTTGGGTTCGAACAAGCTAATAAATACGTGATACTGGATGCCCTTGGAAATCGAATTGGCTACATGCAAGAAAGAGACTTCGGAATTGCAAAGGCCGTGATGAGACAGTTTTACAGACTTCACCGACCATTCGTGGTCGACGTTTTTGACAACTGGGGAAATGTGCTTCTGACTATCAAAAGACCTTTTTCATGGATCAATTCCCACATCAAAGCCATTTTGCCCGATGACATAGCGCTGGATGCAAGCGCACGACCTGAAAGTGCATCTGCGTCATTTGGCTCTGTTCCTACTCCACAGACTACATCTACGCTTGGGGAAGCAGGAACGCTGGTTGGGGAAAGTGTTCAAAACTGGCACCTGTGGCGGCGTCGATACGAGCTCTTTCAGCGCGACAGTAATGCTGGAGGCTCGTTCAATCAGTTTGCACAAATTGATGCTCCTTTTCTGAGTTTCGAGTTTCCTCTGGTAGACGAAAAGAACAAAATCATAGCTACAGTTGACAGAAACTGGGTAGGGCTCGGAAGAGAACTGTTCACAGACACCGGTGTCTACATTGTGCGAATGGACTCTACGCGAAGCTTCCAAGGTGTGTACCCACCCGAAAGTCTCAGTGATCAAATACTAGACCTCGATCAAAGAGCAGTTCTTCTGGCTAACGCAGTTTCCATAGATTTCGATTATTTTTCCAGACATTCTCGCCAAGGCGGTGGGCTTATTGGGTTTGGAGATTACGGAGAATAGTTTGTTGATGCGTCCTAACGGTCCACCAACAGAATAGTATGATAAAGCGATTTTTCAGGACTACTCGAAAGCATATATTCTACGATTTCCACATGAGTGGTAGGATCGTTCAAATCTGAAGTATAGCTTCAGTAAAACATAACGATACCCAAGAAGAACATCTCAGTGTTAGCTAGTCTACATTGTGCTGGTAGCGAAATCTACTCATTTATCTACTTGTATTTCTACCCAGTCTTTGAGTCGATATTCATTATATACATCAAAAGTATAAGGTATCATTGATACAGTCCAGTAAAGCTACCATTATCGACCCAAAATCCATTGCCAAATGTCTTGGAATACTATCGAATCAGACGCAGGCATCTTCACGCAGCTTGTCAAAGACCTAGGTGTTTCCGGTGTCGAGTTCGCTGAGATTTCCACGTTAGATACGTTACAAGAAGAACTTGCAGGAGTACTTTACGGCGCGATCTTTTTGTTCAAATACAACGCCTCTGATCACTCCAAGGACTCACCAGTTCAAGGGGAATACGATTTCGATTACCCAAATTCTCTTTTTTTTGCCAACCAAACGATTCAAAATGCATGTGGAACGTTGGCGGTGTTGAACACTTTGCTGTCACTCTCTAAAGACCATCCAAAGGAGATAGAACTTGGATCGACGCTCTCGGAGTTTGTGGATTTCACCTCGGCTTTCAGGGACTCTGAACTGCGTGGTGAGAGTATTTCCAATTCCGATCATATCAGGAACGTTCATAACTCGTTTTCCAGTCCGGATCCTTTTGTGCTTGACGAAAAGCACCAAGATCCAGATCGGCCCTCTGCTGATGTCTTTCATTTTACAAGCTTTATTGAGCATGAAGGTGTGCTGTATGAACTTGACGGACTTCGTCCTGCACCTATCATTCATCGCGATCTGGTTAACGAAACTCAAGACAAGCTCAAATTTGCCCAGAATGTCACCACTGCACTACAAAAACGTATGCAGCTGGCTCTACACTCTAGCGGCAAGTTTTCCGTCATTGCTATTCACAGAGACACAATGGACTACCTCAACAGCTTGAAAGATGAAGGTGCAATCACAGACTATGACTACGAGCTAAGACAAGCAGAAGAGTTGGCCAAGCGGGAGTCCTGGAGCAAGGAAATTTCGTACAGAAGACAAAACCTGCACGGTTTGGTGTTCGAGCTTGCCAAACAGGTGGCATGTTCGATGTCAGATGAAGAATTCTCAGCTCAAATCGTCCGTGCGCAAAAGGCCACTCAGGACCGCTTACAGAAATTTAACAGAAGCGAGTAATAACAGACGAAAAACCGTCTGGCTAAGGCCGAGATCGTAGTTCCTCATTCGAAAGCTTGGACTTCAACTACGTGAGTACATTTTTGGGTTGGCGAGTACCCGTAGCGTTTCCCATGAGTCCTAATATATCATCATCTATCACATCAACTTGACCGTGAGGCATACTGTTCAACTCTTCAAACCTTCATAGATTCTGACTTTCTAGACTGCTATGGGAGGTTCTAGTAGTCTGTCGAACGTTTTTGATATGCCCAATGGTAAGAAACGCAAGGTGAAAGCTCCAAAACAGCAAAACCTATATAATCAAGTTCGGCCAATATCCCTAGGTCAAAACCGAAACATTGATCAGAAGGAAGCAACCGTGAGGCGAAAAGAGATGTCCGACAAGGAACGAACTGAATTGCTTCAACGAATCATAGAAGACGGTAATCAGAAACATCCTTCTGGGCTTAGGGAGTTTATTCTGGGCTGCTTCCAACTAGCTGAACATAATAAATTTGACCAAAAGTCAAATCTAGTTCTAGTCCAGCAGCTGAAAGATCTGATCGGAAAGGCGTATGTGGAGAAAAAGGAGTCTCGCAATGATTGGTGGTCACAAACGTTACCTTGTCTGACAAAGAACTCGACAAACCTGCAATTGGTATGTGATGGACCGCAGAAAGATCAGCTTTCAGGATTTGTACCGCCGCCTCCTCCTCCACCTCCACCTCCACCTCCACCTAGCGCTCTCAAAAAAAAACCTTCACCACCAAAGCCTATTGGTAGACATGTATCAAACGTTGTTTCTGGTCCATCACCATCGGTCACTAACATGAAAAAGCCAACAGAAGCAGAAAGAAGAAAAAAACGTATGGAACGGTTCTCGGTCGTTTCAGCTGCTTCTAAGAATGATAGAGCTACTTCGGATGAAAATTTCGCCAACTTGAACGCTATTTCGACCAATTTTTACAAGTTCGACAAGAACAAACCGGTCGTGGGAAGATGCCAGACGCTCGAAAAGAAGTACTTGAGATTAACCTCGGAGCCCAACCCTGACCTTGTGCGTCCCTTGAATGTTCTTAAAAAAGCATTTGAGTTGGTGTTACGGAAATATACGGAAAAGGAAGCCTCGTACTCTTATCTATGCGATCAATTCAAGTCATTGCGACAGGACCTGAGGGTCCAAATTATAGAGAATCAATTCACACTAAAGGTTTATCAGACGCATGCAAGGATTGCACTTGAGAATAAAGACATTGGGGAGTTCAATCAGTGCCAAAGCAGGCTGGGGCAGCTTTTTGAGCTCCCGAACTTGACGAAGTCCAATTTAGAAGAGTTTGTGGGCTATAGAATACTATATCATTTGATGATGAACAACTTCAATTCAATCAACGATCTGAAATTAAAGTATTCACGAAGCGAAAATCTTGCCGTTTACAGGCATCCCATTGTCAAGCACGCTTTAAACCTGGCAAGAACACTTCTACTAGGCGACTATCACGGCTTTTTCAAATTGTATGCGAACAGTTTGGGTCCCTCTAGATGCCTGATAGACACATTCATAAATCGCGAAAGGCTTCGAGCTTTAAACACCATCTCGAAAAGCTATAATCAAATCTCTTTAAGCTTCTTGTTTGCAGAGCTTCAACTAGAGAATCACGAAATAGGCATGGCTTTTCTGCATCAGCTCGGTCTTGAAAAGCACATTGTAGTCAAAAATGGCGCCGACGACAAAAAGAATGCCATCCTCAACACCAAGACTAGTAGAATTTCAATCATGCAGCAATATGAAAAGGCCAAAAAAGTTGATATCAAAGGTCAAATATGAGCCAATACTTCACACTATAACGTGCTAATCCCAGTTGGGCGCAAGACCCAAAAGCGAAAACTGCATTTTCGAGCTCTCGTCTGCATTATCCATGTACCATTGAGCACTTTTCTTGACTAAAGGATCTTCAAGCAAGTCTCCAGATGACGCCCTGCCGATAAGCTTTGCGCCATTCGGACGCCGACCATCCATTTCGTATAGGTGACCTTGAAACTCGATAAATGTGATGAAATGCAAGTCTACTTCGTCCTCAGCGCTGGGTGCCTCGGTCTGTCCTAAAGACGAGTTCTCGTTGTACATTTCGCTGATGGAAACGATGAAAGCGTCGGTTTCTTCATCGGCATATCGATTATCGGCTCTCTTGTTGTGCGTCAAAAAATGCTCCAGTTTCGAGTCTTTTTCTAGAACTTCTGGGTTGTTCGACAGAGAATGTAGTAAAGCGTATAGACCACAAGCGTTCCTGACGGTCTGCTTCAACCACACTGGATTCTGCTTGATAGTAGAATCGCGAGGATCGAGAACTGCTGTTTGGTCACCAGAATCATCTTTTGCAGCTTCAAAAAACGAGTTGAGGGGGAAGAGTAGAATAATCGCTTTCATTGGCCGTGGCAAAAATGCCATTAAGTCCGGATCTGTCAGAGAATATATGTCATGAAATGCATAGTTAGACGAGAGTCCTAAACTATGAGCAAAGCTGGTAAAAATTTCGGGGTTTGACTCCAAGGGAACTACAGAACGCTGTGGACTCATCCTGATATGCTGGGAGAAGCAACACAAGGCACAAGGTGTCTCAGATTTGTACAACGTTGCTCAAATCCATCTTCTTGAGATGGCTCTCTTGAACCTTAAATTCCATTATATATGATGGCCATGACGTGTATAGTGATTTTCAATCATCTTCCCACTGAAGGATCCATCCATAGCCACACTGATATGCCAAGCAGTCATGCAAGCATCAGGTAATTGGAATACGGTTTCTAAAACCACGGAAAGTATCTTTTTGCGGTATTCTAAAACTCGTTATTTTCCGTGGTTTTTCGTCGAAAAAAAGTTGATAATTATTGGGAGTTCGAAGAAATCCATTTTGGCTGAACCTGATTAGGGAAGTCCCAAATCTACTTGATATGCCTCTGTGTTTATATTTACGTTGTCACCATTGCTGCTGTTTATCACTGGCACCATTCAAAATCTTTATCGCTTTGTACTTCGCTGTCATGAGGTGGCATCATCAAACGTCACGAAAAAAATGACAGGTACTTGTCTCGTTCCTAAAGAACCATAAATCGTCCTATCATACAAGTCGCTTTCTCAATTAGAAACTCTGGTCTTACGCTGGCTTGTTAATGTTCTTAAGAAACCTTCAAAAGCACTCACTGGCAAAATTAAAGTGCTGAATTATATTTTCGAAATAACGTCTCTTCTGACATATGTAGTGTTGGAATTGATGGACTATATGGGATAGTGTCAATTGCGTAACCAGAGAGTGTAAGAACCTCTGTCCGTCTAGCGTCAGAAATGTGACAAAGTGATCACAAACACGTGACAAGACGACTGCGTCACAAATAACAAGAACCTAGAATAACCATTGATCTAACAAGAACGAGGTCAATCGGACCAAGTGGCACCACTTACAGCGCTCGTATAGCTCCCGGATCAGACCATTTCCACCAATTGCACCCGGAATGCTTGAAGATTTTTTTATCCGTTGACGACGGAACATTTCCAGGAATTTGTATAAGAAGGGACGTCTTATACACTCCATAAGATCATTCAGCTTATACTAAAGACACTACGGAGAGATAAATAGATCCTATAGATCATTACTATTCAACAGAGAACAAATTATGACCGAGCAAACTAAGCAGATCAATAACTCAGACACTGCTGACGTAGTCAAGCCTCAATATGTAGAATACAGTTCAAAACGGTTGACTTCATTGCCTATACTCCTAGCTTCTGTATGCTTAAGATTTCCAGCCCGTCTGGAGATCTCTTGAGCTCAGGGATGTCTCAAAGATGTCACCAGCGTATGAGGTGATATCAGGTGGGATGAGCTAGGTAGTATACTATAGAAAACCAATCAACGATTAGACGCTCTCGAGTGAAGAACAAGAATTCCAACCCAAATGTGTTCATAGCTGCTCATTCTGATCTTCTTGGTATGTCTCTGAATCGCTCTCAAAGAGAGAAATTTGTAGCTACCCATATTACCCACAAGTACAACCTTTTGCATATCTTGCCGGGCATCGAACAAACACAACTAGCGGGACTATATCTCAAGAGTTTTTACAACGGTGTCAAGAGAAATCAGCTATGCTTGCCAGAATCTATCACAAATGGTACTAAATTTTGCGAGCAATGTGGAGTTGTCCACATTGCTGGCGTAAATCTCGAAATGCAAGTTGTCAAAAGAGAGACCAAGACCAGCGGGAAATCAGGAAGAACGTTACAGTACAAATGCACACAGTGCAGCGCGATAAAAGAGTTTGTATTTGAAGCTGCTGAAGTTTCTCGCGACGAATTGCAAAAAAGTACGAAGGAACTAGTTTCGGAAGGAACTTCTGCGGGCAAAATCAAACCACTCATGGAAAATGAATCCAAGGTGAAGAAACAGTCATCTGCTAAGAACAGGGCAAAAAAACGCAAGATGAACTCATTGTCTAACATGCTGAATAAGAAAAAAGAAGCCGATGCCAGCAAGAAGAGATCGCTCTCGTTGAACTTGAACGACTTTCTTCAAAAAAGTTGAAATAGAAGCCAAAAAAAAAAAACAAGAAGTGTGGTTATGCTACTTACAAACAGCCAACAGCGCTGATTCAAGTCTTCTTGAATGGATCCTAGACCATTTGGACATCAAAGAAACACTATGGCACGTTTAGAAAGTCGGAAAGACTTTTTGAAGCCCGGGACCCGTTGCCGTTGCTTTTGAGTATCGAAATATCGGAGTTGTTGTAGCTGCTCGAAAGAGACCCATTTGACGCAGCAGTGCGTAACGTAGAGTTAGCATTGGTGCTATCATGAGACAGCGCGGGTGATGTTACAGAGCTCGCAGCTTTGCCCAAAGCATCTACTTGGGCCACTGAGGTCTCAATCGATTCCTCGTCTATTTCAACAGCAGTGCTTCGTGTACACTGTCTCAACCACCTCCTGCGTCTATATTCACCCTTAGAACCATCCAGGTTCACGTCATATACCCATTTGGTTTCGATATCGATGTCGACATATTCGACAAACTCGGATTCCACCCACAGCACGGGATCCAGGTCTTGTTCCCATTTTGAGTCCTTGAGCCATTCCCATTCCAAGGGCGCTTTTACATCACTTAAATGATGAACGGCGTCTTCGACCTCTTTTTCAGATATTCGGTAGTCTGAAAACAAGGCATAATGGTCAGTGGAATAGCCTAGTAATTCCCACGTTTTATCGTGTTCCTGGAATTTCTGTACCTCGAAAATGGACGCTTGGCGGACCTCCTTCGATTCGTGATATTCGAAATATTGGTGTACTTTTGACTCTATTTTGCTTGACACCAAAAGCATTCGCAACCTGGTTTCCTCGGAGTAGATCTTACTTAAGACCCATTCCCTATTGTGCGGATGCAGTGCAAAAGCACACGCCCATCCGAGGAATATTAGTAGAGGTTTCACGGGCAAGACTCTCGATACAGAGTCCATGAAAAGCGCATTGAACCACGCCAATACGAGCAAACATAAGAACGCCGCGCTCGAAACACCTTCGTCGGTGAAAAATGCAAACCGGGCTAAAATCGCGTTGACGAAGTCGAATGCTGCGACATAAAGAAGCATATGGTTTTGCAAATCCGTCAAATTCAGCAAAAATTCTTTGCTGAACTCTGGAACCGGTTTGGGAACCTCGGCCCGGAAAAGGGGAGGTCCTCTTGCTGGAACTGGGTTTGACTCAAAAGCGCAGTTTGAGTCTGGTTTGTGAATTTTGAGATACTGCGGAACCATGATGCCGAATACCAGGTAAAACACCGGAATACTGGTCAAAGTCGGCAGCGGTTTCATCACTGTATAAGTGAATAATGACATTATTGAAAGTGTGTACGCCGTGTTCGTCCAGTTGAGGACTTTGATGATCTCGTCGATCACCAGGAATGGAGGCCCCAGTCTTGAGTTCATCTGAATGAAGTTCCGGCTCATTATCTGCACTGAAAGTCCAGGTCTGTTGCGTCCTGATTCCACTCTATGTTCGATAGTCTTTTTCGCCAGTTCTGATGATGGTGGCAGCGCCATATAGATCAATTTCTCCACTAGTTTGTCCGCCAAGTATTGCTGTGTGGAGTGTGCTGTCGTAGACCCAGCGCTTACCCTTCTTTCATCGTTACCAGATGTCTTGATACCACTACCATGGTGATCTGGACTACCAGTAACACTACTTCTGGGCTTCTTGCTGGAACTATCGTCCCAAAAGAATCCCGCCACGGAATCCATCCCGACGTTGTCGTCTTAATGACACCCACAGCTAGCCCTCCAGGATCTCTTGAGCTGCTGGTCTTAGGTTTCCACTTCAAATCTGAGATTTTAGCATATCAATTCATCAATTTATATCCAGACGAGATGAGATGAGACTTACGAACATATAAAAAGAGCCAAATGAAAGCATCAATTGTGAGCCGTTGAACCAGTGTTGATCTTTTGATGAACGTTAGTTCAAATGAAATTCGAGAGCTTAATCGACAGTCCAAAAGACTACGTCTCTAGCCTTCTGGTTGCGCCAGAAAACCCACATTTAATAGTTACAGCCTGGGATGGTACGGCATCGTTGTACGATCACGAGAAAAACAAGCTCTTAGAGCGAATTAAGCACGATTATGGCCTTTTAAGCAGCACCTGGACACTTTGGGGCAAAATCTGCGTGGGTTCGGTCCAAGGCGAGGTGTTGGAAGTGGATTTTGAGTCTGGGAAATTCGATTTGATGTCTGAGCAAGCAACGCTGGGAGTCAACGCTATGAGCAGCAGTAATGGGAATGTCGTAGCCGGCTCTTGGGACGGTAGTTTGCAAGTGATAGACCCCAGAACAAGCAAAGTAGAGTACCATCAAAAACGGTTTTCAGAAAACCGTAAAGTGCTTGCTCTCGATTCCAACGAGGACATCGCAGTGGTGGCATACACTGGCGGAAAGGTGGTCGTTTACGATCTCAGAAACATGGACCAACCTGTGGGGACACAAGATTCGGGTCTAAAGTTTCAAACCCGCGACATCAAACTGATGCCGCAAGGCCAAGGCTACGCACAGAGCTCGATCGATGGCAGGGTAGCGGTCGAGTATTTCGATAATGAGTCGCAGAGACTTGCCTTCCGCTGTCATCGCATGAACCTGACCGATAGTCAGTTTGTTTTCCCCGTGAACTCGCTTGCGTTCAGTTCCAAGACAAATCGTCTGTACACGGGAGGTTCGGATGGGAAAGTGTTTGCTTGGAACATCGAAACCCGCAAGAAGACTGAACAGCTACTTAAGACTGAGGAAAGTGTTGTGAGACTGGCAGCGCACGACGATATGTTGTTTGTGGCTGCTACAGACGACTCTTTCAAGACTATGGCTACAGTGCAAGACGTGGAAATTCCGAGCAGCCGAATTTATTTTACAAAACTATAAACAAGTGGCTATTTTTTCATTTTTTTTGAAGAGTTGCTCTTGTTCTTTTGAGAGTTCATCTTTCTCTTGACGGCTTTTACCTTTTCCATCAAAACCGCATCGTCTATCAGTTGGTATTCGCTCCTCAGCGAGCTAAAGCTGTTTTGAAAAGATTTGACTTCACTCCGCAGCACGCATTCTGCCAAATTTTTCTTGAATTCTGGCGTGTTTGGAGAATCACTATCAGGTGGAGGTTCTCTGAATGTATGGCTTGGGTACTCGCGCAGTCTCAAGTCTAGGGCAGATTCGATTATGTGTGCGCACACTTTTGTGATCTCGTTTGAGTTGACGCTTTGAAGCGCCCTTTTGACCAACCGTTGCAAGAAGTCAGTCAAACCTTTATCGCTCAATGTCTCTATCCGAGGTAACTGGAGGGAACATGCTATAATTTGACACAGGGTAATGCATTCGGGCGAGATCTGGCCGTCCACATAACAATCGTAAGAGTCCAGCACCAAAGGCTCGCTTTCTAGCACCTCGTCTCTTATTTCTGACCGATTTTGTATGAAATCCAAGATTTTGTCAATTATTCCGCGAGAGCAACCAAGACAAGCCTGCATGGCTTGGACAACAGTGGAAAGCGGTATTTCGCCACAATCGTATTTGGAACCGGTCCATTCAACGTAGCCATACCGACGTAAAAGCTCCGAATTGGAAAATTCGCCATAAATGTTGTACACCTGGTCGCCGCTGAATATATCGTCCACCGCTACCATGATCAGCGACTCCGGTGAATATGTTAAGTTTGCATTGCACTTGTGGGTATCAGCGTTGAGCATATCAGCCATTGGCACCATAGACTTGATGTATCCATCTTTCCAGACCGAAATCGGGCCCATTGTGTCGTCCAACCCTTCATCATTTTGTTCTTCTTCATCTTCATCTTCTTCGTCCTCGTCATAATCCGGGCGTTCCATATCGAAGGAATATGCCATTACAACGGATGCTACATGCACGAACTCCTCCCACGTCACGGATTCAAGCTGCGTCAGATTGAGCTCCTTTACGCAACCCATGACGGTTTCGTACATTGCACGAGCGCCGTCTCGTCCGATTCTGCTGCGGACTGCGGACGGACCCAAACGAGCCACTTCTTCGTCTGTCCAGTACATTAAACTGTCCATGCTTGCCTGTTGGGGCCACACCTGGAAGTACGGCCACCATTGGCTTTTTTCCTGTGCCATTTTCAGCTCATACAAAATCACCACGATCAATCCTTCCCAGTGGCCCAGCTTGTGCAGGAAAAGCTTGCGAATTTCTGGGTTTTCTGTGCTCAAACTCGATGTTATCACATTCAACACACTTTCACGTTTAATCTCGAACAGCTTCTCGCCCTTTGCCACGTTTTGCTCCGCTAAGATACATCTTCCCTGCTGCGCATCTGTTGGATGCTGCAGCAACTTGATTTTGTCAGAAATCCATACTTTCTGGTCCGTTTGAGCCCAATCCAAAAATCTCTGGGTTCTAAGATCCGCATCACTGTTCTTATACGCCATCTCAATCGCCTCAAACACCTCCGAGTCCTTCGTTTGAAGCGGTTTTTATCATCGCGATGGGCTCGATTTCACTGGAAATTTTGTCAAGTTCTCAAATCTTTCATTAATCTAACCCTTCGTTGAAAGTGCTATCACCACTTTTTTAAATTTACAGGTAAAATGAGATCAGAACTTTCCAGAACTCAAACGTCGACTAACCAACACCTTCAAGAAGTTCACCTTTTACAAGTATAAAAAGTTCAGACTTTCTCGAGTTTACCGTCGAGCATCAGGAATTGAAATATATACGACAACTTCAATCTTTTTTTGATAAGATTTCAGTCTAGAATACTGCAATTTCGAGATGTCTGCTGAAGAGTTTAAGAAACAAGGAAATGCTGCTTTCGTAGCGAAAGACTTTGGTAAAGCCGCAGATCTATTTTCGCAGGCGATTGAAGCATCGGAAACACCCAACCATGTCCTTTACTCCAACAGATCGGCGTGTTACGCTTCGTTGAAGCGTTTTGGGGATGCTTTGCAAGATGCAGAAAAATGTATTGGAATCAATCCAAGTTGGTCAAAGGGCTACAACAGAGTTGGTGCGGCACAATCGGGACTCGGGAACTTGGACGACGCGGAAAAAAACTACAAAAAAGCTTTGGAACTAGACTCCTCAAATAAAGCAGCTCAAGAAGGTCTGGAACACGTGCAACGCACCCAACAGAGCAGACAACAACAGCCAGATCTAGGGTTTGGTCAGCTCTTTAACGATCCCAACATGATCGAAAAGCTCAAGCAAAACCCCAAGACTGCGGAACTCATGAAGGACCCTCAACTCGTGGCCAAAGTTTTGCAGTTCAAGTCCAATCCTCAGGCGATGGGAACCGAGTTTTTGCAAGACCCACGCATGATGACAATAATGGCGGCTCTTTTGGGCATAGACCTAAGCATGGGCGGTGAAAACCCGGCTGGAGAGTCTGAAAATCCCTCTAAAAAGGCTGAGGCCTCCAAGTCTACGGAATCCGAGGTACCAGCAACCGAACCTACCAAGCCTAAAGCCCCTGAACCAGAAAGCCAGCCACCGGTTACTCAAGAGGACTCAATGGAAGTTGACGAACCCGAAGTCGATTCTAAGGCTGCAGCCGATGCCGAAAAAGCTGAGGGTAACAAATTTTACAAAGCTCGTCAATTTGACGAAGCCATTGAGAAATACAATAAGGCTTGGGAACTCCACAAAGATATTACCTACTTGAATAACCGCAGTGCTGCGGAATACGAAAAGGGTGACTATGACCAGGCGATCAAAACTTTGACAGAAGCCGTGGAGCAGGGAAGAGAAATGAGAGCTGACTATAAACTCATCGCTAAGTCTTTCGCTCGTATCGCAAACGCCTACGTAAAGCAGGACGATCTACAAAATGCGGTAGAATATTACCAAAAATCTCTAACAGAGCACCGTACTCCAGACACCTTGACCAAATTGAGAAACTGTGAAAAGGAACTCAAGATTCGTGAAACTGAAGCTTACGTTGATCCAGAAAAGGCTGAGGAAGCTCGTCTAGAGGGAAGAGATTTTTTCACTAAAGCCGACTGGCCTAACGCAGTGAAATCGTATACCGAAATGATCAAGAGAGCTCCAGAAGACGCTCGTGGATACTCTAATAGGGCAGCAGCTTTAGCCAAGCTGATGTCGTTTCCTGATGCCATCAAGGACTGCGACATTGCGATCCGCAAAGATCCAAACTTCATCAGGGCTTACATCAGAAAGGCTTCTGCACAAATCGCTACTAAAGAATTTGTAGGTGCTATGACGACACTCGATATCGCTCGTACAAAGGATACTGAACTAAACAAGGGATCTAGCGTAAGAGAAATTGACCAGCTTTACGCCAAAGCTTCTCAACAAAGATTCCAGCCCTCTGATCCAAATGAAACTTCAGAACAAGCCTATGAAAGAGCTTTGAAGGATCCAGAAGTCGCTTCGATCATGCAAGACCCAGTTATGCAGAGTATCTTATCCCAAGCTCAACAGAATCCTGCCGCATTGCAGGAACATATGAAGAACCCAGACGTTTTCAGCAAGATTCAAACCTTGATCGCTGCTGGTATTATTCGTACGAGATAGATGTTTGTCTCGTTGACCAATACACATACATCATATGTACGTATTATTTTAATTGCACCATTCAAAGGCCCAAAAGGCTTCGCAATTGACGAGGCGTAAACTTTACCTACGTTTATTTCACTTGGTCTTCATCCGCAGCCATTTTATGTTGCTACATGCTCCAAGACCCAAGTCAACTAATCTTCATCAACCTCCTCATGATTTAACTATTCATGTATATAAATCCGTCGTCAAAATACATACCATTCTTACCCTATATTTACAGTTTCATTTCTCAGATTTCTTCCTCTGGGTCCATAGACTCACCTTCCTCGTGGTTCGCTTTCACAGTAAGCTTGCCGTCGACGACATCAACATGCACTGTTTCGTCAGGTCTCACTTGGCCCCTCAGCATATACATAGCCATGGGGTTCAGAATTTTCTTGTGAATTAACCTGTTAAGTGGTCTGGCACCATATAATTGATCGTAGCCGTTTTCCGTTAACCATTCCTTCGCGGCTTCAGTCAAGTCAAGCTTCATTCGCTTATCTGCAATCCTATCTTGAATTTCCTTGAGTCTAATATCCACGATGGAGCGTAAAACCTTCTTCGACAACCGGTTAAACACCAAAATGTCATCAATTCTGTTGATGAACTCAGGTGGATACGAACGTTTCATGGCGTCGATAACTTTCGTTTGAGTCGCGTCACTGACCTTGCCGTCATTTCCAACTTCCGTGTCTGACAACAAAATATCCTGACCGATATTGGAAGTCATGACGATCATAGTGTTGCGGAAATCTACTTGATGTCCTTGCGAATCGGTTAGCTTTCCCTCATCTAAGACTTGCAGCAAGACCTTGCTGACGTCAGGATGTGCTTTTTCGAATTCGTCAAACAATACCACAGCGTAAGGCTTCCGTCTGACCGCTTCCGTAAGTTGTCCACCAGATTCACTCATGACGTAGCCGGGAGGTGCACCTATTAGACGCGAGACCGTGTGCTTCTCTTGGAACTCAGACATATCAAATCTTATTACATTCGAATCGTTATCAAAAAGAAATTCTGCGAGAGCTTTTGTTAATTCAGTTTTACCGGTACCAGTTGGACCCAAGAACATGAAACTTGCAATAGGCCTTTTTTCACTGGTGAGACCTGCTCTTTGCAATCTAACAGCATCTGAAATTGCGTCAATGGCCTCATCTTGTCCGACTACTCGTTCCTTTAATGAGTTTTCCATGAAAAGCAGACGATCCTTGTCGCCCTGGAGCACAGTTTGCACTGGAATACCAGTCATTCTGGCAATGACAATGGAAATGTCATCAGAAGTGACGGAGTCATGCAAAAGATTTTTTTCCGCATCCTTTTCTTGCGTATGTGCTACCTTTTGCTCAAGTTCGGGGATTTTTGCATACCTCAATTCTGACGCTTTGGCAAAATTATTTTCTCTTTGTGCAATTTCCAAATCGATTCTGGCTTGTTCCAAATCCGCCTTTGCAGTTTTGATGGAATCAATTTCAGCTTTCTCTTTCTCCCATACCTCAGTAAGTCTTGAATGTTCCGCCCGCTTGGCTTCTAAATCTTCTTCTAAAGCAGTTTTTCTTTCAATTGACAAGGGATCTGTTTCCTTTTTCAAGGATTCAAGTTCGATCTGAATTCTGGTAATTGCCCTGTCTAACGTCTGGATGACATCGGGTTTCGATTCGTGCTGCAGACGTAACACTGCACAGGCCTCATCCACTAGATCAATGGCTTTGTCGGGTAAAAATCGATCATTGATGTAACGGTTAGACAACGTAGCAGCGGAGACCAGAGCAGCGTCAGTGATTCTAACACCGTGATGAACCTCATATCTTTCCTTCAAACCTCTCAAGATAGAAATAGTATCAGGAACATTGGGTTCTGTCAGCATGATGGGTTGCAATCTTCTAGTTAAAGCCGGATCCTTTTCTATGATCTTGAATTCATCGATGGTGGTGGCCGATATACATCTCAATCCTTTGGCCAACCGGGGCTTCAAAATATTGGATGCATCCATGCTCCCGTCTGTTTTCCCCAGTCCCAAAAGCATGTGCACTTCATCGATGAAAACAATTACTTCACCATTGGCTTTGTCGATTTCTTCCAAAACGTTTTTGAGCCTTTCTTCAAATTCACCTCGATATTTGGCACCTGCCACAAGCGATCCCAGATCCAATGCTACAAGTTTTTTGTTCTTCAAAGAGTCAGGAACTTGTCCACTGACGATCCGCTGGGCTAGACCATCGATTAGAGCTGTTTTACCCACACCTGCGCGACCTATCAGAACTGGATTGTTTTTGGTACGTCTTGACAGAATCTGGATTGATCGTGCGATTTCATCGTCCCGGCCAATAACCGGGTCAAGCTTTCCTTCTTGAGCCAATTGGGTCAAATTTGTTCCAAATTGCTCCAACGCCGGTCTTTGATCAGCATTATTCGCATTCAAAGTGATAGAACGTCTGGAGCATATTTGGAATCCACCATTACTCCAGTCTTTTGAGTTCGAATATCTAACTGGCGTGCTTAAAACCGACGATGCACTTCTAAACGCTGTGGTTGGCAGCAACGCTAAGTTGCGACATGCGTTTCTGCGCAAAGCAGCATTTCTTGTCAATCGTAGCATGATAAGAAACTCCTAATTCTTTAGCATTCGAAAGTTTAAACGATTCCAAAGGTCAAAGCGTTGGTATCTGGTGAGTCCTTTTATATGACATGCGGTGTAATAGTCAAATCGATCAATCCCTTTGGGATATATTCTAGAAAGACCCAGATGAGTTAGGAGGAATATCAATTTGAATATCATGTGACGCAGAATATTGTCGTTCCCGTATTTTGTGACTTGGATGAGGAACAGAGGACCGGAGTTTTTTAGCCGCCGAAGTTCACAAACAAATAAAAGAGGCAATAGTGGATTTTTTGACGAAGTATTCAAGTAGCAGAAGTTCCTTCTTTGTTTAAAATGTTTTCGGTGTTAAGCGGATGTTTTAAACTTGAAATATTGTCATTTGGAGGTGATTTTCTTTCTTTGATCTTGTTATGATGTATCGGGCAAGGCGATATATGCCCATTTGTAAACCCGTCGTTCGAGCGTAGTCTCGAAGGGTGTAATCGCACACACGAAAACGTGTCCAAGAGCCGGGTCTAATGGAATTTTGCTGAAATGACGCGTGAAAGTCGTCATAAGAGGAGCTTTCATACTGTAATATTCGGCTAGTTCGTTGACTTCTATCCGAGACGAATTGATCATCTCCGTATCTGTATGTGCTCTTGCAAGATAACGGTGTTCAATGAGAAACACAAGTGGCGTTCATGATGCGGTCTTGTAATCATCATAGCGTTCATGATGCAGTCTTGTAATCATTCGTTTATGCTTCAGTTCAATGGCAATATGAGGACTCATGTTACAAAAGCTGGTGACCATTTTCCATGGCACTGAGCACCGAGATTGGTTCCCGGGAAGGTTGTTTTGTGACCTTGTGGAGTGTAAAATGCGTTGAACTTTGAGGTACGGCCTATACCGTTTATAATATGAGTGTTTGGGTTTCGTACACGATGACTTTCCAGTCAGCTAAGGGAAGTTGTCATATTTGTGAACACAAGCCTGTACCAAGGGGTTTGAATTCTGAACCGGTGTACAAATCGGCTTTGAAAGATACTTTAAGAGAAGTAAAGGAGCGTGAAAGAAACAGATTACTGGATTTTTGTTTCCGTATATAGTGATTTGGATGGTATGAAACAGTGGTTTAAGAAACACCTACGAGAATGTCCATAGGGACGTAAGTTTGAGGCAAATGGGGACAATAGACGTGAGAATCGTCATTCGATGGATTTTGAGTCCAACGTGTGAAAAATCCCGGCACGTGACCATTTGGATGCAAAAACCACGCATTAGAATTTGATTATCTCGCTCCCGAGATTTTCGTGACGACTCTCTCCACGCGCCCCCATTTCCTGTATCTCCCGCCCTATTTCTCATGTGTCTGTCCACTTCTTTCCATTTCTTGTCTCATCCTCGTCTTGAAAGAAGCCAAATCAATATCCGCTCACGTGATCAACGACGGCAATTGGGGTGATCAAGTTCCACCACACTTGAACAACGACGTTCTCGCCATATTTTAGGCAACAGTGTTTTCTTACCTCCACAACTCGGTTCAAGTCTCAAAGTATACTCAAATACCCTTCAACTTCACAGAATATCTGTTGAAGTACCCATTTTAAGTCAAACTCTCTAATGTGATACTTGCCTTTATGTTACAGACACTCTCTCGACAAGATGTTCGACAAGATGTTCAACAAGATATTCGACTGGATATTCGACTGGATATTCGACTGGATATTCGACTGGATAATCTACCAGATGTTCGACTAGACAAACCTCCCCTTCTGGTCTCGTGACCTCTTTTGTTTCCCCTGCCACTGATTTTTTTCGTCTGCTTACGTTACGAGTATAAAAGGCCGTGAATGACAATATAACATGATGGTAGCGTAAGCAAGCACTCGTGAAGGGAGATCTCATCGCCATTTCAGTAATCGCAGCTACGTGAGTGACCACTACCATAGCCGTACAGCAGTTTTGGACCGTGGTATTTTTCGACCTGGCACATACATTAAATGATTCCTGTGCTTCCAATGGGAAACACACCTGATGGGGAAAGTAGCAATGTTGGTGGCCACGATCAACGCAACCATTCAACACCAACAGCTACAACAGCTACAACAGCAGCAACAGCAACAACAACATCATCAACACCATCCGCTTCAATGTCTAGAGACCCATCAAGTATGGTTCCAGGCGCTTCAAGAAACCCAGTCACCACGGGTGTGGCGGTGAACGTCCCCCAGCACCATGTTTCGGCAAACACCGGATCCGGTGGTAGAAATTCGGAAAATAACATGGGTCACGTGCCGCAGACGTCGGGCGTCGGAGTCGTATCTAACGACAACAGCAACAACCCGTTGGTGATGGGAGGAAATGTGGGTATTTCAAGCGGCGAAGCGGACCCTACAGGTCGCAACAAGAGTGGTGGACTGCCGTCTCATTCCGGAATGCCCCTACGGCCACACCAAAATGCCGTAGCCATCTCACCGTACATGGCGCAAACAACATCGCAATTCAATGCGCAATTCCCGATGCACAGTCTCATACCTATTCCACCGGGCGGCTCTCCATCTCTCAACGGCAACGAGGGTGACCACGGTGAAACAGATGCGGAGGCCCACCTGGCTGGAAAATCCGGAAAGCCGCTGAGCAACACGAAGCGTGCTGCGCAGAACAGAAGTGCCCAGAAGGCATTCCGGCAAAGACGCGACCGCTACATCAAGGATCTGGAAGCCAAAGCCGAAGAATTCGACCGTTTGGACGCACAGGTGGCAGCGCTATCGCAAGAAAATGAATCTTTGAAAAGATACGTTATCGAGCTGGAACAACGGCTTATGGCGACGCACGCTCCGTAGTGCAGGGTTCAAGAGAGGGCTAGATCTGGGAAAGAAAGGTACTGGGGGATCAAGAAGGCCATAAATAAAACTGTAGGTTTCCGTGAGCACTTCGCATTTCCTGTCTTTAAATGTAATATATTGATTTCAAACATTAAAATGATGCTAATTATGATGTGTGAGAATGAAAGAACGGGAACAAGAGAAAGGATGGATGCTCAAGGGCGGAAGTTTATGGTCTAAGAAGGTAATGAGAGCAGTAATTAGAGAAGAGGTTTAGGGGATTACAAATGCAACGCCGCGGATAAAAATGATGGTAATGACAGATAGTCACGTGACTTGAAGGTGTTCATAACAAGGCAAGTTGTTGTGGGCAGCACAAGCTTTACTGTGTTATCAGTTTTGTATTTACTGTTGTGGTGTTCGAGCGAAATCAATATCTGTTCCACAGAATTTTCATCAGTAGTCAGATGTGACTGGTTGGTCCAAAGTGAGAACGATTAAGGTACTACCCAGTAAACTCTCCCAGCGCGATAGCGTTAACGTTGCTAGCACAATGTAACAATTAAGGTTACCACTCCGGGCCAACATCTCCTTTCCACGAATTAAATAAATTATTTTCAAAAAGATATGGACGAGACCGGAGTCGAACCGATGACTTCTCGCATGCGAAGCGAGCACTCTACCAACTGAGTTACACGCCCATGATGATATTCCTGGAATTCATTCCCAGAACCGCTGGGCCATTGAGGCTCCACGATCGTTGAATTTGTGATGAAGAGAATCTGACATGACGAATACTTGTATTCAAGGTATTCAAGATATGAAATGAGCTGACAACCTAAGTTATACATACGACAACGGAAGGTATAAATACCGGACCCAAGTGCTCCAACTTAAGCACTGATCCACCAACATGCAAGGGCAGAATCACCAGTAAACTAGGTTAGAGTTCCACGCTGAAAAACAAAAACCGAACAACAAGAACGGAAATCAAAACGAAAAAATACCAATACTATGATTGTTCCCTTTTTTCAACTTTTATTTATTTTAAATTACATAACTAGACTAGTGGCAAGCTACAATGTCACAGACCAACACTTATTCGAAGCCATATCAGCCTCGGCAGCCAACTGTAGTGAAGTACTCGGATTCAATGTGACTACTTGGTTAAGCAGCTCAGGGACGGTATATATACAGCCCGAGATCAACGGTACACTGACGCCAGACCAACTTACACTGCTGACGGACTGCAAATTATCAATTGATGGGGTTGTAGTGGCTTACCAACATAACAAACAACAGGGGCAAGAAATGGAAGAAAACTTTAATGGAATTATGACAATGATAGGCTTTGCAGCGTTTGAGGCCGCCGGCATACAAGTTACACTTAATAGATTCAGGAGAGTGTTGGCCCTTGCTAAGAGGGCGGTGGCACTGGGGGTGAATGGTTACGGCGTTACCAATTGTGACGGAGGTGATCAGATATTCTCAGTGGTATCTGGATCGGACGACTGCCAGACACCCAGCTGGAATCAAAAGTCAAAAGCCGTAGACTTGCACAATTACGACCCCAGTAACTCGCAATGGGTAGATCTGTTCCCGCACCATAGCTGCTCAAGCGACGGGGCTAGATACTTAATAGGGCCCGGCGAGGCTAACTGTCAAGTCAGGAACACTTATTCTTGGGTTCAAGAATGAACAAAGAAGTAGGGCTTGACCGGCTAGTAGAATGGGAACTAGTAATCGTAAGCAGTATGGAGATACAATATAAGTAGAGCACATGACAATTTATGAATATGAAGTAACACATAGTCTCCTATCTTCAATCCTAACTCCCTCCTCTTTCTATTCGTTGATACATCCATCCTAACTTGGTTTTCTTGGAGTATCTCTTCAGTCTGAAGGTCCAATGCCTTAAGTTTTTTGACTAATTCTAGCGTGCTCCAGCTTCTAGCTTCCAGTTGTCCGGTTGTATCCAACAATGGTGGGTTAGGTCTATACCCTAAATCGATTTCAAACGGTATACCTTGTACGGCTGTATTGTACGTTGAGTTGTATACGAATTCAATTTGCGGTAACAATCTATCCCATTCCTGATGTTGGTTACTTGCATAACTTCGCAACAATCTATTCAATACCCGGATACAACGTTCAGTTTGTCCATCTGTCTGTGGGTGGTTGCTTGATGACTTCCTAATCTTTTTGTCATCTCTTGAAAGTGATTTGACGTAAATCTGATGTCTATCGCTTGTTATCGTTCTTAGGAATCCATGGTAAGCGAATATGAATCCAAACATCAGATCAACCACTTGTGCTCCCCCTATTGTTTTTCGACATGCGATTAGATGGCATCGCTTCGAAAATCGATCTACCACTACTAGGATCATATCGGATCCATCGAAAGTAGGTGGTAATCCTGTGATAAAGTCCATCGATGAATCGAACCAGCGTCCTTCCGCAATCGGTAATGGCATTGTCAATCCATTATGTTGTGGTCGGTGGGCTTTCATCAACTGACACTGTATACAAGTTCTCACATAGCGATTGACTGCCTTAGCTAAATTTGGCCAGTATAGCTTCTCAGCAATCTTTGCGTGTGTGATGTGAGAACCGTAGTGTCCTCCATGTAACGGATCATCATGGAACGTTTCTAAGATTTTCTTTTGTTTGTTCTTCGGAACAACAATACGGTCTTCATATCGTAGGGTCTCATCCCTATACGTAAATTTCTCACGAAACTTCGGAGGCAACGCGAATCTCTTCTTAAATTTCGTATAACCACTGCGATCGGCAGGCGGAACATTCGTGTTCTTTATTACGTTCAGATGTTGCAGAGCTGCAGCTCCCAAAACATCACTCTTCCAGTCCTCTGTCCAACCCCGTGGATCTATTCTTGGGACGGATTCCAGGGCATCAAATTCTATGGCATATTCGGCCCCCGAGATGGCATCGGCCACCACGTTCTTATCTCCTGGTAAATACTTAAAATCAAATTGGTATTCTCCCACCCGGTCTATCCAAGTAGCAAGCCGGTTACTTGGTTCGCGCTTATTCTTCAGTGCGAGTAGACTTATATGGTCTGTTCTCAACAGAAACCTTCTTCCTTGTAAAGCATATTTAAAATGCTCGAGTGCTGCGATCACTCCTAGTAATTCTAGTTCTCCTGCAGGATAGTTCTGTTGTGCCTTTTCCAGCGACTTGGAAAAGTATCCCACAACTCCTACCATTCGTTTGCCTTGCACTTCCTCTAAGACAGCTCCTATCCCCTCCTTCGACGCGTCCGCCGTGAGTTTGTAATTGGCCTTTTCTTTGAATGGCACAAGCAACGGCTTGTCCATTAGGTGCTTCTTAAGTGCTTTAAACGATTCTTCCTGTGGTTCGGTCCACGATTCTTTTCCTGTTATAAACTCAATAATAGGTCGAGCTAATTTTGAGCAATGAGGTATAAAGTTTCGATAGTAGTTTATCATCCCCAGAAATCTTTGAGCTTCTTTAACAGTCTTAGGTGATGGAAACTTCGATATAGCTTCGCATTTACCTTGAATTGGTTCAATGGTATTCGGTCCAATAATATATCCAAATAATTCTACCTTCTTTTGTAAGAACTGGCATTTCTTCAACTTAGCAATTAGTTGTTCTTTCTTAAGCCTTCCTAGTACTTCATCTAGGTGGTTCCAATGTTCCTCTTTCGAACGGGAAAATATAAGTATGTCATCCAAATAGACACATACAAATTTCAAGTCTCGGAATAAGTCAGCCATATATCTTGCAAATGTACTTGGTGCATTTACTAGTCCAAAAAACATGACGGTGTATTCATACTTACCCGTTGGTGTCACAAAAGCTGTCTTTTGTTGGTCTTCTTGCTTCATTGGAATCTGATGTTACCCACTATGTAAGTCGAGTGTGGAGAAGATTCGTGCATCATAGATTTTAGTCAATAATGTTTCGATATGTGGTAAGGGAAACGGATCCTTTACGGTTACTTCATTCAATCTTCGATAATCAACACACATTCGATAAGTGTCGTCCTTTTTCTTGACGAGTACTATCGGTGAGCTACACGGTGCTCTTGAAGGTGTGATAAAACCTTTTTCCAATAGGTCTTCAATCAATCTTGTACTACGCCTTCCATCTTTGGTGTCAATCGGTATGGTTGCATACGCGGTAACCTTTCGTTTGGCTTAATGTCGATTTCATGCTCAACTAAATTATTTCTTTCTCTCTTCTGTGGTAAATCATTCCTCACAGTATCTTGGTACTTGGTTTTCAACCATCCTGGCAAACGTTGGAATGTATCATTGACTCCGCCTTCTTTTGTAGCTTCTATTCTAACCACGAATAGTTCTTGGTCTTCACTTATCTTTCCTTCCAGCCGTTCTGTTCTGATGAAGTCTAATTCGACTACTTCATCTGCGTTTGCTTGTTCTGCGACTGCAGTTAACAACTTCGGTTGTTCTTCTAATATTGGATTGCCTACAATGACTTTCTGCGATATGTCCTTAGTGACATAAGCGTCAACCTCATATTGTTTGTCTTCATAATCGAACTTTACTGTCACAGCTTGATCAGTAAATGACGTTTTCTTCGATACCGCACCCTTGAAACGAAGTGGTGGTGCACAATATGAGTCTAAACCTAGGTTTCTGGCAAAACTAGTCTGTACGAAAGATATTGGTGATCCCGTATCAATCAGTATACGCGATCTGGTCTTATTCGTAAATCCTACTAATATTTCCTTACGTCTTCCGACTTTCGGTTGTCTTTCCTGAACGATGGGTTCCTTAGGAATTTCCTAATGTTTTTGGCTTTCTGTTTTCTGATGTTTTTGACGTTTTGGTACTTTCTCTGTATGAAAAATACCTCGCAAAACTCGCGATGATATTCAATGGGTAGTTCTTCATTTAGAACTCTGAGTGTTCTGGCATTCTTTGATAGAATGTCCAGGTTTCTTGCATCGAAAACACAATTTATGTGAGATACAGTATTTTCTGTCTCTCTTCTCTGTATTCTGTTTCCGATGGTAACTCTTCTTAGCTCTAAACTCGTCAATTTCCATGGCGTCCTCGTCTCTGAGTCCGTAGGTTCTTCTTTCTGAAACAGGGTCTCCTGCATAACCCGAGGCTACAGCGGCATACTTTATGGCTTCAATTAGCGTTGATGGATCTTTGCTTCTTACAGCCATTTTTGTTTTTTCTTTCAACCCATTGTATAAGCATGCGCTACGTGTCGAAGTGGTGCGCGTCCTGACTCATTCACGGCGGCCAGCAGTCTGTGAAATTCGCTATTGTACGAATCCAACGAACCCGTTTGTTTCAATGATACCCATTTCTCGAATACTGTGGATGGATCTAATGCTGCTCTATATGTTTCCTTGAAAGCACATATCAAAGTCTCGAAGTCCATGTCACCATAATCGTCTGCAACCTCCGCGGTGTCTAGGTAACTCGCTAACCATTGAGTTGGACCATCTCGTATGTTCCTCACAAGAGTGGTAACTTTCATTGCATCGTTCGTGGTATTGTTTACTCTGAGTTGCACATTCAATTCAGTCAGGAACATATCCCTGTCTTTTGCATGCCCTGTGAATATCCTATTTAGCTTAGGAGCTTTAAATGGATATACCACTCCCTCACTCATCATACTCATGATACTGTGACACAATCTCTATGTCGTCCTGGATTGTTCTTGCGGCGCTACCAGATGTTATGCTAGGGTCCCGGATAATCGATCCGAAGTAGAGGTGGGGCTTAGCGATAACTTCTATTATACCCAAGCGGATATAATAATGATTCAAACACTTGTTCAATGTTTACTTATGATTCTCTACTTGCTCTCTTTAGCATATAAGATAACCGTAATCCGAAGATGTCAGGCCCGTCTTTTATACCTTATACTTCGAGACATGAATGGTCACATTCCCGACATGTTGGCATCTAGACATTAGGCTTCTGAGCCTCAATCAGCCTCCATTATTAGCCTTGTTGTCTTATCATAGACGTTAGCCTCAACATCTTCATACTTGATGTTCTTGTCTCATCATAGATTCTTTCAGCATGATCTTGGTTATCTTATTGTCATGTGTTATTCATGACAGAATTGGTGAAAGCTAAAATGGCATATGAGGAATAATGACCAGGGTGATATCGACTAAGTCTTAATGGTTTCAGATGCGTTGCTTTAGGATTCTCCGTTGGAACTTAAAAATTCAGAAACCAATACAAGTTTATGTCGCGTATCTTGGGTCAGAGTCGAGCACTTGGTTTACTTTGGAACTTCCCATATAGAAAGCAGAGGTTCGTAGCACGTGATACGGAAACTTGCGCCTATTTACTGTCCACTGAAGGCGGTTCCGCGATTCCGCGATTCGAACGATCAATATCAACAATGGAGTAGTCTCTGGAACGAGTTTCAAGTTGTTCCCTTTTCCTGACCGAACATCGCTGACGATTGGTATTTGCAATGAGGAAGAGACAATGGAAAATGGATCAGTGTACGATAATGAGTCCCGATCACGTGCTCGATTTGACGCGTGGCAAAACAAAGCTGAATCCATAATTATGATGGTATGGGTTCGCGTCAAACAATTAGTAGGTTGGAGTGACTTTGAGTTCGGGAGTCTAAGTTCCACGATGCGGAATATATTTGATTGAATGAGTGCTGTTTCGTTTGGGTCACGTGCTACCCAGATAGTTCCAACGTTAAAGGGTTCATCGGACCCACCAGCGTTCTTTTGGACATGACGGAGACGGATTCAATTGAGTTACTTTCCCTGTATTCAAGGAAGCCCGGCGTGATGATCCTTCCGTTTTTGTTTTTCTTTTTTCGTTCAGATCTAAAAAATCTCTCACGAAGTTGCGAGCATCACGTTGCCGTCGATGATTCGGCTTCGCAAACGTATTTTCCGAGCACACAACATCAACAAAAAAAGAGCAGTGGAACCCCATTATTCCCCGTAAAACACCTCTATCAGCTCCTGCTGCTTCTAGCTGCTTCTAGCTCCTTTCACTCCCAATTAGTCAATGCACATTCTCTTGTGCTCCAAATAGGAAGTATCTTCTGTGTTCAAATATTGGCATTTCAACGGTTTTCCGACTGCGATTTCCCCTTTTACTCCCACCTTTTCCTCCGGCTGTACTATTCACTCATCGCACTCCGTTTATCAACTTAAATCATCGTAAAATGCGAATTTCAGACCCGTAAGAAAAGTATTCTAATCAGCGCAATTGTCTACATTTATTCATGGATTTTAATAGTCTCAATAACGCTTGGCGGCCTTTACTTCCCTCCACTTCCTTCCTCTTTCCACTTCTTTTACTGTCGCCGAAAACATATACCTTTTAACGAGCGGGCTTTAACATAGGGGCCGGCCCATATTAGAGACAAAGGCTGAGAAATATGTAGAAATATACAATAGGAATATATATATATATGTATATATAAATGAATAACTAATGAATAATTGAAAGGTTCCCCAGAAGTAAAACTTTAAACCACATTCACGAGCCAAATAGAGTCTCAAATTGTGAAATAAGATTCAGGAAATCTGTAGGTTTGTGGCTCACAGATAAATTTGTAATATTTTACAGCGTTTTGAGGTTTTTGGGTCAAATTTCAAGGAATTTCGGAGTTTTTTTCACAGGTAGTGCCAGTGACTACGATCTAACAGCATTGCCAGCTCATTGTTGGAAAAAGAGGCTTTTGAGGATTACAGTTCAGTTATACACATTGAGTTTCAGCGGAAAATGGGTAACGTCCCCGGAAAACTAGATGACGAGAGTACAGTGCGAGCCAAACGGTCTATGAGTACTTCTGCAGCACTCCCGAATCGGAGCGGAAACGGTAATGTGGGAAATCGCAATGCTAGGACTTCTTCCATGGTTGGCACACTCCTGAATGGCAGACGGCATTCGGAAGCATCAGAAGCGGCAGGAGGTGCAGAAAACCCGTATAAACGCAAGTCAACCAAGGAAAAAGAGCGGCTGAAAGAGCGTCACGTCAAACAGCTCATTGTTAGATACAGTGAAACGGTGGACGGTGGATTTTTGGCGCCGTACGGGTCCAGCAGCTTGGAAAAAGTGGACTACGACGCAAACGTGGTGAAAACGCTCATTTTGGAGCGCCGTTTAGCTCCGTTTTACACTCCATTGCAAGATTACGACGAATCGTGGACCCCTCAAGAATTGGTCAAAATTGTGGATGGACTACCCTTGCATGCGCCCTTTAGCGAGAATATGGAGGCGTTTGAAGGTGTGCCCGTTGGGAATTTATCCCAGAATGATTTTGATCATCTGATAGACAAATCGCTGTCACGGCGCGAACAACGTCGCATGAGAGGAAAGATCTTTGGCGCCAGACTTTACCAAAAGCGGCTGCGTTGGCAGGAACGGGAAAATGAAAAGTTTTTGGAGCTGAAACTGGAGGCCCGAAAGCTGCCGGAGGGTCAAAAGGAGGCCTTCTTGCCCAGCAACGATCTAAAAGTGGATCTCTACCAAAATGGTTCTGAATGCCCTATATGTTTCCTATACTACCCGCACCCCATGAACCTGTCACGCTGCTGTTTACAGCCCATTTGCAGTGAATGTTTTGTGCAAATCAAGAGACAGGAGCCGCATTTCCCGCACGATTCCGAAGATAACGGGGCCCACAACGACGAGGACGAAAAGGACCCAAACTTGCTAACGTCCGAACCCACCAATTGTCCCTATTGCGCAACGCCAGATTATGGTGTCGTATACGAGCCCACCGCCAACCGCAGAATCGGACTTCACGGCTCGTCTCCTTCCACCTACAAGCATCGGGACTCAATCGAGACCCCGCAAGTGTCGTCGTCGACGTTTGTGCGACGCGGGCCGTTTGACGCATCCGACAGCAAAGTGGTTACCTCGGACTGCTTACGGCCCACCTGGCAAATCAAACTGAACAAAGAACGCATGCGTTTGGCCAGACGATCTGCTAATGCTACTGCTATTCACGTGAGCAATCAGCTAGTTACGCCAGGACATCAAGCATCCTCCAACATTAGCGCACAAACTGCATCGCACGGCAATCAGCATCCGGCGTTTGCTACACATCATCCAACAGTGCATGGTTCTGTTTGGCCAGCCAATGCTACTGCTGCGGAAATCGAAAACCAAATGATTGAACAGGCTATAAAATTGAGTTTGGCGGAGTCCAAATCCTCCAAGAGAGGCAGTTGAGAAGATTGGGAAAGAATATGGGTAGATTGGAACGTTCTACTACGATGGCTTCGATTAAGAGAAACTACGGTGAAATGGGTACTATTACGATGAGTACTATTATGACGGGTACTTTTACGATGGGCACTGTTATGATGAGTACTTACTAAGATAGAAACCTGGCTATAATGGAACAAACTTCTGCAATCAATACAAGACTAGCATTTCAACATGTACTAAAGGATAGAAGTAGAAGCATTGAACTCCATTCAAAAGTCACATGACTCGGTAATCTTTTGAAACGGCGTATATGGATATCGGTTACCCGCCCTTGGTGACACCACATTTTCAAATCCGCGAGTACTTCTCAGCGATTCTCACGCACGAGTACCAAACTTTTTTTTCATCTCTCATCTCGTGAAAAAAAAACTTGGTAAAAGTCAAAGGAAGCAGCGATTTTTTTCACTTTCTTCCAGTATTCTTGACAAAAGGTTTCTTTGAAAGAAAAAAGACCAAAGAAATAGTCTGCTTTTCCAGTTGTTTGCGAAAGCTTAATTTGATTATCTCTATTATTCGACTCCTCTGAAGAAATGTCTGTTGAAACCGCTTTGTCTTACGCTGCCTTGATCTTGGCCGACTCCGAAGTCGAGATCTCTTCTGAAAAGTTGTTGAGCTTGACCAACGCCGCCAACGTCCCCATTGAAGGTGTCTGGGCCGACATCTTCGCCAGAGCCTTGGAAAGCCAGGACTTGAAGAGCTTGTTGGTCAACTTCTCTGCTGGTAGCGCTGCTGCTGCCCCAGTTGCCGGTGGTGCTGCTGCCGCTGCTGGTGGTGACGAGGCCGTCGAGGAAGAGAAGAAGGAGGAAGCCAAGGAGGAATCCGACGACGACATGGGATTCGGTCTGTTCGATTAAAGCAGGTGTTTAGAAATTGCATATTGTTAGTATCTCTGTATACGCTTTAATAACGCTTGGACTCCAGTGAAAAGATGTGTTAGCTACCTGTTTCAACTAGCATGTACTCGATGTGGCAGATAGACTGTTTCGAGAGGTGTGGAAGGATGTTAATAGATGCATTAAGTCACCATGTACGTACTTTATTAAATTCCTACAGCTGTTTTATCCATATAGCACGCTAGAGACTTCTAAATGCACTACTGGGATAGACGTCACCTTCCTTGTCAATTTACTGTCTCATGTTGTTCGTTCAAGTAAAGCCCACCATGGAAACGCTTTCTCATTTCTGTCGCACACGTGACCGCACTTTTTCCAAATACTATTGCAGGAGTGGCTTCCAACTATACAATTTACATAAGAGAGATGATCTATTAGGCTGAGGAAACACAAGCTTATTTCTTCTTGTCAGCTTCAGCTTCGGCCTTCTCTTGAGCTCTCTTTTGTCTGATACCTTGGTGTCTCTTATCGGATCTGGCTAGTCTCAAAGTTCTGAAGGCAGACTCACCGCTGTCTTCAACGGCTCTGGTAGTACCTTGTTCACCAACTGGCTGGGCAATTGGGAAAGAGGCAGCGGCAGACAAAACCTGTTCGGCTTCTGGGGCCTTACCGTTTCTTGGGAAGACAATTATCTTAGACTGGAATTCCTGCAATCTCTGCACGTTCAAGTCAAAGATTTCTTGGTTTCTGTTTTGACGTCTGTGGTCGACAGCGATACCAATGGTTCTGGCGTAAGCTGGGGTCAAGCCGGCGGCTCTGACTTCACGCAAAGTGAAACCTCTGCCAGCTCTGACTTTTCTGTTGTACTTGATGGTAGGAGGCTTGACAACTGGTCTCAACAAGTCTAGAGGTCTTGGAGCGATCTTGGCGGCCTTGGCAGCTCTGGCAGAACGTCTGGACACCTTCTTACCAGCCTGGTCGAAGTGCACCTTGACGCGCTCTTGCCAGTGCTTTCTGAAGTGGTTCTTCAAGATTGGGAGATTCTTAGAGATAGCTGTAAAACAGTTAGTAAAAAAGAAGCTGTAACGGGAATAAACATCAACATTTCACGAGCATCGTCGATACGAGTCCATAATTGCCGTCTTATTGTCCACAGTGAGGGTTTGGTTTCTTGATCCAGAAAATGACTTCGGTTCCTATGACGAAGATCACACACATTATATTATCTTCCTGACATTATCGTTGTATCGCCCAAAATCGGTCCATTTCGGCTCGTTCGTTCACTGGTGGGCTATCGTTCGTGTTGTGAATAGTATTTTCCTCGCTATTACGCCCTTCAACATACCCATTGTTGCTTGATTCCTGCTGTACCTTCCTAAGTAGTCAAGATGCCAAATTCATACATGTATATGAAATTTGAGGATATTCTGGATACCAATGAGAGATGGGTGAGCGAGAGCAGCTACACGAGCTAGGCCGGGCCCGTGGACTGCGTCTGTCCAGCGCTGGTTGAGCTGGTAGGGCGCTCTGTCTGGAGCTGTGTCTGGAACTCTGTCTGGAGCTCCGTCTGCTCCCTCCGTCTAGCTGTCGACTAGGCAGACACTACGTCTGCGTAGCGCATCACCGGTGAAGACAGGAAGCCACGCACGAAACAAGATTCCTGGTTTTTTTCATGCCTTCTCTAAGCGAGAAAACCAGAAAATGTACGGATGTTCAAAAGTAGCAGTCATATTCCTTGCGTGTGACTGCTAGTATTTAACACACCCATACATCCATCAATAAAAATGAAAAACTCGCTTACTTAAATCAATATTCTGCGGAGTTAGACAAAGTGGAGCTTGCGTACCTTCCACTGTTGCCTCGTTGCACTCCTCCTGGGAGGGCGTTCCCTTCCCGGCCTAAACGTAACGAATGCTAGGCAGAGCCCATCGACAGCTCTCTGTCTAGCGTCTCCTGGCTCCTTCCCACTAGCGTCGTGGCTGTCTGCCTAGCCGTCCGTTCAGAGATCCACCATCGCCTGCCGGGTAATACAATCACCAAGCCAGTGTTGGTGAAAACTTTCATTCCAGTAACAGCGGGTGTGTAACGAATACAGCTGGGGTTAGTTAATCTTAGTTGAACTTTGAATAGACCGTGAGGGTATCATTGCCATATAGACGAAAAACCAAGATGTCTACAGTCCCAAGTGTCCAAGTATGTGAAAGAACGAACGAATTCGAAGCGGTGTGCGAGAAGTGAGACGTGCGATAGCGACCGGAGTGAGAGAGCTGAACAAAGTAGTGGGATATGCGAGAAAATGGAGTCACAACAAGATAAGTGCAGGAAGAAGCTAATTGAGACACTAGCACAGTTTGTGGGATAAGCCAAGTTGTGGTATCGGCGGGAAATGGTCGATTTGTGGACTCATGGTGAAAAAATGTTACAAGAGAATTAACGAAACCCAAGGGATCCAAGAATAATGATCGGTAGTTCATTCAGAGACGAAAGAATGGCTGTAATTTGAAATCGCCTACATGACCCTCGCATTTTTTCCCCGCTACGCTCCGATTCGACTTGTTTTCGAGCAAGATCTAAATCCTACAGGTTTACTAACTTCAAATTTCTCAGACTTTCGGTAAGAAGAAATCCGCCACTGCTGTTGCCCACGTCAAGGCCGGTAAGGGTTTGATCAAGGTTAACGGTTCCCCAATCACCTTGGTGGAACCAGAAATCCTAAGATTCAAGGTCTACGAGCCTTTGGTTTTGGCCGGCTTGGACAAGTTCGCCAACATCGACATCAGAGTCAGAGTCACCGGTGGTGGTCACGTCTCTCAAGTGTACGCTATCAGACAGGCTATTGCCAAGGGTTTGGTTGCCTACCACCAGAAATTCGTTGACGAACAATCTAAGAACGAGTTGAAGAAGATCTTCACCTCTTACGACAGAACTTTGTTGATCGCCGACTCCAGAAGACCAGAACCAAAGAAATTCGGTGGTAAGGGTGCTCGTTCCAGATTCCAAAAATCCTACCGTTAAGATACCAGATTTCGGTGTTACCAGACTCATCATATCTTCATTATCGTTGTCTTGGTATTTTACTGTTTCTACTGTCTTTCCATACTGTATAACTTAATCAAGGGTAAACGTTATATACTGACGTCCATCGCAGACGTCCATTATTAAGTACAAACAAAGCTTGCAAGCGTGAGGTAATCTGACGAGCCGCAGTTACCATTCCGGCCTGTCCGTCTACCAACGACGGCGAAAGAAAAGGTGATGACACAGAGGGTGCGAGCCACATACGGATACGGAATGGTTGCAGAACCTACGATACAATCCAACTATTAGCCTTCTGAACACTGTCCTGTCTTGGATTTCGACTTCTTTCAAGGGCTTTCACCCAGAGTTCTAACTAATACCTCCCATGAATCTAGTATTTTGAAAATTAACAAACTTCTACAAAGTATTCACACCAAGACTAAATATAGCGAACCAAAGCTCGAGCAACGCTCAAGCTTCCGCTACCGGTGACGATCTTCCGTGAGCCCGCTTGATATTGCCACTAGCTCTTTAGGATGTTCTAGTTTCTATACATCTTCCTTCACACTATTCGCATCACTGGCACTCTCTTGAAAACGGTAAACGACACGAACATTTCGTAGTTATGCAATTCAAGATCGTGTAGTGAAAAGCACTCGAAAGAATCGTACAAACTTTACTTTCCAACGGCATTTCCTTCAGTTCACCAAATACTTGCCTTTGTTCACGCGTCGCGTCTGTTATTATTCTCTTAAGACGCGAAAACTCGTGGTCTAAGTGAACAAACTTCGAAAGAGAAGATATCCATGTGTAGGTGCCGCGACAAACAAAGATGGGAAGGATGAGCAATATCTACTCGCTGTATAATATTACATAGCAGACCAGAGCTAACTTCTGGCACTCTTGAGTTTTAAGTAACGGCTCAAGAACGGGAGGTGTTGTAAGTTTCTTGTTCCAACACTGAGATGGGCATCGAACCTCATCATTTGCTACAATCCCAGCTCAGCGTGGATGCTAAGGACAGTTTTTCAGAAACATCTTCTCAGGCCTCGAGTTCGTCGCCAGACATTCAAGGTGTGATTGAAGAAGCTGGCTCATTGGTCGAAAAACTCAAGTCCTGCAACCGCATAAGCGATTCCAGTACTGAAATCGACGATGATGACTCCATCGTGTGCTCCAAGTCTGAACTTGTCGAAAGTCTGGGAAAATTGAACCGATTGCTGACGAGCACTCACGAACAATCCAAGGGTCTCAGGTTCAAAAACATGATGCTGGCATCAAGCCTCAAGGACTCGAGTTCCAGGTTTGAAGTGGAGTCAGAGCTGCAGAGACAACAGTTTGAAAGAATCAGATGCCAATTGGTTATGCAAACTCATCATTTGCACGACAAACTGCGAGCTCAAGACCTGAAGCTTCTCAAATACAAGAAAACTATCAGAGAGAAAAACGTGGAGATCAACAAGCTCAGACGTTTGCTGAACCGTTCGGGTTCATCAAATCCACCACTATTGCAGAATACGCCACAATCCATAACGAAAGCCCCGCGATTACATCGAAATTCTAAACTTCAGCATAAGAACTCCAATATGCTGACCACACTTGGCTTATTGGCATCGCATGTGTTAGGTGAACCCAAAGCAGTCTCTACCAACGTCGACAGTACCGAATCGGATATCTCACATGATAGTTTTTTTAATCGTCGCCCTTCCACGGACACACTTCCCAGAAGTCCCCATCTACTAAGCATTGCAACTCTACCCAGAAGCTCAACTTCCATGGCCCCAATTTCCGAGGAGTCGTCTAATCATATCTTGCCCAAGTTCCGTAGTTTTAGTGCTTTCACTGACAGCAAGCATTGAAACTTACAGCATGACAGCACAGAGAAAGTTTTGAAGAGCTTGAAACAACGGACAGCACAGCCAAGAAGTGTGGAAATAACGAAATTCGATATATTAACTAATAATAAAACAAAGGACCTTATGATTCTGGCAAGTCTCCCACTTTCGATAAGTTTTTGCCCCATGCTGCCGACATCCCCGAGGATCAGTGAATATCCCAGTGTTATAATGGTATTTGCGATCTAAATGAAGTGTCCGATGCGCGTATCAAGCTGGACGCCCTTAATAGGTAAACGCTGACCACCTTTTCAAGTTTTGGCTGTTTTGGACAGAACATATCGGTGATTATTGTATGTACTCTACAAGTATTGCAATCGCAACTTAATTGACAATGATTTTTCATGAAAGCGTTCATTTCTCCTTATTCTTACACAGTCCTATCCAGCCGAAGACATTAAATCTACTTTAGACCACTAACTTTTATCTTTTTTGATGTTCAAAATTTTAATCCCAGCGAGTGGAGCAACGTTTAAGTGTTCAAATAGGTAGATGGGTCGACACCCTCTTCTGGGAATTCAGCCACCTTGACATCGAACCTGTCTTGAATCTTCGCCAATATTTCTTCGTCTTCGCTAGTCGCCACGAAAGAGATGGCCAAACCCTTAGTACCGAATCTACCGGCTCTACCAACACGATGCAAATACTGGTCGGCTTCATTTGGCAAATCGTAGTTGATGGCGAGGTTGATACGCTCGATATCGATACCTCTACCAAACACATCGGTCGACACACAGATACGTTTTTCGAAATCCTTGAAAGCCTTGTAACGAGCGATACGCTCCTCTTGTTTCATACCACCGTGAACAGTAATAGCCGGGAAATTAGAGGCGTTCAAAAGTTTGGTCAATTCGTTGGCTCTGTTGGTAGATTTCACAAAAATGATGACCTGGTTGAACTCCAAATCGTCCAAAAGCTGGGCAAGCTTACGGTTCTTTTCGCGCTCGTCTAATTTGATGTAGTACTGCTGTAGACCGTGCAGGGTCAACTTGGCTTCGTCATCGACAAAAATCTCGAGTGGGTTTTGCAAGAAACGTCTGCAAATGGGTCTCATTTCTTGAGATAGCGTAGCCGAAAACATCATCACCTGCTTGTCTCTTGGTGTCGCTCTGAAGATATCCTGAACGTCTTTACGCATTCCTAGCTCTTCCAAAACTTTGTCACATTCATCAACGACAAAGTTCTTGACCGTAGATAGGTCGATCAACTTGTCTCTGACAAGAGCCTTCAAACGGCCAGGGGTGGCCACAACAATGTGTGGGGCGGTTTCCTTGTTCTTCAGGAGCTCGGCGTCCTTGTTAATTGGAGTACCACCGTAGAAGACCGCGGTTTTAACGTCTGGCATGTATTTGGAGAATCTGAGGTATTCGTTACGGATTTGGTATGCCAACTCTCTGGCATTACAGATGACCACAACGGAGACCTCACCTGGAACAGGGTCGAGTTGCTGCAATGTCGAAAGCACGAAAACGGCGGTTTTACCCAAACCGGACTTGGCCTGGCATAGCACGTCTGTACCGTGGATTGATTGCGGGATAGTATGTTGCTGGACTGTTTAAAGAAAGAAACTTGTTAGTATTGAAGATTCGCACACCAAGAAAGAGTAAAAAACACAATTGGGGAAGCCAATTCACGCGCTGGCTACATACCTTCAGAGGGATGTTCAAAACCGCAGTCGATGATAGCTCTGGACAGCTCAGGTTTCAGCAAGAAATCTTTGAACCCGGTCGAGTGGATACCCACGTACGAGCCCTTTTTGTCCCCCGTTTCGCCACCATTTTCGCCGGCCTCTTTGGCGTCACCAGAACCAGCCTCGGCTGCCTTGGAAGCCTCGACCTGAATTTCCTGCTCGTTGTCGGAGTATTCCAAGAGATCTTCTTCACCTTCGTTAGACATTTTTAGCTATGGGAGTTCTACCGTTTCAATTGCCTGCGTTCCAGTCTTTTGACGGTTACGCTCGGACTTTAATGGTCTGTCTGGAGCTAGAGGTAAGGTCCAACTCGTAGTTGCGATACGTTATTGTTGATGTTAATATTGAAAATTTTCCAATCATTAATTGGGAAAGGGAGGAAATATCGCTGAATACGATAATAGTATCACGTGTACGATTGGCCGCGGCTAAGTCACGTGGTTTATCTCTCTTTCTGTCTCTCCCTCGTTGAAATCAAATGGTGGACACCAAGAAGCCTGTAAAGAGATGTGTGTGCGTTAGAATTTTATTTTTTTATCCATTGGGGTATCCATAATGTGCGGCACTGTCGGGTTTCTGATTTAGCTCAACTTTTTGCGAAGAAAATACCCTTCATGCACCAGTTTTGAGACCATGTTCGAGGAAGATACCAGTCGGTAATGAATTGGGAAACGGGAAACATTCAGAGGTCTCGAATGATATGACGTTGCATGATCCTCAAAATAGCGTTTTTGTATTTTGTGTTCGGGGATAGTTTAAGGGCTCATGTTTTTGTGTCAATTCAATAGGTCGTTCTTTAAATCCTCGTGGAAACGTTAAGGAACCGCAAAAGGACGGTTCTCGTTCCCACAGGATAGCATGACTTGATGCAGCACGGTTTGAGGCTCGAAACTACGACATTTCTTGGGTTTTAGAGTCATCTGTAAAGTCATTTTTGCATGAAAGGGTATACCACTCGTCTGTCATCAATAATGTAGGGATATCGAATCTATACATCAGTTATTTGTACTATCTGTACTTTAAAAGTATCTTTGAGGTCCATAATGAACAGAAACAATCTCTTATTGAGTGTTTTTCGTGGTTTCTGTGTTTAAGAGTGAGTTAAAGAAGTATATCTGTGATTAAAGGTTCGCTCTCTTATATTGAAAACTCCGAAAACACTGCGTCAAGAAAACGTTGACAACACAGGGAAGCCCCGGCAACGTTTTATAGCATATAGAAGGTAGCACGAAAATTGGGAAATTGGCGATTCTACTTTATAAAACGCGGGACCAACTTGGGGCCTCGAGAACGACAGTAATTATCAAGATAACTTTTAGCTTTGCAAAAGACTTCCCCACAGATGCGAGTGCCTCAGATGTCTGCGCTAATATGTCCTGGAACGACCCTTTGACCTTCCAAAAATCGACTTATTCATCATCAAGTATCGGTAAAAGCTACAAAATTCATGTCCTTTTTGTCATGTCGCGTCGAATATATAACAATAGATAGTAACCACTATGAAAATCCGTATCCCCCATTCATCGCCTCCTGATCATCCCAATTAGAACAGATATTAAATACAACAGGTGACGGAAATGAAGCGATTAAACATTACATTCGATGAGGAGGCTCATTCACCGAATAAGACTCATAACAAGCACATTTGGGCGTAAGATCAAAAATCCCAGATCTACACGGAAGAGTCTCTTCCGAAGAACGAGACCTTGCACCAGTCCAAAGCAACGAGTACTCTGTTTCTGAAGGACAAGCACATGGCCAAGTAGGCGGATTTCCAGAACAAGAAGGTGAAAGAACCGGCAGACTGGTACATGGATTCACCAACGGCAAGATCGGCGATGGCCTGCTCGGAACCGATGTAGGCTAGCGCACCTTGGTGGCTGTATTTGAAAGCCTTAATGTTCGACTGCAATCTTTCAATCTTGGCCTGGTACTTACTGCTTTCGGCAGAGTTCTGAGACGATTGCCATTTGTACTGGTCAATCTTGTACTGTTTCTTCAAGACAGAAGCCAAGTAGTCACCTTCCTGGTGGGCAACCTGGGCAGTTGGAAACAAACCAGGGTAGAAAGTACAGTCACCGATGGCCCAAATGGAGTCCTCCGCACCCAAGAGTTGCAATTTGTCGTTGATCAACAATCCACGTCTGGAGTCTTGAGCTTCCATTTTTGTCATCAAACTCTTAGAAACTTCTCTTGGAGCATTACCAGTGGCCCACACAAGAACACCGTAAGGAATATCTTCAGTGGCGTCTCCACACTTAGCAGTGATAACCGTTGGTGTCACGTTCTTGACCATAGTGTTGGTTTTCAAATCAATTTTTTCCTGTTTGAACAAGTCTTCGGCGTACTGGATCAAAGACTTGTCAAACATGTTCAAAATGTTTGGCAGGGCTTCCACAAGCGTAACTTTCAGTTCTTTAGACAGAGCTGGCATCCATTTCGACAAATCCTGGTCGATGTAGTCCTGTAGTTCGGCAGCAAATTCAACACCGGTTGGACCACCGCCAACGACAACAAAGTTTAGCAATCTCTTTCTTTCTGGGTCTGTGGGGGACAAAGTAGCGGCTTTTTCGATATTGTTCATGACCTTCACTCTAATTTCTTGGGCGTCTGGGATTTCCTTTAGGAAAGAAGCATTTTCAAAAACACCGGGGATACCAAAGGTGGTAGGCTGGGCACCGACACCAACAACCAAATAGTCGTAGTTCAAGTTGATTTCCGCATGCTCTTCAGCGGAGCTTAGGGACTTGATTCTAACGGTTTTCTGAGTAGGATCAACGTCTAGCGCCTCGGCCTCGTAGTAAGTGACCTCGCCCGGAGCTCTTCTAGCGATGCTTCTGACAGGTTCAACAATGGACTTCAATTCGATAGTTCCGACAGGAGTGGAGGGCAACAAGGGGGTGAAAAGGAAGTAGTTTCTTGGGGAGACGACCACCACGTTGTATAAAGTGGTGTCAAGGTTTTTCAGTAGCGAAATGGAACCCCAGCCGGAACCCAAGATGACCAAAGTCTTTCTGGGCGACCCGTTCTCAAAAGTCGCGCTCTGCGGCTTTTGAGGCGATGGGTTTTTCTCCTTGTACAGCTTGTACGAGACGTAGCCGGTTCCAGCCAAAACAGAGGCCAATCCGGAGTACAAAGCGTACTTGCCGATTGTCTTGATCAACGAAGGTTTTCTGGAGGTTTGGTGCTGCTGTTGTTGTTGCAACATTCTAGCGGAACGCGAGAACGCTCTGGAACTGCTGCTGCCGGCCAGTTTCGACCCCACACGGGCCGTGGAAAACCGTGCCAACTGAAACATCACTATGTTTTTTTTACAGGTGAGTATGATGGGAATATTATCAATATAGTAAGTAAGTGCAGTGAGAAAGGGCTTCCTTCTAAACCGTCACACCGAACAAAAGCCAGCCAAGAGTAGACTAGAAACCACCGAAAAGGTCACTACAAGTTCCAAAAAACTCAACTTTCTTGAGCGATGAAATCAATCCAAAGATGTGTTTTAAAAACTTAAGAGTTTAATTTCTTCCAATAGGCAGATTCGATGAGCTGTAATAAATATATCGGGCCAAATTATTTTTCCAAAATTTTTTTCCACACAGGGTGTCATGATATACGGACACACCTTAATTAATTTATATATCGCTATATACGGAGATACTGTATTTTCTTGGCCGGGCGAAAAAAAAAATGTTGAGGGTGTAAGAGTCGCGGGAATCGGGCGGGATTAAAGGATGGCAAGAGGGGAATAGGAAGAGCCTTTTTGGAGCTTTAGGGCAGAGGAAGAGGTGACAGATGAATAGGTTTTACATTGTGGAGAAACTGGTGGCTTGTTGTCGAGTTAAGAAATTGTGTGTGACCTCCAGCTGGGTCACGTGATAGTTGGAAATGGTGTACGGGTAGTCACTTTTCCCCGGATTGTCGTCGGCGTCGCAGACGTGTGATGTGATAGAAATATCATCCACATCTAGCGTCTTGTGCATATCGGTGTATCCATTATCCACAATTGGGAAGCGAACGGGTTTTTGTCTTTACCCATGAGTGATTGCTGATGCTCAATTGAGCAGCTTTTTTGTAGTCAGATTCATTTACAATCGATCGCTGATGCTAAATTGGGCAGCTTGCATGTAGTCCATTTTATTCACAATTGATCGCCAACGCTCTCAATGGTACAGTGTGCATGTTGCTCTTTACCCATGAGTGATCGCTGATGCTCAATAGGGCACCTTTTTTGTAGTCAAATTCATTCACAATCGATCGCTAACGCTCTCAATGGTTCAGTTGTGCTCGTTTCCCCCTCTCAATGGTTCAGTTGTGCTCGTTTCCCTCTCTATTCTGTCGCGGTCTTATAATTTACAATTATCACTACTATTCACTATTCTCACTATTTCTCACCTAGGCGCTGGATTCCAAACCCTGCATATGCTTTTGAGCCTCTGCGCTCTTTTCCACGTCATATTTGAAATCGAAATAACTCTTGTCGAAATGGTGAAGACGCACAAAACCATCTTCACCACCAGATGCGTACGATGTGCCCTGGGGGCTCACGGCCACACAATTGAGCGGACCGAAATGACCTTTTACTCTACCAATCTCATCTTGGAAAATCTTGTGGTATAGACGGGCCTCGAATTTACCCTCACGCGAACTCGTGGTTGTGACATCTTTGGCATCCTGACCACCGCCCAAGATTACAAATTGCTTGATAGGAGTGATGCATGCACTGTTCAAAGGACAGTCTGTTTCGTACGTCTTGAGCACCTCGAGCGTCTCAATGTCGACCAGCTTGGCGTCACTGTCTCTCGAAGAGGTGATGAAATATGTCCCATCCGGCGAAAACTGGATGTCACTGACGCTTTGGGTGTGAAGCTCCAAGGCATCAATAAATTCACCGGTGGCACCATCGTATTTCGACACACGGCCGTCCTTATGGCCCACAGCGATGAAACGGTCCTGGAAACTCCATGCGGCCACAGAAGCGATTTCAAAGCCCTCGTGCGTTAGAATGTCGAAAGCTGGCTCTGCGGAAGGCTCTTGCGAGAGTTTTTGGGTTTCGTTGCTGCGGGGAAGATCGTAAACGGTAACACTACCTGGGTACCCCATTACACCGTCCAATACGGCCAAAAATTTGTCACCGGAGGGACTAAATTCCACTCTTCTCACTGGGGTCTTGGTTTTCCAAGTATACACGTTTTGACCCGTTTGAACATCCCACAATTTGATACTGAAATCGGCAGATCCAGTCACTGCGTATTGCGTGAATCTATCCACATCGATCGACCAGATCGTACCTTGGTGTCCCTCAAAAGTTCCCAATCTTTCACCATTGATGGCATACCACACGGAAGCAACGCTATCTTTGGCGCACGAGAAGATCAGATCTCCTTCGCGGTTGAATTTAACCTGTGTCAGAGAACGTTCGTGTCCCTTAAGTAGAATAGGTCTCATTGTTATAGGTTGACGATTCTATACCAAAACGAAGTCTTGACGAAACAACGGCCAATGTCTTTCTTACTCTAGCTGAATGAGTATTGAATCCTTTAGTTAGATGGGCTATTTCGAAAAATTTTCATCGTTAATGGTGAGAGGGGAATTGTGAGAAGATGTGGCGTGATAATCACGTGGTGTGATGAGAGTGGGAAAAGAGAAAGAGAGGGAGGGAGAGAGAGAGAGAGAGAGGCAATTGAGTATTGAAACCTTAGAGAGATAGAGTATAAAGATTGAATAGTAGAGCGAGTTGGAAACCACGAATCTAAGAACTTTGAAAAATTCGGGAATGGAACTAGGATCACGTGATAGAAGTGATTAGGAACACAATTTTTATCTTAGAAACAGGCTGAAACGCTGATATAGCGATATACAAGACTTTAAGGACTATTTCTCTCGATTTTGGGGCTCTCTGTCAGCAGGCTTGCATTTGGTTGTATGTTCAAAATTGAGATAGTAATCCTGTATTTTTGTGATCACGTGATCATACGTCTTCCAGCGACAGGGTTGATTCATAGTGATTACAATTCGAGTCTTCCTCCACTGTCGATGACACACACACACACACGGTGGAAGACATCAACCGATAGATGAAGCTTCCTCGTCTTGTTTAGCACTTCCATTGCACAATTGTACTGTTCAATTCACTCGGTAAATTTCCCTTAACGCCCGCAACGGTTCACACCACGGCATTTCCTCATTTCGTCCTACTACGAAAATCTGAATTCCAAGCAGTGGTCCGATCTGCTGCAGTTACCAAATGCAATTGGTAAGCGGTAAAATCATTCTGTAACTCTGTTTTTTTTTTTCAAAATCTATGGAACGTCGTATGTAGAGCAATTGCTTTCCCTTGCGTTCTTTACCACGTCCAACCTCAACGAACACTTCTCACTGTGGTTTCGATCGCCACGGCCCTATCTGGCTCAGCAAACATGTTCGATTTTTCCACCAACAGGAACAAACTCCCCCAAATTCAAGGAAAGTTTCCGATTGAATTGCTCAAAGAGAAACCCTAAGCAACTCTCGGTGATAGCAGCATCGTAACGACCCTTGCTGGACTCATCTCTGATGAAGGCATGTTGTGCAGCGTGGATTTCCAAGAACGAGAAGTTTACGCCATGGTCTCTCAATTCTTTGCGGATAAGGTCTCTGCCCTCTGGAGGAACGTGAGTGTCGAAAGTGCCGAAAATCAACACCAGCTCCTGATCTTTTGATGCTTCTTGAGAAATGCGTTGCAACGAATCATCGTTGAGACCCTTACCCAAAGATTTACTGTGAATATCCGTGGGAAAGAAACATGTTGCACAGTTCACTCTTTGGTCAAGCAAACTGCGGAACGCCAAATGTCCACCCAAACACATACCTGTAGCACCTATCTTCTTGCCATCGAACTGGGGCAAGCGGTAAAGGTAGTCACAGCACAATTTGGTGTCCTCATCGTATGATTCCAATGGTTTCTCGATCTTGAACTCATTGCCCATATCAGTGCCCTTGACGTCGTAGGCCAAAGGTTCAGGCCCCATAAAGTTGTGGTAGATCGCCGGTGCCACCACCACGTATCCCTGTGCAGCTATACGTTGCGCAAATCTTCTCACCGGGCCCGTAACTTGGTAAATTTCGCTAAAACATAGCACACCTGGAAATTTAGCGTTTGGGTAGCCCTGAATCTTGGGCGAAAAGGTATAGAGCCTCAAGCTGGTGTTATAGCTAGTTTCAACATCTTGAAAAGTTTCTTCGATCAACATTATAGTAGTATTGAGAAACGGAGTGGGTTGTTCTTAACCTGTTGGCAAACGTTCTGTTCAAAGTAAAGTTCATCAACAAAATGATATTCATAACTTGTGTTGTATTAACCAGTCTAAACCCGTAGAACACACAAACGGGTACGTTGTGAAAGGTTAAACGGTGTGAGAGATGGTCCAGTGTCTTAGGCATTACCAGGAAACGGCAACGCTGTAAAATACAGCTCAAAGAAGGTGAACGGTTCTGCCATTGGCACACTTTCCAGTCACAAGAACGACAAGTTCAAAAACCACCAGCATCACAGAATTCTTATTACAAAGCACCGGGCTTTATATATGTATATACGTATTCTCAGCTGTTTGACTCGATCGTCAATGGTAGTCGCGACAGATTGAAATGGCTGCACATGGACTACTCGATTGTGCGGAAAAACGAGTCATTGGCCTTGTCGAAATGGACAGCTCGAGACCAGATACTACTGAAAGTCGGGATGACCCGTAAAACTACGGTTTTGGCGCGACTTTTGGAGTGGGAAAATAGCTGCAAGCACCCTGTGACCGGGATCGACCTGGCCAAAGTCAACCAGCTTTACCAAGCCTCCTCACAACGCAAAAGCACCAGCTCATCGCTAGTTCGTCTTTTCCAGAAATTATCGCTTTCTAGCGACAAAAAAGCCGGGAAAAGAGCCGACGGCACTGTTTCGATCCCCGGGTTCCGCGACGGAGGCTTCTACGTAGCGAACGGGCGGTCTTTGGAGCTTATAGAGACACAAATCCACCAATTACTGTGGAATAGATACGGACAAGGTTTGATCCACTGCTACGGGTGCAAGAACCATCTGGACCAGCCCAAAAGACACCGAGAATGGTTCATGGTGCCGCTAGACCAAGTCCCAGAAATATTCAGAGCCATTGGGGCCATTTGTAGCGGGTCTTGAGCTGTACATATTTTGTCCTTCTAGCCTTTGTATTCTTGAGTCTAGTATATATACCCCAGATTTAATTCAAAGATACCTGAAACAACCTCGAACAGCCTTCGAGATCACAAAGGCAGACCAGAAAGAACTCATTCCGAGTCTTCAAAGCATGCAAAATGGAAATAGGAGTAAAGGGAAGCAGAAGAAACAAAAAGGTGTGAAAAAGTCCAAAAACAGGGTTTTGGCGAGCAAATCCAGTAACGTCAACGGAACAAGTGAGCTCAGAATACTGGCAAGTCCTAGCACTCCCATAGTTCACCCACAATTCGTCGAACAGGGCTTGCGGCCCGATGTGGACGAGAATTGGCCAACCGCTTACCTTGAAAATGGCGATTTTTTCGTCGAAACCATCCGGTCAGCGGCTATGAGCGAAATGCAAAACACAAGACCCGGTTCTGACCGCGAAGACAAAAGCTCATTGGAAGTGAGTGAAGAGTTCCGCCACTATGACGTTTTGGACGAGCTTCTGTGTGAGCAGGTCGATCCAAACTTCAATTTGGTGCCAACCGCACAAAACTTCACAGCAACCAGAAGCGTGCACAATAGTTTTGATTGGGAGGCATCCGATGAAGAGAAAATCCAGCCGTCGTGGTCCGAAGTAGTCTTGGATACTCAGTCAAAGCTTTACTCCACCTACGCCAAGCTCTACTCTGGGTTTTGGACACTTGTTGTCCACATTAGTGTGCGCGGAAGTGCTGTGGCCACTAAACTACAGTATGTGTCCCAAACCAAACCAAAAGAACAAGAAAAATCAAAGACTTGTTTCCACGAATCTATCTACTAACAACCAATGTGAATCACGTACGTGGCATGTGTTGGCTCGGAGACGCTTCTTTCTTTGTGTTTCTGTGGCACTGACACTTTGACCTTACTACACGATTTTCCCGATCAAACAGACATCTAATGACAGAAACAGCCAATGATCCAAAACTCGAATCGAAAAAGCTACAGCACCTATCTAGGAAACAACACTTGAAACTCATCGCCCGAGTGTGTTTCAATTACGCTCAAGATCATCCTTACAACGCCCTTTTCATACTTACGTTTGCGGCGACCTTTTCTCCCGTGGTCATTGTTTGCGTAACGCTCATGTCGATATTTTCGATCCTACTGTCGCTTTTCTACGTGACTGTGTTTCTATCAGTGAGCGCATTTGTCACAGTACTGATTGCTCCGCTGATGCTGTTATCGCTGTCGTTCGCTGCCGGGGTAATGATTTGTGGGTTTTTCAGCAATTTGTTCTTTAGGTTTGCGCAGCTCATTTATGGATCCTACGCTGCATACAGTCCAAAACCCTTGAGACTCGCCGCTGATCAGATCCCACCATCTGTTGGAAGCGTCGAAAAGAGCGGTTCAAGAAGTCAAGATATGTTTACGAAAATTACGACATTGGCGCGGAAGAAAAGCTCAGGCACAAATCAGCCCATTGTGATCCGCGGTGAAGAAGTTCCGAACCAAAATCTGGACATAAAGGTGGCAGAAGGTGTACTACAGTAGACTTCCAAGTCCCAGAGCACCTTTGCTAGCTTTACCGCATCTCTAATTCATAGAGTCACGCGACCATGTGCAATGAAAAATGTCCAAACTTATTTCCATAACGTGGCAGCCCAAAACGTACGTTGGTTACACTGGGAACATTCCTATTTCAAACACCATTTCCCAGCTATCCGCATTGAACCATGTTGTTCGCTCAATTTGTGCTAACGGCTCTTTTAAGTATTCGGTGCGCCGCAGCATTGACCGTCAAGCAGCCGCATGTGGCATTTACTTCCTCACGTAGGAACCCTTTGGCGTTGAGTCCGCTCTCTAGCAGCTACGAAAAACCGGCGCAACCATTAAAAATCGATCGTGCCAACGAAACATTGGAGCTCAGTTTCTCCATTGATGCTGAGGAAACTCCAGAGCAGGCAATCCTGTTGTTGGGATCTATCGCCCGAGGTGTAGAAATAAGCTATGAGCCAATAATAAAAAAGACACAGGGTGCTTCTACTTACAAGTTCCAAATCCCCGTTGGAAAGCTTCCCGAGCCTCTGTTGTACTTGTCGGTTGTCTCCAAGGAATTTTTGACGGTCACGCTGGTCTTGGCAGGTGCAAACAGTGACCCCACCGATAACATACTTGTGGAGCTCTTTGATGTGGACCTGATCTTCGAACTCGAGAAGCAGCCATCTTGGCCAGCCAGAATGGGACCCAAGCCACAAATCACTCACATTTTCAAGGGCGCTGCCAAAACTGCACCTGCTTGGTTGACTCGTTCCACAAGCGTCGTGGTAGCCGTATGTTTCGCAGCAGTGATCGTTGCTTGGCAAGTATTGGGAATTTTCTCAGCTGTGCGTTTTCCTCTCACTAGCTCGAGAACTCTCTACGCGCTGGCATTCATTGGTAGCGTCATGGGCATGGAGTGTGTGTTCGTTCAATACTACCTTGGCGCAAGCATTTTCGTCACACTAGAACATGCATTCTACGCTTCCGTGGGCAGTCTTCTTGCAGGCGCCAAGCTACTTCAATCTTAGATCTGTATCTTGAAATATAAAATAGTCTAACACGCACTTCCACACATGGCGCCATCATACCTCGTCCAAATAAGTGTTTACGATTCTGCGGAATCCCAATAGCGCCCCGTCTTGCCAGAACGGCTTGTTGAAATCGTTCGCCGCTACTATCTTTCCCTTGATAAGACCCATAGGAAGCGAGTTGTACGTGCGGGAGTCTAATGACTGTGATAGGTTATCACCTGTGAGCCAGACATGGCCTGGTGGCACTTGTATGAATGAATCAAATGCCTGTGTATCCAGATCGGCACCCTCCTTCGCACTGGGATCTATCAAAATATAGTCTCCAGGCATTCCCGTGATTCTTTTGCACACTCTTTGGTATGGGTCGGTGGGCTTGACGGCGACTATGCAGTCTCCTATTTGACAATCTCTCCCATTTCTATACTTTTTCGATGCATGCACGTAATCACGGGTGGCAGATAGTGTTGGAAGCATGGATTCACCCCGAGTCTCTGTAAATTCATAAAAGTGTGAGTGTATTACGTGGACAAGGCAGAAACTTCGCAGGGCAAAAGAGCCTGTGTTAAGCCATAATTTTACAGTAGAAGTCATTGATCAAATTTCAACTTGGATGCTAAGCGAGATATTTGATATTCGTGAAGGGGCCGTTGATGTGAGTTCCATTTTCCGCATTAGATGATGTGGGATGAGATAGATGATGCCTGTGGATCAAGATTTAAAGGAAGTCACCTGATTTGTCGAGGGAAAGACTAGCTCACAGGTTTCTAGTCCGGTAGGCCTTTTTCATAAGACACGAATACCCCTGTTTTACTAATTCGGAAATATTACGTGGTTATATTGCGTCCTAGTGCTTACCAGCGGTACCAGTTAACTCCAGGGCGTCAAATTCTTCGTTTAGAAGCAGTTTATACAAGTAGTGACAATCGAATCTCGAGTGTCTTCACGAGATAAACCCCTCATGTCCTCAGTGATGCTTTCCGTTGTTGTAAGCTCAAAACTATTTTACTTTTCAACACCATGGCTCAGTTTCCCTTGTGTCTGGTAGACCAAGAATGGCTTTAAACTTGTAAACTTTCGAATACTTTAACGAGACTTTGCCTTCTCAAAATCATTGTAACTAATGATGAAGGCATCATGGTAGTTTGTATGCTCGATCACAGATCATAGGGTTCCTTAGACTGTTGTTATCAATTCTGACGCTGTCATCTAATATCGTGATCACTTAGTATGGGAACCTGTTCTGACGCTTCGAAGACCGAAATTCTGATCTGCTCTACATCTGATGAGTTGTCCTTCAAAGCCGAACTGTGTAACGGACAAGGTGTCATCAGAAATGACATAAAATTCTCGAAACTCAACGGTAAGTCTCCGCCTATAAGCCGCAATGGTATTAACCATCCATTAAGCCTCCCCTGAAACATTAAAATTGCAGATTTCTCGGTGAGAAACGGGTCCTGTTACTCCTGTTAAGGCCTTGAGAGCATTTTCAAAATTTGAATTCTGGCCCATTCGAATTCCGGTAAGAAATCGAATGTTAGTAACTTAAATGTCGTTCAATTGAGACTTTGAACAAAATGTCTCACATTATTAGCTTTCGCCGTCAAACTAATTCCACATCCAAAGCATGTAGACGACTTTTAAGTCATTATTCTTTTCTTGTCTCTTGAATCGCAACAAATCTCTTTAGTTTTGCGAAACAAGTTGGATTGACGCCAAATGTACATCGATCCGCTGGATCTCCGAGTTAAGTGTGGCATGGACTTGGTTAGCATTCAGCTCCTCCACAGCAAAGCCGCCGAAGATTTCAAACATGACTCTTTGGCGCTTATCTTCAAGAAAAAGATGGGCATCGAATATAAAGTGCCTCACTGAGGGGGTAGGCGGCTGAAGTTTCCTGCTCTTGACAAACTGAATAGTTGAACAATTGGAAGTTTTAACTCAATTGAATGAGCACTGGCCATCGCCAGAGTTGCTAACTTGTCTGTAAGCTGCAGAGATAGAAAAACCGTTTCGAATATTTTATTCGGTGCGATTGTTAGCATCATAGACTCAAAGCTTTGAAGAACGCTGCTCTCGTTCAAGTGGGAGTTGCTTATTTGTGTTCGTTTAACAGTGTACACCACAATTGAGGCGTAACATATATCGGCCCCTATATCATCACCGCAACAAGATAGCCCGTTTTGGAAAAGTGTGAGCTATTTTGCCATCTCTAGGCTTGAATTTTTGAGGTACTTGGACAGGCAAGACTCCATCGGTCCTTCTTCTCTTTCTATTCCAGCAGCTTTCACTTTTTTTTTTCGATCAACTTTAGCCGCCGAGGGCTGGAATCAGGATTAACGACATTTTTCACCCTCCATAAAGTCAGGTTTCTCTCTCTCACCATCTCTGTACCATCTATATGCTCTGGATTGCTGTCGAGGATCGAAATGCCGATAAGTTGAGTGAAAAGGATCATTGTCCATCTTGAAGAATAAACATTTAATGTTTATGAGAGGAAATTGTACATTCAACGGGTGTGTGAGCTGGCCATTGCGTAAATAGTCCCAGGCAAAACCACCAACCTGAAATTAAACCTTAGTGAATTATCCAGGAGTCCTCAGCGTATACGGACACCTACTCCTATAACTTGCACAAGTTTCAGGAGTACGGAATAGGTAAAGGATGTAGTTCACTATGGGGCTTACCTTGTTAAACTTTGCCGTAGAGAAGCATATATCAAAGCACGTGACGAGTACCATTAAGAAAACTGAATAGAAATGTACTCATATGGCGAATCTGGTTGTTGAAGACAGTAAAGACTTGAAGGACACTCCTTAGTGTGTTGAAACGTATGCGAGAGAGATATATTATGTGTAACCATAAGCTGCATCCGCAGTGGACACTAATTTTGTATCACATACTTTGGTGACCGGGAGAAGCGCACCTCTGGATGGAATTGGAAGCTTTCAAATAAGAGGCTAATGTGGCAGGGGTCCAAGAGATGGCATTCTCTGTAGACAAATCAGAACAGCCTAGGTGCGTAGTCAGAATGTTTATACGCGTAGAATGATTTCAATTTTATTAATATATCATATATCATGTGACCTTTAAATTATGATGTAGATGGATTAATAAAAGAGGCATCTCGGGAAATACCAGTTGAAGATCGAGACTTGAATGCTAAGGGAGCTACCATTGAGTGTCGAGTGAAAGCCTAAAGCTATTCAGAACTCTGCTTTAGCACTTACACAAAACTTAAAAAAAATCTGCTACTTTTAGGGTTGTTTTTCGTCAAGTTATTCAAAAGTTCACCACCAAGACATGACTACTGCAGCGGCTGAACAAAAGAAGATCATCGAGCAACTGATGGGCAAGGGCTCATTATCGTCGCATCAAAACTCATACCGGCGTGAAATGAAGGTGGACGATCCAAGAATATGCAAGTCATTTTTGGTCGGCGAGTGTGTGTATGATTTGTTCAAAGGAACGAAGCAGAGTCTGGGAAAATGCCCCAAGATCCATTTAGCGAAGCACAAAATACAGTATGAGCGGGAGGTAAAGAACGGGACAGATTTCGTAGATTTCGAGCGAGAATATTATTCGATCCTGTTGAAATTCGTGAACGACTGTAATGGGCAGGTTGCCGTTGCACTAAAAAAACTGGAACACACGCCGGAGGAGCGAGAAAAAATTCAGCGGGTAACGGGCGAATTAGAAGTGTCAGACTCGCAGATAGGACTCATGCTACAAGAAATTGAGGTTTTGCTGCAGAAAAATGAGGTCACAAAAGCTATGGCGCAGTCGGTGAAGGTCCAACAACTTCAAAAACACCGTCAAGAGGTAGCAAAACGTGTGCGGGAGATAGCTGAAAATGTGGGCCAAAGCGCCCAGCAAAAGCTGCAAGTGTGTGAGATCTGCGGCGCGTATCTGTCTAGGCTGGATACAGATCGGAGACTTGCAGATCATTTCATCGGCAAAATACATCTGGGGTACGTTACGATACGACAAGAATTTGAGCGCGTGAAACAGCGTTTCAAAAACCGCGGCGAGGACGTGAACGCCATAAGCAGCCGCAGGCCGGCTCAGACGTACCAGGGCCCGCCTCGAACTGCTAACAACTACAGATCTTCCTACCAGCCACGCTACAAACCAAGAACATACCGGGCACATTGACTTAGTAGTGAAGTTTCGTGCGGAAGCATTTTCACTTCCAAAACTTGCGGGTTTCGAGATTCTTGCAAAGGGCAACAATGTAAAGCAGACAATCGGGCCACCATTTTGAAGATACATGTTATCGAATTGATCAGTAGTTCATTCGTGGTCTAACTACTTGGATTCATCATCACCACTAACATGATCACATGACCTTCGAATAATGAAAAATGTTTAGTCTTTTCATAACCTAAATCACATCAACGATCAAGAGAACAACAACTTTCTCTCTAGAATTCACCTAAACGGAGCTCGTTGTTCAGCTCACTAGGATCACTGGATTCCCTTGACAACCTCGTCTTTCTCTGCGACTTCAAAATGTCTTCTATTTTCGGATCCAGTAGTACCCGTTCAGACAATAGATTCTCGAACTTAATGGTGAATTTACCGCAGCAACAATTGCAACAACAACAGTCAAATTCGGCATTTCCGCATCAACAACCAGTCCATGTTCCGGCATTGAGTGCAGGAAATGGTGCCCAAAGCTTTGAGCAAAATCAAGAGACTTCCAAGTCATCGTGGTTCAATAATCCTCGGAAACGTACGATACCGCAATCCATCGTGAAACGAACCACCAAATCGGATCCATCGGAAGCCAGTGGCGAACACGGGAACTCTTCTGCTATACCAACAAATGGAAGTGGTTTTGGAACCGTTACGTTTGGTACAAAACGGTCCACCGGCGAATACAATAATTCTAACAAGAAAGCCCATGAACTCAGAGATTCCATACCCAATGCAATTCTTATTGACTCCAACGAAGCCCCGCCAACGAAATCACTGTACGACTGGCAACGGGAAGACGAATTCGGATCCATGTTGCCGGCTCAACAATCCGATGTTCCCTTGAACAGTCATTCGTTAGGAGCATTAAAGGGTACTTCGGACACCTCTGCTCTTCGTAACGTATTTGATAGGGATGCCCAAGCTGAGCCATCCAAGCAATACAAGGGTGCAACGAATGGCACTGGAGTCGCAGACACCACAAAGAGCGCCGAAAGTGCTGTGATCGTGTTTGGATACCCAGAGTCCATTTCCAATCAAATCATCATCCAATTTTCCAAGTTCGGAACTATTCTAGAGGATTTCGAAGTTTTGAGAGGCGCGTCAGGAATCAATGCAGCTACACTGAGACTCCGCAATAAACACGCAAGCGATGGTGGCAACCGTCGTAAATATCCAATATTTACGGGGGATGGCTGGATCAAGCTCACTTACGATTCGGCCGCTTCAGCTCTGCGCGCCTTACAAGAGAATGGTGTAGTATATGGAGGATGTCTGATCGGCTGCGTGCCCTACACTAAAAGTGCGGTAGAACAGTTAGCATCTTGCACAATCGAGAAAAGTGATGATATTGGTAGTTTTAGTCCTGCTGCACATGCTGTCCCAAACGGGGGTGTGAACAGTATTCAAATAGGGAATGACTCACCAGCAAAACTGCATGATGTTCACGACAATAACGCGCTTTATTTGAAATCTCAGAGGCTGGACATGAAAGATGGGAAAGGACTGTTTGTTAACAATGGTCCAAGTGCCGTTCACGGGAAAAACTTTCTGCAGACCATTGAGACCAAAATACAAGACGATCAGAAAAGGCGGACCAACGGCTCTAATGGAGTCGTTAACAGAGTCAACAACTGGCTTTTTGGTTGGAACGACTTATAGTCGAGGCATAGCATATGGACGAATAGATCCTATCTCATTAAAAAATGTATAAGCTGTGTTCTGGTCATCTCTTCGATGCCTTGACACAGTATTAATCACCGTGCACTAATTATCTAAATGGAGGTCGTGTGTCCGAAATATCGCCTCTGAACGTGTTGTTCGCGCTTTTCATAGGGCTTATACTACTGCGCCGAGAAGAAGCTGCCGAGGATCTTCCGGTGGGGGAATCTCTTGAAAAGCGACTATCTATGTGCGTTCGGCGACCTCGGCGAACGACATCCTCAAAGGGTAGATCCGCATGGATGCCGTCCATGCTAAAAGAGACAGAACTGTCTCCTTCGATTACAGGCCTGTGGATGTTGCGCATTCCCGCTGCACTCATGTATCCGACAGGTTTGATCGGGCTTGTGGAGTTACGCCGCAGCCTAGAGCTGGTTTCATGCCGCCACGCACTCCTATCATGGTGTGTACTACCACTTTTATTCAGGACACCAGAGGCGTTATTTATTGTAGAAAAGTCGGCCCCGACCAAAGGCCTCAAACTAGGAGTAAGAGGAGCAGACGTCGGCGACGCCCTGGAATGCATGTACCTCGAGGGCGTGACATTCTTGTTGGGACTGGGCTGTCGACTCCAAAAAACAGGACGCACAGCGGCGCCGTTAATGGCCTTTTCGCGGGGTGTTCTGTCTTGTAAAGTTAGGGCTTCTCGACTAACGTAATTCTGGGCGATATCGGCTGTTTCGATGTCTTCAAACACTTCAGTGGCAGGATTGTAACGTTCTGTTATTAAGTCTCCTGATACTGTATGCGTCTGGAAAATATGAGACCTTGTAGTTGTGAATGACGGGAAAAACACGGCTGATCTGCCTCCATAGGGCGTGGCGTCGACCATCGCATCTTGGGTTTTAACAGAGGTTTTGGGTTTGATTATCTTCTCATTGATCTCCGCATGATTAGCCTCGGCAAGACACGCCTCATCGTCAAGACGACCCTCGTACCGTTCGTAGACAATTAAGAACGATAAATACTGGTGAGCCAGTACTGGCAGGAGGGATATGAATGAGACCTCTGTTATTGTGAGAAAAATCAGGCATGCTGGAGAGAAAGTGCTGAAAAGTGCAGCACAAAATTTACCAGGGCTCCACTTCCTTAATTCGTAATAAAATTTTCCCGGAGACTGTTTTTCCTTGGCATGCTTGCGCCGAAACGCTGCTTTAACCATCAGCCATAACGAGCTTCGAGATATATCTTCAGCAGAGCGGTATCCCAAATCGTTGAACGACCGTACGTTTACGTTTTTCGAGCGTGGACGTTTTTGACAATAGAACAATGAGTAGGCATGATACCTAGCAAATAAAAATTTATAGCTGACAATGACATTCAAAAGTAGTAGAATAGACCACGAAATCCGGAGTAGAATATTCAGCCACCTTAAAAACTCCCAATACCATTCGAGATGAGAATCCTGTAACCCCATTGCAGCGGATTGTGACCATATTTCAAGGTTTCGCAAGGCTTTTGACTTGGACAAGTCAAACGAATCATGTTTTTTGCCAATGTTGTGCATGTTTGGCTTGATAAGATTGTCCTGAAGAATACGCGTTACGAAAAACGATGCTGTCAGCAAATTACCAGTTCGTTTGGCCACACTTTCTGCTTTTGAATCCCAATCTACACTCTCAAAGTGCTCATTTATATGCAAAAGAATATCGTATGGTGAGCTAGCTAGTAAAGAAAATAAGCTTTGTAAATGTGATTCCTCATTCTCGTATTCTTCTTCCCCCGCAGTCTCTTCCAACTCTTGATTAATTTCGTCCTTTTCACCTTCAATAGAACGCCATTGGGACTTAGACAACCGAAACGACATTGCAAAAGCTTTGACACAATCGTTGCAAAGCCGTCGATAGTTAAAGATGGCGTCCAGTCCGGCTTTCTACTTTCTTCAATGAGCGATGATGTTAACAACATGTTTACCGTTTTTGAATTTTGTTCAGGTAAACATTGAAGAGCTAGACTTCGTTTATAGCGATATCGAAGTCCGAGCCTAGCTCCAAGCGCATTGTCGTATCCTGGACGGTTCTGACAGGCCCTTGATTTTCGATGAGCATTACCAAGATTTCTTCAGCTTTCAGGACGATATCTTTTAAGACCAATCCGTGTCTTGGGACCTTCAAAAACTCATGGCTAGTGAAGACGGCAACTTTGGTGTCATTCGTGAAAATGTTGATCCTTACCGATAACGAGGGGTTCAGTTGAAGTGGTAGAACACGCAATTGAGCTTTAGTCGTGAGCCTTGGTGATAATCTGACTTTTTGGCGATTCGTTGTACGCCAATTGAAGTCGAACTTGTTATGGTAGCGATGAGGACCAAATTGTGGGTAGACGCGCTTTACAGTAATAGTATTGCAACCGGATGGGTCCAGGGCGAGGAGCTTGAACTTTCCTGCGTTTATCTTGTCGTGGAAAGTGGAGCACACAATGTGGTAACGAGTATCTGTAGCAAGCGGCACCGAACGCCTCACATGAATCTTCGACTCGTAAGTGTTATCGGTAAGAATAGGATGAGCCAGTTCAGCGTCTTCAGAATGGAAAACCTGAGCGTTCACGGCGGCAGACGTGTAGCTTATCAGCTGTATATCGATGTAAATTGTCGTTCGGTGTGTGCCCTTGACGACTAGCTCGAATGTCGGATTCATGTAGTAACAAGCATTGGAAAAGGGACCAAAGTTGGTCACTGCGTCCCATTCGCCATCCGCCGAGGCGGAATGAACATTCTTATCAAATTTTCGAACTTGAATGCGGTCGGAGACATGATAAAAATGGATGCTATAGTTTGCAGACACTGCGGACAAACAAGCTATCAGCTTGCAGTCCCTAGGACGTAACTCGAGCTTGAGCAAGTCAAATCCGAGGTTAGAGCCCCTCACTTGTTGCGGTGACAGAAGATCCGGGGAGACGAGCTCCAGATGGCAGAAATCCTTGTCACCAGCCGAAGCGTCGAGGTGTCGTTCTAGCAAGACCCAAACAGGTTCTGAGACCTGTGATTGGTTATCCACTTGGTAAATGAATTTCTCTAGGAGACTGGGTGATGTCTTGTTTTGAGAAGAGTCATATTTGAAGGTGAAAACACGATGCTTGGCAAACAGCATCGTAGTGTTCCAGTTGAGATACACAACACTGAAATTCTGTGCCAAGCGGTCCTGTGACACGGTAAAGGAGCTGTGTTCTTCCAAGGGGTCTCTGATACTCAGCAGCCCTTCTTCGGTGATCCCGGTCACCGGGTAGTCGTGATGGGTAAGAAAAAGCGGGTCATGTACTGTAGCGGCGGTTCCTAAGGTTATGAGACACGATGCGCTTTTGAAAAGCGAAGCGATGCGCTCAACCGATGTTTTGTGAGTCGCAGAAACCTCAGGTATAAAGCCGTTCAGCAGAAACGTGTCGATAGCGCTGTTGGAGCCGTTGTATTGAGAACAGGAGCTGTTTTTAACTTGCATGTATGCGTTTTCTAGGGCCTTGTCTGCCACATTTGAAGAGCATACCGTGGGCCTGTCTCGCAAATCTGCAGAGCGCACCTGTACCAGACGATTGGGAGCCCCGTTGAAATGCAAGTTCACGTTGTATAACGAGGGATATGGGTGTTCAATTACCAGCGTGGTTGGAGCTCGTTGTCTGATATTTATGAGACTTGCAACGAAAGAACAATCATCTATAGCACTGTTCTGGGATATATCAGTTGAAGATTGTGTTACGATGCCGTTTTCTTCTACACCCTCCTCTGCTTCCCCCACTATCGCTTCGTTCCAAGGCGCCTTCCCCGCAAACTTAGCGCTCATAGGCACAAATCGTTTTCCTTGAACCATTGACATAAGCCAACGATACCGCGTTTCGATACTTCGTTCCACTACCTCGTTTTCCACATGTTCCATTGCCTGCAACACCTTTTTTTGTCCCAATTGTTCCAATGTCCGTTTCAATCCAAACCATTCATTTTTGTTACGTCCCAAGACCAAAACCTGCCATGTTTGGTAGCAAAATGCTCGCCAGCACGAGCTCTCGTCATCCAAAATAGTCAAAGAGCTATCCTCACTTTCCTTTGATACATTTTCGCGTCCCATTTCATTGCATATGCCTTACAATAGAGCCGTGGCTTCGCCAGCGACACTAGCTCATCGCTTCTCTTCTGCCTTAATTATTCACAGCTTGGAAAATTTCAATATTATCTTATTTCCATTAATCTCCGTTGAGATTGGGTTATATATAAATCAAAGCCTCGAGAGTCAAAAGTCCGAAAATACTCAGCGCCAAGAACAACAATTTGAAGCTTAAAAGCGAGCAGAAAGCCAATGAAACAGGTTCCAAGGCTCCCTGATACGCTAGTTTTGGCAATTATAGTGTATGGACGGAAATAATAGCGTTTTTGGCCGTTGCAAACCGTGGGTGTACGATGACATTACGGCCTGCTACCGTGTGTGGATCTTGGGATATTATGTCCCATTGGCGCTAGTAGTGGGGGCTGTGTCATATTCAGGCTACAATGTGGTGAGAAACTCGCGTAGATTCCAGGCCGCGCCGAATTACGCAAATGAACTGGCCCTGGATGACAATAACGAGCATAAACCTTTGTTAGCAGATCACAATGGGGCCCTTTACCAGGCACGTGATGGGGATGAAAATAATGAAATACCTATTTCAAAAGACACCCTCAAGGAAAACCATTTTTCCATAGAAAGAATAAAGCTCACAAATGCCCAGGGCAAGAACCATGGTACCGTTCAGATCTTAAGACGTGGGTTCATCGAGAAAACGCGCGTAGTGCTCGAGTCCCTAGCATGTTTGGCTCAGCTTGCGATCCACGCGTTTGTATGGGCGCGTTTCGCTGGTGACTCCAGCGAATTTCCCCTAGGTGCAATCATTGCACGTACAGTTCTATGGGCCTGGTTGGTTGTGGTAGTCGTTTTTCGTCTTGCCAACATCAATCAGCAGGTCAATTGGATCTGTAAGTACCCTGGGAATCTGTGGTCCGTTTCGTTAGTTTCCTATCTGGTTCTTTTTGGTGCCCAGATCCTACCACTAAGATCGTATCTGATAGGACATATCGATGACCGTGTTGCACAACAATACACACTTTCGCAATTCTACTTAAATTTGACTTTGTTCCTATTGTTGTTTACCGCTAAAATTGGAAACAGCAATGCATACATTTACCGCACTGACGCAGACATCACTCCATCCAGCGAACCAGTAACATCCATATTTGGGTTTATCACATGGTCTTGGATTGACGGCTTTATTTGGAAAGCAAACAAGCAGCCTATCAAGGTCCAAGATATTTGGGGTCTCACGCTTGAAGATTACTCGCTTGTTGTTCTCAAAGAATATAAGAGCTCCAGCAAAAATGAAGACAGGAACCTTTTGTATAACCTGTTTTGGTTTTTCCTCAAATACCTTGGGCTACAAGGTTTCTGGGCTTGTTTCAATAGCGTTTTAAGCTTTGTTCCCGCACTACTATTGAAACGAATTCTCGAGTACGTCGATGACCAATCCACTGCGCCCAAAAATTTGGCCTGGCTCTACGTATGCATCATGTTTTTTTGCAAAATTGCACTCGCAATTTGTCAATCTCAGGCTCTTTTCCTAGGTAGAAGAATATGTCTTAAAATGAGGGCTATTCTTATCTCGGAGATTTATGGTAAAGCGCTGAGGAGAAAAGTATCCAACAGCACTTCTGAAGTCATCTCGGATGAAGTTGACGTTGAATCACAATCTTTAAGTTCCGAAGAGGATGTGGACGCTGACCAAGAGTCTGGTACCGCGAATCTAGGTGCTATTATTAATCTGATGTCTGTAGACGCCTTCAGAGTCTCTGAAATTTGTGGTGATCTACATAGCTTCGTCGAAGCGTGCATCATGACAATCGTCGCGTTAGTTCTTCTTTACAATCTCCTGGGATGGTCCGCATTGGTTGGGACCGCTTTAATTGTCGCATTGCTTCCTGTTAATTTCAAGCTCTACACACTGCTAGACCAGTACCAAGACGATTTTTTGGCCTTCACAGACAAGAGGATCGAGAAGTTGAATGAAACTTTCCAAGCTATCCGCATCATCAAGTTCTTCTCGTGGGAGGAGAAATTTGAACAAGAAATTTTGGATATTAGAGACCAGGAACTGAAATTGATGATGCAGCGCTCCTTCGTATGGGCGCTTTCCAGTTTTGTCTGGTTCATTACCCCAGGTCTTGTTACGTCCGCGACTTTTGCTGCCTACATCTATTTGCAGGGCCGTGTCTTAACTACTCCCATTGCTTTCACCGCGCTTTCCTTATTCGTACTGTTGAAAACCCCACTCGATGAGTTTTCCGATATGTCAAGTCTAGTCATCCAATCTAAAGTGTCTTTAGATAGGATCCAAAGTTTCATGAAGAAGGACGACACTAAAAAGTATGAACAAATCACTGTTGGTACCAACAAAATAGGTTTCGAAAATGCTACCTTTTCTTGGGATATGAAAAATGCTGATTTCAGACTCAAAAATCTGAACCTGGACTTCAAAATTGGTAAATTGAATGTTGTTCTCGGTCCCACCGGGTCTGGTAAGACGTCTCTGCTTATGGGTCTACTAGGTGAGATGGATTTAATAGATGGCAAAGTATACACTCCTTGCTTGGACGCCAGAGAAGATCTAATTGTAGAAAACGATGGTATGACGAACTCTGTGGCCTACTGTTCTCAAGCTGCGTGGCTGTTGAATGACACTGTAAGAAACAATATTCTATTCAGCAGTCCATATAATGAGGCTAGGTACAATGCCGTGGTGGAAGCATGTGGGCTAAAACGCGATTTTGAGATTTTAAATGCTGGTGACCATACTGAAATTGGAGAAAAGGGCATCACGCTCTCAGGTGGCCAAAAGCAGAGAATTTCTTTGGCACGGGCATTGTACTCGTCATCCAGACATCTCTTGCTAGATGATTGTCTCAGCGCTGTTGATTCTCATACTGCTCTATGGATCTATGAGAACTGTATTTCGGGACCTTTGATGCAAGGCAGAACCTGCATACTCGTTTCTCACAATGTTGCATTGACTTTGAAAAACGCTGACTGGGTAGTGTACATGGAAAATGGTAAAATAAAGGATCAAGGCGAACCTCTTGAACTTTTCAACAAGAGTTTGTTGGGGCAGGACGAACTTGTCAAGACTAGCATTCTTTCTCGTGGGGCGTCATCGACAAGTCTAAGCCGCAAGGTCGCCAAAAGCGGTGTTGATTTGAGCAAACTGAGCAGCAAGATCGAGGAGGAAAGTGCCTTGCCCAAAAAGGACCTACCCACTGAAGAGGACAAAATGAAATTGGGGAAACTTATCGAGGAGGAGACCAAATCCGAAGGTGTTGTTAATCTTGAAGTTTACAAGTGGTACGCGGATTTAATCGGTGGTTGGAAGATGATATCATTTTTGGGTCTTGTATTTTTCATTTCGCAATGTGTGACCATCTGTGAATCGCTATGGGTTCGTAAGTGGGCTTCTAACAACAGGTTCGATACAATAAAGGCAATTGTAATCAAATTTTCTAGCTCATATGTTCTCGTCGGAGCACAGGCGTTACGCTCTCAAGTGGACCCTGTGTCGATTTCGACTGTGGCCACACCTGAGGTTACTTCTGTCACGAAAATTACCGGGCACTCTACCATCTACTATCTTTCAATTTATTTTCTTATCGGTGTTGCTGTCGGTGTAGTTTCAGCCTCTAAGACCATATTCGGCTTACTCGCAGGTCTCAGCGCGTCGAGAAAAATGTTCAAGCTCGTTTTGAAAAAAGTGTTGCACGCTAAGCTGAGATTTTTCGACTCAACTCCCATTGGTAGAATCATGAATCGCTTCTCGGGAGACTTGGAAGGTGTCGACGACGAATTGATGCCATACGTGGAAGGCACATTTGTGTCCCTTATCGAATGCTTTTCAATTGTTATACTGATCGCTTACATCACTCCTGAATTCTTCTTTGTTGCAATCATCGTTGGTTTCATGTACTATCTGGTGGCCTACTTCTACATGGTCGGGTCTAGAGAACTGAAAAGGTTCGAATCCATTAGTCGCTCGCCAATACATCAACACTTTTCTGAAACTCTTGTAGGTATCACGACAATCCGTGCCTTTGGAGACGAGCGCCGTTTTATGGAAACCAATTTGTCAAAGATTGACGAAAATAATAAGCCTTTCTTTTACTTGTGGGTTGTCAACCGTTGGCTAGCTTTCAGAGTCGAATTTATTGGTGCAATTGTTATTTTTGCTGCAGGTGTGTTTGTTCTACTAAACTCTTCAACATTGGACTCTGGCTTGGCGGGCATATCTTTGACGTATGCGATATCTTTTACCGAAGGGGCCGTATGTCTTGTCAGAGAATATGCTAGTGTGGAAATGAATATGAATTCGGTCGAGCGTTTGAAAGAATATATGGACATTGAACAAGAACCTCACTTTCAGAGTACGCACAACCCACCACCTGAATGGCCAAGTCAAGGTAAAATTGAGGTCAATGATCTATCGTTACGCTACGCGCCTAATTTACCCAAGGTTATCAAGAATGTTTCTTTCACTATTGAACCTAACGCCAAA